TGGGAAACCCAGGTGCAGGGTAGGTGCAGGGTAGCTCGATTTGGGAGAAACTAGCACTTAGTGAAAAGAAGAACCAACCTTCTTCAAACTAAGATAACTAGCCACCCAGTAATCGTACCGCTACAACCAAAATACCAGTATATAGCTACAGGCTATACGAATTCAATTACAGTACTGTAGAGCCCCCCAGATGGCCACAGCACTAGTAATCTGAACTCTAGGGTTTAATAGTAATATAGTTAATAGAAGTATAAACGGATTTTTAGGGTTAAGCTACTTTGTTAGCCTCTTAGATAAACTTAGTATTGGTAATTAGACTAATATTAGGCTTATACTCCCGCTTCTACTTCGATCTATAGGCTATATACCAGTCTTAGTATAGTCCCTAGCTGGTTAAATTAGAGTATCTAGAAGTATAAACTTAAATAATATATATCTAATCTCTATAGTTAGCTACTTTATTTATATTATCTCGGTTTACTCCTACCTGATATTATTATATATTAATATAACCGCTACTTCTAAGAAACTAATTAAAACCCTCTTTTTCTATTAATCCTTTATAGATATCTTTAGAAAGAGTTAGATATCTAATAATAAAGTAGGTAGTAAGGCTATAGTAGTAATAGCCCAAAGGGTTCCGAGATCTGGAGTTAGGTTTAAGTCTCCTCTTATTTCTCCCTAAACCTCCAGAGTAGCTACTATTATAGCTGCTTCAACCTCCGTAGATACCTTATATATAGGTTCTAAGTTCTTCTACTTTAGTGTTGGAGATCCTAGTTCTAATAGTTCTAAGCTTCTCGATCGCTCTAATATAACCTTTCTTAAAACGGAACTTATTAATCCTTAATTCCTCTAAACTAGCCGTTAAATCGTTAATATCCTATTTAAAGTCCGAACCTATCTGAATATCAGAAGTAGGTATAAATATTATAGTAAGTAAGCTTTTTATAACTATAGTAGACTAGTTAATAATATTACTTTACTTTACTTTAGCTAATTTAGACTTAAATTTATAGAAGATAGTATCTATATTTATACTGTTATATAAGTATTTCTAAAGGAAGTTATAGAATTCGGACTATTTAAGGGAGTTAATATTATCTTCAAAGTTCTAACATAGTCTATACCTAGCTCAGAATATATCTAGTAGTTTATCCCAGATCTTATTAACGGTATTAATCTTTATATAAACCTTCTTCTTCTTTAATACTTTAATTAAAAGGACCTTAACCTTTTCTAAATGGTTATAGATATTCTGAATATCTAGGCTATAGATACCTTTAATAGCTTGGTTAAACTCTTTAGTTAAATTATTTTTATAGGAGTTATTCTATTACTATCTTTCTTTAACCGTTACCTCGAAGTAAGCCTAGATATCTTTCTTATCTTTATTCTAATCGTTAATAATCTCTCGGAGGTTATTATTATACTATTATAGGAAGTATAGGATCTTATCATATTCTTCTACCCTACTATATTTATAGAAGGCTTTTCTAAATTGTTCTAAGTAGAGTATAGGTTTATACCCTTTAAAAGGTCCAGGTAGGCCGTTGTCTAATTAGCTAAAGAATAGGTTCTGGAGTATCTTAGCAAGTCGGTCCGCTATCTTATTGATTAAACAGGCTTGAGGAGTATTAGTTACTAAAGGTTTAGGGGCTGGAATATCCAGATCGACTAATACAGTAGTTTATATAGAGGCCGGTATTAAAATTAGAGTATTATCTATTAAGATCGCTATCTATTTAGAGGGAGGGTTGGTTAGTAGAGGTATTTATATTATATAAAGGTAGTAAATATCCGTTTATCCGATTTCGATTGAGATATATATTATCGAATTCTAATATAGATTTTAATTCCTTCCTATATACCGAGCCTATAACCCTCTATCCTTTTTAGATCTTTACTCTCTAACTATATTACTCTAATAATTGTCTATTTTCTTAAGCTAATAGTATCCTTCCTAGTATATATTCCAAAGGAGGTTATAGATACCTTAGTAAGTTTATTTAGTTAAGCCGAATAATATAATTATTATTATTACTAATCCGTTTAAAATAAGCTATATTAGGTAGAGAAAAGTCGGTTAGACTAGGGTTAAACCTACTTTAAGAAGGTAAATAAGAAGTTAAATATTATATTAGTTATCTAAAGATTATTGTTCTGGATCCTATTATCCTACTTCTCTATAATAGGCCGATCGCTTTTCGCGTATCGATCGCCTACTAGTTAGAAAAGTCTCTTAAAGATCCGATTATCGTTTTTATTGATAAGTTAGTGGAGCCTTTCTCCTTCGAACTTGGTTCGGCCAGATTGGTAACCCTTAATCCTTTGTCAGGGGTTTCGTCGTTATTTTTCGAGTCTTATAGCCTCTACCTTATAAATTCTCTCGTAACTAAATCTGTCCTTTCAACGAATTGTCCTTCTGGTTAGAAGGTTCTATAGTCCAGTTTAGACCTAGAGTAAAGCTCCTCCCCGATTAAACCTCTATTTAAAGTAGCAATATACCTTAAAACTATATATACTACCAAATACTTATAATAGGTTATATACTATATATGTATTGTAATGTTAATGTTATATAAGGGAGGAATTAGCTTAGAGAATAATCTTTAATACTATAGATCCTATAACTGTAGAATTAATGTACTTGCGTATATAGCCTTCTGGTTAGAAGGCTGCGGTTATAACTACTGTAAAAAGAGGTTACTTTAATAAGTGTGGAAAAAGAAATAGAATTGTATACCCCCTAAACTCTGAGAGGGCTTAAGCCTCTAACTAAATATAAGGACGCCCTAGGCGGACAAACGCGACGAAGAAACGGAAAAAACGAAATTCCAGACCCTATGTCCCTCTAGAGAGAGGGAGCTCGTTGCCCCAGTTCAGTATCCCCGGCAAAATAAGCCCAAAACATCTAGCCGTTGGCCTACATTCGAACCTTTACGAACTCCTAGGGGTCTTCGCTAGGTAGGAGGGTAATAAACCGTTAGCCTATACCTAGCCTAGTAACCTAAGTTTCATCAGACTAAATCCACTACTCCTATTCTAATAGAAGAAGGCTGGCCTATTTAAGTGTAAATTTAAGGTGTAATTGCCAGGCTTTGGGCGAAAGAGGTTACCGAATAGGTTATAAAACTCTATAGATACCGTCGTCTTCTATAGCCGACTAGATAGCGTAGGTACTATAGGCCTAGAGGGCTGGATACAGTTAACAAAGTTCGGCCCACAGTAGGAAGCGTTTACTGTAGCACGGTATATTAACAATGTTGTTGATTATCATCTTGATTTCCTAAAGCACAATCGGGACCCGGCCGTATACTTCAGAATAGCGTAGGCGAACAGGGCCGAATGCAGCATACTGAGCCTATCGCTAGGTAATGCTCAGAGCCTCGGCGATGTTGCGGTAGGACATTCCTGCATAGTAGCGAAGAGCCTTAACTATAATCCTTTCTTCGTAAGTTGTAGCCGAGGTTTTCGAACTGCCCAGCGAACGGAGGTTGTTGGTAAAGGAAAGGTCATCGCGGTTAACGCGAAAGGGGGAGGGCGTTGGTAGTGGATCGAATGCATCGTCGTCGTCAGAGCTCTAGCTATCCGGCCACTCGCAGTTGTTAATAGTAGCCGGCTCGGTAAGGACTAGAGGTTCTGATTAGCTGTTAAAATAGCTAGTAGGTGGATTGACTAACCTAGCTACATTGGCTAGGCTACATTTACCAGAGCTTTCTTCTGGGCCACGCCCTGGTTCCAGCGATAGCGCCAGTCTTGGAATACAACGCGTTGGTCAACCAGAACAAAATCGCTGTTAAAATCGTCGTTGTTTTCTTCCAGTTCTTCGAAGTCATCAACCAATTCAGCCTCATCTGGGCCATCTTCGTCGTCTGGGTTCAACAGGTCGGCCACTGCAAGTGGCTATTGCATATGGGCGCCATCTGTAGGCTGAATTTTCCAGGGGAGTTGTCTCGGTATAGTGGGTACCCGGGCAGGTAGGTTGGTAGGGTACAGTTGGTGGCGCGTACGGGCTACGAAAAAACGCGGGGTAAGGTGGATACAGCCGATCTGATTGGTTAAAACGTGTTAGAATAAATGGGTACTGGCCAGAATAGGCTTAGGATAACTCACGGTCTGGTACAGGCGTTTTGCAGTACCGTAGGCCGCATCTTGAATTGGCTGTCGAAATGCAGGCGTTTTATAGTCGACTGGGCTGGGCTGGCTGATCTGGCTGATTTGAGTGCCCTGTCGAAAAAAAGCGAAAATCAACGAAAATCAACGAAAATCAACAGAATCAGCCAAATCCTGGCATAGAGGCGATTTTTTCAATTGGCGGAAGCGACTGCGTTGAACTGGGCTAAGCCAGTTTTGTGGGTGCCGTGGAAGAAAGTTGGAAAATTGGTGGAAGTGGAAGGATTCAGTGCCCTGTAAACTGGGTTGAAGAAGGAAGGTTGTGGAGAAAAGGCTGAAAAGTCTGAAGAACTGGTTGGCTGGAAATAAGTGGGTGGCCCTGGGAGGGCTAGCTATATACGGCTTAGTTTGTGGGGCGAGTTACGCGCTAACAAACAAACCAGGGTTGAACTGTAGTAAGTTATTAGCCGTCCGAGGTTGACGATCGGCGCGGAGAGTCAGGGGTGAAGTCGGTTCGCCAATTGCCGGAGGGCATGTAACTCCAGCACTTGGGGCAATATGGAAGTCCCGGATATTTAACCCGGGGACTTGGTCATGTCGTCTTTACTGCTTGTTACCCTGCCTACCTGTACCCTTCATCAAACACCATTGCGAATTCCAATCGATACTCTCACTCACAACCGGCATCATGGCCCAACACTCATACACATCTTCAAGCCCAGGCACAAAAGGTATACTGTAAAAGCTAGGCAACGCGTGGTTGCTGCCGCGAGGCTGGTATTGGTCTATCTGTTTTATCTCGGTCCTGTTCACCGATCCCTTGTCATCCAAGCTCATCCCATCCCATCCCATCCCATGCCAAACCCATCCATCATAACGCCAATTCAAACCTCAATGGCCGAGGTGGCCGTGTCGTGCAACACCGGGTTGACGATGCTGGCATCCCACTCAAAGACAAAGTCGTCGCCCAGCTGCTTGCGGCAGGCGGCGGTGACGGCCTCCCAGACGTTGGGGAAGACGCCAAAGTTGGCCGGGTTCTCGTCGTCGTTGTCGCCGCCCTGGAAGACGCCGGTGCGGACGAGGCAGGTGTTCCAGCCGTACATGTTGCCGCCGACGATGTCCGAGGCCGGGTTGTCGCCGATCATGTAGACATTCTCGGGCACGCGCTCCTCGCCGTGCAGCGAGTCCATCCACGACGCAATCACCTCGTCGGCGTACTTGTACGTGGCCAGCTCGGGCTTGCCGTACACCACCCGCTCCAGCTCAACGCCCGTCAGGGCCTTGTACATGGCCTCGAGCCCGATCCGGAAGGCCCCCTGGCTCATGCGCGGGATCGGGTGCTCGGTCGGGCACAGCAGGTCGCCCTGCGAGAAGTAGATGGGGATCCGCTGCGAGACGGGGTCCTTGGCCGTCGTGCCGAACCGCCCGTTCTCGGACCGCAGCAGGTCCATGATGATCTGCATGTCGGTCGCGTAGTCGCGCGAGTCCGAGAAGACGAGGATGGCGTCGATGTTGACCTTTGTGAAGTCGCGCGGCCGCGACGACGCCCGCTCCTCGTCGGTGAAGACCCGGTAGGGGGCGATGGACGGGTCCCACGCCACGATGTCGTTGGGCACCACGATGTTCTTGAAGCCGTACTCCTCGGCCACGTCGCGGCACCGGTAGCCCTCGCCGCCCACCACCAGCACCGTCTCGTAGTACTCGGCCAGCGCCCGCATCGGCGTGTGGCTCTGGATGAACTGGTCCGTGTCGATGTGGTTCTTGAGGATCTTGGACAGCTGCTCCGTCCGCGCCAGCTCGGGCTTGCCGGACCCGTTGGTCAGGAAGATGTGCGGGATCTTGATGCCCAGCTGGTTGTTGCCGTTGAGCATATCGAGCGTCTGCTGCCCCTGCGGGATCAGCCGGTCACCGTGGACGAGCACGCCGTCGATGTCGAAGACGAACGCCATGTTCTTGGCCGCCTTGACCTTGTGCGCAAAGACATCCTGCACCTGCGAGGCCAGAATGTCGCGGCATGGCACGGTGCCGGCCTTGCCCAAGAGAGCCTCCTTGGCCTCGGCCGGGTATGTGACGCTGCTGAGCCGTGACTGCCGCTTCGACTTGGGGATGGGTAGCGAAGCGCCAAACGAGTTGCGCGACACTCGCCTCTGCTTTGTCGACGGGGTAGACGAGAGATGGTGCATGAACTCTGTGGTGTCCGCGTCGGGCGACCTCAGGGCCGGCACCTCGATTGTGTTGTGGGAACTTGGTGATGTCGGGATGGTGAGGTTGTGTTCGAGGCTCCCCAGGCTCATCTTGGTCCTGCTCTCTTTCCTGGCATGGCCCGCCCCGGTGCTGACCTGGCCATCCGCCTTCTTGGGAAGGATCGGGAAGTCCTTGGGGTGTGTGGTCTTCTCAGGGGAATCAGGGGGAGTGTGGATAGAGTGCTTGGGGGACGAGCCGAAATCGACTTCTTTGAATCCCGGTTTCGACATGATGGCAGATTTCTCAAGAAGGACGAGACGGTAGGGGTCTGATACTGTGATGATGGGGCACGGGGGTGGTAGTGATGTGAATACTGACAAAACCTGATTTCCCCTGGGACGGGGGCGGTCTTATATCAAGGCGGCCGGAAGCGAATCTCCAGATGGCGTCCGGAACAACCCCTCGGAACGTGCACTCGTCGGTGTATCCGCGTCCCTGTGCTGTGCTATCTGTTGGAGGCCCTCGGCGCTGCCTATCAGCCAACGTCGTGTCAGATAAACATCAATATCCACCTCTTGAGCTCCAGTATGACGACACTATGGAGTGGCGGTCGAAGAAAACCCACAAGGGTCCCGATGATGGATACTAGGACTTTTTTTGCCGCTACCCGTGCACCCGTGTGGCAGCCATGGCTCATCAAATTCACATGTTATCACACTTGTTGTGTTGCAGCCCATCCTTCGCGGATCATGATGGAACCCTCCCAAGTAAACCATGTAACTAGTATGTGTTGGCAAAAGCTTGCCAATGATGATAGGCGGATTGCCAGTCAAGCTTACCACATTGTCTAATCGTGTAGTCGTGGTGAACGGGAGCTTCCGCCGGCGGTGCCAACGGTACACGTCGATGTCGTCAGAGGTCCCGGAGGTCCCAGAAGGCCCCAGCGTCTCCGGAAATCTCATACACACTTCTTCACGGAGAGGGGTCTTTTTGCGGAGCCCGAGTCCGTGGCGGTCGCCTCCGTGCCACCGAAACGATCGCCCGTTGGTGCACTCGGATGCGGCTGTCAAGGAAAAGCTTGTCGGTGAGACCAAGCGACCTTGGCAAGGCGATAATATGTTACGGGGGGACTCGGGAGATTCCCCCGACATGACTCGGACCTGAAGATCGATAGCTCGAATCAGGCATGAGATGTGGGTTTTGATGGCTCCAGAAAAGGGGGTCTCGCCGACCAAGGCCGCGAATGTTATTCATGCGCGTTGCCGTGAGTTGCCGGTCGATGTAAAAAACCTCAGATGTTTGTGGAGCCTCAAAAAGATCCTCCTTGAAATACGTCACATTGTGGAACTGACTAGGTTGTACAAGGTTGCGGATCGACGTGTTGGTCCCTTTCAATGGTCCGTCACCGACACTTCTTTCAAACGCGAGACCCGAAAATAGATGCCGTTAGAGCCGCGCGATATGTGGCCAGGGAAAGAATCCAAGTGAACACGTCTTGGCTGCGTTGTATCAGTTTATTTGACGCATCATCCCAGGAAGTGGACTCAGGGGGAACTTCGAGGTATCCCACACGCAAGCAGCACGTTCCATTCTATCACTTAGGTACTCGGCCCAAGTTGTCAGCAAAATCCCACCTCCCGCGCGTGAGCCCCCAAGCGAGGAAGCAAGACAGTACTACCAACGTTCTCAACATGGCATCCAAGACTTACACACTCAACAACGGCGTCAAGATCCCGGCCGTGGGCTTCGGGACCTTCGCCAACGAGGGCGCCAAGGGAGAGACGTACAAGGCAGTAACCAAGGCGCTGGAAGTCGGCTACCGGCATCTCGACTGTGCGTGGTTCTACCAGAACGAGGACGAGGTGGGCGACGCTCTGCACGACTTCCTGAGCAAGAACCCCAGTGTCAAACGCGAGGACGTCTTCATCTGCACCAAGGTCTGGAACCACCTGCACCGGCCTGAAGATGTCAAGTGGAGCTTCAACAACTCGCTCGACAAGCTGAAGATCGACTACATCGACCTCTTCCTCGTGCACTGGCCGATCGCGGCCGAGAAGAACGAGGACCACACGGTCAAGCTCGGCCCCGACGGCAAGTACATCATCAACAAGGAGTTGACCGAGAACCAAGAGCCGACCTGGCGGGCGATGGAGGAGCTGGCCGACAGCGGCAAGGCCAAAGCCATCGGCGTGTCCAACTGGACGGTGCCGGGGCTGCGGAAGCTGCTCGAGATGGCTCGCATCAAGCCGACGGTCAACCAGGTTGAGATCCACCCGTTCCTGCCCAACACGGAGCTGGTGCAGTTCTGCCTCGACAACCAGATCCTGCCGGCGGCGTACTCGCCGCTGGGGTCGCAGAACCAGGTGCCGTCGACGGGCGAGACGGTCCGCTCGGACCCGACGCTGAACAAGGTGGCGGAGCACAGCGGGCACAACCTCGCCCAGGTGCTGCTCGCCTGGGGTCTCCGCCGCGGCTACGTCGTGCTGCCCAAGAGCTCGACGCCCAGCCGCATCGAGAGCAACCTCCAGATCCCGGAGCTGACGGATGAGGAGTTCAACGCGGTCGAGGATGTGGCCCGCGGGAGGCACTGCCGGTTTGTAAATATGAAGGATACTTTTGGCTTGGATGTGTGGCCTGAGGAATCGCAGTAATGGGCGTCAGAAGGCGGGTGAGCCAGTGAGGTGAGGATACAAAAATCGGGAAGAAGGTTGTATCGGCGGGTTTTGAAAAAGGAAAGGATCTGGGATAAGGTTACATTGTTAGAGAAGGTCTCAAGACCGAAAAGACATGAAGTACTGACATCAACGATGGCTCGGCCTTCAGTTTCCATAGTGTTGATGAACCGCCAGTCGAGTGTCATCAAAAACTCGCTTATTGACCCGATGCTAACCCCCACCGGAAAGCTTTTGATTCGAGTGGTTGGCTGTAGGAATACGCGATGATGGCTGACACAGATACGCTGCACTATTTGTCAACTCGGACTTCAAATCCAGCCCCCGCAACCAGATAAAAAGGCCTTGGAATTATATTGGCTCACGCGGGTTGTGCAATACCATCTCAATTTCTGTGCTCGGGATAAGGGAGGACTACCATTTTGTGAACCGGCACTAACAGTCAGATTTATTTCGACTCGCTCACGGATTGAGATCATGGTTAAAATTGCCATTGCCGGCCCTGGACGTATGTTTTAGACTCGCACTTCCCTGGCCCCTACCCGAGGCTCACTAACTATATGCCATAGTGTTAGCTCGCGAGGTCATCGATGGCTTGGTAGCCGCCGGGAAGCACGAAATCATCCTTCTCTCCCGGAGGGTACGCCACGGACAATCTCCCTTGCGGCTTTTATGGCTGATTTTGGTTAGGATGCCGCCCCCGAGGAACTTGTAAAAGGGACCACGTGGGTAAAGGTGGACTTCTCGGATAAAGAAGCCCTTACCCAGGTCCTTCGGGGGGTTCATACCGTGCTCTCCTTCATCGTAGTTCACAAGGATACGGATAATGCCGCCCAAAAGACCTTGATCGATGCGGCTGTCGAAGCCGGAGTCAGGCGTATTGCACCCAGCGAGTGGTCGCTGTAAACCCACCTTTCCCGTCCATTGATGCGGTATAACAGCCAGAGGCTAACTTGTAACTTACAGCGCCAATCTCGACCAATTTGGCTGGTATCATGGCAAACTCGAAGTCCGGGAGTACTTGGCAGAGAAAAACAGGGATAGGAAAGTAAGCCATCATGCAGCATCTTGTCATAGTGGCCCCTGAAGTCTCACCCATCTCGATCAGGTCATCGAGTACTGCCTGTTCCAGCCTGGCTGGTTCTTGAATTATCTCGGCGGGATGCGCAAGATCTCCACACACATCCAACCTACCCCTTTCACCCTGGTCGATCATACGGAGGGCCACGCGCGGGCTCCGGGTAGTGTGGCCAACAAAATTACTTACACCGCCATTCATGACGTTGTCAACGTGGTAGTGAAGGCTATCGACTACGAAGGGGAATGGCCCACGATTGGCGGTATCAACGGAAATACCCTGTCACTGGCCGAAGAGATAGCCATCGGTGAGAGAGTAAGGGGTAAGTGCCAGTGCTGGGGGCCTCGGCTAGAGGGGATAGAATTGACTCATGACGCAGGTAAACCTTACGAGGTTGAAACATTGCAGCTCGATGATCTCAGAGCCGGCATTGTCAACACATCATGGCTCCCCGCCATAGACCAGCCCGGGGCGGCCCCGTCTGATAACGAGGCGCTCGCCCGGCATATCCTCCGCAGCCTTCTGCTCAACGCTGCTGACGGGTCAGGTACTGTTTCGGATGAGTGGAACCAGATCTTCCCGGATTACCAGTTCACCAAAGCCGAGGACTTCCTGGCTGGCATATTTGCAGACGCATGAGTGGTTCAAGGTCATGGACGCCGGCTAACTCCAAGCTGGTGGACCACTGGCACGGGCGATGGTCCCAGCAGGGAACAGGGCCTGACAATATGATTGCTTCAATGCTCTCTTGCTCTCGATAGCTATGAGCTGTTATCTGAAACAGGCGAATCTCTCTGTGCTACTGATAGACGGCCGATCTCGCCTCCATTCCACAGCACTAGCAAGGAGCAATAAGCGGAAACAAACAAACATGAGCTTCGCCAAAGTACCTAGGTATCCAAGTTGCAAACAGGAATGTTTACGTATGCTTCCTCCCAGCATGCCCGGGGTCAATCACAGCCAGTACACCCCACATTTCCCCCCAATGCCAACCTTCGCCGGTCTTCACCTCCGCCTGTCGATGGCCACCGGCTACGTCATAGACAAAAGTCTGGATGTGCCGGAAGATAGGTCATGATGCTTTTGAGATCGAGACGGTCATTGAGAATGACGGGATGCACAATCCGGATTGATCTACACAGTACACTGTAGGCCCGATTGTGATCATGGACAACGAAAGGAAAAAGAAACAATCTAGTCGTTTCCAGAACCGGTTTCATTTCGCCATACCAGGTGTCCAGAACTTCTGATCGGCCCCGGATATTTTGTAGTCTTGTAGCTATGTACCATGGAGATGCGTCTAAGGCGTTGTCGGGCGGCGCAAAACGGTCACATCTAGCAGCCCTCTCGAGTACCCCCTTAGGAAACTTAACTAGTCCCAGGAAGGATAATTTGTTTCTTTACGACAAATTCGATATTTTCTCGACGACCTCCACCATTATCACCAGAGCTCTAGAATCAGCGGGTTGGTCCAAAAAGTCCACGTACCGTATTGCAAAAGAGCTTGAGGAAACGCGGACCTGCACGACCTTTCTGAAGCACCCTTTCTTACTACGGGTCTATAGACCTATACTCACAGCTCTTCCCTCAATTTCCTGCCTTTGCTTCGCCGATAGGCCTTCCCGCAGTACATTATTATTTTTCTCCATGGCATTTCGCCAGCGCTCAAATTCCCTGTAATCGTCTGCAAAGGAACTGTCTCCAAGCCACCAGTCCATCAGAACTGTGCCGACCGCGTCATCCAACTCGCGAAAGAAGCTAATTTCGACCATCTTGTAATGATGGCCATCCTTATCGTATTTGAGCATAATCATATAAGGGCTCCAATCAACCGTCTCTGTTCGCACACAATCGTAATACAACCGAGCAACGATCCACTCGAGGGGCGCTCGAGCCCCGAACGGCCGTGCGAAGCCACCCAAGCTGACGCCGATGTCAAAAGTGTCACCTCCGAAGAACTGTCTCGCCATAGAGTCCTGAAAGTCGGCGGTTGATGAAGCCTTAACGTCGAGCCCGCGATCCATCAACGTCTGCAGGGAGACTCGGTGCAGTACGTGGTCATCGGGTATGCCCCATTCGAAAAGGAATTCATGGTCGAATTTGACTGGGGGTTCTAATAAGTGCGAAAGTTCCTGGCCCCAGCGTCGCAGGCACTGCTTCGCCAGGTCACGGGCGGGGTGGAGTCGGGTCACGGTAGGCGTCCGACGTCTGGCCGCTGGAACTTCGATAAATACCACCCAGATGGTATTCGCGGGGGATTCGCCAGATTTATATTTCTGGCATGCACGCTGGACCGTGTCCACAATGCGGTTGCTAACCGACACGAGGGCCGTGGGTGTTCGGTTCCATAGATCGGCATGTTTTGTAAACTCGACGAGGAGGTCATTCTGTGAGAGCGACGGCCCCGTTGGACCTCTCCCCGACGTGAGCTGGCCGGCACTCCTTGGCGAGTACACCCGAGTGTATATCTCGCGGGACATCTTGCGGTTGGACTGTGACGTTGAGGCCGGCGATCGGGCCGGACGACTGCCCATCATTCATGGCAGTGTTGGGTGAGTCGAGTCCCAGAGCAGGAATGTGACGGGTGCGGGGGAGGGAGGGGGTTGAAAGTGCTAATTACCTACCTAATTACTCGAATGAAGAGAGAAGGCTCGGGTGGCACAAGAACGATCCAGTTGTTCAATGTGGAATAGCGGGGCAGCCTGACGGGAGTCGCCTTGTAGTCCATGTTCACTGAGAATTCATCATGGCTCTTTCCACCGTTTTCAGAATTGCCTACGCCAGGGTAGTCGTGCATTTTGAAGTTTTGGTGTCAAGGCCGGCACTTGTCGAGACGGGATTCACACCATCAACGGCCTGTACGAGAGCAAGGGGCTCGGATTCCGAGAATCACGGAGTTCCGAATGGGGGCGTTAGTATAGACGCAGTGGTCCATCTTCTGTTTCCTCCTGTTTTGTTATCTGGCGATGGTTTCTTGGAGTCCTCGGTACCTAGCCAAGCGAGCCAAGCCAACAATTGGAGTCTGACCACAGTATTTTCCCTTTCCTCTCTTGACCGCCACGCACCCTCGCCAAAATGGGAGACGACCTCTGCCCAGCTGCAGGTGGTGCGGGATGTGGGTCGGAAAGGGTTCACATCCCCGAGGCAAGAGGGGCCGGACCGTTGCATCGGGCCACACGCGGGCGGTTGGGGCCGGGGAGTTCACAACGGAACTTCACCGGAAGCTCCTGCCGCCTGCAGAGAAAACATGGGTTACCCCGCAGCCCTGGGAGAGGCCACAATCTTTTCCCATGGGTTTCCGTCCTTTCCTGTGGGCGAGCTTCATGCAGAGAGTACTGTGCTCCCCCATGAACACACTGTCGGTTATCTATCCCAGTTGAGGTGCGGAGCCCGGGGGGATAACGGTCGCCAACACACCGGATGGAAGGCTGCGAACGCACACACAAGGTCACCTCATCCCACGCTTTCCCAAATACAACCGGATCATGCTCCTCGATGCAAGCTAAATGGGTTGGCAAACTTCCCATTGGCGACACGTGCAAAAAAATCATCACATTCAAGCGGGCGGGTCTGAGAATGGCGACCGGGGGTCAGATGTAACGAACGACTACCCATGACATCCCGCGTTCCTTCTTGCGAGCCCTGTCCTCGGTCTGTTTGCCGCATTGCCTCAGAAAGCAACCGTTTGGACACAGTACCTCGCCCCCGTCCCTGTGTGGCGCACTCACTTCGATATTATCGCCCGCCCATCTGGTTCGTCGTTCAACATGGCCGACGCCGAGAAGTCAACTGGAAGCCAGGCACCCCAATCGCCCACTTCCAAGTCTCCGGAGAAGCCGACGGAAAGCCAGCCGGCCCAATCGCCCCCTTCCAAGTCTCCGGTATCCCCAAGGTCGCCCGCAGGTGACGAACAGGGCGGGTCCGGCACGCCAGCCGATGCCGGCATTCTCCCCGCGTCCCACTGGGAACCAGTATGTCTCATCACCACCCACGCTCACCGGTACCGAGGGCTCCGTACTGACTGGCCTGCAAGGTCCAAGAAGAGATCGTGTATGATGGCGATTCGGGACTTGGGGACCTAGCTAGCAGCACGGCTTCGCTCTCGAGCAGCATCCTCCAGTACAGAACCGTTCTCGGCAGGACGTATGCCAGCGAGATCGGCAAATCCGAGGGCTGGACCCCGAACGATGCACAGCACACCGAATCCATGGATATTCAGTAGGTTATCCCCGCGCCCGGTGGTTTGGCACTCGACAGTTAACCACTCCTACCAGCCACCACGCCTGTACGCTTTTATTAGACGGGAAGCTGTATCTTTCTCCCCTTAAGGATAACATTAGCGTAAGTGGAAGCCGATGGAGGCACCGGGGAAGGCCGCAAGACTGACCTTTTTTCAGAAAGTCGTCGACATTGGCACCGGCACAGGCATCTGGGCCATGTACGTTCACACTCCCCGGTTTGGTCTGGTCGGCTGAGTGGTCAATGAGAAAAGAGGAGCTAATTAACACCCACAGCGATTTTGGCGACGAATATCCCGACGCCGAGGTAATTGGCACCGACATCTCCCCAATCCAGCCCACCTGGATCCCGCCCAACGTCAAGTTTGAAATCGACGATGCCAACCTCTCCTGGACGTGGAGAGACGACACCTTTGATTTCGTGCACGTCCGTGGCATGATCGGGACCATCATCGACTGGCCCGCCTTCTACCGCGAGGCCTTCCGATGCTGCAAGCCCGGCGGTTACATGGAGCATCACGACGAGGCCGCGGAGTGGCATTCGGCCAATGGCGAGATCTCCGAGGACAGCGCCATGGGCCAATGGGGCAAGGTCTTTTCGGAAGGCGGGAAGAAATTCGGCCGCACGTTCCGCCTGATCCAGGACGATGTCCAAATAAAGGGCATGGAGGAAGCCGGCTTCGTGGACATCGTCGTCAAGGATTACATGTGCCCGATAGGCGACTGGCCTGAAGACAGGAAGCAAAAGGAGATTGGCATGTTTGCGAAGCTGGTGTTGGACACGGACTTGGCTGGTATGTTCTGAGCCCCTTCGCCCATCCCTCGCTTTCAACGTGGATCCTCCGGACTAACCGAGTACAGGCTTTGTCAACTTCGTTTGGTCCTCTGTGATGGGCTGGAGTAATGAAGAGATCCAGGTGTACCTGGCAAACCTTCGGCACGAGATGCGGAACAAGAGCATCCACACACTCTACCCCCATCGTGTGGTGTACGGGAGGAAACCCGAGTAATGAACGGGCGCCATCTTGTCAAGGGGGATGAGGATAGAGGAGCGTCGGCTGTTTTAGAGAGCGAGACGGGGAAGATATAAGTGGATAAGTAGAGTTCACACGACCCAAGCCCTGCGGAGCTTATGCTAGATATACTTTCAGCGTCTCGTGGCCGTCTTGCCATAGTGCTGTCTTAGTTATGTAATTCGACATGTGCGATTGGCGCAATGACTTAACAGGCCGGGTTTTGTTTTTTGTGTCTAATTTGGGCCCCAAGATCAAAGACACAATAACGGCCACACCCTGACCCCATTTGCGAAGGATCCTCGGGAGCTGATTTCTTGTCATGTTCTTTGCCACCAGCCGCATTTCTACGGGATTGTTATATTGCCCATCTTGTTTCTCCGCATGGTGTACTATGTCCGAGATGGGATCACTGCAATAATTCCGTGACTGAAGATGACGCCAAAGGTATCCCCAGGGACCGGAATCTGAAGACCAGAACCCTACCTACCCTACAACCTACACTCCGGGTTGAGTTACTCGAGGCTCCACTCTTTCGCCGTTGGCACATGGCCCTCCACCAGGTGGCAGAGGAGGCAGCGTTGCACCCTTTGGGGGACAGGGAAGCTCTGGACGAGGGATCATGTCAATGCTGGTTGACCGTGGTGACCCTAAGAGGCCCCCGCTGCTCCGATGTAGAGACAACGCAGGTTTCCTTGCGCGGCTGCGTCCTGTCTACTTACCCAGAGAATGGTGGTCAGCGACGCCCCTGACGCCCCGAGGCCGCCTGAACATTTATTCCCTCCCACTCCTTGTTCGAGACAGACGGCCCCGTATGTGTGGGTTGCAATTTGTCATCATGAACCCGTGCCAAGTACTACTACTTTCAGACCACCCAAGTATTTCATTGCCGACTTGGGCAACAGCGCTTGGGCATAGAGCAATCGGATAGCGCGGCGATGCGCCCGAGGTAGCCTCTTTTCCTTTACAGCGAATCTATCCAGAACATGCATAGACTCGAAGGACCAGACGTTGAGGCGGAAGGGGAGCAGGACGGTCTCGTGGTACAGCTGGCGGCAGACGGGCGACAGCAGCGTCATGCCGCGGCGAGGCGGGGGTTCCGTCGCGTCCGCCTTCTGACCTAACCACGGGTTCTCGTCCCTGCCCAGAATGCGGCAATAGAAACCTCCCGTGATCGTCTCGTAGCATCGCTGCCCATTCTTGATCTGCACCCTGCGTCCCCACTTCTTGAAGCACACGTTGATCTGGCCGACGGCGAGGACGATCTCGAAGATTTGGTTACGGAGTTCGGGCGGGAGGCGGAGGAGAGGGGAGAGCTGCTGGTTACGCGTCCATCTGTTGTCGGGGGTGTTGTCAGCGGCTGGGAAACTGCAATTGAAGACGACCTGACTGACAGCGCGAGCTCTGGGGTATTTTCTCGGGGAAGCGACCTGTGTAACGTGTTGCGGATCTTTCGCTGGCGTTCCTTGTTCAGCTGCATTACTTCGTATCGACCGGGCAATCGATGACGGACGGCGGGTTTCTGGGAGGTTGTTGTTACCCAGAACAAGGAAAGTCCAGCCGGGTTGCTCAGCTCAACCTACGGTTCCATGTCGCGAGGAACCCCGGTACCCCGGCCGGGGATTGCTTGGCAGCCCTGGAAGCGACCCCAGTCCCGGGCTCCACTCTCTCAGGGTCCTCGCCAGAGAATCTTTCATGGCAACTTCCAAAACGGAAAGTGAATCGCGAAGACCTGGTCTCGGACCCTCGCCGCTTCTTCGAGGGACTGTCGCCGGAGTGCTGCTCAATCACTCAATAATATCTTTAGCACACCTGCATTCATTGGTCTCACGCTACTTTTCTAATTAAGTTGCGAGGAGGTTGTCCAAATGTTTGAGCAGTTTGCTTATTACCTAACTCTTGGAATTCTCAAATCCAGGCGGCTCACTCGCGCCGTTCTGGCAGTCTCCTCCTCCTCCAGCCATCTTCCAGCAAATGACATATTTTTCGGCGACCTCGCTCGAACGAGACCCCGTGGGGTCCGTGCCGCGGGGTCCCAGGCGCCAGACACAGAGGAAGAACTGCACGAACTGCGCCGGGGCCCTGGGGGCTTGGACACTTCGCGGACACCTCCACTTTAGAGAATACCCGCCGACTCCCTTTCTCTGCTGTCCTTCCCACGTGGTTCGACGGAAGCGAAAAAGGGCATTGATGTGAACAGGGTGCGGAGAGGGTGGCGCCCGACAAGCCTCAACGGTGCCAAGTGAAGCCATCGGATTTAGGGCTTGTCTGGAGATATAAGCTTATTCAGGTTGCGGAGCGGGCTCCGAGCGGCATTGACTATTGCGGCTGATGGGGAAACAGGACGACTGCGGACCTCGACTAGCATCGATACCCGGCCTGGGCTCTCTCGGTTAACGGTCTGACGGCACTTTTCAGGGTTAGCCGTTTGTCGTTGTCACCCCCAGGTCGAGGCTCCCGTTGATGTCATCATACTTCAATCCGTTTCTTTCGACTCAAGTTTGTCTCGAGGTAGTCCCGAAATCCTGTTGATGTCTTCCGATATCTACTTACACGCAACCTTCGCGTCACTATCATGCCCCCCTTCGTACCGTACGTCCTTAACCCTCTCGTTTTCTCGTCCATTGGCACTCGTCATATCCACCGGCTTGTCCCAAACCAAAAACAAAACCACCACCATTTCACCCTCTTCATCCACTTTCAACCCCTCGATGTACAGCGTACTACCCCTACCAGTCCCTTCCCACTGTCCTGGTCTTCGTGTGCAATGATCTTCAGTGCAGTTAGATCCATGGCATCATCAACGGTCAATTCCAAGAAGACAACTGTTCTGGGTCAGGTTAACGACGGTAAGATCAACAAGAAACCCTCCCCGGATTCTCACCGAACGGACTGGGCCTCTCATCGGCAATATCCGCACTCATCTGTCCACTAGTACCGGATTGGGTCATCATGCAAGGACGTTTGGTGCCCCACCGTAAGCGAGAAAGCCCGAAAGCGCTCTCCACTCGCCAAAGGGAAAGTTCCCAAAACGTGGGCGAAAAGCCAATCAATCGCCGTCATTGTCCAAGAACACTGCCTCTCCTCGCTTGTCTGTCGACGCCACGGCATCGGGCTAAGCCCGCCTGGTGAGTCTGACGGCGACCGCATGGGGAACGAGCTTCCCGGCTCAACACGCATTCAAGAAAGGCGAGCCAGAGTGTGAAAACGGTCTTCCTTTCTCACCGCGCCCTCTCGACTCTCTTTAACGGTTCTACAAAATTAATAACTATGTCAAGCCTTTCCAAAATGGGCCCGTCCAAAACCAAGTCGAGCATGCAGGAGCTCTACGCCAGTCCGGAGGACTGGGACACGCACCGGGAGACCATCACTCGCCTGTACCTGCATGAGAAACGATCCCTGCAGGAAGTAATGGAGTACATGGCACTGAACCACTTCTTCTTTGCAACGTTCGTTCCCCCGGCCAAGCCCAAACGTCCTCGCAGACCGGTGCTAACCCCCGTAGCGTCAAGATGTTCCGTACTAGAATCAGAAAATGGGGGATCGACAAGAACAACAAAGCTGCAGAGGTGGCCTACATGCTTAAGCTCAAGAAGCAGCGCGATATCTCTGGCAAGAAGTCGACTTTTTTCATTAGGAACCGACCGGTCGACTGGTAAGTTGTCGACAGTGGCTCCCGCGATGCATTACCCCTGGTTGACCCAACCACAGGGAAGATATCGAGCGATATCTCGCCCGCACCCCCGACTTTTGGGCCAAACACGGCACCACGCTCGACCTCAGCAAGTCCCCTCACGACATAACCTGTACCACACCGCCGCCAGAATCCCCGCGGATACTGTCGGCGTCCGTCCCCCAAAAGCTCGACGCCGCCCACGAATTACGCGTGCACGAGGAGATCCTGCGCTTCTTCCGCGATTACACCGAAGGCTCCTTTGAGCAAGGGATGTGGCATCTTTCACCGGACCACAAACGCTACTTCGGCCGCGGTGGCGTCGACGCCAGCGCCCGTCTCAACACATGGTACGACAAGCTGCGGAATGTCGCCGACTGGCCCGGCCAGGACGCCGATGCTGTCCGGCTGGCCAACTACCTCCTCGACGACCTCCCGCAGCTTATTAGGGATCAGGACTTTACCGTCTTCCCCGCACTCATGCGATGCTGCTTTTATCTGTCGGCACGGAGGCCGGAACTGGGGCGAGTGGTGGTGCAGTTCGTGGCGAAGTTATGTGACGTTATACTGGGGGAGAAACATCCCATGAGCCTGGCTTGGTCCCGCGTCAAGTCGCTCCCAATGAGTGATTACCTTCTTGTTTTACAAGGAACAGCCAGGATTCGTCTTGACCAGGTCGAGTCTCGACAAGGCGACGACGTGGATGACGAGAGCACCATCACAGCGCTGCGCGAGTATCTCTTGGTGCTTCGACTAGGAGGGTCAGATGCCGCCCCCGAGATTGACCGCGTCACCTGCCAGGCAAAGGACCAGGTCTTGAAAAGCAAAGACGGGTTGGCTGCGTCGCACTGTCGCCTGCTCCTCGGCACCGCAACGTCTTACATCACATGCCGGCGCTTCGCCGAGGCAGAGGAAGTGTTGGACCGGGTAGGCGAACATCTCCCAACCTCATCCGCACAGAACCCCCAATCACAACGCGTCCTCCCAACCTACCTGTTCATCATGGGCTTCTTTCGCTATGTCACCGGCAGAATGGATGAGGCGGTCAATTACTTCATGCAGACATACTACGCGCTCGAGAAGGCAAGAGGACCGAACAGCTCCGCGATTGCCGATATCTTGCTCGCCCTTGTCGACTTACCCGGGCTCCTGCAAAAACCCGAAGAAATCGAGCACTGGCGCAACAAGCTCACCCAGGTGCAGGCCGAGATGCTGGCCAAAGCGAAAAAGGGCGTCAAGCAGACAGTGCCGGAGCTGGGCGAGGTGTGGGATGGTCCGCTGGACACCGATGTCAATACCGGAGTGTGGTGAGAAATTGGGAACGAGTCTCACAACCTCGATCATGTGTCCTTGGTGGATGATGGATGATCTGCATCACCCGATAGTAGATGAATGCTCCGATGCCGCCAGGGCCGCATCCGACCCGTCCCTCCTTCTCGCCTCTCGCAACATAGGGTAACACCCACTGGCTGCACTGTCTTGCCGTGGGGATACTGCGGCTCGGCACTCCTTTAACAACTCCACCAAATTTCTTTGTCCTTGGACGCAAGCCGAGTCTTTCTGTGGAGGAGCGTTCGTTGTCTTGTTTCTCCAGCTCAAACTGGAGCCTACCAACCAGTCCCGGCTCTGTTGCCGGCACCGGCGCTCTCCCTCGAATTTTGTCGGAGGGATGCCAAAACCCTGAGTTGACAGAGGATCTGCGAAGCAGGAACATGCGAGGTGGTTGGTCAAGATGGACCATGATTGGTTGCTCTGCCTTTGTGCCAGGGCGCGGCGCTCCTCCCCGCATTGTGATTGTGTCGGACAGGGATAGGCGCAGCTGACCGGAGGGGGGCAGCGGCCCGAAACGGACGTGGCTTCTTCGGGTTCGTGCCGGAATCCCGTGTTCAACGACGCCCTCCACTTCCATTCGTCCAGAGTTCCATCTTGAAAGCACTCAGCGTTGGGATCTTGCTGCTATTTTGGCAACAATCCCCCCGATTTCACCGCAACCCCTTTTCTCTCCTTCTTCACGCCCGACACCCAATCAGACATTCGACAATGGCCGGCGACCGGTACTCATTCCCAAGCGAGCCCAAGGCGAACCCCAAGGCGGTTGTCACGGGCGGCAGGGGATCTTCTTACTACCGTTTCAGCGTCTTGACTGACCGCCTGATCCGCTACGAATGGTCTCAAGATGGCGGCTTCGAGGACCGCCCGTCTTCCTTTGCCATGTTCAGGTGCTTTGACGTCCCGCACTACCGAGTTGCCGAGTCAAAGAATTCCCTCGAGATCGTTACGGAGCACTTCCACCTCACCTATGACAAGAAGAAGTTCTCCTCCAAGGGACTCTCGGTCAAGGTTGCCGACGATGTCTGGCGGTACGATGGTGAGAGCTACGGAGACCTGGGTGGCACTGCCAGGACCTTGGATGGCGCCTGGGGCCGCGTCGACCTAGAGCCAGGGGTACTCTCTCACAAGGCCTATGCTGTCCTTGAGGACTCAAAGTCCATGCTGTTTGACCATGACGACGGGTGGATCGCGACGCGCCGCCCTAGCCGCATCGACGGCTACATCTTTGCCTACAACGGCGATCACAAGGCCGCCATCAAGGACTTCTACCGCCTCTCCGGCAAACAGCCAATTCTCCCTCGCTGGGCGCTGGGCAATTGGTGGTCACGGTACCATGAGTATACAGCCCGCGAATACCTCGACCTCATGGATCACTTCAAGAGCGAAGGCATCCCTCTCACAACGTCGGTCATCGACATGGACTGGCACAAGGTCGCCATCGACCCAAAGTACGGAAGCGGCTGGACCGGGTACTCTTGGAACCGCGCTTTGTTCCCAGACCCGGAAGGATTCATGAAGGAATTGCACAAGCGGGGCCTGAAAGTGACACTCAATGACCACCCAGCGGACGGCATCCGGGCCTACGAGGACCAGTACAAGGCCGTAGCCAAGGCCCTGCACCACGACACGTCTAAAGAGGCCCCGATCGAATTCGACTGCACCGACCGGAAATTCCTCGACGCCTACTTTGACGTCCTCAAGACGAACCTTGAGGAACAGGGCGTCGACTTCTGGTGGGTCGACTGGCAGCAGGGAACCAAGACCAAGATCCCGGGCATCGACCCATTGTGGGTGCTCAACCACTACCACTACCTCACGAGCAAGCGCAACGTGAAGACCATCCAGCGGCCACTGACCTTCTCCCGGTACGCGGGTGCCGGGTCCCACCGCTACCCGATCGGCTTCTCTGGCGACACGCAAATCACCTGGGCAGGGCTCGAATTCCAGCCCGAGTTCACGGCGACCGCGTCCAACATCGGCTACGGGTGGTGGAGCCACGACATCGGCGGGCACTGGGCGGGCGTGCGGTCCAACCAGCTCACCGTCCGCTGGGTGCAGCTGGGCGTATTCTCCCCGATCATGCGCCTGCACTCGACCAAGAGCCTCTGGAACTCCAAGGAGCCGTGGAACTTTGAGGACGAAGCCTGCAAGATCATGAAGAACTTCCTCACCCTCCGCCACCGGCTGATCCCCTTCCTCTACACCATGAACATCCGCGCCAGCTACGAGAGCGAGCCGCTGATCCAGCCCATGTACTGGAACCACCCGACCGACGAGGAGGCCTACACGGTGCCGACGCAGTACTACTTCGGCCCGGACGTCCTCGTCGCACCCATCACCTCCCCCAACAACGGCACCACGCTCATGGGCAGCGTCCGCGCCTGGCTGCCGCCCGGCCGCTACATCGACCTGTTCCACCCGCACCTGGTGTACGACGGCGGCCGGTACATGCACCTGCACCGCCCCCTGTCGCAGATGCCCATCCTCGCCAAGGAGGGCACCATCTTCCCGCTCGACGCCGCCCCCAGACTATCCAACGGCGCCCCGCGCCCCGCCGACATGACCATCCTGCTCGTCGTCGGCCAAGACGCGCAGTTCGAGCTGGTCGAGGAGCCCGAGAAGGACCAGAACCACCAAACCGACCCCGACTCGGACGTGCAGCCCGCGCTCAGCAGCTTCGTCCGCACGCCCATCACCTGGTCCCAATCCACCGGCGTCCTGCGCATCGGCCCCGAGTGGAACGGCGCCAACCGCTGGCGGCAGTGGCAGGTCAAGCTGGTGGGGCACACCAACACGGACGTGCAGGCGCAGGTGCCCGGGTTCCGCGTGACGCAGGACAAGAACGGCGAGGGGTGCACGACGATTGCGCTCGGCAACGTGCACCGGTGGGAGCCGGAGGGGTTCGAGATCGCGCTGGGGCGGGATCTGCAGCTGGATGTGGTGGATGTGGAGAAGAGGGTGTTTGAGGTGCTGCATCGGTGTGAGATGGGGTATCATGATAAGGATCCTGTCTGGGAGGTGGTGGCCAAGGCGGAGGATGAGGTGGAGGCGAGGGTGGGGAGGCTGTTGCAGATGGGGGTGGATGCGGGGGTCAAGAATGCGGTTATGGAGGTTTGGGGGGCGGATGGGCGGGCGGAGGGCAGTGCGAAGGGGCATGAGGTTTGGGCGGATGTGGTGAGGGAGGGGGATGGGGTGGAGGCGATTGAGGAGGAGTTGAAGGATTATGTTTTGGTGTGAGCTCGTTTCGCTGGGGTTGAGGGATACAAGCATTGATGGGGTTGGTTTGTGGATTGTTATGTGGTTATGACTTGTTTCTTTCTTAGGCAAAAATCTCTGGATGGGGTTACATGGACATACATAGGTACACATATGGTACTGGACTTCCTGCTCGGCAATACGTACATGTTTACTGTTTGAGACAACCCCCTGGGCATGGCAATGAGAGTGACTGAACGTAATTTGGTGTCTACAGGTTCTATCTCAGTCTATCCACTTCTATCCGGCTCCCTTCCCGTCACTCCGAATCCCCCTTCAACGGCCCGCTCAACAACCACTCCCCTATCAAGTCGATCGTCTTAGCCGTCTTGATCCGCGCGTCCTCCATAAACACCGGATCCCCGGCCAACCCCTCGATGCCATCCTGGTCAAACCCGTGAATCGTGTCCGGCACAAGCAACCACCGATACCGCGACCCATCCTCCATGGTCTCCTCAAACGCGAACCTCTCATCCCCCTCCGTGATCAACCTCCCCTTCCCCACCACCTCCTGAGACCCAACCTTCTCCCCCAACCCCGGCACCCTCCTCCCCGAAAGCTTGCACGCCATCCGCCACGTCTCATGCGCCAGCATATCCAGCTCACACGCCACAAAGAAAATATCCTTCGGCAGCGTCTCCCTCGGCGCATACCACGGACTCAGCAACGGGTCATCACACCGCTGCCCGGCCGCCAGATACGACCAGTTGAACAGCCGCATCATCGGCAGCAGGAAATCCTCCGCCTTCCCGCGGAACCCGCCCAGCGCGGGCTTGTACCGCCGCCGCGCCGCTTTCGCCTCCCCCTCGGCCGCCGTCGGCGCCTGCACCACTAGCGGGTACAGCGGCACGGCGGCGCGGATGCGGCCGCGCAGGGAGGGGAGCTGGGTTACGGCCAGCGCGAAGTTGCCGCCGGCGGAGAAGCCTGCGATGGCGACGCGGGCGGGGTCGAGGGGCAGGGTGCGGTCGGCGAGGATGCAGTGGATGAGGGCTTCGAGGTCGTGGATGGCCGTGGGGAAGGGACCGGAGGGGGATTTGCTGTAGTCGAGCGCGATGACGAGGGTGTTGTGTCGCTGGGCGAAGGCGCGGTTCCAGCTGTCGTTGTCGTGGGGCTCGCCGACGGTGAAGCCGCCGCCGTGGATGGTGAGGAGGGTGGGGAGCTTGGGGGGCTGCGGTGAGCTGGTGGTGGTGGTGGTGGAGGGCTTGTAGGAGGGCGGGAAGAAGATGCTAGGGTTGGAGTGTTAGTTGGGGGCTGGAGCTAGGGAGCGGGTTGGGAGAGGGAGGTGATGGAAACTGACCGGATGGTTAATGACTTCCGCACTGGGTAGGTCTTGACTAGGTCGGGCTCCTTCTCCCCTGGGGGAACAAAGTACTTCTTGGCTTCGCCGTAGTAGAGCATGCCCTTCAATAGTACCCTGTACCAAAGGAAAGCGATGATGGAGTATTTCATACGCTTCATAAATGGCAAGGGTGGTGTTATGAGGTTGGTGGACTCGCGAAGACCTGGCACCTCCATGGCAGCTGTTCTTCCTGATATATCAGCCATAGATCGTGTTGAACGTTGAATGTGAGAGGAACTGAATGCTGTAAGTGAGGATTATGATGATGTTGGCCTAACGAAAGCCAAGCGATGGGTACCTATATAGTTATATCTGGCGGTGGTCCGACGGCCAGGTTTCATTTTCGTACCTCCACACTTGCATAACTACTTCCCCTTTAGGCTCTCGCTAATTATGATTCATCGTGAGTTCTTCCCACAGCGTCGCATGTGAGTGGGGACAGGATGGGAGTGGCCGAATGGGCTTACTTCAAGGCAAAGTTTGGCACACACGAGGAATTGCAATCCTGACCTTGTGAACACTGATCACAGCCTGAAGCCGCACGAACTATCGTACCCGGGCGATCGCAGCCAGTTCATCGCAGTCGATTGACGCGACAGAGGGATGGGTGTGATGGGTTAATGGCCTAGGGTTTGGGTTCGGGTTTGGGTTAGGGGTAGGGATGGGGTTGGGGTTGGGGTCCAAACCCGAACCCCATCCCCAACCCTACCCCGAACCCAAACCCCCGTCCTCAGTCCCATCTATGTGTATCGAACTAATTGCACCAAACTGGACTTAAACGACGGCAGTCGGACGGCATTGCACGCTATGAAATGGCACCTTTACTGAAATTACCTCCATGACTCCGTTGAGATACGAGGACCCCCGCCAAAGCCACGTTTCCCAACTGACCGCCGAGCACGACCAAGTCTCGGTTCGAAACTCTGGCATCACCATTGATCCAGTGACCAATGCCACGGCCAAAGTCGATTTGGTAAACAGGCTGCCTCTGTACGACATGGCGGGAAGTGCTCTCTGCTCGCGGCATGATTTGCCGCCCAGTGGCGTGTTGGAACACCCAATTATCACAAAGCTAAACGCAAGTGAAGTAGGTAGGTAGTTAGACGGCATTTCAGATAATCACCCTGTCGGCGGTGCCATGTCACGGGGTGAAAGACAATGCAGAGCATGAAACATAGGTAGTTGGCTTTCTCATTTCTCACATGCCGGTTGAAAACGTTGAGTTACGACGGACCCTGAGCAACACACTCGCCTTTCACTTCACCAGCCCGCTTCCTTCCCTATCTACCTAAGGAGTACAACGCTGAGTACAGGGTTCATCTGGGGTTAAGGTAAAGTAGCTTGGGAAAGAGAGCAAGCAACACGCGAAGGAGCATGAGCCTGACCCCACGGTCAAGGCTCGGGTGAGGAGAGGAGCTAGACAAGGACGCAGCGGCTGCGAAAGGTCGAGCAGAAGGGTAAAGGGACAGCATCGCATCCACCCTGGGCTTCGTATACTAGGTAGCCAGTGGTATTTCTCGACTCATTCGAGTTGGTCATGGTCGCTGAACGGGTTTTGTTTTGGTCTGTCTAGGTAACAATGCATTGTCGTCTTGTAGTCTAACCATTCGGCGATGGGGTTTTAGCTACGGGGGAAGGAACCATAGTATTTTAATTTATCCTTGGGCATATTTCGCGACGTGGTCTGTTTTCATTTCGATCTAGAAATGCCATCACGCCGGGCATCATCGATCTCGGCCTTGTCTACAAGGCTGACCTTGTAAAGCTGCAGCTTTCCCATGTTGAAGTTGCCCTTGGGCACATCGATGGCCTTGCGCCGACGCTCGCTGAAGAAGACGATGGCACACACTGCTCGGAACCAATCATCGGGTGCTGCCTTTGCCGAGCCTTGATGTCTTTGGCGGATCTCATGCAGATCTTAGCAGGCGAACAACGATCACATCGCCATCGTCGGCTCGGAAGACCTGGCATTTCACGGCGGAACACTGAGATCGGCCCTCGCCCACGACAGCAATGCAGCAATCGAGAATTTCTGCAAGATTCTCGACATCAGTCTCCGACAAGGAGGATCCCTGACAGCCACACTGATAAAGGGACAAATCGAAATCCTCCAGCACGTGTCGAACGGACTGACGGCAACAAGGACGGACGCCGCAATGGCGAATATCCACAACGAGTGGTTGGCCGAGCACCAAACGGCAATCGCCACCGGCGAGAAGACTTTCCAAGTCGTGCACCAAAAGATTCATAGTGTCACAACCAAGGTGGGATTTCTGGCACATAGGAGAGGATGCCTGAGCACGCCTTCCTGGCCCGCCTCATGTGCAGGCCAGCCGCCCACATCCTCTCCTAGTTCGCGAAGGTGCACTAGTCTGCTTGGGCGATCGGATGGCTAAATACCCTGTCCGTCCCAAGCTGTGTTGTCCATCCTAACATCAAGTGTCCATCCTAACACCACGTGTCCGTCCTAAAAACACTGGAAGTGTCCGTCCTAACACCAAGTGTCCGTCCCAACCCCTATTGTCCCGGGCTGCCATAACCTGCTTGCTCTGGCGCTATCCGCCTGGAGGAGTCGACTCTCGAGTTTACTAAGACACGAAAGTTCGGGGACGGAAGGTCTACCGTGGTATTCTTATCGGTGTACCATGGAAGGACGGGGATAACCGCATCCTCTTCGGCTCCAACAACCTGGACTGGATGGGGCTTACCGTCATCGCCAACATAACCAAGAAATTGCGGAACATTCAGCCGGAGGGCTACAAACCCCTGGCCGATGCGGCCATATGGTAGCCCGGAACCGAGCGGTTCGGTTCGCGCCCCTTGTCCAATTCCTCTGGATCGAGAACTGAAAGTTTCTGTGCATTTGATGGTCTGGACCGCGGACTTGTGGGGCATGGCGGCATTCGACCACCTCTACGCGAACCTGGGTGGTGTCATTGATTGCCTCTCGATGGGAAGTGAGCAGCACCTGAATGTCAGCCATGTCGGTTTGGGTGACTTCGAGATCCGTGTTCCATTTCTCAGTTTCTTTTCCGATAGTTGTTGTCGTGCCTTGTCGCACCGCGCACATAGACCGCTTCACTGGGAGAGTTAGCGGGTTACCGAATCCGGCAGCGTTGGATGTGATTCAGACGCATTCATTCAAGTTTGTTTCTGATGTGCCGCGTGCGATTGAAATCTTGCCGACGGCCCGACAAAGAATACCGCACCTTCAAAACGGTATATCCCACTACCCCACAGCTTTAAGGCCTGGACTTCCTTGCCAAACCATCAGATATCCGCCCGTGCCACCATCCTCGGTCCCTCCCGGCAACGATTACGGCATAAGCTATCCGCTTCTTTCCTCTACCTCGCTATGGTCCGCACACGATCACGATTGGCTGGCCTTGCAGAGGGGCGCGTATCGTCCACGCCGGGACCCCAAGGTACTCCCCTAAACCCGCTAGAAAACGGAAACGAACCCGGGCGTCCCTCAAAGCCCACAGGTCGCCACGGGGCAAAGCGAGGGCGAGCAGCATCCCGATTCAAGACGACTCCGCCTCAGCAGGTATCATATGCAATCCATTTTCTTCCTCTCTACAAGGACTAATCAGGGTCTTACTTAAAGCGTTGCGCGATACCCAATGACGGCGGTACGAAGCGACCGGCCGACGGCCTCGACCCTGCTGTAGAAGCTGTTCGGAAGCGTCAGCCACGTCTTGTAGATTGTACGGAAAGGACCCCAAGGAGTCTTAACTCGATTAAACTTTGGGCAGGCGAAGGACAGTGGCCGCAAGAATACATCGACATGCAGCATATACTTGCGCGAAAGAGGTCCATGCCCCCTCGGAGGTCATCAGGTTCTGCGGCTTCAACGACCTTGACGACGTCGGCGATCCCGAGCGATCAGAAGCCCGGAGAGGACAAGAGTGGCGCATATAAGGATTCACGATACGCACTGCTGCTCCAAACCAAAGGTTCATATATGAGAAAATCAGAACTCGGTATCACAGACGAGAGCAAGCGTTTTTGCCAAGCTCTCCTCGACGGTGAACAGCCAGTTCCCACGGAGTCGCTCTTCGATCAGGATATATTCGAGAATGTTTGGGAGGATCTACAGAACAGCAACAAGGCCAAGATTGTCCAGGATATTTCTCGACTTATCGTTCCTTCAGCCGAGACACTTACTCTCCGTATCAAGGCCCTGAAATGCCTGACCGAAAGCGTCGACGAGGGATGGAACAACTCGGTCCCGTTGACTGGCACGCGGCCTCAGCCGGACTACTCTGCGGGGTTCAAACGCGAGGCATTTGGCGATAACCAGCTCGCCAAGCTATCACCATTCCTCGGCGACTTCCTCGCCGGGGACCGGTCGTTGTTCATGGCCACGCACTATATGTACTTCCCGTTCTTGTCGTGCGAGGTGCAATGTGGCGGTACCGCACTCGACGTCGCGGACAGGGAGAACGCGCATAGCATGACACTTGCGGTACGAGCCGTGGTTGAGCTTTTTCGGCTAGTGAAACGCGAGGCCGAGGTTCATCGCCAGATCCTCGCCTCTTCTATCTCTCACAACCACAGAGCTGTACGTATCTACGGTCATTATGCAGTAATCGACGGAAACGATGTTCAATACTACCGCCACCCGATCCACGACTTCTCGCTCACGGCTCTTGACGGGGAGGAGAAGTGGAGGGCATACCGCTTTACCAGGAACGTTTACGAGACATGGGTGCCCGCACATCTCAAGAATATCTGCTCAGCTATCGACCAGCTGCCATCCGAGCTGTATTTGACGTCGGACAGTGACTTTTAGAATATCGTTGCGCGATAGGAAGGGTATAGCTCTACGATCCATCTTCCTTGGTGTGGAAATTTGTAGACTTGCTTCCTTTTTCTCTTTTTCTTTTCTTCTCTCCCTCTTCATTCTCTTGTTCGGTTTTCCTTTCCCCCTCCCTTTTTGTTTCTATAATAATGTTTTTCTTCTTCATCCTGTAATGGTTTCCCCGTTGATCATCAATAACATCACCACGGAAAGTGCCGAGCAGCCCGGAGAATAGGGTTAGGGTGCTGTGCATAACTGCAGATCCATACTGCACCCATCTCGCAGAGCTACAGCAAAAAGTCGGGGAGGATACAGCGATGATGTCATGGCAGTAGCCAAGTTCAACACCATGAAATTGCGCCATCCATCCCACTTTGGCATGCCATCCATGGTTACCTAGAAACCGTTCTCAAATGGTATATGACCAATCCTTTACATCCATCAAGACGGATCTGATATATCTCACCTTCTTCACAACACCACCTTCGCCCTCAACAAGTCAAGAACAACACCAAAACAACCATGAATCGATTCACCACCCGCTCCGCGTCCAACATGTCCATGCTCGCCTCGGCATTCCGCAGGCCAGCAGGCGCAGTAACCCTACGAGCAGCCGCAGCCCCCTTCCCACTCCGACCCTACAGCAACGGCAAGTCGTCCGCCCCCAAATCCGCCGAGGAGGCCAGCGCAGCCAGCGGCGGATCCCGGAGCAAGGAAGCCGTCGAGACCGGCTCCAGCCCGACGGGCGGCCCCATCCCAGACGGTCTGGCCCAGGGCGACGCCCGCGGCCGGACGGGAGGCGGGCCCGCGCTTGACAGCTCTGTCCACCCGCCGGCCCAGCCCAGGATCAGCAATGCTAGCGTGCCGGGCGAGCGCCCTGATCTGAGTGCGGAGCAGCAGGCTGAGGTGGATGAGCATAATCGGGACTTTGAGAATAAGCATGGCAAGGCGGAGCCGGCGGCCGATGATAAGGTGGATAAGAGCTTTTGGAGTGGGAAGGGGTCGAGGTATAATAAGGGGTAGGAGCGGAGGAGAGTGTTGCGGGGGAAGTTGGATGGTTGAGGGCGCTTGTTCGGTTCATGGGGCTAGCACCATGACTGCTGGCCGTTGTATTATTATCAGCTAGACGTGGAAGTCTCAGGCCGCTGTGCTGTATTGGCAATGCCTATGCCTGGAAACGCTAGTGCGTGTCAAGTTACCTACGGGTATGTTAGTTGGTGGTTTTGACGGCGATGGTTTTCCTTAGTGATGATTCTAACCAGCAACGCTCGCCACGGCAGCAGTAGCTTCGATAAATAGGTAGGTATACACTAGCATCCATCCTTTGTACTATCCACAAGTTTCAATTTATTGAGCCATCAGAATCACATTTGTTATCCTCCTGGTTCGTCCGCCGAGGCTGGTTAAGATACACCAGTACAACTGGCCAGTTATAAGTGAAGACCGTTTGGCATTGCTTTTCATGTCGTAGACGCTCGGGTTCATATTACTCGAGCTGTGTGAGAGAAAGAACTGCCAGTGGTTATAGTACACATGATGTGACCGGAGGGAAGGAGGGCTTGTGCCGGTATAATACCTCCTCTTTAGGGAACTACACCCCGAGGTCGCGGAAGGGTATAACTTGGGGTCTTGCCAGGCCGGGGGATCTTCACCTGTTTTGTTCTTCGGTCGCCAGCGCGGTTAATTTAGTCGGTATAAAGTTCAGCTTTGCTTATTCTCCATTTGGGCCACTATCCCTTCAATAGGTTCTTGATTATACTGGTATGGTACCCCCCCCTCCCGGAATCTCACCGATGACGCATGCCGTCGCAGATCGCAACCACTAATTTAACAATCACATTCAGGTAGGTACTTTGTAGTCCGCAAAATTCACAACTCAACACCAAACACCCGACCACTGTGGATAGTACATCACCATTAAAATGACTGACGAACTCCCCCCCTTTCCGCGCGCCGGGCCATACAAAACCCTCACAGCTCAGTGCCACTGCAAGTCAACGCACTTCACCGTCAAGGTCCCGACTTCGGATCTTCCACTCTCAGTCTACCTCTGCCACTGCAGCATCTGCCGCTACACTCATGGGACCCTTTGTTCCTTCCAAACCCCCCTCCCATACGGAGTCGAACCGGACTTCGTCTCGCCCTCCTCGGTCGAGTCGTCCCTTACAGGGTACATGCACGAGGAGGCAACCTTCGAACGCTTTTTCTGCACCACCTGCGGCTGCCACATTGGCGAGCGCGGCCTGAGAGAGGATCCATCCACCGGGTTGGACGATTGGTGTGTGACGAGCTCCATCTTCGACACCCACGACGAAGACACCTTCCGGATTCTCTCCCACAATTTCCCCAACCCAACCACCGAACCCAACCTCGCCACCTGGCTGCCCTCGGTCAACGGCCGGACGATCCACCCCTGGAACCCGTACCCGAGTGACCCCCGTTCCGCGCTGGCCCACGCCCGGCCCCCGGAACCAGACCTCCCCGACCGCAACCGCCTCCTCGCGCAATGCCACTGCGGCGGCGTACGCTTCACCCTGCCACGCCCCTCAGAAGCCGAAGCAGCCCACCCCTTCCTCTCGCGCTACCTCCGCACCGGCCCAACCCCCTCCTCCGCTCCCCCCAACCCAGACACCACCGACAACGCCACCTCCACCACCTCCACGACCACCACCAACCCCGCCACCGACTCCGCCCACGCCCACACCCCCGCCACCGGCCCCCCGACCCTCAAGCGCCTAGCCTGCCTCTGCCTCTGCACCTCCTGCCGGCTAACCTCAGGCACCCACGCCGTCGCGTCCACCTACGCCCCCCTGTCACGCCTCGAGCCCGCCATCCCGTCCTCCCTCGACGGCATCGGCACCCTGCGCGCCTACCACTCCTCGGAGATAGTCACGCGCGCGTTCTGTAGCGTGTGCGGTGCCACGGCGCTGTATGCGGCCGACCATCCGGACCGGGTGCGGGATGGGGAGGTGGTGGTGGCGGTGGCGGTGGGGTTGTTGAGGGATTGGGAGGGCAGTGTGGCAGTGGAGGGGTGGTTGGCGTGGCGGACGGGGGAGGTGGCGGGGGTGGGGGATGGGAGGGGGTTTGATGGGGGGGTTGCGGAGGGGTTGGCGGAGGGGTTGGGACGGTGGGGGGTGGAGAGGTATGGGCGGAGGGAGAGGTTTGGGATTCCGCAGGATTAAGGGGGGAGAGAGGGGGAGGGGGGGGGGGGGGAGGCTGTTGGGTAGGAATATGGGGGTGGTAAGCGTTGTTGTATTAGTAGATGGAGGTCACTTGGTTGGGGAGGAACATGAGAAGGGTTGAAGGTCATTTTATCAATCCCGGCGGCGGTGTATCTCGCTCTTTTGGTACCATCCATTATTCGTGGCCGTCATCATCATCCTTCGTGTTCATACTGTGTTTGGGTGCCAGGTTCCAACCCCTCTCTTCCATCTCACCATCCCCCACCTCTATTTGGTCAACCCTCTCTAGGTTGACCCCGGCCCTCTATATATGTCCGAGCTGGTATGTGTGTCTGAGCCCCTGCGCGGCTCTGACCCGGCAGGTGTCTCCGCGTCCACATGCCTCCCCGGCGCCAGCCCATCCGTAATCGTGGCGTGCGACCCCATTTCATCGTTTTCCTCCTCCTCCCCACTTTGGCTGAAGTCACTGCGGCTCCCGCTCCTTTCCTGGCCCGAATGGTGGCTGTCCAGGTGAGAATCGTCGTATGGCGGAGGTGGGTCGAGTGCCCCCGAGGCCGTTACGGGCGTCATAGAGATGCTTTCCTCCTTTATGGCGATGTCGATATTTCTTTGTGCCTTGCGTCGGCGGTAGACGAGAAAGACGACGAGACCGGTGATCACGATGAGGAAGACCACGATGGAGATGACGATGGCCGCTATTGTGCCGGCCGACAATTTGTCGTCATCGCGGAGGTCATCCGGGTCTACCCGGAACGGGTTGTCGTCGTCGTCAATGTCGTCGGGTTGGCGGAACGGTGGGAATGGAGGCGGACTGGTGAATGTAACTGTTTGCCGGGCTTGTATTGTGCGGGTGAGGATGTTGACAGCCCTGGAAACGGCAGGCATGGTGAAAGTCTGGGAATAGGCGTTGGGGTGATGAGCGGGAATACACCGTGACACACGTAGAGATAAGGCAACTGAATGGGAGTAAGTGTAACGAAGGACGGCCAGAGAAGCCGGGGAGCTGATATATTTTGCGAGCTGGGATCTCCCCAAACACCCTCATATTCGGTACTTCCCGAGTCCCGAAACATCACCAATGGCTTGTCCAAATGTGGTAACGGATCATCCAAACCTCCCCCGACGAAGGGCGTGATACGCCACAATCATCCGCCGACGCCGGAAAGAACAGGGCCACCGGAAGCCCTCCACTTGGCTTGTCCGCAGCAAATAGGGGGCGTAAATGCGATGGTTGGTGCATCCATTGGCCAACGGTTTATGCTGTGCGATGTCTGCCAAAACGTCGCTCCGAGGGAGTGTAAGACTGGGCTGACCTACATCCCGCTCTGTCATGGCTGCAGAAGCAAAAGAGTGGCACATGCACTAATGCCGGGCGGCGGGAACGATCAACAAAAGCTGACCCAGGGCGGTGAACTCCTTTAAGAAGACCATATTTTCGAATGCAGCAAAAGTTTTCACATTGACTGTATGCCAACTATAGCATTAGCCCACTCCCGGCCTTAATCTGGATTTGATACCCGGCAGCGCAACGTCACACAGCGCGTCGGGAATCGGCCTTAAGAGGCCCGTCTGTGACCTCCGTCTCGCAGCTTACGGTCAAGGCTCCTTCTTTCGGCGATACGCTTAGCTCAAGGCCATGGCTCACGGCGGGGGATGTAGTGAAGAATCATGGGTCCGCCGCTTCTTTTGAGATTAGGAAGACAATCTAGTCTATATCCCGGGCGGTGTCCCTTTAGAACCGACTTGATACAACCATCGCACAATTAAGGAACTAACCCTCGAGAGATCTTGGTACGTACATGTGCATATTACCCTCACAATCTTCCGGGCACAAGCCCTTCCCAAGCACGCCTTCTCACTTCAAGCTACAAGCGTCACCATGCTCAAGAGCAGAGCGCTACAAATCAGCCTCATCCATGTTCCTCACAAACAGCATAAACCACCGCACAGCATTCACATGGTTCACCACGCTGACCTTCTCATCCACGGTATGAATATTCCCCAGCCCCGGCCCGTCCTCAGGATCATACCCCGGCGAGAAGCGAAAAATATGCCGCGTCAAATCCCAATAATACCTGGTATCCGTATTCCCCGTCATAATCCCCGGCGTGACGACCATATCCCTCCCGTACAACGCGCGCGTCGTTCCAGCAAGAACGGAAAAGGGGCTCTCGTTGGCGCCATCCGCCGGCGTGATGGGCGCGACCTCGAGCTCGTGGTCGGACGCGAAGAGGATGATGGAACCCGGCGCCTCCTCGGCGCCGTCGAAGGCGTGCAGGGTGAGGTTGTGACGGCGCGCGACGGCCCCGGCGACCGCGGTAAGCCGGTCTTTGACCACCTGGGTCGTCTCGCCGACGTTGATGCGGTGGTTGACGACGGCGCTGGCGCGCTCCGGGAGCGCGTTGACCTTGACGCCGCCCGAGATGACGTCGACGGCTTGCGAGGTCTGCATGAGGTACTTGATGTCGGGGCCCTGTTTGGCGGCTTCGAGCGCGAGGCGGTCGGGTTTGGTGGCGTGGCAGGTGTTGTGGTCGGGTCGGCGGTGGCGGAGGAGCTTCTTGAGTTTGCTGGGGAACTCGGGCGAGTAGGCGGCGCCGCACTGGAGCTGGGTGTAGTAGGGGTTGGAGTCGACGAGGCGGGTGCGGTACTGCTCGGCCTCGATCTCGGTGATCAGCTCACTGAGGACGCCGATGCTGGTGTGGTCGGAGGGGATGGAGGAATGCCCGCCGGGCGTCCGGACTGTGATTTCAACGTCGGTGTAGCCCTTCTCAGCCGTACCGGGCTTGGCGAAGAGTGTCCCCCAAGCCTGTTCAAAGGTGCTACCCTCGTCGATGATCGCCGCGATCCCGTCGGTTCCGTAGCGTTCCTGTAGGAAGGCGGACAGCTGCACCGCTCCCTGCCGGCCAGAGCACTCTTCATCAAAGCCGAAGGAAAGCAAAATAGACCTATGTGGCTGGAACTTGGCCTCAAGGAGTAGCTCGAGCGTCTCCATAGTAGCGATCAGCTGGTTCTTGCAGTCACTGGCGCCGCGGCCCCAGACGTGCGTGCCGTCGAACTCTCCACTCCAAGGAGGGTATGTCCACGAGTCAACGGTTTCAGGGGGCACTGGCACCGTGTCTTGGTGAGCCATGAGCAGTGTTGGCCTCAGCGACTTGTCACTGCCCTTCCATGTGTACAGCAGTCCGTGGGTGTTGACCTTCTCCACCAACAGCTCCTTGTGGATACGAGGGAAAGTCTTTTCCAGGAACTCATAGAAGGCGTAGAAGACATCCCATCGCGCATCCTCGCCGATGGGCCCCAAATCGTCAAAGGACTCCGTCTTGACCTGGACGGCGGCAGAAAGACGTTTGATGGTGGCATTCCTGAAGGCGCTGCTGCTGATGTGGTCGTACACTTTCTCGAGGTCTCGGTTCTCGCCCGGGAATAAAGGCTCCGGTTGTGCACATCCGGATCTGAAGTCTTGCTCTCGTCGAACTGATCCTGTCAAGAGTCGCTCGAGAGACCCGAGATCCAGAAAAGTGATTGAGAATAAAATTAGAGCCAAAAAAGCGAGTAAGAAACCTTTGCCCCGGGAGTGGTTCCGGGTCCCCTGTTGGGAGCCCGCACCGAGAGGCAGCATTGGCGCCGCTTCCGACTTCATTCTGTTGCTGATAATGATATTGAGAGTTTGGGGTTGTTGGGAGGAGAATCCGGGCTGACGCAAGTTATGGCTGAAATGCTCTCACTGAAACCCACTCAAGCCACAGCAGAGCGGGGACCTGTGAAGCACACCCGGGGAGTTCCCGTCGACCTGCTGTTTTGGATGATAGCGCAAAGCCGAATCTTGATCATTATTACGTAAACCAGATATGGTGAGTCGAAGGAACAAATAATTAGGGAGACCGAGGCTCAGCTAGGTTTAAAAAGGCAACATATAAACAGCTCGAGTGTTGTGGATGTATTATAATACCGTTTCATACGCCTGATACGGCGGTGGGATCAAGAACGACCTGCAACCAGGGTACCGGTGAGCTGATGTTTCTCCGAAAGAAGATGGATCTACACGTGAGGGGCCATGGGCAGGCCTCCACGTCCGAAACCTCCATTAACTTGAAGTATTTATATAGCTAACGAAGTTAGCGTCGAGGCTCTTGCAGTCGGTTGAAAGTTGGTGAATCATTCAATACGTTACCGTAATTATGGCAGACAAAACCGGACTGAGCACCGCGAGCGCAACATGTTTTGTCAAACCGAATTGGTTTTAATGCGTCGAGAGGGACATTCTGAGCATGGTGGACACGGAGAAACATGTTCTTCCAGACTCGTGATTGCCGTAGTCGGCCGTTGTAGATGGCGACCCGGTCAGGTGTTCAACCACGCAGGAGAGTCCCAGTCGCCGCCCTTCCGCATTTCCTTGGCAATCCGCAACACCTCCGCTCATCCTCTACTCCTTTCTTGCCTCCAGCTGCCGGGCAATACACAGCCAGCTTCTACCAGCCTCGCCAGATCGCGAAATTGGGACATCCCCAGATCAAGCACACGTGCACGCCATCGCCGGAGAGACCCCACCAAAATCCACACCAGGCTCCATCGAGCGGCGACTTTGATGGGACCTTGCGCTGACGGCGAGCGATGACAAGATCCGCAGCAAACCGGAAAGTGGATCATGGATGCCTAAACTCTGGTAGGGCTGATAATACATAGCGAGCCGGTGTCAATTGAGCTTGATTGTGCCGCGTTGGCACGCAGAGGGGAGGAATGCTCAAAAAGCAGCATGTGTTGAGCCACACCACACATGGGACGAAAAGATTGAAATGGATTCCATGATTGGAACGAGAATTGACGGCGGTTGCATGGGGCAAGCTCCCGCAACGGGAAGGGGATTTGCGGGGCCGAACCCCCGCACTCCGGGGAGAGCCTCGAAGACGCTAACTGAAACGAGCCGCAGCGTGCTGGGCGGAATTTCGGAATATCGGCTGAGCCAGGCAGGGCACCTTCCCGCGTCGCGCGTTGACCAGAAATGGAAGGCTTGGACCGGGGATGTGCAAAGGATTGGCTTCCGCGAGATGAGGAACGGGACGGACGCACTAGTGATGATGACGGTGGCATTGTGCCATTGGGATTGAAAAGGCCGCCATCGCCCACCGATGCGCTGCTGCACTGCAGTCTCGACAGATCAGCGTTGTTCTTGCACGCGCTTGCTTCATCAGCCCATCAGTTAGTTTGACAGTCACACAAACACCACCAATTCTGCCCCGCCATCGTCTCACCACCATACACTGTACGAAACCACATCACACAAAACTACACCACACAAAACTACACCACACAAAACTACACCACACAAAGCTACACCACACAAGACCGCGCGACTGACTTGCGATGGCCGGCTGTCTCAAAGCCCTCGGGTTCTGGAAGAAAAAGAGCAAAGGCGCCTCCGTTACCGTCACAGATGAAAAGCCCCGCCACGTCGAGAAGAAACTTGAACCATCTGTTGAGGTGCGGCATGTTCATGACACCCACCCGCCCAGAGGCATCCCGGTTCGTCCAGACGTCAACCCGGAGTACTCGGCCTACTCCACTCCGGTCGATACCACATGGGCTGACTCCACGACGTCAACAAAGACACCTGGCTCGGCCGACAATGCCGTGGAGTCCGACGATGCCGCCCGGCGGAAGAAGGCCGAGCAAGAGGAACAGGAGCGGTTGGATTTCTTTCAGATGATGTGATCATTGACTTGCGGTCATGTGCATCTGAAGAATCATTGCGGAGCGGGGGATAATCGTGGGGCAGCGCGCGTCATCTCAACCGGCGAATAACCCTCCCCCCCTCTCGGAATCGACCACCTAGGCCACGTGAAGCCAGCCCCTTGAGCCCAATGCTTCGGCAACCGGTTTCGGCCATGCGGCTACAAGGTTTCGGTCACCTCCATTCGTCTCGCCGAGTACATATTGAACCCAGCCTTGATAGGTACTCCGGCCCTGATCGCCGATCAACGGCTTGGGAGCATCTCGGACGAGCAAAAACAGCGCCCTGATGCCGAGAAGTCAAGGAACAACGCTTTCCGCGTGCTGGAGTCATTAGCGTTTTGTGGGATGAGATTCGGTTAAAGGACACAGAACGCACGAGGCGCATCCCAATGGGAGGTCGGTCGGAACTTGATCGCTTTACGCCACGGGAATAGGTTGGGGACCAGCGCATGGTGTGGCACCGCGGTGGGAGTTCAGCTTCCACATCACGTTAGTTGGTATCAGCCCTACGAGGCTTGCGAGAAGAAGCGTTGTTGGTCGCTAGGGCTTTATGTTCCGTAGCTACCCAGATAGTTGGCCTGAGGCTTTGATGGATCCGCCACAAAGCCCGGGTTGAGTCTCATAACGGGCTGCTGAGCAGGGGCAATTGCCTCCGAGAAATGAGCGAATTATCACAATTGTGCCCTCTGTGTTCAATATTCCAAGATCCGCCTTTCAGCTGACCCCCGAATGCTGCCTTCCTCGGCATGACCTGTTAGATACAGTCGTTAGGAGCGTCCAACTGACGCTGACTGGAACGTGACGTGCGATGTATATTCAGCGACAAAGGCGCCGTCCCCATCGCCGTCCAGAGAGAAAACGGTGTACATCACGGAGTACACCCATGGCGAAGCGTATCTGAGTCCCTATCGGTACTCACGCTGGCATATAAGTACCAATGTGTGGCCCTCGAATATAAACCAGTTTCCCAATATGTCAACCGCAGCCTTCACCACCTCGACAAACGGAAGTCAAACCGCTACGGCCTAGCTTACCACGAATTAGTTACACCCTTTTAACAGCCCCAAACGCACACAATGCCTCGGCGCCGATCACCTGAAAATCGCGGGGACGTGTGCCCTGACTGGTCCTGGGGGCTGATGCCCACGCCGTCGCACACCAAGAACCCTGGATGGCAGTGAGCTCCCCCTTGCCGCATCTAGAACATTGGACCCAAAAACAGCCACCAACTTTGGCCTCTGTCGTGACAGATACTAACCTCTACCCCCCCCACGTACCAGTGTCGCTAAAAATCGAGGGTGGTTTACCACCTTCCAAGAGCTACGTGGATTCAATGCGTATATTAATGGCACGGACACACCGCGCAGAGTCGAGGGTGTTGGAACCGTCGAGCTTAAAGTGAAGGCGCATAACCAAGACGGATACAACACCATCGTTCTTCGCAGGGTCCTCTATATTCCGGCTATGGAGAACGGCATTATCTGCCAAAAGCGACTGCAGGCGGATACAGGGGAGAACTGTTTCGTCGACTTTGACAACCTTAGCCATCCCAACGGCTTGGTGGTCAAAAGAAATGAACAACAAATCTGGGAGGAGCTGGCTTATTTCACCGGAACCAACATCCCGCCCGTGGTCCCTCCCCCCGGAATCAACATCCCGCCCGTGGTCCCTCCCCCCGGAACCAACCCAGCCACCGTACCGACCCAGCCCGCTCGACCCATCTCGGCCCGTCTTGTTTGGGTGGCGCATCCACCTCGACGCCACCGACTAGGCCCGTCCACGTTTCTGGCCACGCTCCAAGTCACCCAGGGAACTTTCGCTAAATGGGTTGCGGTCAAGGAAGAGCGCTGGGCACTTATAGAGGAAGCCAACAACAGCGCGCAACCAGTCCAATGATTGCGCCTACACTCGGTATGGTTGGAGAAGTACGCAGGGAAACACGGAGGAGTCTTGGTCGGAGAGCAGGTCCCTCGGCATCGGCCGTGAATGCTGGGACATTCATGATTGGGGGTGGACGTTCTTCTCGGGGGCAGTAGAGCGGACGGTTGCACCTCAGATGGCTGGCCCGTCCGGCGGTGGGAATTTGGGAATTGCTACCTGGCGCGTAGTTGATAAATAGAGTCCGGTTACTCGCAAGTTCCACACGCCAGATTTGTGTGACCGGGTATCTCCCCACGTGGTATTCGTAGGTATGATCGAGTGTCGACACGTTGATAGCCGAAGCACAAGTTCGCGCACGATGGCACGCTCACGGAGCCGACAGACAACCTCAATTGCATATTCACGGGGCGGTGAGCTCATTGGCCAATGCCTCACTGCCACTCGACACCAATAATGCTGCTGGCTCCAAACAAGCCTGGACCGCGCTCAAAGGCGGTGGGAGGGCATTCGGGAGCTGTCGTCGGGAGGTGTAGCGGCTTCAATGCAGCGGTGTCAGCTGACGGGAGGCTGGGAGTGATACACAAGACGGATAGAGTTCCACATGAGTGCAACACAGGAGGAAAAAACGGAAGAGTGGTGAAAGCGGAGGGTAAGGCGGTGAGTGGTAAGGCGAGTCGGAAGTGTCAGCCTCGGCCGGGGGACGGAATCGATCTCGGAGCCATCAGCGGATCGGGGCGGATGGAGGATTCCAGATTCATCACATAAAAATTTGAGGCCGACGACGTGGCACCGGAGGCCAACGGAGGCGGGATCAAGCAGCCCGTTCCGGGAGGTGGATGTGTTTCGGCTCCAGGGGGTGTTCATTCAGGCTGCTATGTACGGCTCGCCGCCGGCTCAGCTGGTCGGCCTTATCAATTGGCATCGAGCATTGGTAGGGAAATATCCAGCGGGTGCCACCGTGCCGGTGCCAGTTGGCCATGGCTCCTGTATGGCCCCTGTATGGCCCCTGTATGGCTCCTGTTTGGGCGCCGGAGTCGAGCCCAACCCCCTTGGCGTGAGGGCCGGGCCGTAACGCGGTTGGGCGGAGCCGTTGACCGGGGAAGGCAGGGAAGGTCAGATCCAGCTCACCGGCGCCGGCCACCGAAAAGATGCTCGATGCACACGGTGGAGAATTCGGGTGCCGACGTCGACCAGTGGAGAACTCGAGGGAGTCGAGGCGGGGCTTTCTTCATGCACGTCGAAGGGGAAAGGGGCAAGGCGAGACACAATGACAGTGCCATGCTCTCCCATTCTCTCCCATTCATGGCCAGCATCATCATCACCTCACTCGATGCGGGCTTGTTGTGGCTTCCCAACCCGGAGGTTTCCACTGCAAACAGACTCCAACGATGTCAATGATACGCTGGCTCTGCAAGCCTCATTAGCGCCCTGCAAGTCTGTGGGGACGGAAGAAGCGGGCTGCGGGGCCCAATGCCAATGCCAATCAAGGCCAGATGAACCCCTGCGCAAGAGTGCTGGCAACCGATGCTGCCACGTCAAGAGCCTCGATGGAGCCCCATCGACGACAACCAAGCGGGCCCAAGCCCGTTTCGACTCAAGCGGCCGCAGATTCGCGAGGCGGGTTGCACAAGACCGAGATGAGATGGACACAGGCCAGAAAGAAACAATGCCGGAACCTCGCGGGCTGGTTACCGCTTGGAACATTGGATCCCCCCTTGTATCCCTTGTACCCCTTGGATTTCTTGGATTTCTTGGAAGGCTGCAGCTGTGTGGTTGGACGTTGGGCTCTGTTGATGCTGCCACCACATCTGGCATGCTGTGATGGGCCAGCCGAGCCCTTGTAACACGCGGTGGGTACCCCTGGCCGAACCATTTTCGACCACTCTCCGCCCTCTACGGCAGCTCCGAGCCCAATTGACACCCACAATTTGACAATTTGGAGGGCGGTGGACTTCGGAGACTGGGCGCGGCGGCAGTCTGGTGATCTGTTGTTTGGGTGATTGCTTGCGTGGTGACTCAATGCCAGCCCCCTCAGACGTCAGATCCCTCCTCAGCCTCTCCTCGGCCAGTCCCCCTTGGCTGCATGAGTGTCGCCTTAGGCGGGAAGAAGGCCACATGGGACCAGGGCATCCTCTCCGGTTATATAGACAAACCGAACCGTCGTCCAATTCCACTGCCGCAACACCATCCCCATCTCTCCAGCCCGCCCCAAGATTGGACGCCAGACCATCGTGAGACCCACGGTAGCGATCCATCCAACAATCGTCAAGAAGAGCATCATTGGCTCTCCTTTCTTCCTTCCCTTCCCTCTTCCCCTCTGCCGGCCCCGTCGCTTTCACGGACGATCCGCCCAAGCTGGCTTCCCCCAAGGCCCGCAGTTTCGCCTCCTCCTTCCAGAGCACCCGCGCCAAACCACCGCCGGCCCCGTCCGCCTCCAAACCGAAGATGGGTTCCCACATCGACGCCGACCCTACCCAGGCCGTCGACGGGCTAGTCCGGGCTATCCGCGACCTGACCTCGGACCCCAACTACAAGCTGGTGGCCGACGTCTTCAGCGAGTTCCTGTACGTCAAGGAGCAGAACAACAAGCTCTCGAGTTCGCACCAGGTCGTCCTGGAGGAGTACCGCAAGTTCCGGAACGATCTCGAGGACCAGAAGGGCGAGCTCGTGAGCGAGAAGAACGATCTCGAGCTCTTGGTGCAGGAGAAGGTGCAGGAGATCATCCAGCTCAGCGCTACCAGGACGAGGTTAGAGGGCGACCTCGAGGACACACAGAAGGCTCTCGAAGAGAAGATTGCCGCCGCTGCCCAGGCCGCTGCGACGGCCGCCCAGGAATATGCCGACCTCCAGGGCGCCACGACCAAGGCGTATGCCGACCTAGAAGAGAAGACGGCCAAGGAGTTTTCGGATCTCGAGGAGAAGACTGCGAAAGAGTATGCGGAGCTCGAGGATAAGACTTCCAAGGAGTATTCCGACCTTCAGGAGAAGACGGCTAAAGAATATGCCGACCTCGAGGAGAAGACCGCAAAGGAGTATTCCGAGCTACAAGAAAAGACGGCCAAAGAGTACTCAGAGCTCGACGCGGCCAAGGCTGCGGTTGAGGAAGAGAAGCGGCTTGGGGAGGAGGCTGCTGCCGCCGCCGCCGCCCAGGCCGCAGATGAGATCGCGGCGCTCACCGAGGCCAAGACAGGACTCGAGGAGGTCAAGGCCAACAACGAGGCCGAGATTTCGTCCCTCAAGGGGAATGTGGCCGACCTCGAGACTGCCAAGGCGGACCTCGAGCAGGTAAAGGCGGACAACGAGACCGAGATTGCTTCGCTGAAGGAGAGGATCGCGACTCTGGAGGAGGAGAAGAAGAACCTCGAGGAGGAGCTCGAGGCGGCCAGGCAAGAGGTGGCCACCCTGAACGAGACCATTGTTCAGAAGAACAACGAGATTGAGAGCCTCCAGGAGTCGCTGCGGGCGGCCGAGGAGCAGATCGCGTCGCTGCAGCAGACGGTCGAGGACAAGAACGCCGAGATCGAGGATCTCCACGGCAAGCTCACAGCCGAGGGTGAGCGGGCGAACACTGCCGAGGCTCAGGGCCGCGAGCTCCAGACACAGCTCAACGACACAACACAAAACCTCCAGCTCACCACCCGGAAGCTGACCGAACTCGAGCAATACCGATTGGTCCTCCACAGCGAGAACGACGACACCTAGTAAGTTCCTCCACATTACATCTCGCACGCACGCAAAAAATACTAACACCCACCTCCAGCGTCACGGTCCTCGACAAGATCTGGACGACCATCGTAACCCTCGTCGAGGGCACCTTCCGGCCCGACATCGACGAACAAACGCTCACCGACCCCTCCTGCTGGACCAACCTGCGCAACTCGCCCTACCTCAAGCACGCGACCCAGCTCCAAATCCCCCTCCCGCAATCCAACACCCCCGCCGCCAAGGGCATGCGCATCAGCGCCGTCCTCGCCGTCCTCTCGCGCGCCATGCACAAGCACCTCTTCCGCCCGGTCTACCTGCTCGACGACGACGACGAGAACCTGGTCAAGTTCCTGCGCGCCCTCGAGGACGAGGACCCGACGCGCGAGGCGCACGTGCGCGCGACGCTGGTGGCCATGATGCCGGAGCGGCAGGTCGAGCAGGGCGCGCGCCGCGTCAAGATGGTCGTGCGCGAGGTCTCGTGGCTGGTGCAGCATTTGTTGACCGCGCTGCAGTTCGAGGCCTTCTGTGCCGGGCTCGAGGTGGCGTGTAAGTTGGCGTGTGATCAGTGGATGAGGATTCAGCTGGCGCAGATGAAGATCGAGCCGTACTTTGGTCCGCCGTACGATGATTTCGATTGGCAGGTGCTGGAGCTGCCCGAGTTTGCTGAGGCGGCGGAGCGCGATGCCTGCAACCCGCGCGTGCGGGATGATGGGGATGACTTTGCGGATGATAGGCTGGAGACGGTGGAGGCGAGTGACAGGGCGCCGTCGGAGAAGAGCGCGGGTGGTGCGGCGGATGCGGCGCATTCCAGTGGGGGGTTCGACAACGCGCTGCGCAACCCGGATGAGGAGTTGATGGATGGGGAGGTTGACCCCGACGAGATTTTGTTGGTGGTGTGGCCCAGCATGTGCGCCGTCGAGAGCGGCGAGCTCATGTCCATCACGCAGGGCCTGGTCATCTCCAAGGAGCAGGCTCGCCCCGCGCTCGAGGAGCAGCGGTCGCGGTCGCGCCTCATCCCGAGGCCTGGGTCGAGACGCGCCCGCACGCTGTCGATGCCCGGTCAGAGCAGGGGGAGCAGCCCGACCCGTCAAGGCACTAAGCCGGCGCATTTCCTCGCGCAGTCGCTGACGGCGTCTGACTTGGACGGCCCAGACGACGTTTGAGAGTGAAGGTGAACGGCTTTGCTGAGTGCTGAGCCCAAACCTCTCTCCAAGGTGTCTGTCTGTCCTCTGTAATTCCAACCCCATGTGTCCCCTTTCCCTCCTCTTTTTGTTTTCTGTTATTTGCTTTCTTGCGGCCGCGGCCTGGGGGGTGGGTGGGTTGGGTCGGGTCGCGGCGGGCAACAAAAGTTTCATTTCCGTTGTACAGATTGACGTGTTTTTGGTTGACGAGCTGGAGTTGTTTTTCCCTTTTCTCCTGTCATAATACGCATCTTGGGCGGCGGGTATGCATCGCGTCGGGGCATTGCTAGCGCATGTGTATCCTAGGGGTTAATCGGTTCGGATAAACGGTTGGGCATGGGTAACCGGTAATGAGCTGATGATAATGTCGAGATTGACCTAATGGAACTCAAAATGCAAAGCATTGTATGGTGGACAGATTTGGTGTGTGATGATAAATAAGTACACGGGGCTTAACGAGAATGATGTCGATGGCAGGTCGAGAATCACAAATTACCTACCTCCCGTGACCTTTACTACTGCTCTGTGCTATTGAAGTGCCCAAGTTGAAAGATCACCAGCATAGGGCTGGTCTCGGGGCAGCGCAACTCGTCATCAACCAAACATCGATTCTGAGGATCGCGGAAGGATTTGTGGTGCGGTTAACACATGGATGCAACCCGAACCATCCAATAATTACTTTGCACCGGAACCATATTCGCTCCTACCCAGACTCCCATCCCCGACGGCGTCCAGACAAGCGGAGCGGAGGCCACTCCGACGGCACCGTGCCAAGCCGGCTCCGCACGCCAGAAAGCGGGATTCATTCTGGAGGCTTGGGTCTCAACATTTAAGGCCCGCACCCCGTTCTAGCTAGCTGGAGTCGACAGAATGCATAGAGTTCGGTGCAGTCAATTTGACGCAGTCAATTTCACCTTTCAACGCAGGGAGTTAATGAGTGGTGTGACTCAGGGTTAGGTATAGGGATAGGGCTAGGGTTAGGCGTTGGGTTAGGGTTAGGGTTGGGGTATGTACGTTTAGACGGAGATATTCGTGTGTTTTTATACCGAGGCTACTTATACGGCAGAGGTGGCAGTAGGCGTTGTAGAAACCAGATAGGCGGTGGTTCGGAGGACGGGGGTAATGTCTCGCCTCAAACTGACTGGGTTCTGGAAGTTGCCTTTGGCCCTTGGGTGAATATGCGCCCGTCGACTGTTGTTTTTACTACCAGTCTGAGTCCCAGGCCTCTAGAATTGACGAGAAAAGAACTTCGTGAAATTGCTAGTCAAGTCCACCACATCCCACTCGCTACCAACTTACCTCTAGGTAATGTTCTTTTCCACGGGCACTACAACCAGTCGTCTTCCAGACCCTGTTCCTCATCCATGTTCGCCATGACCCTGCCGACCATCACTTGCAACTCCGCGTCAAAGCTGTCTGCGCATCTGACGCCGGGGGATTCGAGTGGTCCATATAACATCCATGCTGAGAGCGGCCGGAGAGTGCCGTGAGAGCTGGCGTTGGCTGCTAGGGCCGTGTCTTGCCCGGCCCGATCGAGCGCGGCCTCGTATCCTGCCGGCGGTCCCTGAACCATCCTCTTGCCCAACGTCCCAGCGGATACATAAGCCGGGAACTTTTCCATGCCGCGGAACTTATGCATAATAAAGGGCGCCTTTCCATATCCTACCGGCAGCGTCCGGATATCATGCCATACGTAGTCCACGCCATCCATCGTCAGCCCAGCCTTTTCTGCTCTACGGGCCTCAATCCCATTCAATCGTTGGCCTTCAGTGTCCCAGAACAAGAAGCCAGAAATCCAACCCGACAGCTCCAGCGGCGCCCAACCGCAGACATTAGAGGACTTTGCAAACACAATATTGGACCAAAAGTCCCTGGTCTCTTCCGAGTCAGGCTCGTCAAAGCTCTCGACAAACCGCTTGAAAATCGGCGTCAGGCTCGCCTGATACGCCGTGGGCTCCTCGCCGAACTCGGCCAACCTCTCCAGTTTGGCCAACAACTTCTCCCAATCCTCCTTCTCACCCAACAAAGTGACGCTCGGCAGACCGCAGATAATCCCACCATCAAAGCGGAAGTACGCCTTCATGAGGCCCATCATCAAAATAGTCGCCGTCATCTCGTCATCCTTGGTCGTCGTCGAAAAGTCCGGCATGATCCAATCGCCCAGCCACTCGGTCTGGACCCGCGCCTGAATTTCATCCTTAAACCTCTGCAGCACGAGCGTCCAGCTGACATCCTCGACAAAAATAGTCTCCTGACCCTCGTGCTTCACAAACAGGTGCCGCACCTCCTCCGCGTTGGCATGCATATAAAAGTTGAGCTGCGCCAAGACGGTGAACCAGACCTCCTCGGGCCGGATCTCCAGATGCAGGTGCTCGCCCCAGGCCTGGATCGCGCCGCGGACGAAGGAGTCGCTCGACGGGAAGATTTCGGTTGCGTTCAAGTTGGACGTCTCCGCCCCGAGCGTGCCGCTGTACGAGGAGAGGATGATGTCGACGGTCGGGTCCGGGAATTCCGACGCGGCTGAGGCCCGCAGGATGGAGTTGGAGTCGGTTGCCCCAACTGGGGTCGTCGGGACCCGGAGCGGTTTGGGCGAGCCGCCTGGGAGGATTACCACACCGGTGGTGGCGGGGCCTGGATGGGTGGGGGTAGGAATAGGGTTCATTGTGACCGGCAATGGTTTTGGATTGACTGAAATTGGAGTGTTTGATTTCGTTGCCAGGGAAAGAGAAAGGAGGACGGGGTTGGCGCAAGGGATGGTGGGTGTCTTAATTATCATCATAATAAGGGTGCTGTCCCGTTGGGCATCCCGCATTCCCCTGGCGGCCCCCAAAGCCAAGACACACAAGGCTCAAGGCAGCAGCACATGCCTTGCAGATGTATTTTGAGCATTGAAGCTTGCTGACGACAGGTGACCGTCTTGCATAGACTGCCAGTGTTCCCCGATATGCGGGTAAGTATGCCGTGTTACAGTTGTATTTTCGGATAAATTGGAAGATCTAGCACAACAGGACTTTGGACAGTGGCCGATATTACATGTGGTCGTCGTTTACTGAACTGGAAGAATTGTTTGTCCATGACCGTGGTTCAGGTGGATTCATCTACGCTCAATACTTCAGGTTGCCGAGCAGCAAAAGATAAATCAAAGACTGCTATTTGGGACTACCTTCTATATACAAAAAGTATGTAGTCACGAGCGGCCGCTTACCAGCTTGTCGGGCTCGCTCGCCAAGTCTACCCCCGTCCGTCGTCTCTTCGCACGCGTCACCATCCCCGGCGTGCCCCCCTCGTCCATCTCCCTTTTCCTCCGCCTCTTTTCCTCCTCTGCCCTCTGCGGCAGCTCGTTCTCCCTGAATGTCTCTGTTAGCCGCTGGCGTGGTCAGTATGCGCGGCAGTGATCTACGTACCACCTCTCGAGCTCCCGCGGCGAGACATGGCGCAGGATCTCGCTGAACGGCACCAGTTCCCGCTCCCCCGGCCGCTCTGGGTAGCTGATGTAGTACATCGCTACCGTTTGCGTGTGGCCTGGCGGGAAGTGCGGGAGCCGGCGTGGGGCCATGATCTTGTCGACGATCCGGCCCGTCGTGCCGTTTTCTGGTTGCCGCAGCGAGATCCGCGGCGGCGGGATGGTTCCAGGGACGTATGGCCCAATTTGGGCACGCGAGACGTCGGCACTGGTGGTGTGGTTGCGGGGAGCGGCCACGGGCCTCGACACGGGGGGAGACGCCGAACCCGTGGTGGTGGTGGTGGAGGCGCCGCGAGGAAGGAGACCGTCGGCCATAGCTATTAGTATTTAAACCGAAAACTTGAGGCTCGGTTGTATTAGCTGGCGGACGGTCAACTACTCGAAAACCAAAATGGCACGAAACTGGCCTTCTTATAAGGACGACCGACGGCTCACAATGAGCCCGGGCCGAGCGGTCGCGGTGGCGGCGGGTACAGTTGGCTCCGTGGTTTAGAATGTCCGAGCGCGACGGACTCCTCGACCAATCCTCATATGAGGTACCTCGGCGAGGAAGAGCAGGGACCTGGTGGCAGCACGTCATACAGTGACAGCACGTCATAAGCAGAGTTGAGGTGCACGAGATGCCTCGGTCTGTTGTGTCCTGTGTCCACTGAATGTGGTACAGCCTGGGATAGCTCCAGTAACCACGCAAGGGCAGACTGTTAGAAGATTAGGGTGAGTGCTAGGAGCCAAACATAGATAATTCCGTTGATAACAAATAGGAGGTGTAGTCTGTGGACAGTCCGCAAATTCATACAAGCAGGATACGAGAGACGTCCTTGACGAAGTAGCCTTTGATGTCCGGTACGAGCATGAGGACGGTGTGGCATATTGAATTCGTAACTACCAAGCTCGTCATTCACACATAACGCTGAAGTACGTAGGATGTATACCATTTGTTGTAATACGGCATCCAGGTACGTTGATAAAATCTTCCAACGCGAAGCATGTGGTTCCAACACACGATGAAATGCTCGCGGTTCGTTACTGCTCGCCAAAAGTCGGGCGGTAGTCGAGCAGGCGCCAGCTACCTACCCAACGGAACTCGGGCAATGGAACTCAAGTTGGCACACTCCAGAGGCCCATACATAGACTCACACCAACCATGTTAGCATTTCCGTCCGCCTGGCCAAAGCTAAGAGTTTAAAGACCGAGGTGAAACTATTAAAGGAACCGGGTTGCCATGCGGCGGCCTTTGGGGACAGGGTCAAGACCTCAAGCACAGGGCGGGCTTATAACTAGCAGGGTATCCAAACACAGATCACCGATTCACCACACGTGAAAAGAGTTATCTATCCCATGTATTTTATTTTTGCCCAGTGTCAACTTGTGGAAGGCCGTCTAGACTCTAGCAGGATACGTGTACCTTATAAAACTCCGGATAGGGGTCACCAGCTGCCTACATTCTTTATGAACCGCGTTTCTCCTTATTCCTTTTATTTATCAAACGATCCAAGCCTACATATCCGTACCAATATCTTAATCCCATCTTATGTTTTATCTTATATCACCTCTGATTTCTACTATCAGTAGGTACGTATGTACCTACTTATTTGTCCGGGGCAACCAGGTAGGCGGAACTAAGTTAGCCGCACCCAATGCTCACGTCAGTTGGCTTCGCCTACTATATCCACGCCATCTCTCAAACAGTTTGTTTTCAAATTAATCCTTAAGTTGTCGGTGTTGCGACCAAGTGCCGAGGGTCTGTCGTTATTTTAAGGAAAGAATAACGTGGTGCAGCTAGCCTATTCGGGCCTGTCCAGCCCCGAGCCAGCCTATTCGAGTTACGCCGTCCAAATACTAGCCGAGGTCGCGCCGTCACTCGACTCGATTATTGGCGGATATCTGCACGGCCTTTCAGCAAAAGCTCCCGCAATGTTATCCCAACCGAATAATTGGTTCTCTTGACAAAGCAGTCAGAATGTCAGTGCGATGAATGATGCCATTCCAATTCAATTGGCGAATTAGACGGGGATGGGTTCGATAGATACGACAATATGGAGAAACGCCAGGGCAAGTCATCCCTCCCCCCGCCTGAGATGGGGGATTCTCTGTATGTAGCATCCGGGATTCAGTCTACCCCCGTCCGTCGTCTCTTCGCATGTGTCACCATTCCCGGCATGCCCCTCTCGTCCATCTCCTTTTTCCTCCGCTCCTTGACATCCTCCCGGGCGACGGGCTTCGACACGGGGGGGTATACGAACCCGTGGCGGTGGTGCTGGAGGCGTCGCCGGAAGCGAGACCGTCAGCCATAGTTAATATACAATCTGGGTCTGCCCGTAACCGATTAGATCTGTTATTCCCAAGCCGCCAGGCTCCGGGCTGACCGACTCGACGCGGAAGGAGTTGGCCAAGTCGGTCCATGCGCCCGGCAACCGTCCCGCGGCTCGCCCCAACCCCCCCAAGGCGCCAGGCTCTGGCCTGAGCGAACCGACAGGCAAAGAGCCGGCCAAGTCGGTCCATGCGCCTGGGAACTAGAAGACTTGCAACGCGGGGTCCTCCGACGCCGAGAACGTTCGGCAGCTGGACGACGTGGAGAGTTGGTGGAACGCGGCTATGAGCACCACCAAGAAGTAAGACATGGTTGCTCAAACCGTTCTGAATCAGTCAGATCTGTCGTTCCCAAGCCACCAGGCTCTGGGCTAACCGACTTGACCCGTAAAGAGCTGGGCAAGTCGGTCTATCTATGCTCCCGGTAACCGTATAGTGGGCTCGCCCCAATCCTTCCGATAGGCTCTAGTCTCGGCCTCCGCCGTGCCGGTGGCGACGGGTCCGATTGACTCGTAGGATTGAAATATCCGAGCGCGGTGGACTTCTCGACCAATCCTCGTATGAGATACCTCCCTCCCCTCCTCAACTTCACGTTATCCGTCGTCATTCTCCCCTCCTGTGCCATCATCCCATCCGTGCTTTGACGCCATCTCAGCGCTTGGTCCTCCTCATGGAATGACTCACACAAAAGGTCCGAGCAATTGTTCATATATATATAGGTAGGTAGTCAAGGTCTTCAGTCGGTTAGCTTCTGGACAATCCCAACCGCCTCTACTGCACTTAATTACCCGCACCCGAGTCAGTCAAATAATCATGGTCCTCACCGACTTAGCACGCCGAGAGCTGGCGAAGTCTCTGCATGCGCCTGGGAACCGGGCAGCGGCCGGCCCCGACCCCCCCAAGCCGCCAGCCTCTGGCCTTACCGACCTAGCACGCAGAGAGCTGGCGAAGTCCGTACATGCGCCGGGCAACCGGGCAGCGGCCGGCCCCGACCCCCCCAAGCCGCCAGCCTCTGGCCTTACCGACCTAGCACGCAGAGAGCTGGCGAAGTCCGTACATGCGCCGGGCAACCGGGCAGCGGCCGGCACCAACCCCCCCAAGCCGCCAGGCTCTGGGAAGGATCAGGCCAAATCGGAGCAGGCCGAATCCGTCCAGGCCAAATCGGTCAAGGCCGAATAGGTCAAGGCGCCTGGGAACCGGAACACTCGCGACGCGGGGCTCTCCGACCCCGAGAAAATCCGGGAGCTGGACGACGTGGAGAGTCGGTGGACCATGGCTATGAGCGGCACCAAGTAAGACATGGTTGCTGCTAGGCAGGAGGGGGTATCTGTACGACGGCTTGTGCCCTGGTCCTGGATTTTCGCAACATACGATGGGAGATTCCGTACGTAGGTATGGAACGTCCGGGATTGAGGGTGGGCGGTTATGGAGCCGGTGGGTTTTCTTATGTTATTTGACGAAAGTGGTCAGGCATATTGTTGCTAGATGATCGCTCAGCGTAATTTATTTGATTTGTTATAACAATCTTGGTCGTCTAAAATGTGCAATGTGAATGGTGATGCTGAATTGATGATTCATGGGCTTCGCCCAAATGATAGTAAGACAGACTGGGCCCGTCTCTATGTTAGGATGGCCACCAAATGACTCCAAGATCACCGCGACCCATACACTACTTTCCTTACCAACACGACTCTTTGTCCAACCAACCCATCGGACAATGGATGAATGGTAGGCCGTGTCCTAGACAAAGCAGCAATAAACCGAGTTCCAGGTGCCTCGGTGGGGAACTCGAGAACACCATAAAGGGCTTCTGGCCTTGGAATGCTCTCTCACCCTGCACGATACGCCACACAGCAAAAGAAACACACAGCAGTCCAGATCCCACACGAACTCAATTGATCGGACCAAGATTCATCGAAACCGACAGCAGCAGAGAAAGATCTTGCCCCGCAACAACCGGCACCCGCCGTAATTACACACACGCACGCCGATCCTGAGAGAGCCACACCACACGTTTGCGGTCACGATACGAAACGAACGAAAGAAAAGGAAGCGCGATGCCCCTAACAAAGAAACCGACCCCGAAGGATATCGAGAAACAGAGGCAGAGGGCGTTACGAAGGGGGGGAGTGCACGGCGGTTTCTCGCAGGCGCGCCTCGATCGCATCTGCAACAGCATGCAGCCGCTCATGACCAAGCATGCGAGCGAGGATGAGCTGAATAAGATATTTCGGGATGTGGATGGGTATGTGGCCGGCGGGAATTCTGGGGAGGGGAAGGAGTCTGGGTTGGGTTGGAGGGGATTGGTGGGTTGGGTGTCGCGGTTGAGGTGTTGTTGTTCGAATGGGAGCGGAGGGGGCGGGCGAGAAGACAGGTGATGGGATGGGATGGAAGATGGAATAAGTGATGGATTAATCGGCGAGATAGGTAATTGAAAACTTTGGCGGAAAAACCGAGAAGAACTGACAGAATTTGAACCTCCGTCGTACCTTCCATCCCACCTGCCCTGACAAACATTTTGAATTTGTCGCCCTCGTTTACCTCCGGCTTCGGGTTATTCTCGTCGCATTTACTAACCATTGAAACCATCATTCCCATCATCCGTTCTACCGACTACCAATCTCTATATACCATACTAGAGAACGGACTTTTTGTACGGGTAGTACGTTGTCGTTTTGCGGTGCGTTCCAGGGGTCCGCACTAACAATTTGGTAGCGTGCAAGCTTACTTTTGCGGTACCCCTTAACAATTGCAGGGTACATGCTGTTACTGTTTTATTATTGGACCAAAAAGTCTTGGCTTTCAGGCCGTAAATTTACCCCTGATCTGATTTTAATTTTCCAGTTTTTTTCCATTCTTTTCTTCCTTCTAATCCAGTCGATAACTATCTACCAAACCTAACGACTACTTGCATTACAAGCCGGGAAACCGGTTGCGATCCAGGGCACGGGGTAGAATTCGAACCTAGAAGGCAGGGCACAGGTTAGAAGCCAGGCTACAGGTTAGAAGCCAGGGCACAGGTTGGAAGCCAGGGCACAGGTCAAACCCAGGGCACAGGGCACAGGTCCAGCCTAGCATACCAAATAGAAACTAGCATATCTATATAGTATATATGCCAGTTGCAACCTCGGAATTTAGTTGTAAATTCGGAAGTTAAGTCGGGAGTTGCAAGCTCAGAAATCCAGGAGGTATTTCGAGGGTTAGGGGTATATAAAATATCGGTAAATGCAATCACGTGCTAAAAAACCGACCCGAATCAACCAGCCCGCGAAGCGGGCTGCACACCCCTAGTACGTACTGCACCAACGACCCTGAAGCGGCAGCTTAGCCAGCTCGCCTTTCTCCTCCACCTTGTCGGCAAACCTGGCTTGGAGTTGCTTCTCGAGAACCGACCAGTCTGGCTCGTCCTCATGTACTCAGGTACGGAATAAATTCGAGTTAACAGGGAAAAGCAGGGATGTAAAAGTGCCCGGCGCGGCCGGCTGTCAAATTTCTTGAACCCTGCGATCATACCCCTGTGGCGTTCACGCTAGCCATGGAGAGCACCCTTGAAGACTCCGCTGCTCCCAAACGTTCTCCCAACTTTCATCAGCAAACACTCCAAGCAAACTGCAAAAGCCAAGTGACGGACCGATAATATGGACGCAATCCGGCACCTAATCGGGGCTTCTCCCGCGCGGAGCCCACCCCCTCGTGTGGCGACAGACGACATCTACCCCCTGCACATGCTGGACGACACGAAAACACTGCGGGGCATCGTGGTGACCTGGGTCCTGCGCTTCAACGACGTGCTGGATGCAAACCAGCTGCACGCATCGCTGTCGAAGCTGCTCGAGATTGGGGACTGGAGAAAAATGGGCGGGCGGTTGAGGCTGGGCGACGACGGAGAGCTCGGGATCCATGTTCCGCGGCCCTTTACGGCAGACCGGCCGGCCGTGTCGTACTCCCACGAAACGCTGGCCGTCGATATCGATGACCACCCGATCGCCAAGCAGCTCCCCAAGGCCACTGACGGCCCATCCGTCCACACCGTTCCAGGTGAAGGCTTCCGGTGCTTTGCCGCTCCGGTCGGTGCGCCCGAGACCCTTGCCGATTTTATCCACCGCGACGTGCCCCAGCTGTCGCTCCGCATCACGTCCTTCAACGACGCGACGCTCGTGGGCCTGTCGTGGCCGCACACCCTGATGGACGTCATGGGTCAGCAGGCCCTTCTCCGCGGCTGGTCCCTGGTGCTGGCTGGCAGGGAGGCAGATGTCCCGCCCGTTTTGGGTGCGCGGGAGGACGCCATCTGCGCCGCTGCCGACTCGGTGGTCGGGGAAATGGAAAAGGAGGAGTTCCATCTTGGCAAGAAGCGGCTGGGAGGTTTTGGTCTGGTCAAGTTTGGACTGCGGTTTGGGTCGGACCTGTTGTGGAACCCGACCGTCGAGACGCGAACAATCTTTCTGCCCAAGGCGACGGTGGCCAAACTGCGAAGCCTGGCCCAAGACGACCTCACCACGTCCTCCGGGGAGAAGCCGTTTGTCAGCGAGGGCGATGTGCTCACGGCATGGGCCGCGCGGGCCGTGGCCTCTTCACTGCCGCAGCCGCGGCCTCTCACAGTCCTTCACGCGGTCAACGCGCGCTTCCGACTCCCGTCACTCCTGGCGCGGGCGGAAACGGGTGTGTACATCCAAAACATGGCGGTCGCCGCATGCAGCTTCCTCCCCAACTACGTGGCTACGGGACCGCTTGGGCCCATCGCCCTCGAGAACAGGCGCCACCTAGCCGAGCAAGCCACTCCCGGTCAGGTACTCGCCTGCCTTCGCGAGCTCCGGCAGCTTCCCAAGACGGAAAGCGACCCGTCTATGGTGTGCGGCGAGGCCGATGCGGTGCTTGTGCCCTTTACCAACTGGACGCGCGCCGACATCTTCAACGCGGCCGACTTTGGCCCGGCCGTGATACGTCCTGGCGACGTGTCCTCCGAGAGAACCAACCCGCCCGGCACCATCGTGTTCCACCATGCCGGATCCATGTTCCAGGGGCCCCAAGTCAGGAATGTTTTTGTGCTGCTGGGCAAAGACCATGAAGAGAATTGCTGGATCACGGCCATGCTGCTGCCGAGGACTTGGGCCAAGATCGAGGAGGATTTGAACGGATTGCGTGTCCGATCGTGATAAAACAACATCCATAGTACAATTGTCGAGGGGGACCTCGGAGATGGCCTTGGACATCATCCCACAAGTTGATCATAACCTCGCCAAACCCATCGCTGTACCGTTCCCGCCAGCCCGCCTTCTATCACCATACATGCTGGTCCTGGCTAGGAGCCGTGCCGCGGCCCTTGTGGCAAACCACCCAAGTCCCCCCTGGAGATCAATGGATGGGACCGACCTTCCCGTTGAACACTGCAAGTCGGGCCACGTACGACATACGAGGTAATACTGTGGCGACGCGAAATGACAAGATTCGTATGGATTGGTGACTGACAATCGAGTTCTGGCGGTGTGTACATACCAACTGTTTGCTCGCTACCTACCTACCGCGAGATTGTTTGCTACTTTACCACGGAATGTGGCGTGCCATCGCCCTGGCTGCTGCCCCTTCCGGTCCTTCCATCGGAATTTTCTTGCACAAATGGCCAAATGCCATTCCGGGTTTGCAGACTGAACAGGCCAACCACTAAAATTCACGTGGCCTTGTTCACTAGTATTGTGGCTCGGGTGACCTGAATATATGCCGAATATGTGTGGAAAGAGCTAGCTACGTTGATAAATACTTCATAGTCCTTGACGATTTAGCGCCGTGTATGATGATCCCCGGGCAGCATTCTCTCTTGCAACAGTGAAACTTACAACAACACCAGAATCGTCTCCAGGCTGCAGGCAACGACGATCACAGACAATCTCAACCCGGAATTTCGGAACCGCCCATAACGCTACGAGTTTCTGGCTTCGCCGTCATTCGAAAGGCCGGGCCGCGGAGGGCTCGGCTGCTCCGGTGTATAACGCTACCGACATACAGCGGCTCTTACGCGACCGGGTCAAAATTTGGGAAACAATCCGCGGCATCACCGGCCAGCCTGGTATCTCTATCGGTGTCATTCACCAGGGAAATGAGTTTTCGAACATAACTTTGGTATGCTCGATGTCTCGACGGCAAAAGCACCCGACAAACACACCCTTTACTGCATCGCGTCCTTATCCAAGGCCTTCATGGCTGCGTCGCTCGGCCCGCTCGTCCGGGAGGGCAAGCTTACGTGGGATAGCACCATCCATTCCGTGGTTCCCGAGTTCAGACACTCCCAGAAGCCCGCCGAGTTTGCGGAAATGACATTGCGGGACATTTGCTCGCACCGAACCGGCCTGCTCAGTCTGGACGAAATCACCCAAGGCCTCGACGGCCGAATCCTCATCGACAAAAAGGACGTGGTCAAGGTGTGCAACGCCATGCCCGCCAAGCATCATCTGCGGAGCAACTTTCTCTACAACAACGGCCTGTACGAACTGGCTGGCCGCGTCGTGGAGACCCTATCGAGTTGCTCCAACTGGGGCGATTTCCAAGATGACCGCATCTTCGAGCTCTTGGGCATGACGAGGACCACCGCGTTTCGGGACGTTCACGACAACGACAAGAATGTTGCCAAGCCGTACATGATTCTCGCCGACGGCAAGCCATCCCCCGTACCGCCGACCGAGCTGTCTGCCGATTCCATGAACGGGGGCTAGGGTGGCCTCCGCAGCTCGGTCGACGACTTGCTCAAGTGGTCCGCGTGCCTCTTATCAACCCTGAACAATGACAAATCGGGAGCAGGTACCGTCCTCAGACACGCATCGCCCATTTTTGACAGATGTGCCATCGCGAATCCCAAGGATGCGCAGGCTGGCGACTCCTGCGCCGGATGGTGTCATCACCGCACGCCTGCCGAGCTTGAGTTAATCTCACCCAACAGGGTCCTCGTATCTCTAGTCTTGGGTACCGATTCACCGTCTCTCCTTGTCTACGGTCACCAGGGGGATGTCCCCGGATACACCTGCAATCTCTACCTCATTCCCGACACCAATTCTGCCGTGGTAGTCCTTTCCAACGGTACCGGTCTGGGCGACGCCACAGACTAGATTGCCCAAAACGTCATCCAGACTATCTCGGGGCTCCGGCCTGAGGTCAACTTCATCGAGGTGGCGAGGAAGGCCGCCACGGTTTATCGTTCACGCTACGAAACCAACTTCCGTTCCCCGCTTGAAAGCCACCGAGGCTCCCGAACCCCGTTGCCAACGCTCGACGACTTTGTCGGCACCTATGTGATAGAAAATCTCGATGTTGCCTTTATCGAGGTTCATTCGGACCCGAATGACCTGGCCGGGCTGCAGATGATGGTCAATGGTTGCCGCGACCAGGTACTGCCGCTGCGACACTACAACCATGACGTGTTCTGTTATTTACCGGACAGTTATGATGAGTGTCTGAAACGAGGGTTGCTCTTGACGGAGTGGTCTACTTTCTTGATCTCCTTCTTGCGTGACGATAGGGGGGTGGTCAATGGCATCCGCTAAATACATGTGTCGTGATCAGGACTAACCATACGCAACCCACCGGGCCTAGCCGGTCACGTCCCGGCCCTCGACCGGCCAGCCTAGGTACCGGCCCCTTCACTAATCAAGTCCCTCAGCTCGCACCCCGCGCGTTCGCGATGGCGGCGCATGTTCGTCGCTAGGATCCTGTTCCCGGCTCGGGGACGCGAACCAACTGCGCCCGACCCTCGAGCTTCGCTGCCGGCCTTGCTGGCCTTGGCTCACTTATACCGCAGTGGCCTCCCTCCCCTCCCCCCGAACCCCAGAACTCCCTTCTTCCTCACCTTCTGGTCGTTCTTCCTACTCCTAACGCACTTCTCAACTCACTATGAGGGTACAACGACAGTCGCGCTTCTCCGGGGTAGACCAGGAAAGGGTCAATGCCCTGCAAAGTCTATAAAGTAGGTTTGAAGTTGCGCCTGGCCTGTCTCTACCTCACAGGGGGAAGCTGGCCGTTATCTACCTGCCCATCAGCCTTGCGCAAACATTCGCCTCCCCGTCCTGACCACCGTCGGCCTCCCCGAAAGCGCCATAATCCTCTCTACGGCCGCCATCAGCTCCCAGTCCTTCCCCGGCGCCGCCACCAGATTGGCAACCACGGGTAGATGCTCCGTCTGCCCCGTAACTCTGGACTCATAAGGCACGTCGCCGATGGGTACCGCGATGTCAGGGGCGCCCAGGATCGGCGATACGAAGAGCTCGTCCAGGGCCGACTGTTCCTCGGGCGAGGGCGAGGGTGTGTCGCGATAGTTTGGCGCGGCGTTGCTGATCGGAAGTAGGACGAGAACTTCCTTTGGCCCGTCCTGTCGACTGCCTTGGTGAAAGAGACTCTGCATCAGCCACTTTTTATACACCCTCAGCCTGCCGTCGGCTTCCTGGTGCTGCGCGGCCGTTACTGCTGCTCCCTTTGCCCATCGGCGTTGTACGAATGGAATCACGTAGGGAGCCCTGCCGTCATGTGCTGCAGCGTACTTCTCACGGAAATCATCGCTAGAGTGATAGAAGGCGTAGTAGTAGGTCCGGGCGACGACATCTCTGAGGTATTCGTCGACGTCGTCAATGGTACCTTCGGGGTGGCTTGATCTCCAGGTTTCTCGGATAGACATTTTCCTGATGGTGGCAGGAAGATGGGCCGCGGCGTCGCCAAGAAAACTATCGATTAGGGCCATCTGCTCTCGGTTTGCGACGGGAAAGTAGTCGAGCGGGTAAACGATCTCGTAGGAAGGTAGCTCGGAAACCGCCCTGTGGCCTGCCTGGCTGTGAACGGCCTTCTCAGGGATCCAAGACCTCAAGGCCATCTTGAGGTGCTGGAGCTCCCTCGTAAAGATGCATGGTGTGTCGAATGGCGCGTAGGTGGTAACCATACCGCGGAGATCGACAAGATCGTGTGATGGGCGAAATTGCCAGACGCCGTTCACCATGGCTGGGCGCCGCCCACTGCCGCTGGTGTCGGTTCCAATCCCGCAATCGACCCAGTCGTAGGCAGCTACCGCAGCAGCGCTGCCGCTACTGCTGCCGGCAGGCGATTGATAGCCGTCTCCACGGGGATTGAAGGCGGTATGGAAATCCACCGCATCCATTGGTTCTTCGCGTGCGATCATGGAGCTCAGCTTGGTCAGGCCCAGAATATGTGCGCCGTCGCGGGCCAGTGATCCGATCACGGCGGCGGTCGAATCAGAAGGCTTGCTAATGTCGTAGTAGGCTCTGTTGTTGAGCGAGGTCCTCAGGCCCTTGATGCGGTACAGGTCTTTAACCACTACGCGCAGCCGTTGGGGAGATTGGCTCAAGCTTTCAGGCGATCTTGCAGGCACAGCAACACTGAGGCAGTCATAGGACGTGCCGGCGGCTCGCAGCTGCGAAAAGGGGTCCGCGTCGTGCCTGGGGCGGCATGAGCTTAGCACTCTAGGGTATAGAGCTCTACAGAGGACTCACCAAGTCGTTTTGGGCTTTAGAGCCGTGAGAAATGCTCCTTGCACATCGTCGTAGAGCCGGTGGACGGGCTTTAGCGCTCTATCCAGGTACAGATATGGCCCCGGCGGAAGCCGATCAGCGAGGTCTTTGTCACTAGGAACATCTAACCACTTGGCACCAAGTGCCTCCAGATGCCTGCCAAGGTCTGAAGCAATAGCAGACTGCGCATACTTGAAATCGACCAGGATGAGGCCGTCCAGGAAGTGGTCTCTTCGGTATACACCGCAGCTGTCCTCCATTGTGGCAAGGTACTCATCGAGCCATTGTGGACTGACGGGTACTCCTTCCTCGGCGGCGACCACGGTAATGAGAGAATGCGGCGCAGGGTCGACTGCGCCGGGCTCGAACTATGAGGGCAATCAGCAAGCTTTCATGTGTGGTGGTGAGAGAGCTGCATACAGGGATGGCTCCGAGGGCAGCATATTTGACCGGGCCGCGGACGAAAGCAATATCGTTGTCAGCGGCCGACAGGGACATGCCGGCCATTAATTGTCGTGAAGGACGCAGAGGTCGCAATATGTCCACGATAGAGCCGACGCAGCAGCGGATCATGGCCATTTAGATGCGCATAAAACGCGGTTCCTGGTAGAGAGCTGTTGGCGGATGGCAGTGATGGGAAATCGCCCCAGCGAATGGATTGTTTTGTGATGACAAAGGAGGACTCTTGATGTCGGACGGCGTCGTCGCGTCGAACTTGAAGTTGCAACGAAATATTACTCGCGGAATCGTATTCAACTGAGCGGACTTGCTGGAAGCGAGGGTCAGACAAGTGTTCAAGGGAGGTTGGATGTACCTTCCATTGTAGTACATGTGCTGTACGTACCGTACCATACACGTACCGTAGGATGTCACACTTTGTCTGAGAATTTGTATAGGAACCTTCAGAGCCCAATTCGGGGCCTATATGGCCAGCCCGTCCGTTGCGTCCAAAACAGTGAATGTGGTTCCAAGCAAAAAGTTCTAATCTGGGCTCTGGCCATTCATTATTGCGGAGTGACAGTGATCGAGTGGGCGTTGTGACAACTCTTCCCGACCATCCAATGCGAGTACCTTGCTTTGTGAAATACCGTATGAGCCCGGAATAGTACCTGGAATGTACATGAGACATACAGTGCGTGACACCCAACCGCCCAATTTCCATCAGGCAGCTGTGCCCCCCAAAAGAATTAGTTGCTGCCCAGCCACCTTGTACTACCTACCAGTCTACCCTTGCCTTCCGTGGCCCTGGACGTTCCAGGGAAATTTGAACGCCCCCTGGACCGCTTCCCACAAACAATCACATTTGTGGGACTACCAGAGCTTTTCGGTTTACTAAGTGCTGCCTTTTTTCCGCCCACTTGTCTGTGACACGGCAACAAAGATGAATGACACCCCGCAAGCTCGGCAACATGAACGTGTCCACGATACCGAGCAAACACCCCTCCTCGGAGGAACGCACAACGCGCAGGAACCCCGCACCGCTGAACCCGACGCTAACGACCTAAGCAGCGCCCGCCTCGCCGTGGTGTTTGGGAGCATTTGGGTATGGACTCTCCCCACCACGACGTGCTCTGATGTGCGTTGACTGACGGCTTTTGATCCTCTGCCGCACCGACGATAGATCATTGTCGTCTTGACAGCTCTCGGTGAGGTTACGAGGTTCAACCACCTGTGTAGGGACGGGTGCTAACGGCTTTGTTCATCCCCTGACAGACTCAACCATCGTCGCTACTCTCACCGCCGTCATCTCAACCTCCTTTTCATCGTTCAACAACCTTTCCTGGTTTGGTACCGCTTACTTGGTTGGGACTGCCGCCACACAACCCTTGGCTGGAAGATGGACCGATATTTACGGGCGCCGCCGGGGCCTGATTGTGGCTGGCATTGTCTTCGGCATTGGTACCCTGCTTTGCGGGCTGGCAACTCGGGAATGGGTGTTCATACTCGGCCGCGCTGTTGCCGGGGCTGGGGGAGGCGCAACGACTGCGACCTCCACATTTGTCGGCGCCGACCTGGTGCCGCTGCGGAGACGCGGTGTGGTCCAGGGCATTAACAACATAGCGATGGGCTGTGGCACTGGGCTTGGCGGGCTTGTGGGTGGTCTGTTCAACAAATGGTTTGGCTGGAAAATGGCTTTCCTAGTCCAGCTCCCGATTGTTGTCCTCGGCGTCGTACTCTGCGCTGTGGTCCCAGACATCCCGTCACGCCCGGCCAAGGAAGATCATGGGCGCCGGCTGGACTATGCCGGCTCCGTCACACTCGTTCTCGCCATCGTCCTGTTGCTGGTTGGTCTCAACGCCGGAGGCAACCAGGTGGCGTGGAGCCACCCGCTTGTTTGGTCGACCATGGCCCTGGCCGTCATCCTCTTCGCGCTGTTCTTGTACATTGAACTTCGCTATGCTGCGCAGCCGATCATTCCCCTCGGTCTTCTGCTGCATCGCACCGTCTGGTCTGGTTGTCTTACCTACTTCTTCGCTCACATGGCTGCCTTTGCGACCATGTACTACATCCCCATCTACCTTCAGGTTCGGGGGAGCGATCCCACTCACGCCAGCCTCCGATTCATTCCGCAGAGCATAGGGACTGCCATCGGTGCGTATGGGACCGGCTTGTTGATTAAGGCTACGGGTAACTACGTCTACCTCTCAGCCGCTGCTCACGTCTTTCTCGTTGCTGCTTCGGCTCTGGCTACGACGCTAGACGGGCAGACACCTTCCTGGTGCCCCTTTCTATACCTTGGCATGATGGGACTGGGGTTCGGGGCTATGCTTGTGACGACTATGCTTGCGCTTATTAGTTCAGTGGAGCATTCCGAACACGCCGTTGTCACTTCCGCATCGTTTACTTTCCGGGCTATCGGATCCTCTACTGGCATCACCGTCGCTTCAGCGGTTTTCCAAAACACTCTCATCCGGGGTCTCCATCGACGATTGGGCGACGGAGAAGATATTGATGAACTCACTGAACGTATCCGGAGGAACTTGGACGCCATCTGGGAGCTTGATCCGCCGACGCGTACCGCTGTTCAGGATGGCTACATGGAATCCCTACGTTTTGTCTTCATCGCTATTCTAATCATAAGCGCGATCTCAATGGCCTGCAGCCTGGTCATGAGGCAAAACAAGCTTCACAACAACCTTGCCAGGCGATGAGAGTGCCTTCTAAGAATCACACCGAGATGGCGTTGGACGAATGCGGAGTGGAGCTGGATCGTAAGTCAGTTTCTTTCCAACCATGTCAGGTTGGTCGGAAAAGGAAGACACGGATGGGGGTTGGGGACCCTGGCGCTGCTAGACACGCAGGTTCACTGCATGCGCACGTGGGCACAAATAGCAGAGGGGAAATTTGGTTGATTCCCCGCGTTCATCTCTGTACACCAGTTAAAACTCGGACTGCGCACTCTTTTCTCATCTCACGAATAAATGCTTTGCGCTTCTTTGGCACACTCCGTCCAAGACGCCTCATGGGATCATGACACAGCACCGGGTAAGGTTGATACCTCGTGTCAGTCCTTTTATACTTGAGCAATCAAGCATGTTATTGACTAGGTGCTCTCCCACTCCGAGCAGGACGAGGTACTCGCTGAGTTGGGCTTCTTAGCCCGGATTAATCTCTATGAGAAAGTGAAGCCTTATGGGTTGCGGTTACCGCCGCCGGAGGGCCTCGCTCAGTCCAATATCGAAGGCCACATGCAGTTGGTCAACGTCCGAAACGCCCGGCTACATGACAAGAAAATCTCCCTCGAGTGCCGCGGGTTCTGCTTGGCCCCGTTCTCTACCTCGATGAAATACACCGACTTTGAAGAGCCCCTGAAGGTCAAAGATGTTTATTGTGCCGAGGTCGCAGAGGCGGTCAAGGCGGGCGTTGCTGGCGCTCGCCACACCCGTGTTATTGACTTTTCGGCGAGTACCTAAGACAGTCGCCAGTGGCGGCCACTGCCGCCCCCTACCCTCGCACCCAACTAACTGAGCGGTAAATCAGATCCGGCGTAGAGATGCCAACTTTCCGACCTCCACGGGTGTCGACTTTGAACACGCACAACCTGCGAGCATGGCTCACGTCGGCAAGTAGCAGATCACCTCCTTCTTTCTCCGCCTAATCAGGCTAGTATAACTGGAAGCTGACTTCCTTCGGCAGACTTCACCCCAGATATCGCAGTCCAGATGATCAAGACGCTATACGGCCCTCGAGCAGACGAGGTAATCTCTGAAGGTTGGGCCATCGTCAAGTCAGTCTTCTTTCTACGCCAGAGATCACAATCCAATGTAAATGCCACTAACGGACTTGCTATTTACCTTGACCCGTTTCCAGTGTCTGGAAACCACTCAAAGATGCAGTAGTTGACTGGCCGTTGGCCGTCTGTGACAGTCGCACGTTCGACGCGGAACATGACGGCGTACCCGCGGATGTTGTGTACAGAGACTGGATCTCCGAAGATGTGCTGGTTCATCACGCCACGGGCCAGGAATGGTGGTTCTTCCCAGAGCAACAGCCTGACGAAATACTGTTGTTCAAGAGCGTGGACTCGGAGAAGGGACTCTACGCTGGTAAGCCCCCGGCAACTTCTGACATCCGTTGACGGGGCTGGGTTTGGACACGAAGCTAAAATACCGGGTACAGCTTGCCCACACGTCGCATTCGCCAACCCAAGGGCTTCGCCTAACGCTCCGTTGCGTGAAAGCGTTGACTGTAGAGTTATCGTGTTCTTCACCAAGGCGTCAGAGCTTCCGCCAGAGGTTGGGCACCTGTATGGTGCAAAAGATTGACAGACCGCAGTCAGAGCGGAGAAGAAGGTCAGCCAGGGCTGAAGGGGACCGGCGATGGCGTAACTAAGAGATCTCAAAACACGTAGTTAAAAGGTTCGACCAAACTTGATTGCTAATAGAAGCCGATCCCTGCCACCCTGGCTACCTATCTTTCCTACCTCGTATTCTCCAAACCTAGGTAGACAATCTCTCCCTACAGTCCCACAGCCCCCCAAACCTTTTAGTCCTCGGTTACTTCATTCACTTCGCTTCCGCGCCATCCTGCTTGATGAGGTCAAGGGAATGACCATTGGCATTCCCATCCATAATGACAATCTGACCCTTGGCAAAGCCATGCCGGGTACCTCCAGGGGCAGCCGACTCGCTGGTCTTGCCCATTGCAAGCCAATGTTCCTTCCAGGGCTGGACCTTTGCAGGTTTGCTGGATCGGGCGACCCGCTCCATGCCGACTTCTAATATAACGCGCAGTGAGCTGAAGTCGGGTGCAACAAAGCTGACGTTAGCGAGAACTGAGGAGTCAGGAGCGACATTGACAGATCTTGAGTGACTTACGGAAGAATTTGGTCAACGCGGCAAGTCTTCTTGGAACGATATAGTAGTATGTCTGTCGAGTACGAGGGCTTGGAATGGACAAAATATAGATCCTGCCTGTTGTAGGTGGGCGTGACGCATGCCTGGCTCCGTGAGTTGAGGCTCTCAAATGCCGCAAAGCGAACGTCGCACTGAAGACGTTCCCCGCACTCGCAGGAGGGTTGCAAGGCTCCTTGTGCATGGTGACTGTCCTGATGACCATATCGTCGACAGATGATTCGTGATCTTTCAGAGGAGGGTATGGTGGGTATGCATGAGTCGAGCAACGTGGGTAGGCAACAAGTGCAACCCCACGCCCACGAATGCAGCCATCGTGGTGATATCGAATCATCGATGGTGGGGGATGCGCTACAGTGAGGCGAAGTACATGCAAGGCGTGTGAGAGCATGTTAACGAATATCTCGTGGGCCGTTTTGAGCCAATGACTTATTATTATGTGCAACGTGAAATGCGGGATGGGATTTCCCTTCCACCACGCCAACATGCCGCACACCCCCTTTTGGAAGCCGACAGTACCCTCTCCGGACCGGGATCCGGTGTTGGCGGCTCTGCTCCAAGTAACCAGCTCAGTACGCCGCCGATCAAGGTAAGACGCTTTGAAGGGTCGCAAGGACGCGCATGTGCTTGGCCTTGTTAAACTAGTTGCAGAGCGTGTTATATTATGATTCCGGTAGGCGTTCGTTGACTGGAACTCTACTGGAAGAACGAGCAGCAAACCCACCTAGGCTAGGTGCACATATCGGCGGCCCGCAAGCTACCGGCAAACAACAGCTAAGAGGTCTGTTATCGGCCACTCTGCATGGGAGAAACAACAAGCATTGCCACGCCCACCTACCATCCACCAACTGGGTGGCCGGTGCTAACATGAGCGCCTCTGTACATGCCCCCATGTACTTCCTTCAATCATCTCCAACCTACGAGACAGTCAAACCATACAGCCTTCGGTTTCCTCCTGGGGATGGCCTTGAGCAGTCCAACGTCCTCTCCGAGACACACCTGATCCAGGTGGACAGTATGAGAGATAGGCCCGATCTCGAGCTCGAGACTTGCGGGTTTGAGGTGATGCCCTTCGACTCTCCGCTCTCGTACGAGGACTTTGCGGACGCCCACAAGATTGCCCATGTCCTGTTACCTGCGATGTGCCGGAAGCTCAAACAGCACTTGAGTGCTCGACACGTTGTTGCGCTCGACTTTTCAGTGAGTTACCCTGGGAGCGATTCTTAGGAGGTTGTAAAATATTACATCGAACAAAGATTCCAACTCGTTCCCGTCGAAGGTTCGCCGTCGACATGCAGGGTTTCCGGTCTCGACTGGAGACGATTACGACCACGACCAGCCTACCACAATGGCACATATTGGTGAGAAAACGGAGCCGACCCCCCGCACATTCACACCGGGGGCGAGTATGAGCGTTGACAATCCGCCCAATAACCACAGACTTTACGATAGAAGAAGGAGAGAGGATGCTGAGGGTCATGTATCCTGACAAAGCTGACGAGATCATCGCGGGTGGCTGGAAGTTGATCAAGCAAGTACTGCCACATCCCGCCAGTCATGATGGGGACCGTTGGACGTGCAGAGAGCATAGGACTAACCTAGAGGATACAGCACCTGGCACCCACTTCGGGGGCCCCTGAACGACTGGCCTCTGGCCATCTGTGACGCACGCACGGTGAACCGCGAAGTCGACTTAATGCCCGGCGACATTGTGTACACAGAATGGGCGACCGAGAACTTGCAAGTTCACTACAGCCACAGGTACAAATGGTACTACTTGCCTGACCAGACGGTTGACGAGGTGCTCATCTTCAAGAGCGGGGAATCGTCCCCAGCCAAACCTCAAGGTAAGTAAATACCGTAGGTGAACACCTTGACTCTGCCTCGAGTTTCGACAACTGGGCCAAGTCTAAAGACGGACAACGCTAATGGTTGGCTGGATTGATATAAGCGGTGCCGCACGGAAGCTTCTGTAACCCGCGCGTCAAGGCCAGCGAGCACCCACGGGAGAGCATTGACTCGAGATTTTTCGTCTTCTACGCGCCGCTCGAGGAATACCCCAGGGTGGAGGGCAACGTATTTTCGCAGCGGACACACTGATTTCGTCTGTTTTCATCTGTTACACCTGGGTCTTAGCTTAGGTACCGTAGTGTCGGAAGTTTAAATGATTGCAGTCAGTGGTATTTATGCTTGGATGGGCTTGTACAGTACTGGATCCAATCTGGCCGGTCTGATATGCGCGACATACTTATTGTGATCTGTGTAACTGGCCTGCCGAATCGAAACCACTGCAGAGCAGCCCAACCCCGCAGCCCATGCTCACCCATCAAATTCCGGAGCGCCACAGTGTTAAGTTCAGGCCCAGCTGTGCCGGATCTGGGCGATGAAACTTCAAAAACAAGAGGTTTCTGTCTCTACTCTCTAGTTTCTTGCTTCGCTATTGTAGGCCGCAGTCTGATCTGTAATCTTTGGCGCCATGAATCCCGAACAGCCTACCGGGACACCCCAATCCTATCTTCGACGGCTCCGGGTGGTTAAAGAGGGAGGCCAGAATGTCTGGTAAGTTTCCCGCACTCCCCGCTCAGCACGTTGGAAGATTGGGGATTCCTTATCCCAACCTACCTCACAGCACGGGGTTACTGATGCGGGACCGCAAGTCTCATTCTCATTCCTGGTGTTGGGACACTGCGAAGTGATGCATGGCCAATCTGTTCGGCAACACCGTGGGCAGAGTTTCTCGGAGAGCTCGAGCAGGGCGTCACTCTGGTTGGATACGAGCACTACATCCCCTACGATGACCAATTCACTTGGCAGCATGTTGTGGAGGAAGGTCCAAGCCTACTCAAGGTGCTCCAGGCCTTCGTGGCCGAGCTAGGTGTAAGTACGGTACCTGCTGGGCGGTTCAGCGAGTCCACCGCATGAGCCAGCCGCTGACGGCCAGCAACGGAAACTACAGGCACCACAGCCTCTGCTGTTTATCTGCCATGGTTTGGGGGGAGCTATATTGAAGCAGGTAATTGCGCCTCATCGCATGGGCTCACTGGACAGCCGCAACCCCGTCCTCTGCCACTGTCAGAGAATAACGATGAGAACCGGCAGGCGATATGCGTTGCCAATATGCACTATGACAGGTACTCACACCTCCTCGTCTCTATTAGCGGTGTTGTCTTCCTTGGGACGCCGCATCTTCTCGAGGGAGTCGGCAACCGCGCATTCGGCGAGAGACTTGTCGGCATCATGAAGCTTGAGGACGCGGCAGGGTCTCTTAGCAACAAATGCCTCACGAGGCTCAAGGAGAGCAGCCATATGTTGGCCGACCTGGCCGGTCGGTTCAACAGAACAAACCTGAGAGTCGACATTCTCTCCGTGTTTGAGCAAAAGGTCACCAGAATCCGGCAATCCGGGGCTCTGCGGAGATCCAAGACCAAGAAGATGATCGTGAGCCGGGCAGCCCTTTCTCTTATGATTAAGCCAGCCTTGCTTAGATGAGAACATACCTAAGGATACCGTACTGACCTCTGCGCCGCTCAAACATTTGCAGATTGTCGATGAAAGCCTCTGTGCCATCGCAACCCGCACCGAACAATGCCTCGGGGCGGACCTTGACCACCTGCAGCTCCCATCCATGAGCGAACCAGACGGACAGCCGATCGAGCAGTTCAGGACCTGGCTCTCCTCGGTGATCAAATCAGCGCCGAATAACCTCGAAAGTCATCTCTCTCGTGGTAAGCACTGGCACCCACGGCGCGCATTTTTGACAACCGCCTCAAGCCGCATGTCAGAGGCAATCCGAGCTCCAGGTTCTAGTACTGACATTCCAAATGGTGGATAAAGTCCATCGAGCCAACAGCGCAAGTTCGGGGTTCTCGATTGGGAGCTTACACATTGAGGAAGTCAGGCAAGGTGCGTCGGGCGGGCGGGCTCCTTGGGGCGCTCTTGGATCAAACACGCACACCGCTGACTCTGACTTGTACAGCGCTCTCAAGACAGCCACCGGCAGCTCTAGCATCCACTCACTCAGGACCATACACGTCTACGTACGTCAATGCCGGATCAAGCAGCCGGCAAGAGATGCAATCCCTCCTAGACAACTTCTCCACCAAGCAAGCCGACCCCAGGATCCCCTGCTTCATGATGGAGACTCTGGTTAGGAACAAGAACTTTTTCGGAAGACAGGACATCTTGACGCATCTCGACGAATGCCTCCTCCCCTCTGGCGATCTCTTGGTATCCTCCCAACCTGAACGTATCCGGGTCGGGCTTTTGTGCGGCATGGGCGGGCTCGGGAAGACCGAGACGGCGATCGAGTACGCCTACAGCCGCAGGGACCGCTTCGACGCCATCTTCCTGATCCGGGCAGAGGATACGTCCAAGCTAGAGGCCGACCTCGCCCAGATCGCTGTGCGGCTCGGGATTCAAGACCCCAACGAGCCAGACGACAAAGTGATCAACAGGGGACTCGCTCTCGAGTGGCTGTGCAACCCCTTCAAGATCGATTACGAAGCCGGTGATGCCGTGCGGGTCCCCACCTCCTGGTTGGTCATTTTCGACAATGCGGATGAGCCGGACATTCTCGCCCCCTACCGGGACATCACCGCCAGCGGCGCCGTCCTCATCACCAGCCGGAGTCCGCTGGCCAAGACCAGCTTCTCACCCCAGACCACCGAGATCGATATCCGATCCTTTGGCACCGAGGAGGCAGGCGACTTTGTCCAGAGCATCACGGGCATTGACGGCCACCTCGACGAAGCGCGCCGGATCGGCGCGAGACTCGGCGGTCTTCCCCTTGCTCTGGCGCAGATGGCGGGCATCATCCGGCTCGAGTTCCTGTCGTACACCGAGTTCCTCGAGTTGTACAACGACGCCGAGGAGGCGGCCGACGTGCACGGGACGGTGCTGCAGCCACTCCGGGCCTCGGCACGGGGCAGCCTGTCGACCGTGTGGACCATCGAGAAGCTCTCCGCATCGGCTAGGGCAGTTCTCGAGATCTCGTCGTTCCTCGACCCGGACTGCATCCAAGAATCTATGCTGACGCACGAGGTAGCTGCTATCGACCATCTGATACCCGAATTTCCCACGAAACGCGGCGCCTTCTTCGCCGCGCGCAAGCAGCTGATAGGCTCGTCGCTCATCCGGCACAACAAGGAGCTGGCCGAGTACTGGGTCCATCGCGTTACCCAGGACGTTGTGCGCGCCAAGATGGAGCCCGCGCGCCGCAAACATGTTTTTGCCAACGCCGTCGCCATCGTCTCGGCCGCATGGCCCGCCACGGCGGTCGGCGGGCACGACGTCACCTTGTGGGAACTGTCCGAGAAACTGTATCAGCACGTTACGAGTTTGAGTGACATGTACCTGTGCTACCTGGAGCCTGGGGACGATGGGTCAGACATGGCGTTCGCAACTCTTCTCAACCGCGCAGGGTGGTAAGCGACTTTCTCGGGCGCGCCTCAAAGCAGCCTTTACTTGACTTTGCTTCACATAAAACACGTAAACCGGGGGAGGTGGCTGACAAGAAGACTACTCGTCTAGGTATCAACATGAACGAGGCGAATCGCGCGTGCAGCTGCCGGTCCTCGAGCTGGCGCTGGAACTATGCCAGGGGATCACCACCATCGATACGCGGGATCTCGAATCCGATATCCGCTACGCACTCGGGGCGGTGGCAAACGAGACCAACGATGCCGCGTCGTGCCGGTTGCACACGGAGCGCTTCTTCGAAATCCGGCTGGACGCGGCGGCCGAGACCGGGGCCGTCGACGAGAGGCTCGCCAGGTCCTACAATCAGATGGGCATCGTGTGGATGATGGCTGGCGAGTATAAGAAGGCCGAGGAGTCATTTGCAACGTCGGCGCGCGAGTACGAGAAGATCCCCGGATACACCAAGGACAAGCGCTCCCTCGCGCTCGTGAACCTCGGATTGGCGTACTGGCTCCAGGGTAGCTGGGATCGTGCCTCCGAGATCCTAGAGCTGGGCCTAGCAGACCGCGAGGAGCTCTACGGGTACATGGACAGCCACAGCTTCAGGTGCGCGCGCGGATCCGGGCCTATCTAACTTCCCTTTCCGATTGCGGGTAAGCAGGAAGCAGAAAAGAAAACGGCGCTGACTTTCACAGGACCGGGAGGTTTCTCCATGCGCTTGGGAACGTGCGGTTCTCGCAGGGAAGGATTCAGGAGAGCGAGGGCCTGCACAGCCGGGCCCTAAAGCAGTACCAGTCTACCATTCGAAACCATCACCACCGGACGGCAGACGTGTGTCACAAGATGGCGCAGCACTGTATCCGGAAGGGGCTCCTGGACGAGGCTCAAGGGTTCATTGGACAGGCGCTTAAGGTCTGGAGCGTTGATGCGGACAAGTATGCTCCCGAGATCGCCCGCACCTCGTTCCTTAAAGCGAGGGCCCTGTTCTCGGCCGGGTGCGAGGACGAAGCCACGCAGTTGTTTCGTTCTGCTGCTTCCACGAGACGGCGGCTGCTGAAAATTGAAGGGAAGCCAGACAAGAAAGACGACAAAGACCTAACTGAGAATGATTTTGATGAGTTGGTCATGTTCTGGTCGAGATAGCTGACGGCACGAAACGCTCAAGCTTGATTTACTTTGATAGCAAGCTACCTAGGTACTTGAGTCTACCACACTTCTTCACCTACATGTAGTACCCACCTCGTAGTATGAACTTGGCACCCGTGCACACTAATAGTGACGGATAGCTTGTATTCTCTGAGCTGAAGCCTTAGTAGAGTCTCAACCCAGCCGGTTATCCGAATACGCTTTGCATCTAGGGCGGATTGCTGCGACGGGCATTCAGCCTGGTCGCACAGCTTCGGGGAGAGAGATGATGATTCGCACGAACAGGGGCGGTCCGCCTTGGCCGTCTTGCCGTGAAATGTAACCCGCGCGGGATGGATGCTCAGCTCTCTCAGGTTCCCCCACTGAGGCTTGCACGAGGCGCCCGCGTCGCGAGTTGTGCCGCAGAGCCTGACACACCACTCGGGCGCGTAAGGCCGAGAGGTACTCGAAACGGGCGGGCGGGCGGCTGCGCCTTGAATCATCAACCAATCCCCGATTTTCCCCACGCCCCATCGTTTCCTGGAGCCTTGGATGTCCGCACTATAAGCTGAAAGGCCTTGATGCAGCTCCCAGCTCTGCGGTTATGCACTCCAACAATATCTCGGAATCACTTGAGTCACTTCCATGGTCAAGATATGCCATATGCCATGCCACTCCCTCATTTGGAACAAGGTGGTCGTCGCCGCAGTGACATGGATGCGACCTTCGTTACCGGCGAGACTGGGGACAACCCTCGCCATCGTGCATGTAAGGACCGGAGTACCCGCAACTCCTTTCGGTTCCCTCCAAGCGGCCTCCGCCGACTACATGATTGAACCTGAATACTGACACCAACCGCAACAGTCGCAGCCAAGGACTATGCCGACCGAGTCCGGAACCACGCCGCCACCACGGTGTCGCAGTGTCTCCACCCCGGTGACAGTTTCAGGAACCTAGCAGACTTCCTATTGCAGCCTTATATCCAGCGAGCGCCGCAGCTTCCCCTTCTACAAACCCGGTCACCGTCCGCACCGGTTCCTACGCCTACGCCCACGCCCAACCTGAACTCTACCTCTCTGGGTGCCACAGAACCCCGCGTCTCCCGCTTTGCCGCCCTCTACCAAGCGTCAAAGCAGGGAGTTTTCAAACTCCCCTTTGACACTGTACGTGAATTTGAAGACCTCGGAGACTCGGCACTCCCGGGCGCAGGCAGCTTTGCGTTGCTGCTGCTGCAGGGCTACCCTTCTCCCGAGTGGCTCAACACGTTAGGGGCAAGGTTCGGCATCGACCCCGAGTTCTTCCAGCGGCACCTTGTGTTTACCTCGGGCTCCGCAAAGGGCGGCGTCGGCGGGCGCATCCCAAAGCGAACAGCGACGCATATCTTGCCCTCATGCCACGGGGACATGGTGTCCTTGCAGGTTACGAGGATCGGCTCGCGTCAGAGTGCCTCCGTGAGACACACAAGCCGTGACCAGGAGGGCCTGGACCAACTCAGACGGCAGGCCTCGGAGGAGATGGCAGCGTACATGAGCAAGCTGGCAAGCCTCAATTCTCCTGGAGTCGCGGCGGCCGATTCTATCGTTCGCGAGTTCTCTGTTCACGGCCTCGACTACTTTTCATTGGAACAAACCGTCTCGCTCGGCATCCACCAGCTCGGGCAAGGATGGATAGGTAGGCAGGCATCTTCCTCTTGTTCAGGATACCTTACACCTCCCCAATCCCCAGCGGTGTCACGAGGGGCTAGCGTCGATCACTAACTTGCGAGAGAGAAAAAAGGCATCATTTGGCACGATGCTGGCAACCCGCTTGACAAAAGCCTTCAGGGTCCATGGCAGACGAGGGCGATCCGGTCAGACTCATTCGAAGTTACGTATCTGCCGATCTCGGTGCACACGCCTGGAGTAGCGCTTAAGAGCAAGAAGAGGAAAGGAGGCACTGGCACCAACGCCACTAGTGACAGCACCAGAGACGGCCTTCGTCCCGGCATCGATGACACTGCTTTGACAGCAAACATGACTCCGATGGAGCGCATCTTGGACGAATACGCGCGCACCGTAGACCTGTCCCGGGCCGTGCACGATCCCTTCTACGCGTTGAGCCCCTTGTTCAGTTTTGCCGTCTCCTCCGAGATGGAGGTCCTGGATCTCATCGACGCCAAGGTCCGTGACGAACTGGACCACTCCAGCATGACTGGTGACGGCGTTGCTAGCACCAGCCCAACGCTGTCGAACCTGCTGTACAGCCAACAGGTCCTCAAGCGGCACATACGCAACCTCCAGGCCCCAATCAGCTACATGGAAGCCCTCTGTTCCTCACTTAGCTCCTCCGCCGCTACGACTCCTCGAAGTACTAGCAGCACCGGCGGTAGTAGTATTCCTCCCGCAAACAAACATCTCCCTGGCAGAAGTTACACCGCCGCCTCGGGCCACACGACCTCTGGCAACAGGTCGAAACGCCCTTCGCCGTCGCCATGGTCCACGTGGCCGAGTGCGACGTTCAGAGACCGCCACAAACCAGAGCAAGTTCAGACACGCATCGACACCACCCCCGGCGGGAGCGGCGACAATGGCGATCACGAAGACGAAGACGAAGAAGAGGAAGCCGCCGCCATCACCACCATCAGGACGGTGCTCGCCGACTACCGCTTCGCGCTGGCGTACGCCGACGCGCTGGCGGCGGACTGCGTGCAGGGGATGAGCATCATGGCGCACAACGCGGCGATCCGCGAGTCGCAGAAGGCCATCGCCGAGGCGCGCGGCGTGACGCGGCTGACCCGTCTGGCGACGCTGTTCGTGCCGCTGGCGCTCGTCACGTCCGCCTTCAGCATGAACGTGCGCGAGGTCAACGCGGGCGACGGCCCGCCGCTGTGGGCGTGGGCCGTCGTGTCCGTCGTCGTCGGCGCGGTGAGCTGGCTGTTGGTGAGGTATGATCTGTCCAGGCTGGCGAGGTGGTGTAGGTGGAGGCGCCGTCCCGTCTCCGAGAGTAGAGTCGTGGGGGCGGGACCTGGGAGCCCCGGCCCCGGCATCTGGCAGGCGCGTTTCGGCGTAGCAGAGACTCAACGCTATGTCTGAAGCTTTATGCCTATTGGATCCGTTTTGTTTTTGTTTTGTTTTTTTTGGCGTTTCCTCGCTGGGTAGCCGTCTTGGCGAGACAGGTGGAGTTGTATACCGTTGTTTGGACCATCGCGTAACGAGAGACATGACTAGGTACCTACCGAGGTCAGTAATGATGCGCTTACTGTATAAGGTATGAGTGTATGCGTAAAGTCCCGTAAGGTAATCCGGACAGGACAACAGTGTTGCATGGAGAGCAGTATCCGCACTCCCAACAAACCGAGCTCTGTACTTATTGACGCTTGCTGCCACGGCCTCGCCAAAAGCAGCCATCCAAACCGGGGCACATTGTGTCGACGTGGAAGAGAGGTATGTACGTACCGTGGTCGGGACTGCCGAATTCTGATTGCTCCATGCTTTGCCCAGACCCGTTACCCCTCAATCCCCTCCACTACGCCAACTTAAATCAAGGGACGATGGTATACCTCGCACGGAATATCTCTGACATCCCCCTGCAATTTTACTGTACTGTGTGTATCAGCAACTACACCTCACCCCAGAGACGTGCCAACCCAACACACTAAAATTAACACAAAGGAACCAGCCACGGGACCCCCCCCCCCCCTCCCCCACCTTAGCCATGCCGCTCTGCCAACGCTGCGCTCCTCTTACAGTCAACGAGCTAGTCGACAATGACGTCCTCTTCCACGCCGACATGGGCGCCCTGAAAGCAAGCGCCGAGCGAGGCTGCGAATTCTGCTCACTGTGCTGGGACGCCGTGCACACCGCGCACGAGCCCCGGGTGGCCAAGCTCGTCCGTGGCGAATCCGCCTGGATGGAGGGCGAGCCGTGGACTCCGACCGTCTGGCTCCGCGGCGTCAACTTTGCCGACCGCGGCGTGGCCGGGGCGAGGGTGGAGGTCAGCTGCGGAAAGCTCCTCGACGGGGGAGGAGTCGGGGAGTGCCAGCCGGGGTCGGAGCACAATCCAATGCCGTCGGTACGAGGGAGTCTCGAGGTATACGAGTATGTATGATCAGTGCTATACATCGTCTACCTGGTGCTTAGGTAACTTGAAAACTGACGTTCCTGTTGGAAGAAAGACTTCCAGGCCGACCTTCCGTGTTCCGACTCCGCGGGCGCCGCAGCACCGCGGATTGCAACCCGGAGCTGTACGTCCCCTTGATTCGAGACTGGATGTCCTACTGCTGCGCGCACCACCAACTCTGCGGGGGCAATACCCCCCTTGATATGCCCACAAGGGTCATGGATGTGGGCGGCAACCATGGCGCCCCGGCTACTACGCCTGTGCGACTGGTGACCACGGCAGGGCTGCGCGAGCGCTACATAGCATTGTCGTACTGCTGGGGCGCAGACACCTCCGGTCTTCTCACGCTGAACGCCAGCACCCACGCGGCCCTGGCCCAGGGCGTGCCGGAAACGCGGCTGGCCAAGACGCACAGGGAGGTCGTGTCTCTGGCTCGGGCGCTCGGCATCCGCTACGTATGGGTGGACGCGCTGTGCATCATCCAGGGCGACCCCAAGGACTGGGAACGGGAATCCAAGGCCATGGCTGAGGTGTACGGCAACGCGGCCCTGACCGTCATCGCGGGGCGGTCCGCGGCGACAAAGGACGGTTTCATCGCCAACGACTCTTTCACCGCGCAGCGCCGACCGAGCCCTTGCGTGCTGCCGGTGGAGGATGGCTTGATCGATGCCGGCGTACTGGTTGTCGGGGCCTGCCGCTCCCTTTCCTACGGGCCCGTGGCCGGGCGGGGATGGTGTTTCCAGGAGAAGATGCTTTCCCGGCGGGCTGTGGTATTTGCCGAGCAGCAGCTCGGCTTTTACTGTGCGGTGCAGGGAGTGTGGGAGAACGGCGTAGCCAAGCCAAACCTCTGGCGTCCAAGGTTCCTCCAGCGGCCGGGGTTGTCGTCGACGGCTACCACCACCAGCAGAAGCGCGAAGCGGCCTGCCTACCTTGGTGCCCAGGACGAGGTGCTCAGGGATTGGTATGGAATCCTGACCCAATTCTCCGTGTGCCAACTGTCCAACCCGCACGACGTGTTCGCGGCCATCATCGCCGTCGCGCAGCAGGCATCCCGCCTTCTCAACTCGCGATATCTCGCCGGGATATGGGAATGCGATCTCGTGCGCGGCTTGCTCTGGAGACCGGCCCATCATTTCAGAACCGAAGTTGCCATGAGAGCACCGACAACACGCCCCAAGCCGTCCAAGTTTACTACGGGAACGGGCCCCGTCATCCGCTCACCTTCGTGGTCGTGGGCCGCGGTAGAAGGGCCTGTAGCGTTACCTTTGGGGTCGATCGGGTTTACCCCGGGCCTGGTTGCAAGGCAGCGCGACCCGGCGTATCCAAAGGTCCGCCCAAAGCATTCAAATCCCGCAAGGTGGTCTGTCGATGATAGGTGTGGTATTGACGCCCTGCATATGCCGGCGTGTGAGCTACAGCTGGTAGGTCATGTAGCCAAGGTCCGGGTACTTACAGAGCCGGTAATCGGCTATCTTGACTCGAGAATGGGCGACAAGAATATCAAGCGGCCGGGGGCGGTGGCAAACGGGGTACTGCTTGCTGAGCCGATCCCGTGTGATGTTACGCTAGGGGGTGAACCCTGGGATCAGGTTGTCGGCCTGGCATTCTTCGATGTTAAGGAGGAGAGAAATGGGGTTGACTACGCCTGGTGTCTCCCAGTTGTGCCGGACTTTGGACTTGTGTTAGAGAGGAAACTAGATGGCAAGTTTAGCCGTCTAGGCTTTGTTTACATTCAGAAGTTAGACTGGTTTCTTGAGCGAGCGGAAGGGGAGATCTGTTTATGTTAGACTATCTATAAGCTAGTAGGAAGTGCTGGTTTTTTGGACCATCAAGTGGTAGAAGCCTTGTAGGAGCTGTCTATACTCCTTATTGTCTTCGCTGAGAGGCAGGGGACTGGTCCGAGACCGTACGGCTACTCGCCGATCAAATACACCGTGCCCTCACCCGCTTGCCCATCTCCAACTTCCTCTTTTTTATTTCCCCCCTGCATCCCGGGTTCCAAGTTTCACTTCGATCGGCTAATAGGAAACGCAGCGTATACACATACGCAACCGACGTAACGGGTAGCATAAAACACGGCATGAACCTAGGTACCTAATCAATACGAGAACTCATACTCATGGCTCAATTCAATCATCATGTTTTTGAGTGTATATCTAGCCTTCCTACCCGCCCCCCCGCCATTGGTTACGCCGCATCGTCCTCGCATCGCATGTTGTGCGGCGCCGAAGAGCTACCTAGAGTCTGCGACACTGTTGCCTGACTCACACTCAAGGCCTCCACGATATCGCGCGCTAGGTGCCCCCGTCTTGGCGATCATATTTTCAGGAAGCTGATTTTAGTCTGCACCCTTTTGCAACCGTTCTACCTAGGCAACCAGGACGGCTTTGGAGGCCTGCACTAGTTTAGGCGGGCTGGTCGCCGCGGGGAAGGCGGCCGCTTTTGTTTATACACACAATGAATCCATGGATGAAGCACATGTACCAATTCACGGTCTTGTTTTACCGCGTCCCGTTGCCTGCGGAATTCCAGTTTCACTTTTCAGTCCGAGGCCAGCATGGTTTCAGCGTCCATGAGATGGATGCATGCCTTCAGCATCTCCCGAATTAGGTGCATGTACCTAGTAAGAGTAAGAGGATACGGATTGTGGAGCTATCCCACCTTGATGGTAGTAGATAAATAGGTATCGAGTGTGCATCGTATCGCTAGCTATTAACTTTTTATCAAGAAATAGCCAGCTACAGACATCTCAACCTTTTCGACACCGTCAACAACCTTGAACCAACCTACCTAGGTACCTAACCTACAACAATGAGTACCAGAACTCCTAGAAATGCTGGAAACACCGGAAACACCGGAACCACCAGAAATACCGCAAACGTAGGAATCTCCAGAAACACCGGGAACACTGCAAACCCCGGAAATGCTGGGAACACCAGAAATACCGGAAGCAGTGGAAATGCCGGAAACACTACAAGCACGGGCAATACCGGAACCGCCGGAGCCGCCAAAACCGTGTCGCCTCTATTCAGCGCCGAGATTGAGGTTTACATCAAGCTCAAACCCAGCGTGGAAGCGGCGCTGAGAAAAAAGAAAAGAACGAACCCTTCCTCCCTGCCCTCGTATTTTCGGGATTGGGACTTTGACCTCTGGAACAACGCCGATGCTCATCCCAAAGCGGTACAGAAGCGCTGCGTTACTACGGCTGTTAAAGCAATCATCGACAGTGCTTTAGGTGATAATAACGGATGGGGGTGCGAGGCGGACTTCGGCTTGAAAGATGACTGGCTCCGACTCGGCCCAGATGCCGAAGCAAGAAAGTGGTGTACGTACGGAGTCATTCTTACTCTGTCGAGAAACTGCCTTTTTCGTTTCAGTATGCTAATAATAGTATAGGGGGGATTAAAATCAATACGCCACTCAGGTCGGTATCGGAGGAGTGGCAAGTACCTACCGACATAGTCTGGGAAGAACTTGGTGAGAAGTTCGACTTCTGGATCGACGAGTCCTGCAGCTTCCACGTACACGTAGCGCCCGGCCCAACCAGACAAAACCGCTATACGCTGGATCAGATTGTTAGGATGGCGAAAGGAACGTACTTCTGGGAGCATGCGCTGTCCCAGCTCGTACCGCAAAGCCGTAAATGGAATGAATTCGCCTTGCCAAACAACACTATTTTCGCGGGGGACGAATATATAGGAGTCCCTGACAAAGGGTGGGCCCCCCTCTTTGCAAAGATCGACAGGCTTGCGGCTATATCCGAGACCAAACTTCTCGATTCACTGAAAGGCGGGGAGACTAGGAAAGGCTGGACAGCGAACGTATCGACCAACTTTTGCCCACTTTACGAAAGAGGAACAATCGAGTTCCGTCGCCAGGGCGGCGTTGCCTCAACTCTGAGTACCACCCGTTGTATCCTCCTGGCCGTTACGCTTCACATGAGCGCCCTCCGCTATAACTTCGATAAAGCCAGTACCCGGAAGGACTACCCCGACGGAGAAGAACTGATCAAGGAGCTCGCTGGCTGCGTCAAAAAGCTTCCCGAGACATGCCACGGTACTCGATTCGTTTACTGGCTTAACTGGTGCCAGGAATCCTACGGCGCCTCCCCGAAAGATTACACCGCGGCCCAAATCAACATCAGAGAGGAAGCCCACCGTAAGGGAGCAATCCCTCCTAATCAGCGTCCATATGACCGTTTTGCCGAGCCTTGCCCTCCCGGGGCGATGGTGCTCCCCGCATATGTGACACCATCTTCCACGGCCACAAACACCGCCCCGCAAGCACGACAGGGAACAGCCGCCGCGGCCCAAGGAAGGGGAGGAGCAGCAAGCGGGAGAGGAGGTGCCTCCGGCGGAAGGGGGGGAGCGGCAGGTGGGAGGGGCGGCGCAGCCCAGGGCTCGTCGACCACCCCGTCCCTAACCCCCGCGGCCCAAGGCGGGAGGGGCGGGGGAGCAGCAGCGAGCGGCAGAGGGGGAACCGCCACCGGCGGAAGGGGCGGAGGAGCAGCAGCGAGCGGCAGAGGGGGAACCGCCACCGGCGGAAGGGGCGGAGGAGCAGCAGCGAGCGGCAGAGGGGGAACCGCCACCGGCGGAAGGGAAGGCGGAACAGCCAGTGGCAGAGGAGGCGGCGCTTCTGCCGGTGGTGCTCCCGCCCGAACGACCGCCGGCGCCCGGACCGGCGGTGGCATGACGACGCGTCTGCCTGAACGCCTCGCGGCGTCGTCTTCTACCGCGCCCGCTGCCGGCCAGCGTCGCCGCCAGCAGGGTGATGGTTCCTAGTTTGGGACTGTACCTTGAAGGTTGTTAAAGTCCCAAGCGTGAGGATGAGCATGGCTAGTGGTGTCGGGTGCTGTCCTTGAGAATATTGCTACTGCACATGATTTGGATCTCTGCCCGCCCGAGGTTCGAGTTTCCGTTCTATTTGTGCGCCGCAGAGGAAAGCACCTCGCGGGGGGTTCCAAAGCGCATCGAGCCATGGCTTGTTCAAGAAGGGGGCTTTACAAACCCGGGGGAAACTCACAGACCTTCTGGCACTGAACTGGGATGTGGACCACGGGCCTATTGGCGGAGGGGAGTCTTTGTTTTTCTGTTGTGCGTTGCGTTTTACTGTATCTTGCGATTGGTGTATTTAGGTAGAGGGAGGAAGTTAGACTGGCCCTCTCAGGCGTTCAGGCGCAACTAGGCAATTTTTTTTTTTTTCTTTTTCTTTCTCCGCTGCTAGCGGGACTGGTTTTGTGTTTTGTAGACCCGTGACCGCAACGTCTCCCACAGGGTCAGTCATCTTGATGCATTCAGTGAGGCGATGAGATCTCGCATCGCCGACTCTGTTTGAATGGTTTTTAGCCACGGATCTGGTCCGGGATGGGAAACTGGGGGCCGCCGTAACCCAGCCGAGCCATCCACGTTGTCCGACGCGTCAGCGACAGCAAATACGCACTCAGAACCCGAGCCAGACCACGGCTACACGACGGACAAGCCGGATTCACCAGCAGCCGCGCCCTCGAACCCCGAAAGCGGCCCGGCTAATGGAACCCCCCCGGGACCCGGGCCACCACCCGACGGCGGCGCGCTCGCCTGGATGCAAGTCGTCGCGGCGTTCTCCGTCTTCTTCAACACGTAGGGGATGCTCAACACGTTCGGCGTCTTCCAGACCTACTACGAGTCCGGTGCGCTCTTCCAGGGCGCGAGCTCGTCGACCATCTCCTGGATCGGCTATATACAAGCCTTCTCCGTACTCGCGACTGGCCTGCTGAGCGGGCCCATTTACAACCGCGGCTACCTCCGGTACCTGCTCGCGACGGGGTCCTTCCTCATTGTCTTTGGGTTTTTCATGCTTAGTATACGCAAGACCTTCTGGCAGGCCCTCCTCGCCTAGGGGTTTTCTGTACTTCATACCGCGCTTTCTCCGCCGACTGCAACACTGGCCGTCCCCGGGATCAACTACAGCGGCGGCCTGTACGGCCTTGCCTGACGCCGATATGTTGAAGGTGCCCGACAGCCGTATTCCCAGCGGCAATGCGCGGATTGCGCGGGGCGTTCTCAGCTTGTCATTTCCCTGCTGCCTGAAGGCGGGGTCGTGCCTGATATACGTCGTCAGACGATGCGGAGATCCCGACCACCCCAGTAACGCGACCTTCCGGTTGTTGGCGGCGAGAGCTGATCCAAATCAGTTGTGAGAGGCCCGGGACCCTACCTAGCCTTCTCAGTTTAAGGTCAAGACTCTCGTCCCATGTGGGATCCGACCGCCTCTTCGCTGTTGACGGTGCCGCTTAGGCGCCGTTCTGCCTTGGTACCATGTACGCCAAGGGCTGGAGTCAGCCAATGACATTCACACCGACTACCTCTCGCAAGAGCATCGCCCGAACAAGAAGATTAGGCCGAGAGGCAGACATCACAGGCCGTCCAATACCCCGTCTTAACCGGCTCGTATTCCGGCCGGTCAGGGCCGATTGGGCGCTGAAATGCGGGCCAAGTGAAAGAATACTCCAAGATAGGAGGCGTTTTTCGACAGTACCGACAGCAACACAAGACTTCTCAACGTCAGGACGATGAAGGAAGCTTACGCCAAGGGGCGGGGTAGAGAGATTTCGGAAGGAGAAGAAGGGAACGGAGGACGAAAGGAAGGAACCTTTGTGTGTCTATGCTGCTTGTGCGCTGTCGCCGCTATTATTATAAGGTAATCTTTTCACTCTCACGATTCCTTTCTGCTCCGGTGATGGAACGTCGATCGGTTACGAGAATGGGAATCCGGTCTGCCGCTGCTACAAGAATGGGTGCAATGTCTTCAAGTCTCGTTGTACGGGTCGTGGGTGGCGAGTGCACATACTTGGGGGCTGTAATTGTTCTGGGGTTAGCGCCTGCTGATTAGGATGAGGGTTGGCGAGAACCGAGAGCCAGTGGATGTAGCAGAGTTTGGTTCGGTAGAAACAATGGAAGCGTTCATCGTGGGCAGGGAGAAGCCGACCGGAGCAAGATCAGCTCGCCGGGAGGAAGAATGTTTACTTCACTAAGCGCTTCCCTTAGCAAACATCAGATGAAGTCTTGGAACTCTGCGCGAGGTGACGCGGGGAGGGAAGGCACAGAGCCCGGATACACCTTAGTCGCCAAGGGAGTCCAAGCCGCGGATGCAGACACGCTCGTCGCGGAAGCCGGCATTTCTGCGCATTGTAGAAGCTTCCAGGGCGTCTATCGTCAGCCACATGATGCTGATGTCGTGGGCGGGGACGAGGCTCAAACCCCACATACCCGAGGGTATAGACGTGGACTACGAGATTGACAGCACGGTTGGGCAGCTGGGCTCCGCTGGTATACAACGGCGATGTGCGGGATGTAAACCTCGTCTGGAACGAGGAAGTAAAGAGGGTGATGGCGATCGATGTCGACCGCGGGGGACGGAGACTACCATTCTCTCCCAGGAAGGACATTGTAGTATCTATCGAAAGCTCCAATCCTCTATCATACAGTAGCTAGCACCCGGAAAGAGTTGAAAGAAGCAGTTATTCCATGAGTTATTCCATGAGTTATTTCATCAGTTATTTCACCATTGCCACATTACCTTGTTGCGTCGTTGCCATGCTATGTCTGCATCCGGAAATCGAAACGGCTGAAGAAAAAAGACCATGAAACAAAGGCGGCCGTCGGCCGGGGCCTCGGTCAAGGTGCTGCGCCGCCCGGCTCGAGGCCTTGGACCAAGAGACAAATCCTACCCAATCTTTGGTTTCGTGCGCATGCCTTTGCGGCTGAAGGAAGGCAGTACTCGGCGTCGGACCTTCATCCATAATCCTTCATATCATCCATTCCATCGTAGGATACATGTACGGAGGAGTAGCTGACGGATACTTTGGCAGATCCTTTTGGCAGACAAGATTCAAGACCTCGGACTGGTCATTTCAATTCCAAGTTTGGACCCAAAGACCAAATCGAAGCTGAGAACTGCGACAAACTGTCGCCCCCAAACAGCCACTTAAAACTCAAGACGGTGCTATTTATGGGACACCCAGCTCCCGTCCCGGGTCAGCTCTCAGCCCTACACTCCACCTCCCCATGGGGGGGGTCGACACCCTCGGACTTGAGGCAACGGGATGGCCAGACCAACGGCCAACTTGGACTGTGCCGCTGCCAGGATCCGGCAACCCACCACGGACTGATGCGGTGATGCAACCTCGAACCAGCCTGATGGTGCCAGAGACAGGCCGGGCACTTTCCTGCGCCCTCAAGATGCCGATCATCAAACCAATCTCTGTGTGAACAAGGAGGCTTGAGATGCCAACCGGAAATCCTGTGTAACCCCCACCTTGAATGCGCGCACAACATCCCAGGGCTGGCCAGGTTCATGTCGCGGTTGACCACTGCTCAATGGGATAGGGGTTGTAGGTAAACTAGGTAAACAAGGTCCGACTAAATTTATGAGCTATATTGAACTCGCTACATTGAACTGGGTTCGTACCATCGTTGTTAAGGTTTAAGGAATACCGTGATTCGCGACTGTCGCAAGCTCAGAGGATTGCAATCGATGCCCAGTGGTTGGCTGGACTTCGCCTCGGGGTGTGTGGAAGCCTAACGTGGGGGTCCTTTTCCCTTTCACTCGAGCCTCCAGTCTGAAGTCAAGATCAGACCAAGGGCAGTTGGCCATAATTGCACATCGGCCGTCTTGTTCAATCCCAAACAAACAGGAATCCGGCCTCATCCATAAGGCAACCCCGAGCAATGCCCAAAAGGAAGCAAGCCCGGGCTGGTCGCTGATGTGAGACGGTAATGTCCCAGCTTCTTGGCTTCCGTTCCCCCAACCTAAAGAGTCCAGCTCTAAATTCTACGGCCATGAACCAATCCGGACCCCACGACCAGCCCTTCGGTTTATGACCGCAGTCTGAGGCAGGTGTCGAGGGCCTCCTTGGGTTACACCCCGTCCCTTACCCTCCCCCCGACCGGCCAACAAGGGGCACATGCTTCATCCAGTTACACAGAGTGAGAGCGCTCCGCGGGATAAGTACAAGGCAGGAAGTCCACCCAGATCAGGCGATCCACTTCCCCAGATAGTTTCTGCATCACTCGTTTCGCAAACCTCAGCCTCCACACACCTTCTCTACCAGTTTTTAAGCACTCTATACCCGACCACCATGTCCCAAATCGAGCAGCACGAGTGGCAGACTGGCCTCTGCAGCTTCTTCAGCAGCGGCCATTGCTTCATGGGCTGCTGCTGCCCGTGCATGCGTGAGTAGACGCAATCTGTCTGGCCTGTCTCCCGCTACGCACCCGACTAACCCTGTCTGATAGTGGCCAACAGGACGCATGAGCTCCTCGAAGACCCCGACGAGAAGACCCCCAGTGGGTGTGGTCCCGTGGGTTGCGGCTGGTGCCTGGCTGAAATGGCAGGTGGCCTCGGTTGCATGTAAGTTCCCTCCCAAGCCCATGCCATCCCACGATATCACATCTGACAGCCTGTGTAGTTTCGGCTTCCTGCAGCGCAAGAAGATCCGCGAGAAGCACGGCATCGAAGGCAGCACCTGCGGCGACTTGTGCGTCAACTGGTGCTGCCCGTGCTGCTCCGTCATCCAGCAGCTCAATGAGCTTGAGATGCGCCGCGACGCCCGCCAGGTGAACAAGGCGGGTTACCAGCAACAGGCCCCCATGCGCCAGTAATCGCCATTAGATATGGACGACGGAGGGAAGCACGGGAGTTACGAAGGATCTTAGGATACCCAGCGTAGCATCTTTTGTAGGAGTAAACGGCGCTCTGGCTTTTCTTTTTGTTTTTGTTTTCAAGTTGCACTGAATAGACGACGGATCATCATCATGCCTCTCCCCCCCTGACTGTGAACCGGTACTCGTCCCCGCGGTCCAAATACACCACCTTGTCCCCCAACCCAGCCGCATCCACCTGCTTCTTGAAGTCGTCCAGCGGCGAGCAAAACACATCATAATCGTCAAAGTGAATCGGCACCGTCACGTCCGGATCCACCAGCTGCATCAGCTTTACCCCCTGTTCCCCATCCATCGTGACCATGAGCAACGGCATCTTCGGCCCAGGAATCGTCGTGCCGCCCAGATGCACCAACATCAGATCGATCTTATCCCCGCGCAGCCGCTCCGGTATCTCCTTCAACTCATCCACCATAAGCGTATCCCCCGAGATATAAATCCTATACCCCGTCTCAAACCCCTCCACCCCTTTTTCCTCCCCGTTCGTCCACCCCAACTCCACCAACCACCCATTCGTCGGCGGCACCGCCCCGAGCAACTCATTCGCCACCTCGATCGGCCCCGGCGGGACATGCTTCCCCGGCAGCCCCGTCACCCTCACCGCCGCCCTCTTCCCCCCATCCAGACCATCCCCACCACCACCACCACCATTGGCATCACCACCACCAACCCCCCTCACATAATCAACATACTCATCCGCCAACGGCATAACCACCCCCTCCCACTCCCCCAGCCCCCAAACCCTCCTAAACCCCCCACCCTCATCCTCCCCAACCCCCTCCAAACACCCCTTCGCATGCCTCGTCGTCACAATCGGCACATCCCGCCCCAACGCCCGCTGCACCCCCCGATCAAAATGATCCTCGTGGTAATGCGACACCAGCACAACATCTAGCGGGGGCAGGGCGGCGAGGTCGGGGATGGCGGGGTCGGTGAGCCGCGTGGCGGACACGGCGGGGCCGAGGTGGATGTGGGAACCGGCGTGCAGGAAGTTGGGGTCGGTTAGGATGCGGAGGGGGGGGTGGGTGATGAGGGTGGTGGCGGTGCCGATGAAGAAGATGGAGGCGGGGTCGGATTCGGTTTCTTTTTCTTTTTCTTTTGTCCCCGCCTTCTCAGGAGGGGGTTGCTCGGGGTGGGCTTGGAGGTGCTGCGGGTGGTGTTTGCTGTGGGCGATGGGGAGGGTCGGTTCGGGGGAGGGGTGGTGGGTGGAGGTGTTGAGGAGGGGGGTGCGCTGGAGGGGGTTGAGGATTAGAGGGGGGTGGGTTGTTTGGCGGAGGGGTTTGGGCGTGGCCATTTTGGTGTTGCTTTCCGTGTTGCTGTTTTTGGTTTCGTTGGTCCTGTTCAGTTGGTTGCTTTGGTGAAAGGGGTTGGCTGGTGTTGTGCAGCTTCTCGAGTCGTTGCTGCTCGAGTCTGCGCTCGTGTTCCTCCTGGGACATGAAATACTCCATTTTTGCGTGGTTTGGCATGATCAAGTCCTGTATTGCCTCGTCTGGAGATCATGTCGTATCTATTTCGCTGCTACTGGCTACGGATCGTAATGTGGCCAGGACAAAGAGTCGGTTGTCGTCATCGATCGACGAGCTCTGGCCACGCATCAACCAGACACCGCAACACCCAATTCTTGGGTTCCGACAATCTGGCTACTTTTGTTTCTTGTATTACTGGATATGCTAATTACACAACTGATCATCGAATAAAGCCGCTGATGACATCAACATGGTGTGAAGTAAACTCAACACTCCCACGCCACAACTTGGCCCACTACCATCACTACGTCTTAGTCCGTTGATCCGGCGGTGGAGACAAAGGCACCCACGTCAAAATCGATAGCTTTATTTTAGAGTTAACCAAAAGGCAACTGAAAGTAACGTGAGGCAGGACTCTATATTTAGCACAGCCGTTTTCGGTGCCACGGGGCGGATAGGAGCCTAAAGGAGACGAGATTCCGGCTGGGCTTCGCCAAACCAGGCGTCTCGGCCTTTCCGGTCAACCGGAAAATGTGCCAAGAGAGAACCTTATGGCTCCTGCCAGTGCATAAGGGTAACTCACGTCTTGGGGACCATTGCCGAAGTTGGGTGGTAATATCTGGGGTGCAGGTGACCTCGCAGCGGATAATATCGTTCTCACCCGGCAATCATCGTGACTCAACGCGAGGGCAAAAAGGCATGACAACCTGAACAGAGGCTTGGGCAACGCGCTGTTTCCACGATGAAGAGGGAATATGGCAGAGGTCTGATTCGTCATAGGTATTCCCCGCCTCGGTACATACATGCAAGGAGAACGGGAGTACGGATCAACTGCCCATCTCACATCCACCATGCCTCATCCCCCACACATCAACCCTGCCAGACATTCGGCCCAGGAGCCTTGTAGCTCGTCCGCACGGGGTAATACGACCACAACAGGCCGGGGTCGTTGGTCCTGTACGCACCCGGGAACGAGACCAGGGGCCCGGGAGAGCCGTTCCCGCCATTCTTCAGCTCGATCTGGGCACACGACAGATAGATCTGGGCGCCGCCGGCGCTCTGGGCCTGGTGCAGCGCGATGCTCTCGACGCGGACGAGGTACTTGCCGCTGGGGACGCTCTTGGGGACGGTGAATTCGACGGTTTGCTTGTCTGTGTGGATTATTGATCAGCATTCCCCGTTTTTTGTGAACTAGAGTGAGAGTAGAACATACTGTAAGCGGGCCAGGTGTCCTCTCCCGAGGTGAGAGCGCCGCCGGCACCGGGCCTGGCCGAGATCTCGGCGACCTTGAACCACACGTTCCCAGATGCCTCCCAGGTGTTGATGTCGCTACCCTCGGGAACGCGAGCCATGTAGAAGGAGACGGGACCGAAGTGGGTGATGGACGACATGGCGACGAACCCCAGCTTGTCACCGGCCGAGACAGAGGCGGTCCCCGTGCCGGGCTTCATCTGGAAACAACGGATGTCCTGGGAGTTGACGTCGGTCACGCCAAAGTTGCCCTGGTAGTTCTTGGTCTGGCGGACCGTGGTCCATTCTCGCTGCTCGGCGACGCCGTTGACGATGAGCTTGGAGAAGCGGTCTGCTGGGGTCAGTTGTCGTTGCGGCCTTAAGGAGATAGAGCTTACAGTGGGCATCGGCAGTAGCTGCCATGAGCAGCAGAGACGGGAGGACCTTCATCTTGGGCGTGTTGTGTCGAGAGAGCAGTGGTGTTTCGAGGCAGCTTGTCTGGACGAGGCGAGACCCCCAGAACAGCCCAAGGGATACCAGGGGAGCATATATAGTAACTGAACCTCGTGGGCTACGACCTAAACCAGTCACGGCTTGTTCGAATACTACCGAAATCAAATAAGGCCAAGAATCTAGACACTACCTTCAATCTTCTGGGCCAACCCCACGCAGCCCATTGACAGATTGTGACCCTAGGGCGTGTTTAGCCTGTTTGTGGGAATGAAGTGGGATGACGATGCCACTGGACGCCGCCAGGGCAAGTGTGGACAAAAGTGATGGCTCTCGTTCGGAATTGTCTGGAAGACACAACGACGGTAAATACAGTGAGTGGCCGAGCCTTCGCTACCTGGCACCTTGTTCGATTCCATGGTTCCTCTATGTCGAGCCACTGCTCTCAGGCTTCACCACCGTCTTGTTACCTCACTGGCAGTGTTGGGCAGAGACCCAATCCCTTCCCAATCCGTGCCCTCCGTAACTTGCCCAATACACTTACGATTCACCAACGCAGCCCCTAATCTCGTTCTCGATGAGTAGCATGAGAAGAAGTCCACAAAATAGTGGGTTGGCGTCCTAGAAGGACAGTGGGAGAGTGGTTGTGAAGTTGAGCACTGCCGAGGCAACTGTCAACTGGCATGACAAACTTGGAAACAGGTTCGACTGAGAAATGGCGCGGGTTGGACCCTGATCGCCCATTCATCCAATCCACACCCGGAAAGAGCAACCCGGAACCCTTCGGGTGGAAAGAGCGCGGGATTTTCCGAGGTCCGACCAAACCGAGCCGCCGGCATCGCCTTGACGCTCGGACCAGTTTGTGCACGCTAAACCGAGATGGGATGATCAACTTTTTTTTAGCGCAACGGACCGGCCAGCTGCCACGATCGAATTCCACTCACCAAGACCACTTCAAGTTCCTTTTGCTGTGTAGATTTCTCTCCACTGCCTTCTCTGCTCGTTTTAGTAACCCTACACGTTACGGTCACTACTTTCAAGATGTTCATGGCCTCCAGGATCCAGACCCGCGCCTTCTCGGCGTCGGCGAGAAACGTAAGCACTCGAACCGCCGACTACCCATTCCTTCCGCGGGGCGCTTCTGCCCCTCGCGACCTCGTGCGGGCAGCTAGGTGGCCTTGGGCCCTGTATCGCGCAGGCTGGCTCCTGGACCGGCCATGTGTGCAATTGACACAATTGAGGGCATTGGCACCATTGACATGCAGCTACTGACTGTTTGCGCGTCCTCCAGCTCTCCAAGGTTACCGTTCTCGGTGCCGCCGGTGGCATCGGCCAGCCGTTGTCGCTGCTCCTCAAGCTCAACCCCAGAGTCACTGAGCTTGCGCTTTACGACATCCGTGGCGCCCCTGGTACGTCCCTGCATCATGGCACACCTCCCTGGCGAATTGCTGACATTCCCTCCCCCTCCCCTAGGCGTTGCGGCCGATGTGTCCCACGTCAACACCAAGTCCAACGTCAAGGGTTACGAGCCGACCCCCAGCGGCCTGGCCAGTGCGCTCAAGGGCGCCGAGGTGGTCCTGATCCCCGCCGGCGTGCCCCGCAAGCCGGGCATGACCCGCGACGACCTGTTCAACACCAACGCCTCCATCGTGCGCGACCTGGCCAAGGCCTGCGCCGAGTCGGCCCCCGAGGCCAACATCCTGGTCATCAGCAACCCCGTCAACTCGACCGTGCCCATCTGCGCCGAGGTCTTCAAGGCCCGCGGCGTCTACAACCCCAAGCGCCTCTTCGGCGTCACCACCCTCGACGTCGTGCGCGCGTCCCGCTTCGTCAGCGAGATCAAGAAGACCGACCCGGTCGACGAGAAGATCACCGTCGTGGGCGGCCACAGCGGCGTGACCATCGTGCCGCTCTTCAGCCAGAGCAGCCACCCGGACCTGTCGTCCAACGCCGACCTGGTCAAGCGCGTGCAGTTCGGCGGCGACGAGGTCGTCAAGGCCAAGGACGGCGCGGGCTCCGCGACCCTGTCCATGGCCATGGCCGGCGCCCGCATGGCCGAGTCGCTGCTCCGCGCCTCGCAGGGCGAGAAGAACGTGGTCGAGCCCACCTTCGTCGACAGCCCGCTCTACAAGGACCAGGGCATCGACTTCTTCAGCTCCCAGGTCGAGCTCGGCCCCAACGGTGTCGAGAAGATCCTGCCCATCGGCAAGGTCGACGCCGTCGAGGAGAAGCTGATCGAGGCCTGCCTGACCGACCTCAAGGCCAACATCCAGAAGGGCAAGGCCTTCGTCGCCGAGAACCCGGGCAACTAAGTTGTTTAATACAAGAATTGGCAATGCGGATGACCAAGCGGGCTCTCTGGGCTGACCTTGCGTCTCCAACCGCTTACCCTATGAACGAGCAAGACGCGATTGCTTGTGATGTATAATACTAGCAACGCATTTTGAATTTGCAGTTGACCCAACCTACGAGCTGGGCCGTCCAATAGAAGTGAGATGAGATGAGTGGCCATGTCTTGATGTATCAACCACGCCGCGCGCCACGCCGGAGAATGCCATGTACACAAATGCATCCACCACACCATCTATTCCTGCCCCGTACTATATATGTACACCACTCAAACAACACAACCAAACAGACAAGACAGACAGACCAAAAAGAACCCCATCCCCCCTCTATTCACACCCATCCATCCATCTAATTAGTAAACCACCCCACCCCACCATCCCACTCGCACTCTCACGCCGCAGCCGGCTCCTGCACGCCAAACCTCGCCCTCACCGCCGCCTGCCTCTCCTGCACCTTCCTCTCAAACTCCGCCACCTTCTCCTGCGCCTTGCGCTCCTCCTCGCGGGCCTTCTCGGCCGCCACCACCGCCTTCCTCTCCCTCTCGCGCTCCAGCTGCTCGGGCCTGCGCTCGGCGATGTCGCGCGCCTTGAGGTCGCTAAACAAAAACTTGAGCACGACCTCGATGACATAGCAGGCCGCGTAGTCGAGCAGCATGACGACCGTCATGGTGGTCTTGAACTCGGAGGTGAAGGGGACGAGCTTCATGGCCTCGTTGAGCTCGGGGATCAGCTCGGTCGAGCAGGCGAAGGCGATGCCTGTCACGCCGACGATGCCGTAGAACATGCCCTTGTTTTCGGAGAGGGATTCGCGGAAGGGCCGGCCCTGGTAGTTGACGGCGAAGGTGGAGATTTGTTGGATCAGTTGGAGCAGGTAGACGGCTGAGTTGAGGAGCGAGGGCGCGAACTCGGCTTCGAGGTCCACGGATTCGGAACGGCTGTAGTGCGCGTGCGTTAGTATCGGCAACATTGTGAGATAGAAAAAAGAGGGGGAAAAGGGACTTACGGAGCAAGCTTTTCGCAGAACCGGGCGATGTAGATCAGGGTCGCCACGTGAACCGCAAACTGGCCGAGAATCGAGCCGATGATGTAGAAGTTGAAGATGTTGGGCTGCGGCCGCTCCTTGGACAGGCCCTCGACCGACTTGGCGCGCGAGATGGACAGGAAGCACACGCTCATGAGCATGCCGCTGATGGTGATCTGCCCGTCGCCGAACTTGATGCCCTCCAAGTACAGCACGCTGAGACTGTACGCGCTGATCAGGCAGTTGAGCGCCAGGATCTTGTACATCTGGATCGTCGCCACTAGCGTGCACCGGCCCTGGCGGATGATGTTGGGGATGGCGACGACGTTGCGCAGCTTGGAGGTGAACGGGGCCGCCACAGACGCGTCGCCCAGCTTCAGCGACGGCGGCTCGTCGTCCATCTCGGCGTCCATCATCGATTGCGTGAGCTTGTCGGCGAAACCAGCCGCTTGCTTGGCCGCTTCGGCCTGTTTGGCCTTGCGGGGGTCCGCGTTGATCAGCTGTTGGGCGGCGGGCGAGGTAACCGTCTCGATGTTGGTGCCGTTGGCCTGCGCCAGCTGCTCGACCGTGACGCCCTTCTTCTGCGCTTCACGCTCCATCGCCTTCTGGTAGTGGGGGTTGGACGGTCCAGGCGGGTACATGTGGGCGATCATAGCAGGGACGGGCGGGGCGGGCTGGTTCCAGCGCTTCATCATGTCAGCCTGCTTTTCGTAGAGGCCCTTCATCTTGGTGTTCCGCGAGTGTTCCGCAATCCGGGTAAGGTCTTCCTGGGTACCGTTGAGCAGGGCAACACCAATATGAGCCTGCTTGAGGGCGCCAACATCGTTGGTGCCGTCGCCAGCCATGAGCGTGTAGTATCCCATATCCTTCAACCCGAGAAGAATGTCCTCCTTCTGCTTGGGCGAGACACGGGCATACACCCACGTGTACCGGAGAAGCGACTTCCAGGCGACCTGGCCCTTGAACTTGCTGAGCGCATAGCCGGTAACACACAGATCCTTGGTCTTGATAATTTCGGGGTCGATGGGCAGAGTGGGGTCGACGTCGATCCGCACCTTGTCGTCAACGCTGCGCCAGATGAGCGATTCCTCGCCGTGCACGCTGTGCTCCGGCGCATCCAAGATGAGAACATCACGATCAACAATCTCGACCTCCTTGGCAACATGGACGGCAGTGAGAGGGTTGTCACCGGTGATCATGACCACGCGGTGGCTGCTCTCGTTGAGCATCCGGACGGCCTCCTTGGCGTCGTCCTTGAGCGGGCATTGGAGTACGAGGAAACCGGCAAAGTGGAGATCAGCTTCGACCTTTTCCCGCTTGAGGTCGTTAATCCTGCTCGCGCCCAGCTCGCCCTCGGTGGTGAGGTGCTTGTATGCCAGGGCCAAGACCCTAGAGCCGCGGCGGGTGAAGTACTTGAAGGTCTCCTCGTAATCCTTGGGGATGGTAACCAGCATTTTCATGATTGTCTCGGGCGCACCCTTGACAGCGACAAATGTGCCTCTCACCTTCCGGCCGGTTCTAGCATCGGTGGCGTTGATAGTGGCAACAGAGCTCTGGCGCTTGAGGGCGGACGAGAACTGGAAACGGCGCTTGACCTGGACAGTGCCCATAGTACCAGCGGCGGACGCACTAGCTGGCTTGCTGGTCAAGGTGTCATTCTTTCCAAGGCTCCAACCCAGAGCGGAGAGTGTGGCTTTCTCCATCGGGTCACCCACGATGTCGCCTTCGTCGAGTTTCACCAGGGCGTGAGCGGACGCGAGGACCAAAGTCGTCTCCATGCCAGCGTCGTGAACGGGGGTCATGCGGCTGTGGGCGCCATCAGAGTCCTGGGGCGTGTCGGTACCAGAGTGGCCGAGACCAAGGCCAGCAATACCCTCAACAACCAAGTCTTCTCCGGTCAGAGTACCGGTCTTGTCGAAGCAGGCCACGTCGATGCGACCAGCAAAGGGGATTCTAAAGGGTTCGGTGCAGAAGATGGCAAACTTGGCGAGCGCAGCCAAGCTGGTGTTGACGGCCAAGCTGAGTTCCATGGGCAGCTCAGGAGGGACGACGCTGGTGACAATGAGGATGCAGTCCAGCAGCAGCTTGGAGCGCTTGCGGTCCTTGCGGACACCCTCGTCCCAAACATACCACGACGCGGCCAGGGCGAAGATGAGAAGGAAGAGGATGAAGAGCAGAGCCTCAACGTTGTTGGCCGACACACGCTCTGTCGAGTAGATCATGGTCCGCACGAGGCTGCCCTGGGATGTTTCGAATCCGGTCTTCGTAACAATAGCCATGGCGCCGTTGTCCGGGGGCGGGGGAACGCCTGAAGCAAGCTTCGGCTTCTCCTCCTCTGCATTTCCATGGGTGATCTGGAGGATCTTGGTACCGCCCCACAAAAACGAGTTCTTGTCCAGACCGTCGGTCTCAATCGTGGCCTCGCCAGGCCGGAGCTGGATGGAATCCTTCAGGAGCGGCGTGCTCTCGCCGGAAAGCATGGCCTCGTTGACAATGGCCGTTCCCTCCACCAAGAGCATATCACAGGCCATACCACCGTCCTCCTTAGTCCGTGTAACCGACGCCAAGTCACCCGGGAGCAGCTTGTCGCTCTGAACCTCAATCCACTTGCCAAGGCGATAGACGTAGATGCTGTAGGGCTTGATGCTCATGCTTCGGAACTCGGTCAAGGTACGCTGGCGCTGCCACACGACGGTGCTCTCGAACATGACGAGCATGAACAGGGTGAAGAGCGAGTAGTACCAGTACTCGTCCAACAGCCACAGTCCGACGCAGAAGATCTGGAAGACGAAGAAGGGTGCCACGGCATGTTCCTTAAAGAGCTCGGTGAAGGTCGGGACGGGGATGTCGAACGTGTTGGTGCCATAGTGCTGCTCGAGGCGTTCCAGCTCGGCGGCGCTCGTGATACCCCGGGAGGTCTGGAACTTCTCAAGCTTCGACTGCGGCTCGGCATCGATGTCGTAGGCAAGGGTGCCAAAGGACTTAGACTCGGGGTTGTAGAGGAACCGGCGTTTCTGGAAGAGGAACGAAAGGTTGGTCTTGCCTCCGACCTAGCCAAGTTGGTCTCGTCAGTATGTGCCGGAACGGGGAGGAAAGGGGGCGTTTGGGGCTCACGTTGTCGCGAACCAGCTTGCAGATGTCGGCCGAACCGGCATTCGCAGCCGGGATCACCTTGATCAGCAACGCATCCTCAACAGAGCGTGCCTTCTTGGCGGTAAAGGTAGCGTTGAGATTAACACTCCAGTGGGTGCAGAGCCAAACCAGGGTCTGGCATGTGATGATTGTGCCGACCCAGACGAAGGTCCACTCGGGCGCCTGAATGTACTGATCGTAGAGTTCGGGGGTCAAGTAGTAGCGCAAGAAGATGGGCCAGATAACGGCGAAAGGCCAGACGTATGCGTGCTGGTACAAAGGCAGCGGGCGCAGAAGGTCGGCCCTCTGGATCTGCGCGTTGTCGACGAGCGGCGCCATGGCTGGTCGAGCGAAAGGAAATTATGGGAGAACCGTAGATAATGTCCACATTGAAGAATAAGACGCGGCCAGGCCGGGACGATACGAATCGGCGCTGATGAAAACGAAAAAGAAAAAAAAGGGGCAAACCAGTTCGATGGAAAAATGTCCAGAAGAGAATCGGTGACGACGGGCAGCCAAGCAAAGAACCGGGAACGCGGGTTGCGTGGGATGCCATTTTTGGCCCCAATTGACTGGGTGGCATCAGTGGCATCTTCTTGGCGCAACGGCCTTTGCCGCCTCAGCTGCCTGCCTGGAGCTGTGACAGCTGGCACCATGTGGTGGAAACTGGCAGACATGCATGAATCGAACCTCCCAACCAGTCCCCAATCACAATCACATCCTCACTTTCATCAGATGGTTTCCCGCTACGTTGGTTGAATAATTCGAGAATAGATGCTTCATAGATACACCCCGTGATTCCTCAGGAACAGCTGTCACCTTTTGTCATTTTTCCCTATCCTTCACATTTTATTCAAGCAAATGGCGGAAGGTTTTTATGGCAGGTACGAAGGAGCCTGGAGACTCATGATCGGAATCCCATCCCATCTAGCCGATGTAATTAAATCATCAACCCCATTTTCGTCGCATATCGAGACGAGTACCTCATGGCTACATGGGTGCCGTGGTGATGGACCGAGGTACCACAGTGCTCGGGCAGAGTCTAGACTCGGGCTGCAGTGGTGACGCACACAGTGCTCATGGATACTCGGGCAACTAATTAGCAGAGTTCCAGAGACACATGATGCATGGCGTAGGTCATTCTTCTTCTCTCCATACCTGAGGCACCCCTCCCAACTTCCTCGGTGCTACCTATTTAATCGACCCCCACCCCATCTCTCCATCCCCTTCCTCTTCCTCCTCTTCCTTTCTACACGTCGCTCTACAGTACACACCAAGTCGTAACGCCCTCCGACACCTCAAAATCCTCTGACCCGTCCCGATTAGAACTTGGACCCAGGAGATGACAACGACGGCATTGAAGAACCCGAGCTCTTCCCCGAATGCGGAAGACAGCAGCGGGACAGCGATCCGGTTTCTCGTTAACCTCGTGGTCCCCTTCTGAAAGCCTCCTCCTCTGAGCCATCATCGAAGTCTTCCCCAAAGTGTGTACTGTCCAAATTCCACAAACCAAGTTGGTGTCGGAGGGAAGGAAGTCATTACAGCCAACTGAAATTTATGATCCATGATCCAGAAGACCACAGCGAGCCGGCTTTTGGTGATTCTTTTCCCCGTCATTTGATGGTTTTTATCACCAAACGCCACCAGACCGTTCAGATGCAGCCCTCAAGTGAAAAGGGAAACCGGCATCAAACCCCTGTGGATGGCACTGCAAATTACGGTCTGCGCGGTCGTCTCAAGAATCCCCGACTTCCAGCAGCAACACGGGGTTCTCCCGCTGTGCTGCCCCCCTGCCTGATGATCAAACTCGCTGCTGCTATTACTCACTATCACCACTATAGCTCGCTACCATAGGTGGAAAGGCAGGGGCGTGAGCATGACCGCGGGGGAGGCAGTCGTCCGAATGCATAACAGGGGCTCAAAAAGTCGTATCATTATGTGGCCTGTGATGAAATCTAAGAACCCCCCATCCATCGGATATGCACCGATAGGTCGCCAGCTAACCAACATGCATGTTGAGCTACTGGTCGAGGGGGGCTGAGGCTGCCGAACAAATCAAAAAGTTGCGGAACGGCTCAAGTGAGCTGGGCTGGCGTGTCTTTTGACAATGATTTACGGGGAGAAGTGGTGGTGGTTTGCTGAACAACATCTACGGCTAGTAATCGGGACCGCTTGTTGGGGACAGCTTATGAATCAACTCTGTCTCGGTATGTACCTACTAAATACCCAAGGATAGCTACCCCTTTCCGCTCTGTTCTAAATAATGAACCAATAAGCCATACTCCATACCTAAAACATATTCTTTCGGGTCCCAAGCCAGCCCGTCGCTGTTGCATAATCAGTAAAGTTGCTCGCCACGCTTCGCCCCCTAGTTGACCAACATGGAGGCAATCCGAGTCATATCTGCTTCAGCTTCATCTCCTTCCCCTCCTGCACATACACCACCGCCTTGCTGCCCTTGTTCCTCGGCCAAAACTGAACCACCACCTTCCCGGGAAGCACCCACTCGTGGGGGGACGGCTTAAACCGCGACGCCTGCCGGCGCAAGCTCTCAAAAATGTCATTCCTCGTTGAAGCCACGCGGACGAGTCCCTCCCCACCCGTCTCCGGATCAAATATGCCGGCCATCTCCCCGAACGGGTGGAGGATAACCTCTGGATAAATCTTCCAACCAATGTTGACGTCCAGATCGCGCAGCGCGGGCGCCCTGACGCGGATCTCGTCTATCAGTTTGCGCCAGATGCGGTCTCCGAAGGGCACGCCGCGCAGGTGGGGGTCAACGGACCGCGCGAACCTCGCGTAGCGGAGGTAGACACGATCGTCCCTCTGCGTGATGTTCAGCTCCAGGTGGCGGAGATGTTGGAGGCGGCGCGTGTCTCTCCGCGGCGGCGTTACGAAGAAGCGGTACGCGTCGGCCGTCGAGGTGAAGACGGGTGTGACCATCTCGAACAGGATCTTGGACGACTCGACGTACCTAGAGAGATCGAAGATGGGGTGTTCCGAGTCAGCCTAGATCTACCGTGACCTCTCTTTTCCCACACACGTCAAGAGCAGGCAGGAGGAGGGTTGGGGGGGGACACTTGGCTTACCACGACCGGCACGTCAGAAAGACGTTCATAATCAGCGGCGGTACACGATACGACTTGGGCAAGAGGCCATGCGCCACGTGGAGGGCGCGCTGGCACTGCTAGTGCCGGCGGCCCCAGTTGCGACGTAGAGCGAAGGACTCGCCGTGCTCGGGGTTCAACCAGATGATCTGGGGTTCGATTCTGCTGCGTAGATATTCTCGTGGATCCTCCATCTCGGGCACGCCAGGGTTCCGCGTGCATGGGCAATGTATCAGCCTGGTGCTGCTCCTGCCGCGCGAGTAGATGTGCATGCGCACGTTGGAGCCGACACATCCGGGTGCCGGGTCGTGAGATCCGAGGTAGCTGCGCTAAAGTTCCCGGAATATTTCATGTCGGAGCTCGATGGGTAGGTGGTTGACGTTACGGCAAGTCAGGGGTTGGAATATTAGGGGGCGCAAGGGGGTGATAGAGTTTGTATGGTTCATGTTGTGGTCATCATGCGTAATTCCTTAGGTATAAGGATTGTGGCATGAGGAATGTGGACGGGGGAGAGAGCCTGAGGAACTTGAGCTTCGATCGGTGTATTCTGGTGGAGGAATGCAGATCTATCTTCCATATTGTTAAGCAAGGTGGGTGGATACTAAGGCAGGTAGGTACTCCATACCTTCCGGTCTTGACAGGTACCTACCCGTACGAGTAGTAATTACGGTAGGTAGAGGCAGGCAGGTGCTGTCACAAGCCAAGGAGGTGCATTGCAAGGGGCATTGTTGGCTACGGGAACAGGTAGCTGCTTTAAATTGAAGCCAAAACGCAACACTTATATTGCTACCTACCCAACGCCGAAAGGGGGAACTGAACAATGCAAGGTCGCTAGCCTGGGAGTGAACCCATCGATGATCAACCCAACGCCGTCTCCAAAATGCAAATAACCCTATACAGCGAAGAGAGGCTGGAGAACTATCCATGGCCGTATGGAAAGTCGAGACCCTGTATATATATCTTCGAAACGAAACGCCGCAAACTTTGCTCATGAACATGCCCAATAATTCAAGACGCTCATTCCCTAACAACGTATAGCTTGGCGGAGCCCTCAGGAACCCACGACCCCCGCGTCGTCCCGACGCCCCGGCCTTACCTTTGGCAACTCGATCTCGCCGTCCGAATCCGAGTCCCCATCTGCCGCCGCCTTGTCCAGCATGCGGTCAATCTCGTCATCACCTAGCGCCTGCCTCGGTTTTGACAAGACGGTTAGGCCTGTGGAAACCGGTAGCTGTTTTAGCCTGGGTGTTGGCGCCTGGGAATGGGCTTGGTGGTCACCGTTCATTTTCCTCCGTGGCGTGCCTCGCGTTACCGACATGGGGGAGCCGCCTACGAATGGGGGTTCGTCGATGTCCATGGCCGACGGAGACTTGTCGAAGACGACCCGCTTTTGGGTGTGCGGTTGGGAGTGCGATTGCGAGCGGGCGTGATGCGGCGGCCGCCCCGTGGGCAGGCTCTTCCGCGGTTGCGACGTTGGGAGCGCGGTTCTATGCGGCGCCATGTGGCTTGATGGAAGTGGTTGAGAGGCCGAGGGGGGGAAGGCGTGCTTGAGGTTGGCCGAGTTGCCCGGGCTGCTCATGAAGAGGAGCGACTCGATTGCGTCTTGTTCACGGACGTTGGTGTGTGGTGAGACGAGCATGCCGTCCGAGGTGGCGCTCCTGTGTCGGCCTGGGGCAGGATAGGGGCTAGCGCGTAACCCGCCTGCGTTGGGTGAGGTGTGGCGGGAAATGAAAGGGGGTATTTGTCGTGGGTTAGGTTCCCTGCGTGGATTCCCTACGTGCTGCGATGGCTGGATCGAAACTGGCGGAGCGAGCCCGTGGCTGGTCTTGACGGGGGATGACGAGTTTCCCCGGGACGTGGATTGCGGGGACGTCCTCCACTGAGGTTCACCGGGGCGGCCAGAAGAGTGGTGCTGTGGGCCCGTGGCTGGGGTCGTGTTGTTGCTGGCGCGATGCGAGGCGGTAGAAAGCTGCGGGCTTGCTGACGAGCCGTTCCTCAAGTGTATCGTTGAGGCACTGGAGGCAGGCGAGGCCGCCTGTGAAGCCAACGTCTCGACCTGCTCGATGGAGTGAGACTGCCATCCATGGTTAACCTTGACCATGGCGTACGACAGGCGCGCTTTTATCTCGGCCGACAACTGGCGACAAGTTAGCACACCGAACTATCTCCGCATCGACTCGAATCGTACCTCTCCGATACGGCTTCCCGCGGTGGATGCCACGCTAACGGTGCTGGTATTCCTCGAGTGGCCGATCATTTGCCTCGGGGACACGTTCGACTTGTCGCGCGTGTGCTTCACCACACCGTCGGCCATCCGCTTTTTTGACGCGCCGTGCGCCATGTCGGTCGCGTCTTCGGGTATCCTCGCTTGGGCTGCGGCGATCTGGGACAGTTGGTGTAATTGAGATCCCTGGCTCGAACCCTGGGCGCTGCCGGTGCCGGGGCTCAACCTCCCTCCGCTCGCGGGCGGGGTAAACACGGAGTCGGTGCCGTTGGTGGTGCTCGTCCCCTGCGAATTGCTCCGAGAAAGTGGTAGCGGGTGTCGGTTTGGCAATTGTGGGGGATAGTTATTCTCGGTGGGGGCGCGGTATTCGAGCGAGGACAATGTGGAATAAGCGGCGGTTTCTGGTCCGAGATCCCAGGAAGCGCGGGATGCAACGGCATGGTCTTCGCGCCTCGTTAAATTGCCGCCTGAAGTGATGGCGCGGAACCGAGGCGCGTCGTCTCCTGGAGGTGGTCGTGTTTCGAGGGCAGCTCCCCTGGGCACTGCGGCGAATTGGTTCATATTTGTTGGGGGTGGCCCGGCGACAGTGTACGTGTACGGCGTCGAGTGCGATATGATGCTCGACCCTTTGTCTCCGGCGAGTCCGGGATCGAGTCGATGCGGAACCGCGGTTGGTTCCGGGTCTGTCATTGCGCAAGTAGGTGAATCGAGTTAATGTGCGTATCCAGAACCGGCAAGCGAAAGTAGCCAACGTTCTGGGGGAAGGGAGTTCAATGTGGTGGGGTGAGCCGATTGGTGGAGGGCGGGTTTGGAACAAGCAAAGTTGCGATATTTGGGCGGATTGGTGGTGGGTGTGCAGGCCAGTTGGTTACGCGGTTTGCGCGACGCCGCCGCGGCTCAGCAAGTGGGTGGGCGGGCGTGCCGTGCACAGACAGGATTGGAGACGTCCCCTCGGAACCAAGCCCCCACCCACCAACCAGCTGCGCTGTGGATGAATCGACGCGGCCCCGTTCAACCCGACGTCACGGGCAGGAGGCCCCGACCAGCCACTTGACGTTCGCCGCGTTCGAGTTGAAGACTTTTTATTACCGCGGCGAGTTACTGGACATGGGACTTGTGGGAGAACTACGATAGATTCGGTGTGATGAATTGATTGCGACGGTATCCTGGACCAATTCGAACTTGCCAAACAGCACTTTGTGTCGCAAGAATACCTGCCTACCGCGATGGATGCTCGCTAGGTAACTCAACGGCTCGGCCCCCTACCAAAGAATTTCATGGCCCATGCAGAGAAACGGGCAGTTCTGGCCAACCGTTGGGGAGGAGAAAACTCGACTTGAAAGCGGACGCGAAGTCACGTGGGCTGGTTGGTGGAAACGCGCTGCAAGCCACTGGAGGGGCTTGTTTTTATTTTGACCCCACGGCAGCCAGAGGTCCTGGGCAGGGTTTGGGTCACATGGTCACTCCTTGAGCACCGTGACAAGGCGTGGTGCACTTGAATGCCATTCATTCACCATCATCCTTCATCTCTACACCTCGCTCAAAATTTATTGTGTACGAATAGTTATCAATTGTTGATGCGATCGATCATCGGTGGGGCTCCATGAACCCGACTTGAGACACGCGCGTGGCGTGGCAAGGAATGCACCCGATCCGGCTAGGACACGTCTCCCCGCCATCTTCGGTATTCTCTCCCGAGCCTCGGGCCGTTCCTTTATCTGCAATCAATGGCATCTCCGAGGCACTGTGTTGAGGTACTATGACTGCATCAAAGACAGTGAGGCCATGAACTTAGACTGAGGTGTCTCTCATATTGTATCCGACATGAGCAGTCTCGAAGAGCGCAAATGAGCAGTCATTGTCCCTCCTCGCCCTAGGTTCCACCACACGGTGGCTCCATCCAGCTTGATGATGGTGAAAATGGATAATGAGTCGTCTACTCCATGCGGCGAGGCTAGAAGGCAACACGGTAAGTGTTTGAGGAAGGGGGAGATCGAGGGTATTACATCTCGGTAACCAGCAGATGGTTTCCGCTTCGATCGGAACCGGCATCGACCACCGATTGCCCGGAGACAGCCTACTCAACGACAACTTTCGTAAAGCCGCCCACTGCATCCCGGGGCCGTGGATTTCTTCTGTCTCACAAACACGTGGGCATCACCGGGGTGGCATCAGAACCCTAATTCCCGTCACCCAAGTCAATACACAGAGTCCACCATGCGGCATCATTGATATTCAACATGCCGATAAAAACCGTTAATCGTCCATCCTGACCGGCAGTGTGCGCGGGTGCTGCCGTAATCCTTGGCCGAGAGCACGACATCGGGGGATTCGACCGGTTTGTGAACGCCCAGGCCGGCCGCTGACGACCTTCCCGTTTTGGCTCTTGCAGACGATCATGCTGGCCTGTTGTTGGCCCCGCGAGAGCCCCCCGATCAAGCAGTTGACAGCTTCCCCCATGCTGGTTACCTCAACGGACCGAATCATGGGTGCCAGGTTGAAATCTTTTCTTAACCAGCACCCATCCCCCAAGCCATCCTTCGCGGCATGAAATACAAGGGTCCAATCAGCTCATCGGGTCTGGCTCCCAAAAGAAGATGCCGAGCTCTCGTTGACGGCATCGAGGAATCGCGATGGCCCTCTTTGAAGATTGCGTTTTGGGAGGCCCGACCGTGACTTGTGCCGTGGCGCTCGGGTTCCAGACAGGCGAGGCAGGTCAAAAGCACAGATACATACCAAGCTCGCCGAGAGAATTTGCCATCGATGGCGCCAGTGTCGTGTGCATGTCACGTCACGTCGCAGCGGAACTTTGGCTCTGGACTGCCATGAACCTTAAACGGCGCGGGGGGCAGCATCCTGCGGCCTGCAGCTCCCACGGCATCATATAAGATCGGCACGCCTGCTGCAACCCCGAATTGCGATTTCTTCACGCAGCCTCTCCCTCCACTCGGCTTCGAGGCAATTCGCAACCATGGGCGTCCTCGATAACTCCTCCCACGAGGAGGCAGCTCCCAAGGAGGCTCAGGACCATGTCCACGCCAAGACGGCAGCACGCGACGATGTCGAGGTCGGCGAGGTCAAGGAAGAAAACAAGTATGCGTACGACGAATCGCGCAAGCTGGGCATTACGGGTGCCGTCTTCCTCATCCTCAACAAGATGATCGGCACCGGTATCTTCTCGACACCCTCTAGCATTTTCGCAGCGACGGGGTCTGTCGGTGTGAGTTTGATACTCTGGGTGATCGGTAAGTCACCGCCAACCCCCCGGGTCTCAATGATCCCCCGCATGCTGACAGGCGGGCAGGTGGCTTCCTCACCTTTTGCGGGCTCAGCGTGTGGCTCGAATTCGGCCTGGCCATCCCGCGGTCGGGCGGCGAGAAGAATTACCTGGAATACATTTACCGCCACCCCAAGTACCTTGCGACCTGCATGCTCGCCTCGCAGATGATCCTACTTGGCTTCTCGTCCGGCAACTCTCTCGCCTTTGGTCGTTATATCCTCTACGCGGCGAGCGGCGAGCTCAATGATACCTACGCGGCACGTGGCGTTGGCGTCGCATGCGCCACCTTTGCCGTCGTGCTGCACGCCGTGGCACCGAAATGGGGTGTCCGGCTGTTCAACGTCCTGGGTGTCTTCAAAGTGGCCGTGTTGCTCTTTATCGTCTTCTCCGGCTTTGCTGCGCTGGGAGGACGCCGCCTGGTGCCGGACCCCCACAACTTTGACAACGCCTTCGCCATTGAGAGCGGCGAGGGATACGGAGGCGGCGGCGCGTATGCCTACTCCAACGCCCTGCTCAACATCGTCTACAGCTACAAGGGCTGGGAAAATGCAAACTATGTGCTCAGCGAGATCAAGGACCCGCGACGAACCCTGACCATCGCGGCACCGCTTGCGGTTGGCGGCGTGACGGTCCTGTACGTCCTTGCCAACGTGGCCTACTTTGCCGCCATCCCGAAATCCGACCTGGCGACCTCCGAGGTCATCGTGGCGGGCCTCTTCTTCCGGAATATCTTCGGCGACAGTGCCGGCGCCCGCACCCTCCCCGCCTTCGTGGCGCTCAGCAACCTGGGCAACGTGCTAGCCGTCAGTTTCGCCCACGCCCGGCTGAACCAGGAGCTCGGAAAGGAGGGTCTGCTCCCGCTGAGTCGGTTCTGGGGGTCCAACAAGCCGTTCAACTCGCCTGCTGCTGCCGTAAGCCAACCCCCCGCACGCCCACCACTCTTATTAAACAAACATTGACTAACCCACCCGTGCAGCTCTTCCTCCACTGGATCGTGACCATCATCGTGCTGCTCGCGCCGCCGCCGGGACCGGCGTACAACTTCATCGTCAACCTGTACACATACCCGGGCGCGTGGATCAACAGCTTCGTCGCGGGGGGGCTCATCTACCTGCAGTACCAAAAGTCGGAGCCGTGGAACCCGGGCTGGCGGACCTTCCTGCCCGTCACCGTCATCTTTTTGCTGTGCAACGCCTTCCTGGCCATCGTGCCCTTCATCCCACCGGCCGACTTCTGGGCGGACGGCTACCCGTACTACGTGTTCCCCGTTGTGGGCGTCGGTGTCTTGCTTTTGGGCGCTGTCTACTGGGCGCTGTGGACCAAGTTCTGGCCGGCGGTGCGCGGGCACAAGGTTGTGGCGGACCGGATTATCGATGAGAGGAATGGGGAGGAGGTGATTCGGTATCGCAAGGTGAAGACGCATGTTGCATGAGTGTTGTTGTCTACCAACCTGGTGTTTCGGGGTGATGGAGGGAGTGTCGGGGGTTTGTGGCAGAAGGAATAATTAGGATACCCGGTTGTTTCAGTGCTTGAAGGATGAATTCCAGCGCATGACTGTCCAGAGAAGTAACATCTTAAAATGAGACTTTGGATGTTAGGTAATAATGAGTCTCTCCATCAAGAGAAGAGAACTGCACCTTCCATGGCTCCTCACGAGCTGAAGCCCAGCGAGTGAGCGTCCCTGAAAGGTCCAACCTGAAATTGCCCCACCACTGCCCACCTCAAATCTGGTGGCCCCACTGCGGTCGTGTGGGCCCACTAACCAACCCCTGTGGTCTGGACTTTTGCGCCACGACTCCAAATGCCAGCTTGCAAGCGCGATCATGACCGAATCGAGCCAGATTCATAAAATTTACAAACGTCAGCACAAACCGCCCAGCGACGACGAGGCATCACAGACTCTATCCACTTCTACCCAGCTACCAGACATTCCAATACCAACCTCTGGATGAACCCTACCTAGCTCCAAAATGGTGAGCTTCCACTGTCCCATCCCCCTTTCCATCCATGGCGACACGTTACTGACCATCCCACCAACCCACCACAGAACACAACCTTCAACTCGGCGCTCAAACAGCGCACCACCATCCGCAAAGACCTCTCCGCCCTCGCCACCCCCCCAACAAGCAGCGACCCACACCAACCGAACCCCCTCACCCCAGCCGCGCTCGGCTCGCTCTCGGCCTCCCTAACCGCCTTCGCGCGCACGGTGGACGAGTACAACACGCTCGCCAAACAAGAGCTGAATTCAACCAAGCAAGACAAGGCCTTCGAGCGGATCCGCGACTTCCGCGCCGAGCTCGCCGACTTCCGCGCCCGCTTCGACACCCTCAAGGCCGCCCGCGACGACGCCGCCCACGCCGACAACCGCGCCGAGCTGCTCGGCCGCCGGCCCTTTGCCGCGGCCACGCCCGAGAATCCGTACGCTGGTGCCGGCGCCGCGGGGGCGGCGTCCGCGTCGGGGTATGGGATTGGGGTGGGTGGTGGTGGTGGGGGTGGGGGTGGGAGGGGCCATGCGCGCACGACGAGCACGGCGGAGGCTGGGGGGTCTGGGGCTGGTGGGTTGGGGATGGGGAGTGGTGATGTGACGCGCGAGGGGCATGCGCTACGGGAGCAGCAGTTCTTTGCCAACACGCACTCGGCGCTGGACGATTATATTGCGCGCGGGCAGGCGGTGCTGGGCGACCTGGGCCAGCAGCGCGAGATGCTCAAGTCGACGCAGCGGAGGCTGTACTCGGTGGGCAATACGTTGGGGATTTCCGGGGATACGATTCGCATGATTGAGCGCCGGGCGAAGGAGGATAAGTGGATCTTTGGGGCCGGGGTGGTGGTGTTTTTCTTGTTCTGCTGGCTGGTCGTGCATTTTCTGCGGTAGCCTTGCTCTGTCTGCTGTGTTGTTGGAGGGGGTGCTTGTTTGTTCATCTAGCGCGGAGTTTGGGCGTCGTCGGCGGTGCTTGCTGGTCAATTGAAGTCTATCAGGCAGTTGATGCCAACCATCTTTCTCTCATCCCAACCCCATGTCCCCAGTACGATACACGACACCATGCAACCACCCGCAAACAAAACACCTGATACCCCCCCCTCCCTCCCAACTCACCTCCTGCCCCTCACCCTTGCCGCAGCGCGATAGTAAACAGCACCTCGGCCGTGGTCTCCACCTCCACCACCTCCGTCGTCGGCAACACATGGTTACTCGTACTCATCGGCCCACCAAACCACGTCTCCCAGTCGCTCACATCCCACTCCAACCCGCTCGTCGTGATGCGACTCGGCCCGCCCACGGGCAGGATACCCACATGCTTCCCAAACACATCCCCAGTCCCACTCACCCCATCACCATCACCATCACCAGCACCACCACTATCCCTGTTAGCATCCCTCACCCGGATGCGATGCCGCCCCGGCTTGAGGAGGAAGGTCAGGCTCTCCCCGCTGAACAGATACACGCGCCCGTCGGCGTAGTCGGCGCCCCGCTGGAACAGGTACAGGTGGTGTAGCTGGCTCAGGCCCTGGTCGACGCGCCCGCCGAGGCCGCCGATGGCGACGATGTCGAGGGGTTGGTTGGTGATACTGCTGTCATCGTTGGGATGGGTCTGGGGTTCAGAGCTGGCCGTGGTGGTGGTGGCGGTGGTGGTGGTGGCGGTGGTGGTGTGGGAGTGTTGTTGGCGGATGTAGGCGACTGCTTTGCCAAAGTCGGTGGAATACTGGTCTGGGTCGCGGATGACGCGCGTTTTGGGACCGGTTGGCTTGTGGGACTCGTAGTATGATCGTACGGCGGGGGTTAGGGAGTCCAGGTCGCCTATGATCACGGCGAGGTCATCCTGGATGGGGAGGAGTTAGAGGGCCAGGTCAGGGGAGCAAAGTATGAGATATGGGCGGCGGAGGGAGGTTTACGAAACAGGAGTCCCCGTGCTCGCCGGCTGCCTCGTAGAGGGCGTTTGCCCCTCCATCTGCTGCCACTCGAACTTGGGCTGTTGTTCGTTGTTAGAGTTAACCTGTTTTTGTCTTCCTTTTCTCCTTTACTTTGTGGACGAACCATTGTCCCATAACCGCCGGGTCACATCGAGATGATGAAGGGGCTGGTTGAGCACAACCAGAGCAAATCCGGCCGAGCCTAACTGTGACACAGCCTTGTCTGCAGATTGTGGGCGGCCCTTGATGAGCTCTGCGGGATTCCACTCAAAAATGGCAGAATCCGCGGCCTTTGCTGTGTTGTCGTTGCCTTTGCTCATGTTGCTCATATTGCATGAGGTGTAAGTGGGGTTTGTGGGAGATGGGATGTTGTGTGGTTGTCGTCAACGAATTCTTTGAGCGCTTTCTGGGATAAGGCAGTCAGCAACGACTTAGCAAGTGGGGCTGCAAGAGTCAAAGTGGCGTCCACAGCCTGTTCTAAGAGCTTTGGATGGTGTAAGTCAAAGCACGGAACTCTAGGTAACCAAGAAGGTGCGGGTGCACCAGCAGTGAGTCCCTTAGACAAATGTATGCAAGAGGGTTTACTACTACGTAGACGATGTAGACATACAGTAGTCCATGGCCACTGAGACAAGAGGCGAGCGCGAGCTTGGTAAAGTCTGCATTCATCATTGTAAGAGCTTGAGCTTGTTCCCTCCACTCTTTGACTTCATAGTTAGGAGTGACCAAGGCCGCAGCTAGGTGACTGGCTTCATAAGGGAACACGAACTGAATGCTTAAGAGTCCTCTCAAGCTGACCTCCTAAGTCCCACGCATATAAGCCCCGACCCATCCACCGAAACTGCCTTCCCCATTCCTACCATTCAGCTCAGTATCCTACCCTCTTCCATCGCTTGCCTTCTTCTTTCCACACTCTCAGCAACTAATCCTCGGACTCCAGACAGAGTCCGCCCACACATGGATCTGCAAAGCGCCACGGCAGCGGAGCTGCATCGCTTCCTCGAAGCCTCCTTGCGAGGAACTATATGGGCGAGCAGAGCCACGCTTCGCACAGCGCAGCGCGTGCACGCCGCCGTGAACGGACCCGCCAGCAACCTCACCGGCTGGGAAGCCGGCCTCTGCGCCTCTCTTGACGAGGCACGTCGGATGGGGAGGCTCGCCCTCGACGGCGCGCATCTAATCCACGTCGCGCTGACCCGGGACCCGCCGCCGGTCGACGATGGCTGGGAAATAATCGACGACCACCACTCCAGCAGCGAGGACGAACCGACCGAGATCAACGACGGGTGGGACGACAACGGCGCTCTGTTCGACGACGAGCCCCTCGCGACCGGCTACACCCTGGCGGGTGGCGGCTCCGACGGCGACAGCGCTTCCGACACCGACCGACCACCTTCACACCACCGCGTTCCCTCAGCACCTACACCTCCCCAGCACAACCTACACCTCCCGCGAGACCCACCACCAAGCCCGCCGACACCACCCCAACCCATCCACCAGAACCCATCCACCAGAACCCATCCACCAGAACCCCGAACCGTCCAAATCCCCGCCAGAGCAACGCGAGACCTCGAAGCGGGCAGAGGAGGGCAAACCATCCCCAACCCCCCACGCCGCCGCCGTCCCGCCACCCCGCCCATCAACACGAACGACCCCTGGCGTCTCCGTCCCCGGTGGCGGCGGCGGCAGCAGCCGACAAGGCCCGGACAACCCGCCCAACATCCGCCCCCTGTTAGAGGCGGGCGAAGGAAGCGCACGGGAAAGCACGCTCGACACAGCCAGGCGGGCGAGGGGCCCGCCACGGGGGGGCGGGCCACGGGGCGCCGGGAGGGGCGGCGGGAGGGCTGGACGTGGTGGGCGCCTAGTCGATGGAGGGGCTAGCCGGCGGCGTGGGCACTAGACGATGGCGATGACGGTGTCGGTGTCGGTGGCGGGTTGGGAACGGGGGGGGGGGGGGGGGGGGGGGGGGGGGGAGGGTCAAGCGTTGGGAACGTGGCGGGGGGGACGGCCAGCCGGGTGAGGCGAATGGGACGGACGGGACTGGACCGGCGGCTGGGACGGGACCGGGACGGAGGTTGGCAAGGGGTTCGGTCTGGGACGCGCCGGGCGTACCAGCACACCTGCGGGGAGAGACTGGGGTAGGGGGTAGGATCGGGTGTGGCAAGCCCTGGGGGCGAGTTGCAAGGGAGGGGTTGAGTCGGAGTAGTTGAGTCGAGTGGTCGAGTCGGAGACGATGGGATGGAGGTCCAGATGAGCAAATATTTGTGGTGAATAGGCGTCGGGAAGCTGCTATTGTCGAGGCGTTCTGGTTAGCGTTAGATACCCGGGCGTGAAGCAAACAAGTGGAAGTGTGCGTTGAATCGTGTGCGAGAGGAGAGGTCTTCTGTGATCGTTCAGCTGTGGATAACCTCGAATGCCGCTGCGAAGAACGGGAAGGTCGACATTGTTGATGGTATCGGGATTGACATGGAAGTTGACAATGAGGTCCACAGTGACATTGAAGCTCGACAACTCCTGTCCTGCACTTCCAGGTTCAGGTCGTCCTCCAAGTCGCAAGTCCATTTTCCATGAAGTCCACTATTTGCTAAGCCAAACCTATCGAACCACCGAGAGACGCCAATATCTAGCAGGCGCCCCGGGATCCGACTCCTTGGCCTTCTTCATGGCCTCTTCGAAGGTGGCACGTCAAAGTGAGGGCGACCAGAAAACACACGAATGCTGGCGTAGGGTTGGCATGGGAGAGAAGCTTCGCCAGGCGACGCTGGAATTGTTGAACGGATTAATCTGTACATGGTCCTCTCGGTGTCGGTCATGTAGTCGCTAATGAGTTCTGAGGCGAGAAGAAAAACATCCAGTTAGGTTGGTTCACACGAGAAAATTGAGGAGACAACAAGGTGTCCGCGATCGAGTCAAGAAGTTCTATTCGATCGGAAGAATGACGACCATCATCTCGTGGAGTCGCTAAATTCGGGCCCGTCTTATCCATGGACTATTCGTTGCGCCATTTCTCGTCGTCGGGTTCGGCGGCCTTCAAAAACCCAGCAGGCCCGAATTTGTTCTGGATAAGTTTTGCGAATCCGACTTGCTTTTCGTCGCGAAATGGGCATTCAAGGTTTGCAATTATTTTGCGATTGCAAGCAACGGAGGAAGGTGTGGCAGGCTCGCAGACTTGAATGACGCCCGGGGAAGTGGATCCCTCGCAGCCTGGTCATTGGCCAATCCTCTGGACCCGGGAAATCCCCGGTTTGGCGACGGCCTCGCCAGAAATTTTGGCGCATCGAAGCTGATTACAAACATCTGGGAGGGTTGCGGCGGCCACCTTCGTTTCGCGTTCCGTATTTCCGTCTCGTCGTCGTTTGCCTTTGTGTCTTCTCCATTTCTTATTGCTAGGACCCAGACAAGATGTACCGCACAGCTCTCAGGTCAGCGCCCAGCGCGTTGCGCGCAGCACAACCGATCCTTTCTTCCGGCTCCCGGCGCTTCGCATCGACTACCACCCGGACCAGCAAAAAAGGGACATGGAAGGGTACAGGGATGCGATGGGGTCTCGCCGCTGCTGCCGTTTACTTCTACAACACCAGCCCCATCTTCGCCGATGAGCTACCTCGTGCGTCCCGTCCATGCCGACTAGCCCTCTGTCTTTCCTCACACTGACCAAACCAGCCGAAGTTGGCCCCGCCCCAGCCCACTTCTCCGATGCCGACCTTCCCACCGTCGAGGCCATGATCGAGGAGAAGCGCCGCCAAGTAGCAGCAGCCGCCCCGCCGCCGCCACCAAAGCCGACGAAGCCGACGGAAGTGAAGGCGGTCGAAGCCAAGGTGGAGGAAGCGAAATCGGAGACGACCGAGGAAACGAAGCCCGCAGTGACAGAGAAGGAGGCAAACGCGGAGGCAAACGCGGACGCAGCACCCGCCCCGGAGAACGCCCCGGAACCCGGCTCGCCCGAGGCGCTGGAGCAGGAGGCTGCGCAACAGGGGGCTTTCGACCCGGAGACGGGGGAGATCAACTGGGGCTGCCCGTGCCTGGGCGGCATGGCTGATGGCCCTTGCGGCGAGGAGTTCAAGGCGGCGTTTAGCTGCTTCGTCTACTCCAAGGACGAGCCCAAGGGGATGGACTGCGTTGACAAGTTCCAGTGCGTACCCAGCGTGCAAGAACGGCGAACTGAACAGCTAGCTAACATGTCATTTCTAGGCACATGCAGGACTGCTTCCGGAAGTACCCCGAGATCTACGGTTCCGAACTGACCGAGGACGATGAGGAGGAGAACGCCCAGGCCCAGGAGGTGGCCAAAGAGATGAAGACAAATGAGGAGACAACAACCCCGCCTCAGAAGGCACCAGAGGTCGCGCCAAAGCAAGCCACAGACGCGACCGAGGCGAACAAGGAGAAGAAGCAATAAACGGTACCAACGGCAGATATCCCTGAACATGTACAGCAAACCCGGTACGGACTGGGCGAAGAAGCATGTCGGTTTTGAGTTGTGGTTGCGTGAGATTTGAGCGCAACTTGTACAACGCTTATGTACTTTATACCATGTAAAACCGTTAGAGCCGTTACTTTGTAACTAGATCTCTTCTTCTCCGGTTTCTGTCAGGGGGTACCTAGTTATTGGGACCAGACATGTATTTTTGTGGAGCCGGAGAGGACTACTTTGCATGACAAGATGTCGGGAGTCTTGGAGTCAAAGGTACCTACCCAGGTAACAATTCCCACACGATAAACTACACTGCACAAAAGATAGTCAGGGGAATCCTTCAAGCCACAAAAGCTTCTTGACAAGCATCTGACTTCCTTCTTGGCATTCGGCTTTTCGAAGTTCGCGAGAGCACTAAGCGAGCCGCCGACGTCATTACCACCGGGGGGTAAAACTGCCTGCCCCGCACAATTGTTCAGGGCCTTGGCTGCAACGATCCGGGTGCTCTGCACTCAGGCTCTGATTCTGAGGTGGCAGTCAGTTAGGTGGGCAAAGGCAGCTGGTACCCAACCCGGTTTTATCCATCACATGTGGCCGTCACCCGCCTATTTCTTCTTTTTTGTTCGGTTGAACACCTTGATCTTGCCCAATCCCATCACGAAACAACGATTCAGCATCATCGAGTCAGTGCAACAAAACTAATATTTGTTGCATTTCCATTAGCTTGCGAATCTCTTCATCGCAGGCATAAACAACACAATACCGAGCAGGAGATTATTCTTGTCAATCAGCAAAAAGTAAGTCTCTTCACCGACACTCCCAGTTTTCGTTTGCATTCTCGCCTGAGTGCCTGAGTATGAGGTCGACAAACAAAACTAACCCACCTCACCCAGTGTCATACGCCGAAGTTGCGTCCAAGGGGGCCAAGCAGTCAGCGGCAGAGGTAAGCCTTTCCTTGAATCACTCCCCTTGCCTCTACCTCTACCTCTACCCCCTTCTCCCCCCCACCATACTCCCGTACCCCTTAGTACCCAACCCACCCAACCAGTAACCCAACACTAACCTCCCCCTCCGCCCCAACCACAGGCCGCGGCCCCGCAACCCCCGCAAGTCGACGCCGGCACGGCCTCGTCGACCGGCTCCCTGATCGACGTCGACACGCCGTCGGTGCACACGGTGCCGTCGGACTTTGAGTCGCAGGAGATCAAGACGGACACCCAGGCCGCGCGCGTCGAGCGTGAGGAGGAGGAGGAAGAAGAAGAAGAGGAAGAGGAAGAGGAGGAGGAGAAGAAGCGGCAGGAGGCCGACCGCAAGAAGAAGCGCAAGCTCGCCGAGGAGGCGGCCGCCAAGAAGCGGCGGGCCGAGGGCTGGCTCGCGAGACATATCGATGGTATGCGTGCTGGCGGTGCGGGTGCGGCCGTGTCGGTTGCGAATATTGTCGCTGTCGTCGGCTTGAGTGGCTGGCTGGGGTTCCGCGCGTGGGGCCTGTATGACCGTGGCCGCTTCGGGTGGAAGGAGGCTGGTCTCGGGCTCGGCGTATTGAGCGCTGTGGGTGTTGTGGAGGGTGTTTTCCTGAAGTGAGTTCTCTGTCTTGTGTTTTCTTTTCCAACACACCTTTTCCACCTCCTTTTCCACCACCTCCTCCACTTCCTCCTCCACGTCAAGGCTAACCATACGCTGCAGCTACTTCTCCAAGGGCAAGGGCAAGGACCACTAAACGCTCGGGAGCTCACCAAGATCGTACCCCGTCTCGACGACGACATGGCAGCAAACGAGGATGGTTCATTCCGGTGACGGTTCGTCCGGTTATCTGGGTTTCGGTTGACGATGGCGCGGATTACGCATCTCTTCTCAAACATTCTCATCTCTCTTTGGGCGTTCTCGTTAGTCCTATTCGCAGCCGTGCGTGTATCTGGTCTTCCGCTATGGCGTTGCTAAATTCGGGATTGCCTTCTTACCATGACTCAGAGAATGTACATCACCCCAACGGGTGATGTGATGCAGTGTTCCAGATGCCACGTTTCCGGCCTCGCCGGGAAGGACCTCGACGAGTGAGATCCAGTGTTACCATGCGGACCATGCAGGCGGCCACAACAGCACTGACCCAGTCCAGAAATCATACCAGCGCGGTTGATTGATAATACTGAAGATCTTCTACCCCACAGGCTGTCAAACATTGTGTATGTTTTTACACAGCATCCGTCTCTCTGGCCGAGGCCGATGTTTGGGTTATTATCCCAGTCGTGTTCAACTCCAAAGTCCCTCCACGTCAGCTCGGCCCCCACAAAGTCCGACAAGACAGTGCAACACCGCCGCCAGTACCACGGGCTCGGTGCCTGCTAGGATGGGGTTCGCAGATCTAGGAATCAACGAGTCGGACTTGTCCGGCTGTAGTGACGGATTTCCGACCTTGTTCCACCCGAATCAAAGTTCGCCGTTGTTGAGTGTACGACACGGCACGGCCTCGCATCGCTTCCGTCAAACAGGGCCTCGGCCCACGGTCTGAGACATGATCGACATCGAAACATTGTCCGCCTCCGCTGGGCGGCGACTTGTCGTCTTATGATGACGGAACCGCACTTCTAGGAGGATGGTAATAGAATATGACAGCAGCAACCCCGCGGCGCAAACCCTAAAAGTCCCCGACAATCCAATGATGCAACGTCAGTCGTCTTGGTAGCACAGCTGGGATTTTGTTGGGAACTAATTTAGATACGGACAAGTGACTGGCTGCAGCGAAGGCACCGGCGCCTTTGTATCCTGGGCGCGTGAGGGGGGTTGATGACATGTGCTCTCATTCGCTGATGAACGGATTTCCAGCAGCCAAGACAGCATCCCCGTTTCTCCGGGGGTTTTAATGTCTTCTTCTATACTTCCGGATGAAAGTAGCCGGACGCGAGAACTAGTCGTCCAGCTTCGCTATCTTAGCGAATCGCCTCTGTTCGCGATGATGTCCGTTTTGGGTTCTTGGGTGTGGCCGATGGACGTCTGCACCACCACAGTTGGGGTTGTAGAGTCATGCAGCAAGGGGAGCCCCTTGGGGTTGAACGCAGCACCAAATCAGCTTCGTACCGAAACACGGCATGCCCGAGGGGGGTATGCCCGCAGGCGCCAGTCCTCGGCGGACACGGGTCCGAACAAATCATTCGTCACCGACACGGCAACTGCCGAATAAGACTGCTCTTCACCAGGTTAGAGACATTTGGAGGCGCATGCGGCCGAATCGACGGGCCCGTTGCTCTCAGCCCTATGGGGCAGGAGGCTGAGCCAAAGGATGGTCTGCTCTCGGTATTAACGCACCCCCTGGCTCACTCCCTGGCTCACTCTTGGGAACTTTCTTCCCCACAAATCACATTGGTCCCATGTCCCCTGGAGCCATGCGTGTCTTATAGCCCCATGCCGGCTCCTTGTCCAGCCCTTCTGGTCCCCGGGACAAGACACAGGTTCCCGGATTCTTGTTCTATGGTTCACCGACGGCTGCCCCAACCCCATGGCTACCGAAAAGCCTCCCCGTCCCCTCATACGGCCCATGGCCGAGAGACGAAAACGATCATGCGGTGAGTGCCGACGGAGAAAACAAAAGGTGCGTCTCACCACGTAGGCAGCGCTAGCCTACGTTCGTCGGCAGTTGCACGTTGACACGTCTCACCAGTGTGATCAACGACAACCTTGTCGGAACTGCTCACGGCGCATGCCACGGCCGATATGCCATTATGAAAACGCTGCGTATGGACCTCGGTTTGGATGCTTGGTTCAGGCTGAAGCTAACGCCGGCCGTCATAGACGGGGTAAGACCTCATGCCCAACCCGTAACGTCGAACGGGCCCCCGCCGAGGAGCCTTTTGCTTCTCCAACTTCTACAGTTCTATCCCCTGATATATCGGGGCACTTGGATGGTGGCCAACTATGGTACACTCCGACAACACCTGGCATAAGCGGTGAGGATATATTCAACAGCCCCCTGACGGCAATTCCAACGCCCCCTTTCTATCCAGCTGAACTTGACAACCTCGAGCCTTACGCAAACAACTGGTTCCCGTTCCCGGCGGGCAGTCCGACGAGTCCCCGCCCTTCATTGTGTACGTTCTAGACACACTCGACCCACAGTACGCCAGAAGAAGGCGCTAATGAGGAATCATCAAGTCATAGAAACAGGCCAACGAAGTGCGAAGACAACGCTGAACAGGAAAGACATCCTCGCCGCGCGATGCTCCGCCATTCAACGGCTGCACAACATGATAGGTGACCCAGCCATCTCCACTAGCGACGAGGCCATCACAGCGGTAGTGACGCTCGTCCTCAACGATCTCTGCTTTGGGGAGACCCAGGCACTACGGGTCCACGTCGACGGCGCCCGCGAGATGGTCATGGCACGCGGCGGCCTGGCTGCTTTGGGGGGTCAGCATGACCTGGCCAAGATGGTGCTCGTGTAAGCTTGACCTCCCTTACTTTTTCAAACCAACCCCCTCCGGTAGCGTAGATAGCAAACCTAACAAAGCACAGTGCAGACCTCGCTACGGCCATAGCCGTCGACACGTCACCCTCTTTCTCAGAAGCCGAGCTCGCCGCCTACACACAATCTCTCACCGCCCCCCTCGCATCCACACCCAACGGGACCACCAACCCTCCAAACCCAGCACCCCTATCAAATATCGCCCTGCCGCACACCCCAAACCTCAACCCAGCAACAACCGCCATGCTAAACGACACCACCTTCCTCATCGACACAGCCCTCAACCTCCCCCCCAACCCGCCCCACGCACAGCTCCAAAAAGTCCTCGCCATGTCCAACTGGGTACAGGGGCGCCTGTCCGCCGCAGCAGCTACCACCACCACCACCACCACCACCACCATCAACCCGACCATCAACCCCAACATCACCGCCACACCCACCACTAACATGACCGCAAAAAGAAATCCCAGCGCCGCCCTCCACCGCGCCGTCCGCCTCTCCTCGCAACTCTACTGCCGCGCCATCCAGACCCGGCAACCCCTCGCAAGCGTGGCACGGCCGCAGGACGCGCTGGATTTGGTGGAGGCTGTCCGCGCAGTGCAGGGGGGGATATGGGACGGTACATGTAGGTCTGGCGGGGGTGGCATGTTAAGGACGCTGGTGTCGGTGCTGGTGGTGGTGTTGCCTGTGATGTTGGGTGGTGATTTCAACTTGGAGATGGGGTCGGGTTCGGGGGGGTTGCGGTATGGGGATGGAGATGGGTATGGGTATGGGTATGGGTATGGGGGGAGGGGGTTGGTGGTGGCGGCTGTGGTGAGGCTTGCGATGGTGGACTGGCCGGGCGCGGTGAGGGTGTTGGGGAGGGTGGTGAGGCTGCAGGCGTGGCTTCGTGGGGCGGTGGGAGGGGGGTGATGGTGTCTGGGGGGGTTGGGGGGGTTGAGAGGTCTGCTTGTGAGAGTGGCCGCCTTTTTGTCGGTATCGATGGCAAGCTACGTGCTTGGCCTTTCCCGGGCCAAGCGCGGTCCTGTCTCGCAGGGACTTGGGCCACCATATGTATGTACATGTCTTGGAACCGGCAAGGAGACAATCGCTTGCAGCGAATCTGAGCTATAGATTGTGCTGTTGTCTTGCATGAAGAATTATTTATACATCACCCTCACCCTCTCCAACATAATAATGTCTGCTATTTGTAAACCCCATAACTCACTACAGTCTCCATGCCCCCAGTCCACACCGCTCAACCACGCAGGCACCATGGCGGGTTCAACACTTGGCCTCTTAGTACTCGAAGCCGGCGGCGCATAACTTTAACTGGGCACAGCAACCGCGTCTAGTAATAACAACCGTTCATGTTCCTGATGACTCTGATGCTCGCCTCATCTTGTTCTTTGGCATAATATATATAACCCTTAATAACCCCTGGCCCGAGGATTGGGCTCAGGGGTTCGCGGTAGCGACTGGTGGAGTGTTTTGAAATTTGTTGCTTTAATTACACGTGTGGCTCCGTGTGAAAGAGCAAAAGAATTATCGTACAGATTATAGGTTGGGAAACGAGGCGGCCCCCAAGTCCTGATCCCATTCCGGAGACGGGGTGCCGCATTGCCGGAGGATCGAGTTATTGTCTGCTTGGCACCACCAGTTCTGGGAGGAGGGAGCGGATAGCCTCTTGGCAGGCAGAGAAACTGCTACGCGAGAAGGCAGGGTAGACTGCAGAGGGAGAGGTATATTTAGCCGCTCACCCCCCGGGAACGTAAACACAGTTAAGATACGCAGTAGTCAGCGGCCTTCCTCTTCACGAAGCAAGCCAGGTCGATTCAGATTCAAACTCGGCAGCCATGCCTAGCGTTACAACAATCTATCAACCGGACCCGACATGTTTTGCGGCGTCAAACCTGTGGCTGGATCAGGCGTATGGGTGCGGCACTTACTACCCCCCTTTCTCACCCAGACCGACTGAGATCGTCGATCTCCAGGAATGTCCTCAGATGCTCCTGGGCCGCCCGGGGAGCGGGAGCGGGGATGACCTGTGCAACCAGAGTAATTGGATCACCACTGGCAGCACCATAGCGAAGAGTACCGCATACAGTGCCTGCCCGGAGGGTATGACGGGCGTAAGTTCCGACACAACAACATATAACGACATTACCGTCGAGAACACAGTCTGCTGCCCCACGTGAGTAAACCAGACTTTCTATCCCCGTGGCGATGGCTCACCGAGATGACCTGTTTCGCAGCGCCTACGACTTCTTCAACGCCGACTACAAGCCCACTACTTTGCCCACCGTCGTTGACGGCACGACGTACCCTGTGACATATCAGACGTCGAACGCGTATTGCAAGGCGACTTCCATCAAGCAGTTCTCGGGCCAAAAGGTGACGGCGACCGTCGTAGCCTCCCCCACACCCACCACGACCGAGGTGGAATGGGACTACGAACACGGCTACCTCCTCGCGCCAGCAGCTGCCCGAATCCAAAAGTACATCTACACGAACGGACATGGCACGATCGCGAGCTGCTTCGGTTCCACTCACTGCTCCGTAAACACCAACCCGATCGAACCGCGGCCGACCTACGCCCCGTACGGCACTTACGTCCCACCACCCGTGACGTCGGTCGCCCGGTTCACCCCCGCCGCCTCCTGCCTCGCAGAATCCAATCTATGGCTCGTATCGGACCGATGCTCCCTCACCACCGCACCCCGAGAGCCCCCCTGGCTCCAATGCACGCACACGGTAGCCGGCGACCCCGACCCCGGCCGCGCGGACTGCTACCCGGGCGCGTCCACCGTGATCAGCGGCACGCCCACCTACTACACGGGCTGCCCGGCCGGGTACACGACCGTCAGCACCACGCGATCCTTCCCCTGGACCACGGCCGGCGAGCCGGCGTCGGCCGAAGCCAGGCGCGTGACCTGCTGCCCGTCCGCCCTCCACGGCGACATGACCTTCACGCACACGTCGCCCGGGTGGAGGTCCACGACCGTCCACGACGGCACGACCCACACCGTCAGCAGCCGCCGGACCCCGCCCTACTGCGTCGCCAGAGCGGCCGTCCCGCAGGCCGACGACGACCGGACCGTCACGCTGGGCCTGTACTGGAACGGGCCCGACGAAGGGCGCGGCCGCACGTACGACGGCTCGTCCGAGGTCGTGTGGCAGGCGGGCGCCGACCTGACCGTCTACGCGCACCCGGTCACTGTCCGTTCGACCGTGTTCCACGGAACGCATACCTGCTTTGACGCGGCGGAGTGTAGAAGGTATTTTACGTATTCGATTAGCAATACCATGGGGTCGGGGGTTGTGGTGGCGACACCGACGCCGACGGGGGGTGGTGGTGGTGAGGGTGAGGCGGCGTCGTCTTCGTCGACTGGTGGTGCGGTGGCGGCGGTGGCGAGGGGGGATGGGCGGGTTGGGCTGGTGAGCGTGGTGGTTGTTGTGACGGTTATTGTGAATGTGGCTCTCGGGGGGTTGGTCTGATGTTGATACCCAGGGTATTCGTTATTCTAGTGTAATAAGACGGACAACGGTCCTCGTCCAAGACCATTCTCGGTCCAAAACAACCTACTTCTGAGCCCCTCCTTTACGTCCCACGTTCCCTCTCCCTCGAGGCGAGGCACCCTATTTGCTCTCTTTGGATCGAACCTATCTAGGGCAAAGTGGGTATGTACATTGGTCCGGTGATTGCCAACAACATGCTACTTTGTTGTGGATATCGTCCCATGCAAGGCAGCCATGGTGTTGCGTATTGGTCGATGGGCCTATAGGGATCAAGAAAGTTGACCAAGGATCTGGCTGAGCATCGGTATTCGGGTCAACAATTGCCCCAAAACGGAGCCCGGTTCCCGTTGGGGGACCGGGCGGATCTGTGTACTGCTCTACCCAACTACCACCACCTACAACAACAATACATACGCGGCTGTCTTTACTGTGGCTATGAGCAAAGGCCCCATCCCCTTCTACACGGCTGGGTGCCAGGACCATGCCGGAACTTTTCCTGTAAGTTACCAACAGTTCTTTTCGGAACTGTTGCTGTTGGGTCCTAGGGGGTAGCTTGGGCCGGGATAAAACTTACCGATACCACTTAGTACGGGGAATCGGTTGAATGATGTCTCCGAGTGCGAGGGAACTAGCGGAGACGGAACGACTTACACAGGAAGGATGAATACCGTATGTATAAAGATAGGTAGATATCATAAATAGACCCGACAGATTCCCAGTCCGCGACCGTTTACTCCCAAGTCCCAACCAGACCTTTCCTTCATCTCAACACCAACAGTCTAACACCCTCCCTATCCAAGACCAACGAAAACCCCCGATCATCACCACACCGGCATCCACACCATCAACACACCACACCAACCCAACCCAACCCCCCAACCCCCAGCCCACCAACCAAACCTCACAATGTCCACCTCCACCCTCAGCAACCTCAACACCTTCCTCTCCTCCCAACTCCGCACCACCCTCCCCCCCGCCACCACACACACCTTCACCTCCCAAACCCTAATCGTAACCGGCGCCAACAGCGGCCTGGGCCTCGAAGCAGCACGGCACTTTGTCGCGCAGGGCGCGGCGCGCGTCATCCTAGCCGTGCGCTCGCTTTCCGCCGGCGAGGCCGCCGCGCGGTCGATTGCCGAGAGTACCGGGCGGGAGGGCGTGGCGGAGGCGTGGGAGCTGGATCTGGCGCGGTACGCGTCGGTGGAGGGGTTTGTGGGCAGGGTGGAGAGGGAGTTGGAAGGGGGGGTGGATGTGGTGGTGGCGAATGCGGGGGTGTTTATGGTTGCGTTTGAGCGGCAGGAGGAGGAGGAGGAGGGGGGCCCGGGGGTGGTGGAGGGTGCGGATTGGGAGGGGGATGGGGATGGGGATGGGGATGGGGATGGGGATGAGATGACTATGGTGGTGAATGTTATTGGCCATATGTTGTTGGCCTTGTTGCTGCTGCCCAAGATGAGGGCGACGGCCGTGGCGCGGGGGAGGGCCGGCGTGATTACCTTTACCGGCTCGTTCACGCACTGGATGACCTCGTTCCCGGAGCGGACGGCGGCGGATGTGTTTGCGGAGTTGGCGGATCGGAAGACGGCGAGGATGAAGGATCGGTCAGTCATTACAGCGGTGCCACGTATCCATTTTTTGAAAGTGCCCCAGGGCTGACACTGCGCAGGTACTACGTCTCCAAACTGATTCAGCTCTTGGTCGTTCGCGAGTTCGCCGAGGAGTTGACCCGGTCAGCCAAACCGGGCAAGATTATCACCTCCGTGGTCAACCCCGGCTTCGTGGCGACGCGGATCATGAGGCACGAAGGCCCCATGTTCCAAATCTTTCAGAAGGGGCTGCTAAAAATGCTCTCTCGGACCCCGGAGGTTGGGAGTCTGACGCTTGTCCACGGGGCCGCAGGAGGAGAGGAGACCCATGGGCAGTATCTGGACGACTGCAAGGTTGGAAAGTATGTCTCCTTCGATCCGGACGCTGGAGGAATCAGACACGGTGACTAACACTCGTTCAGACCCGGCGGCTTTGTTCTTGATCCGCAGGCCAGAGCCACCCAGAAGCAGCTTTGGCGGGAGCTGACGGCAAAGCTGGAGAATATACACCCAGGAATTATGCAGAACCTCTGAGCCAGCTTTGAACCTGCCGTTTTCTCCTTTTCTCTGGTTGAATTTGGATTGGAGTTTCTGGGGTCTCTTGGCTTTGGAGGGATGTGCTGGTAATTCAGGGGTTGATGACAACACATTCGTTAGTCCCATGTCAGACACAACAGCGGCATGACCAACGAACTTAGTCTGATAAATTGAGTCCGAGAGAGCAACTGCAAAGTGACGAGGAAGATGGCCGGATTAGCTAATAGCAACACAACAGGCTGGGCGGTGATGATGCTGCCTGTCGTCCCGTGCTTACTCCCCATCTAAACCTCGACTCCTAGGGCCTCCTTAATCTTCAGGAGTCCTTGTTCCTCACCGTCCATACTGCCGTACTTGTCCTGGTCGACCCAACCCACCGTGTTCCCCCCGCCAAAGTCGAGCACAACAGCGTCATCATCATCGTCGATGAGTATGTTGTCAGTTTTGATGTCACGCCACAGGATCCCCAGGCGATGCAAACCCCTGAGAGTCTCCTCGATCCTCCTGAGGGATACAGTCGCTTCCCCTGGCAAGATAGAACCAGCGTCGATACCAGCCAATAGAGCGCGTAGGCTGTGGTATTCGTGTGGAATATATCCAAGGAGAATACCGATCACCCCCTTATCGGATACCACGATCCCTGATCAAAACAAGTTAGATGCTGGATCATTGAGCGATGAAACTCCGTTGTAGATACAGGAGGGGCACCTCGATAACACGTACCTTTCAACTCCGGGATCCTCAATGCTACCCCAGCCGATCTAACCTTGAGATACGTCTCAAGTTCGTTTACGAGTGGATGCTCGAAACGGTCGATCGCGGCCTTACAGACCAGCTCTTCCCTATCTACCATCACTTTCCAGACCAACCCCTGTAGACGGCGGACGAGGATGACTTGTGATGCCCTGATAAGCGGAATGTCGGTAGTCTCAAGATCGAGTCCCATTGCACGCAGTTCGTCCTCAGAGATAGGCGGATGACGGTCGGAGAGCCCAGCGTAGGCGTCCAGAGTTTGGCATGTAAGCTTAGTACGCTCGAAGTCGGTGAGGATTTGCAAGATGTAGGTCTGGGGGTAAAGGTATTGTTCCAATATCTGCGTATCCGGAATCGGAATTGGTACTAGTTGTTGCATGGCCTGGAGGCATGCATCGGCGGCCAGTTTCGCAAACTCCTTCTCTAGACGTTCGGTCGCCTTGTCCCTTGTCTCATCAAACTCGCCCCAGGAGAGATCAGAAATCTCCGTCAGGGCTTTCCCTTCAAGAGATTCATCAAACTTGTAGAGGGGAGGTACAAGAGCTTCACCACCAGCCTCGTCCTCGGGGCTAGCCGCCACCACTTCGAAGCGCGCGCCGTTGTACTGAAAAGTGAATACAGCCGAAAAAACACGGCCATCGCCCACATAGCGGACACCAGTCAATCGAGCCGAGGCGTTCTCGGGATTTTCCATGGTTGCTGCTGCCGGTTGTCGATCAAGGGAGAAAGTGTGGGTTGAAAACAAAGATAGGTGCCTAAGAGGGTGAGACGGTGGTGGAAGCTGAAGAAAGCGAAGCAACTCGAATGGCTGCGAGATCCGCAGCATCTTCTCGTACTGTGCAGTCTGTACGTTGCCAGAGGCTGTTTGCGAGGGGCAAAGTCAAATACGATGCCATGATTGGCGGCTATTTCTGCCTTGATGCACTTCAGAGTGTTGCCTTGGAGTACCGAAACATGTTTGTATATAGGATGACTCACAGGCCAGGGGATATAGGCAGCCTTGTTAGAATCAAGCGTGTTGGGAAGAGACATGGATGGGGTCCGGCACGGTTGTTCATGTTCTTGCTCAGGGGTAAGCAGAATACCCAGTTGACTGATTGTCTCCAGTATTATTCATTGTGATTCACCGTCTGCATATGCCTCTCCAGTGGGCCATGTTATGCATTTGATAGATAGGTAGTTAACAAAGAATATCTTGCAAGATTGTTAACTGCATTTCACATTCTCCGCAGGGGGTGACTCGACTATGACTGGGTTGAAAGGGATACGTCAAACTGGGCAATACCCACAGCGTTAGGTCCGACTGGAGCTCGCAGATGACCTGAACCAGAGAGCCATGGGCCTACTCAACACGACCGATTAATTACCTAGTTAGCTGCCTGTATCGGGCAGTAAAGTTGTGTAAACTCCTGCTTCCCGGACTATGAAAGGCCACCATGACAACTTGAACCTTAGACGGATTCCCTATATATCACCCCCTCCCGCTTAAAATACCGACGAGGCGTACCGTTTCGATAACCACCTAATAACCGATTTGGAAACACTGAGCCAATCTTTGTGGAGTCAGGAATCTGGATCAAAGAAAATTAACTTATTATTTCATACTAGGTCCAGATTCACGTTTTTGCTCTCTCTATGGCAACGATAGCTTCTGCTCTGGTCTTCATTCTTGCTCAATGGATGGGACCTTGTACGAATATTACATTATTCAGCGGAATGTATTGTTAGGTACAGTTTTCACTACGAAGTAACCTCGTCCTAATCCTGCCAGAGTGGCTGACAGTAAGATTGGACCCCAGACGCCCCCTTGCCCCTGTCACGTCTTCCCCACGGGGAAAGTTCGATCTATCGATGCCAACCCCAACTCACATGACGCCTCTTTGAAGCGTTGGCACAGTTGTGTGGTACGCCCACGTGGATCCCCGCCTCAGCTGAGCTGTCACTCCAATGGGTTTGGTTCGAGTGACCTATCCCGCGGGAGAGGCCCGAGCCGGAACCAGCTCTTGCCAGCTTGATTCACAGCTGGTTGGTTGATTTACGTAAAGATGCCCACGGAACTTGGGTTGTTCTGGAGAAACGGCAAGCCACGGGGGGCCTTGAAACGAACAATGGACAAGCGACGTTTTGTTAAAACACGGCGATCGATGGTGGTTCGGGGAGGTGTTGACGGAGGTTTAATTTGACTGAACAAGTTCGAAGGAATCTACCTCCTGAAAGCAACTTGCTAACCGGGCTGTCTTGAATATCGAGGTGTTGTTGATGAGCATACCTTACTACCAACCCCCTATCGGTGTCAATGCCAATGTCGTTATCTGGTGCACCGGAGAAAGCAATTTCGGAGAGCGCTTCGTTCCCCAATGGATGCCCACGTCTCTAACATGAACTCGTGCAAAGCTGAAGTGCCGCGGATCCGACAGTCGTCGATGGCATTCTTGCTTCGTGGATGCAGCCACATCCTGTTCTAGGCATTACCGCGGCCTCTCATAAGACCACTTTCCCGAAATATCCAGTGGACATCGGCTATATCGGCTCCCGAGGCGTGACATTGAAGCCAGGTTATGCAGCCAGCTTCCGCGAGGAGGATGTGGGCTCGTGGGTTGCCAACTGGGACTTTCCAACATCTGGGCAGTTCCCGCCAGCCAGTGACACCAACCCCAACAAAGCTCAAAAGACCAACTGAGGGGGTGGAGAGATATGCCGGTTCGATCTAGCAGCAACCCCAACCTTTCGTTACCAAATAAGCGTCGGTGTCCACCCTCCAAGTCCTCCCACCCCTGTAGGCTGTATCACCGGTGCCACCGCCCGCGGTCCACCCCCACCCCATATTATGCGCGCAACTTGCTCGCCCAGGCACCGGGGTCTGTTTTCCCCCAACCCACCCACGCCGGCACTGTATCCACGACGGGCTCTTTGCCCAGTTCCTGTGCCAACATGCTTTGAGCGGGGTGGGGAGAAGGGAGAGAGCGCGTGTGACAGATGTGGGAAAGGGGTTTGGCGTGGAATCAGGGTGAGGTCAGCTGGCCCCTCTCTGGCGCCACCGTGAAGAGAGGGGGGCGCCTCGAGGGGAGACTGGGGGAGGAGACGAAGGACCCAGGGAGAGAGTTAAATACTCCCGTGACCCCTCGGTCCTGTTCGCAAACTCTTCTTGTCTCCATCTCGCAACAGACTCAATCAACACCCACAAACAATCTACCCACCACCAACCCAAACAACCATCAACATGTGCGGAAACGGACCTTGCAACTGCGGCGACAGCTGCTCGTGCTCTGGCTGCTCCGAGCACCCCCAGTAAAGACGGGTAGCTACCCGCAATGAGTATGCTTTACTCCATCCTACCCTCCTTTGGAAGGCATTGGGACTGACAGATCGTCCCAGGATGATGATGATGATGACGAGCAGGATGGCGGAGTGAGGCGTATGCGGTGACAGGTTGGGGCGTTTTGTTTAGGAGAGGGTGGCTTTTTGTTGGGCGGCTGTTGTGGTCGAGGATGAGAATACCTAGCATCAATCGAATTCATTGACGCACTATTACTGTCTCGTGAAAGTGACGATGCTCGGCAGTGACCATGCTAGACTGAGACATGAGAATGACGGGCAATCCATGACTCCCACACGCAAAACCAAACGAAATCTTGCAATTAGAAGCCGAGCCCATCCCCAAACTCGCGGCCCAAGCGCGTTACGCGTACGAATACAGGTGGTATCAGAGCGACGCCGTGAAAGACAACCTTGCGAACAGAGAGCAACCCACAACCAGAAACAAGGACCGGGTACGGCGCATCCACGTACCGGCCACCCACGCCGCCCCCGAGCAGAATACAAAGAGCACAGACATCCCAGCCAGGACGATTACCAGAGAGCCCATAACGCCGCCATGCAAATCAGCAAAACAGAACCCAGGAGCAAGGTATCGTATCCAGCAGATAGTCCCAGGAACCCACCCCTTCCAACTCTCACCCACCCATGATCATGTCATCATCTCTCTCGCATCTCTCCTCTCTCCGGCCTCTCCTCTTCAAGCTTCACCCACTCCCCTTCGAACTCCCTTCTCACACCCCCTCCCCTCTTCAAACCCCCTTCTCACACCCCCTCCCCTTCAAACCCCTAACCAACCACCAGCCACCACCCGCGCCCACCCAGCCTCCCAAGAAGCTACGCAATCCTATTATGCACCTCCCTCAGCCTCTTAACCCAGTGACGGCGCAGCACATCAGGCATCTTGCAAAAGACCATGGCCTTGTTCTCGTCCGTGAGCACCTTCTCGGCGATCTTGAGCTGCAGGTCCATGTCCTCGGCCACAAAGTCCCGGAAGAACATGTCCATCGCCTGCTCCTGCCAACCCGGGGTCGGCTTGCCGCCGCCCCGTGCCATGCCGCCGTTACTGCTGCGCAGGGCTTCTGACAGGAGGTGGAGCGTGTCGGCGAGCGTTGTTGGGCCGCCTCCGCTTGTGCTGGCTCCGGCCGTGTTGGTGGTTGATGGGAGGGCGGTGGGGTTGGGTGATGTTTGTGGGAGAGTCGTGGGGGTCGTGGTGGTGTTTTGTTGAGGTTGTTGCTGTTGCTGTTGCTGTTGCTGTTGCTGTTGCTGTTGCTGTTGCTGTTGCTGTTGTTGTTGCTGTTGCTGTTGTTGTTGCTGCTGCTGTTGCTGCTGCTGCTGTTGTTGTTGCTGTTGTTGCTGCTGCTGGGTCAAGTCGAGGTAGCCCGGAGCAGCGGTACGGCGGCGCTTGTCGGGGGGGTGGCCTGCCGAGGAGGAATTGCTATCTGGCGCTTGCAAGCGCTTGCGAGACTGGAGAGCTGTCTCCTCGGGCGGGGTCAATGCCGAGGCGGAGGAGACGGAGGACCGCGGCGGGGGCGGTGGCGGCGGCATTGTATTCGCCCTATGTTGTTGTTGAGGTGGGGGGTGGACGGCCATCGGGGCTGGCATTGCGGGTTGCATCGGCGGCGGAATATGTGTCTGGCTCGGGTTGATATAGGCCGTATCTGTGAGCAGGTCCATGATGGCGGTCCCCGGCGCCTCGGCCTCTTCCGTCCCGTTGACCGTGTCTGTCCCCTTCCGGCGCGGTTTCGTCAGTCGTTTCGGGGCGCCGCCGGAGCCGATGACGTCGGGGAAGAGTATCTCGTAGTATTCTTCGTGTTCGAAGGGCCGGGCGCGGAGGGAGCGTGCGAGTGGCTCTTTCTGCAATCACCAAACATAATTAGCATTAGTCCCGACCGACCTCACGGCCGCAGGATGGCGGTTGTGCGCAGCGAGCTGCTAGCTGCTATCTGCTGCATACCTGGAGATGGCGCGACCATGCGTCGTCGGTAGCCGTCACGGTGCGGGTCTGGGCGTTGTAGTAGAATTCAGGGTCCTCGCGCAAGCCGCGCCAGAGGCGATACTTCTTGCGGGCATTGTCGGTCTTGTTGATCAGATGGCTCTTGTTCGCGTATGCGTTGTGCTTCTCGATGAGGGCGGCCATGGCGTGCTCCCAGGCTTCGGGCTTGAAGGTGCTACCATCGCGCAGGCCGAGCGAGACGGACTCGCAGAGAGAGCGGAAGAAGGTGGCCTCGTACTGGGGATTCCAAGTGAATCGAGGCCCGCGATGCTTGCCCGGGCCCGACACCCTGCCGGTGCCTCCGCCGGCGGCCGAGAAGTCCTCGTCGGACATGGCGGTCCGCGCGGGTGGAACCCTCCGGTCGGCGTGGAGGAGATCGGAGATCGGACGGGTAGGGTTTTTGGTCGTGCGACTCGGGACGAGGGCGGATGTGGCCGTCGTAGTGGGCAATGGAGTTTTGGCGACTGACTGGGGGAAGGGTCGTGAAACGGAGGGGGGCGATCCCCAGCGCTAACTAAAAAGTTTAGCGCCCAGAACTCGGAACAGAGCAGCGCTGAAAAGCGCAGACCGCGATTTCCAAGCGAGAAAAAAAAAGCCCCCAACTTTCCCTCTCTTCTTCTTCGTCGCGACGGAGGTGCGCCGGCTCAGGGTGACGCGATCAGAAATATTCCATGAAGGACATCTCCAGACCGGACATGTCTTTTCTGCGCCCGGCCGAGATGTTGCGGGCTGAAAGAGACACCGTTTTGTGGCACTGAGCGTCGATGGCGCGGATCATTTGCAGAGGTTGGGACGGTGAAGCGGGGACGGCCGTCTCCTCCGAAACGGACAGGCAAGCCATCCATCCACCCGAAGAAGCCTGTCAGTGTCACGTGTTGGACGCGCTATTCGCATTTGGGGGCGAGCGCGGGGTTGTGGGCAGCGAATGACGCGTCTTCCAAGCTTTCCAGTTCCTTTCAGCAACAGCAATTTTGATGCAGAAGAAAGGTTTCAGCGTCGTCTTTCTGCAACTCCGTCAACGGTCCGACACTCAGTTTGTTGTTTGGCCTTTTTGAGAAGGGTAGTGGGTCAATGACGAGATGAAATGGAAGAGTTCCTGCAGGCAGCCTCGGCAGCGTACATGTACCTGTGTACCTGCATCTTCCCTTGCGCTCCCGCACATCCATTCCCTGCACTTCCATGGCTTGCGGTTCGCAGCTTGCGCCTTGCGCCTTGTCCGCATAGGCCAAAGAATGTGCTGTCTCGTCCTGAAGCAATGCAATCAGTACAATCAGAGCATTCGGGGCATTCAACAACCGCATCAAGCTGGCAAAAAGCACTTTCACTTTGTTGACAGCTCTGCGTTCTTAGCCCATTCTTGAGCTGGCTGGGGATGCTTGACTCCTGACAAACCTGAGTCCTTGTCTGTCAAGATATACCATGTGCCGTGCCGGTTGATACTGCCCATCGCATCGTTGAATGTTTTAGTTACCGTGCTCCGGTGAAAAGCCAAAGCCAGGCTGGCACGCTGGGAGTCTTTGGTATGGAATGAAAAAAGCGAGAATAATCACTGATTAAGAAATCAATTCGTTTGTCTTACGGCATAAGAGATTGATCAAGAAGTTTTGATCTGTCTGCCATTCTTCCTTTCTCTTTCATTTTAGCCTCGTCCCTCCTGGCTACTGCTTCTCCAAACTCTCCCAACACTGGCAGGTCCTTCAATGGTTTCCATGCTAACAACGCTCTTTCCCTTCATTCATTTTGCCTTTCCTTCACGACATCTCTTAGCTTGAAGTTTGGAGTACTGTGCCCTTGTCTGTCATTCTTTAATGTTACACAGACATCCTCATCCTAACAATAACTTCACCTCATTCTCTACCCCTACGTTTCTTTGGCCGCCTTGGCCATGTCATTCTTTTTCATGAGATTCATTCTCATTCTGCTTTGGGCATCGTCCATCCTTGCCGCACCTCCCCTTTCCCTCGGGAAACGGTCATTCAAGATTGACAGAGTCAGAAACCCCAACTTCAAACGCTACGATGGACCAAAGGAGCTGTTGAAGACGTACCAAAAGTACCGGATGCCCATCCCGCAAGACCTACTCAATTCGCTTGACGATCAGCTCGAGGATGATGTTCCGTCCGACGACGCTCACTCGGAGACCAACCCCCAGACACTCGACCTCACGCACGTGAATACCACTGCTCGCCCGGTAGCCGCTATCGGGTCGGTTCCGGCCACCCCCGCGAACGGCGGCATTGAATACATCTCGCCCATCAAGATCGGCGGCCAGACCGTCAACGTGGCTTTCGACTCCGGGTCGGCCGACCTCTGGGTCTTCAGCACCCAACTCCCCACCATCTCCAAGATCGGCCACCAGGCCTACGACCCGTCCCTCTCGCGCACGTTCAAGCCCATGCCCGGCGCCAACTTCTCCATCCTCTACGGCGACGGCACCGGCGCGTCGGGCAACGTCGGGACCGACACGGTCGACGTCGGCGGCGCCGCCGTGGCCGGCCAGGCCGTGCAGATGGCCACCGCCGTGTCGGACGCCTTCGTCACAGACACCCACGTCAGCGGCCTGCTCGGCCTCGCCTTCTCCCAGCTCAACACCGTCAAGCCGGTCCGGCAGCGGACCTTTTTCGAGAACGTCATGCCCGCCCTCGCCCAGCCGCTGTTTACTGTCGACCTCCGCAGGAATACCACGGGCGCCTACGAGTTTGGGCGCATTGATGGTTCCAAATTTGTGGGACGGCTGGCTTGGGTGCCGGCCGATACGAAGAGGGGGTTCTGGCAGGTTTCGTCGACGGGGTTCTCGGTTGGCAGCACCACCACGATGCTAGCTGGGGCTGCGCAGGCCATCGTCGATACCGGCACGACTCTCATGTTGGTCTCGAAGGAGTTGTCGGATCGGTACTATAGCCATGTGGTGGGAGCGAAGCGGAACCCTGCCGCGGGGGGGATCACGTTCCCGTGCAACGCCACGCTGCCAGATCTGTTGGTTGATGTTGGCGGTGTTTATACTGCTAAGGTCAGGGGGCCGGACATCAACTTTGGGACGTTCCAGGGCAATGGTAGGTCACCCGCTTGACTTTGGCAATGAACGGTGCCGTTGCTGACTTGAACACAGAATGCTTCGGCGGCATCCAGAGCACCACCTCGCACTTTGAGATCTGGGGTGACATCTTCTTTCGATCGCAGTTTGTTGTGTTTGACGGGGGCAACCACTTGCTGGGCATGGCCTCGCATGCTTGACTTTGACTTTCCTGTATCCCTTTCGAGCGTCGTTTTCCCAATTCAAGCGTGTATGCTTACGGCTTAATAATAGAGTTCACTCATGGATATGATTCGTGGTATTCGTGTCCTGATTTGCATCGGTTTGCGTGTCACCATCATCCCTAACCCGCTCATTCGGATACATATCCGATACCTCTACCCTTTTAGCGATGCTGATCAAGTTGAAGCCTCCGAGTCGTGCTCTACCCGCAACGTGACATCCGGGAGGAGGGGATCCGAAACTCGCTCACATCGCCCTTTACAGATCTTGGTATGTCGGTATTACCCAGGCGGTTTTGCGGGGTTATAGGGGACGGTCCACCTGCCACAGCGGGAGATATAGGCGGTCCAATTAATAGCGGGCAATGCGGCCCGGCGGTGGTGGGCGGTTTCCCAGCCCCTGACCAGTCGCCTTGCCGCGCAGAGAGGGGCGGCCAGCGGCAGGGTGCTCGCCGCGCCGGCCTCATGCCGGCAGCAGGGCGGCATTCGGCAACGGCTTGCATCGTCCCAATGGTCCCCAATGCCGATCCCGCCGCATGCACCCCAGCTTTCTAGCGTCATTTATCCCAGGCGCAAAAAGATTTTCCCGCCCTTGCGAGCCACTCACGCGGTCACGCCGCTGGGCCAGCGGGCGTCCGAGTACACTCTGTACCTGACAGGCGATAGCTCGCCTCCCGCCTGTCCGCTTCGGGGCACTGGCGCCGAGCGCTGGTTGCCCTGATTAGGGTCGCAGTTGATGAGCAGGCACTCTGCCAGATCTGGGGCGAGATGGACGTGCGGGGCCGAATATCACTGAGAGCATTACATCTCGCTGAGGGGAACCGAAGCTAAGAACCTGGGCAATGCGGGACGAGCTCGGGGAAGGGCGGGCTCTGCCCGAACGGTCACTTATAAGATGGGAGTGGCTTGCCTCGGAAACTGGTCCAGTACGGCTCGGACGACATCGGTCAGGGGCAACATCCCAATTCCCCCAGCTACACGACGTGGACTCTACCCGCTTGGAAGTTCCACTAACAGCTAGTACCGGACGAAGTCGCCCATCATGACGACGCTCCGCACCTTTGCGCTGCTCGCGGCGACGGTGCTTGCCCGGGTCGAGGCCATCGAGGCCGCCGACTGGGATGCCGCTCAGTCATCCGCCGAGGCCGCGCTGGCTAAGATGTCGCAGCAGGACAAGGTCAACATTGTCACTGGTGTTGGGTGGGACAAGGGGCCCTGCGTCGGCAACACGCCCGCCATCAGCTCGATCAACTACCCGCAGTTGTGCCTTCAGGACGGCCCCCTAGGCATCCGCTTCGGCACCGGCTCGACGGCCTTCACCCCTGGTGTACAGGCGGCGTCGACATGGGATACCGAGCTGATCCGCCAGCGCGGCGAGTTCCTCGGAGAGGAAGCCAAGGGATGCGGCATCCACGTGATGCTCGGCCCCGTGGCGGGTGCCCTCGGCAAGATCCCGCACGGTGGGCGCAACTGGGAGGGGTTCGGGGTGGACCCTTACCTGGCGGGCATCGCCATGGCGGAGACAATCGAGGGGATGCAGTCGGCGGGGGTGCAGGCGTGCGCCAAGCACTACATCGTCAACGAGCAGGAGCTGAACCGCGAGACCATCAGCAGCGACGTCGACGACCGTACCATGCACGAGCTGTACCTGTGGCCGTTCGCGGACGCGGTGCACGCCAACGTGGCCAGCGTCATGTGCAGCTACAACAAGATCAACGGGTCGTGGGCGTGCGAGAACGACCACGCGCAGAACGGCCTGCTCAAGAAGGAGCTCGGGTTCAAGGGGTTCGTCGTCAGCGACTGGAACGCGCAGCACACGACCGACGGGTCGGCCAACAACGGCATGGACATGACGATGCCGGGCAGCGACTACAACGGCAACAACGTCCTCTGGGGTCCCCAGCTCACCAGCGCCATCAACAGCAACCGCGTGTCGGGGGAGCGCGTCGACGACATGGCCAAGCGCATCCTCACGACGTGGTACCTGCTGGGTCAGGACGCGGGTTACCCAGCCATCAACATCGACGCCAGCGTGCAGGGCAACCACAAGGAGAACGTGCGGGCGGTGGCGCGCGACGGCATCGTGCTGCTCAAGAACGACGAGGGCGTGCTGCCGCTGCAGAAGCCCGGAAAGATCGCGCTGGTCGGGTCGGCGGCCGTGGTCAACCCGGACGGCGCGAACGCGTGCGTCGACAAGGGCTGCAACACGGGCGCGCTCGGCATGGGCTGGGGCTCCGGGTCGGTCAACTACCCCTACTTCGTGTCGCCGCACGATGCGCTCAAGGCCCGGGCCGAGGCGGACGGCGCCACGGTCAGCCTGCACAGCTCGGACCAGACCAACGGGGTGGCCGGAGTGGCATCGGACGCGGACGTCGCCATCGTGGTGATCACGGCGAATTCGGGCGAGGGATACATCACGGTCGAGGACCACGCGGGCGACCGCAACCACCTCGACCCGTGGCACAACGGCAACGAGCTGGTGAAGGCGGTGGCGGCGGCCAACAAGAACACCATCGTCGTGGTGCACAGCACGGGGCCCATCATCCTCGAGGAGATCCTGGCGACGGAGGGAGTCAAGGCCATCGTGTGGGCCGGCCTGCCCAGCCAGGAGAACGGCAACGCGCTGGTCGACATCCTGTACGGCCTGGCCTCGCCCTCGGGCAAGTTGGTCTACTCCATCGCCAAGAGCGCCGAGGACTACGGCACCTCGGTCGTCAGCGGCGGCGAGGACGACTTTTCTGAGGGCCTGTTTGTCGACTACCGCCACTTTGACAACGCCGACATCGAGCCGCGGTACGAGTTCGGCTTCGGTCTGTGTAAGTGACCTTCCTAAATACCCCCTCGCATTCCCTTGAATAGGCCGCAGTGCACTAACTCAAACTGCAACCGGTTAGCCTACACCGAGTTCACCTACGAGGAGCTCTCCGTCACATCGACCGTCACGGCCGGCCCCGCATCAGGCGAGACGATCCCCGGCGGCGCGGCAGACCTGTGGGAGACGGTGGCGACGGTGACGGCGTCGGTGACGAACAGCGGCGAGGTGGAGGGCGCCGAGGTTGCGCAGCTGTACATCACGCTGCCGGCGGATACCCCCTCGACGCCGCCCAAGCAGCTCCGCGGGTTCGCCAAGCTCAAGCTTGAGCCCGGCGCGTCGGGTGTCGCCACCTTCAACCTGCGCCGCCGCGACCTCAGCTACTGGGACGCCAGCGCCGCGCAGTGGGTGGTGCCCGCGGGGGAGTTTACGGTTTCCGTTGGGGCGAGCTCGCGCGATGTGCGCTTGACGGGGAGCTTGACTGCCTAAGTGTGAAATCGGCGCGACTTCAGACTTTTCGGTTTGGTTGGTGGTCAGCTGTATCTCACTTTGATGGTGTTGTGAATAAAATAAAATTTGATGTTCATGGAAACCAGGAAAACTTTTACTGAACATGTGGCTTCCCGAGCAGGCGCTCACTGATCCGGATGGGAAAACCCGAGCCGTTCCTTCCTGCCGTGTCTGGGGAACCGCGCAAACCACCAAAATGACGCGACCTGACTTCATTCTCGGCCGTATGTGCTTAACCCTAACCCTCTCGCTCGACACCCGACGAAATGGAGCTTCGGAGCCTTGCGGGTTTGTTGGTCGCGGGCAACAGCAGCGGCGGGGTAAGAAGCGAATAAATAGATCAGGCTGTGTGCTTCATCTCATTACTCGCTCCTCGCAACTCTTTCCGTTCAAAAGCGGACAAAAAACGACCATGGTCAGAGGCTCGGTTTCCACGTATCGCCTGCGCAGCGACCACCTCGAGACGTATTTGCGGACACTGTTCCCAGGCTATAGGTATTTCGATATCCAGGTAAGACACCTAGATCATCTTCCTCTCTTCCCTCGGGCGCAGCGCAGTGCGTAGGTTGTCGTGCGGGTGGTTGCTGATGCTGGTCGCAGCTGTCGGTAGACGGAAAGGAGTTCTACACGTTCGAAACCCCCAAAGCCTTGACGAGGGTGAGTCAACTTCCCAGGTCGTTCCAGTCCGCCATGGGCAAGGTTGACATTTTACGGGCCACAGGGGCAAGTCGAGTACATTGATGAATATGTGAGGCTGAACAGCGACGACGCCGATTTTCTTGGAGGGTGATTGTGCCCGATCACGCCGATGTTGTTGGTTCTTTTGTTGGCGCTCGTTGGCAGGTGGCCGCCGTCTTTTTGTGGATAAGGTAACCTTGAAATACCGAACCTGGAATACCCAGACGGCAGAAATTCAATGCATGCAATTGGATCGTGATACCACCGGCCCATCATCCGGGCAGCCCGGCAAGCAGTGGCCGCTGACCAAAAGGTACTCAACCCGCGCCACAGTAGAGGCCTCTTGGGCACTTTTTGGGAGCTGATGAGGGTGGGTGACAGCGTGGGAGCGTGGCTGGGTGGAATGTGATTGGAACAAGCGAGAGTCCGCCACTTCGTGTCAGGCGGCCCGGTATTCGTCCCACGCAAGTTCAATGATTTGGTTGGTTGGGCTCAGCGGCTCGCCCGAAATCTGCCTCGGCGGAGGCCAACTTACGCTCCTCAGGAACACGCGTGTGCATGTGTTCCCCTGACTGTCACGATCTATCTTTGGTTTGTTGACGGAGCCGCATACTCTAAAAGGCTCCCAAGGTCAACGGCGCTGGTCCCTCTCCATGCATTTTCGGCACCGCTAAAAATCCAAAACGCCAATTAGAATTGATGCTGCTGGCCCAGCACATTTACGAATTTACGAACCATGTCGACGACCGGAGTTGATGATATTGCTGCAGAGTTCGCTGCGAGCTGCCAACGCTCAAAGGACTACCCATTGACCGTCTTGAGGACCGAGGTTTTTGGTCATACCCAGAAATCTTACCAGGCACGTCTCAATCAAGGCGCCGTATTTCACAAATCACACCGGTCACTCTACGTTCGTGATCTCCAGTATGCTGCCGCAGCATTCGACCGGGGGCGGCTTCTCGAGAAGGTGGATGATGTCGAGGCCCTTCTTGATCCCGAGGAGAAGGACCCCTGGTGGCGGTTCATGTTAGTCGAGCCGCTTCAGTTCACCCTGCCGTGGGTTTCCAGGAGAGCTAACCTGGCGAAATAGCTTCTTACATTCAAAGACCTCAAGAGACCCCCTGGGTTGCTCCAAAGAACAACTCACGATGCTCTTGACCTACCACCAAGTCATGCCCTCATTCTTGGATCTTGTGTTCACCTTCAGGTCCCGTAGCCGGCCACTGAACCATGCCGTCTTCCGGCATGAAAACTACCTCGACGAGAACCTCCCGTCCCTCCGGCTCCCGCACCTGGGCAGGTCGGGCATCCAAATCCAGCACGCCTTCAACCTCCTCACGGTTGAAAAAAGCAACATGGCCGACGAGAAAAACCAATGGCCACTGCGCCATGCATCCATGTATCATTCTTTGGACCTGGAAACCGGTCGGGCCGTCTACATCCTCCTAAAAGGGAACAGCGAGCTCGCGAAGCGCATTAAAGACGCCACCGATGTGAACAGGCACTTGCGACCCGACGCCCCGAGGACGCCAGAACGGTCTTTCGTGGCGAGCCTGCAGGTGCATCTCATCATGCTCGAGTGGTGTGTCGAGTATTGGACCGAATATATCGACGGCGTCGAGGACTCGCTCCGGACCCGTTCCGTGGAGGCCAAGGTTGCCCCGGTGGAGGGTGTTGCCAGCCCCGTCAGGCTCGCCGAGAGCTTCCAGCGCCGCGGCAGCACCTTCTCCAGACGCGGCACCATAAGAACCCTGTCCCGCCTGTCCTCCACAAGCCACGGCAACGGTCAGGACAGTCTTATCGAGGATGTTCCGTCGGAGCCTTCGACTCCCCGCTCACCCTCCACGCCTATTCGCGCCGCTAGCCGAACTCTCACGGGGCTTTTCCGGCGCGCTACGGGAGGTTTGGATAACGGGTCCGGTTCAGTGCAAGAGAAAACCCCTGTGCCGGAACGGGACGTGCTGATGGACAAACTGACGGAGCTGGAGGAGCGTTTTTCCTTCAACGAGCTGCAGCGCCTGAGCCTGATAGGCGACGAGATCGACCGGTCCCTTTTGGCGCTGGAGCAGAACCAAGACGTTGTTTCCCAGGTCCAAGAGCAGTACCAAACGGTCATCTCCTCGCACGCGTTCACTACGTTGTTAAACGAGGGCCAATGCAAAGCAGAGCTAGCCGTCTTTTTCCGGCGGGTGCGCACCGTCCTCCGCGACCTGGCCGTCCATCGCCGGCGCCTTCTCGACCTCTCTCGCACCGTGGACAACGACAAGAACATGGTAAGCAGTGGCGGTCGACCGTCGCCCCCGCAGGTCGCTAATAATATCACAGTTCGAGGCCCTCAGCCAACACACCAGCATCCAGACGTCCAAGGCGTTCCAGGTGGTGGCACAGACATCGAGCGACGAGATGATGAAGTGGACACATAAGATGCACGAGATCGCGGTCAAGACCAAGCAAGAGACTCTCTCGATGCACGTCATCACCATCTTCACGCTCATCTTCCTACCGGGCACCTTTATCGCAGTAAGCCACCCCAACCCCCCTACGCAAGCTCCCCCAAACCAGCACACCCTAACAGCCTTCACCAGACCTTCTTCAGCAGCGGCGTCCTACACTGGGACGAAGACGGCACCCTGGGCTCCGAGTGGGTGGTGCGCGACGCGGGTATCCGCCTGTTCCTGTCCATCTGCCTGCCCCTGACCGTCATCACCATCACCATCTGGGCCGTCATGTATGCGTTCGCCCGCCGCTGGGCTCGACGCCACGCCAAGACCCTCGGCCTATCGGATCCAGAGTATGGTAATGAAAAGGGGTTGCCCATGCCAGTGGTGAATGGGGATAGCAAGGGGAAGGCGGGGTTGGGGTTGGCCTGGTCGGGGCCGTGATGGGCGTGAGGTACTTTTACGCTTTGGTGATTTGGTGGGAGGGCGGGAAACGGGTCAATCATGGACGGGCAGGGCCGGCGTTTGGGAAAGGAACACGGAGTTTGGGCATCTTTTGCATATGGTAGTACAGCCGTATATTTAGGGGTGAATTATATCTGGACATACTGCGCAACATATCGGTCTTTTCTCCCTTCCGTTTCCCCTTTTTTTCTTCCCTTTTTTTCTGATGTTGTTCCCCCTGTGCATTTATTTCGGCGTTGTGTAACAATGATCTGAAAGCTGGAACCCAGCTGGAGACTCAAGGTCGCATTGAAGCATTTTCGTGTAACTTGGAAAGGGCTGTCCATGTGCCTTCCGCCTTCAGCGCCAGGCAACCAGCAAATGGGGGTCCTGGCGCTTAACCCACCGCCCGCCCTCCAATCCGGGTTGCCTCCCTCAAAACCAACAGTACCAACGGCCGAAGGTGTGAGGCTGGGAAAAAGAGGTGCAGTGGGCGCTTTTCTTCAAACCATCTCTGTTCCAGAACTTTACCAAGTGATTCCATTCAATCCTCCCCGGTTCCAATCCTTTTTCCACAACACCCTGCCCAAACCCGCCCGCAACGAAAGCGGCATTGCGACATGGGTTTGCCCAGACCAAGCGGGGGTTAACTCGCCAGGATCGCGATTCCATTTCTAACTGGCTCTCCTCCGCGTCAAGTCCCGCCAATGCCCGCGATGGCACTTGGCGTGAACCTGGAACCCTTCTCCAGGTTCGCCGAATTCGTCGCCGAGACCAAGCCCAAACATACCGGCTGCGATATCGCTGGAAACCTCAGGCAATACGTCCCGTACACCGAACTCCAGACATATTGGACGGTACAACGCATCTCGAAGGTTCTCAACGCCTTCTCGGACCGTCTCGACATTGACATCGGCATCATCAAGCGGCAGTATCTGCGCATCTTCTCCACCCTCGTCTACACCCACCACGACACCCTTCACCTCCTCCCCCGCTTGTTTATTAGCCGCACCCTCTCGGACGAGAGGTTGCCATTACGATGCCGGCCAAGCGAATGGCCTGACGAGACTTTCCACCGCGACTTCTTCAGCCGGGTCGTCGAGAACCAGTGGCAGTTCTTCCCGCTGTATTTCGACCACGATCAGCTACACGACCGCTTGATCGAAGACAAACGCATTCTTCCCATCAAGTTCGGCGAGCAGATTGCCCACGGTAGCGCGGCGACGATTTATCCTTTCGACATCCATCCCGAGTATAACCGCATTGGTTTGGTATGCTTCCCCTTCGCCTGTCGTCCGAGGGTTCCTCGTTATATCGATCCCGGTGCTAATTGCTTGCCGCCGCCTCTTAGGATAAACACAAGCGCCTCGTTTCGCAGACCTTTGTCTTTAAAATCTACCACAACAAAAAATATGAGGACTACTACGAGAACGAGCGCCGAGCGCTACAACGCCTCAGCGCCGCCCCGTCCCCGAACCTGATCAAGTTCCACGGCTCTCTCCGGCAGCTCGGTTCATACTGTTTGCTGCTGGAGTATGCGGACGGGGGGAATTTGGGCGACTTCTTCGACGGGTACAGCCCGCCCTCTACGGTCGAGGATGTGGCGCTGTTTTGGAGGAGCCTCTTCCAGGTCTTCTCCGGCCTAGAGAGGATCCACCAACTCATGTCATACAACGAAGACGAACTCATTAGGGGGTAAGTTCTCGTGATTCCAGATGCTTCAACCGTAGAGCCGAGCTGATACGAACCCACCCGTGTGTAGCATTCACGAGGATATTCGGCCGGAAAACATCCTTCTCATGAAGGGGCCGTCAGGGTCTCCCTATGACTTTACCCCCAAGGTGGCCGATTTTGGCCTGTACAGTCGCGTCAGAACAGCCAAGGCGAGGTCCGGCGGGCCGATGGGACTTGACCATTACGGGAATCAACGATTTAGTATGTACATGTGCCTCGTCGCACCGTGACTATCTCCGTAGGAAGCTGACAACCCATCCCCCTCCCCCTAGGCTCCCCCGAGTGCTGCCATCATACAGTCCAACGCCACAAAGGGACAAACATGATCACCACGAAGGCTGACATCTTCTCTATGGGGGCCGTCCTTAGCCACGCTGCCGCTTGGGTAGTGGGCGGGCCCAAGGAGCAACTGGCCTACTTCAGATTACGCAGTGACTACCACGCAACAAACCTTCCCCGGTTCAAGCACAGCGGCTATGAAGGCTGCTTCCATAACAGCATCGGGCCAATACCCGCCGTTACGCAAGAGCACAAAAAGCTCCGAGAGGGCCTCCCCTCCTGGGACGACGTTACCCCCACAGTGCTCGACTGGGTCACAGCGTGCATGCTCGTCCAATTCCCCAAAGACCGTTTGCCGGCGAGGGATATTGCAGAAATATTCGAGCAATTCATGGATAACCGCTTTCTACTGACGCCTTCTCCGCAACCACTATCTGGCGGTACCGACTCTACGATGCAATCCTCATTGTGGTCGGAACTAGGATCCCCGACGTCCACTCTTGACGGTGTGTCACCCTCCCTAAACGGCGCTGTTCCGGGTGTCGGTTTAGGACTTGTTTGCCGGCCTTCCCTGAAAGTCCTGGTATCATCCCATGACCATAACACGACCATGGCCACGGTGGCCAGTTCATCCCCCCCGACGCCACCACCAGACGATCCCGAGCCAACCGCCCGCGGTGCCCCGCACGCCGACTTAGATCGACCATCGCACGACGCGAACAGTCTTCCCAGCTCGTCATCGCAGGCTCGTCAAGCAGACGTTTCCCAACGCGCCTCTTCCAGCGTATCCGCCAGGTCCTGGACGCCCCCCAACCCCAAGATCGGCATCTCCAGAATCCACCAATACAGATCTGCCATGCACGACGGCAAGCCGGCCGACCAAGAAACGGCCGAGTTGGTGGACTACCTGGAGCACAACCTGGGGGGGCGGGACCAGTTCTTTTTTATCGACGACTCGCTGAGCATGGCGGCCGACAAGGCGACCGTCTCGGACGGGTTCCGGGCGCTGGCGTGCATCGCCAAGCGGCTGGACCCGAACCGGGTGGAGCTGGCGTTCGCGTCGCGCCCGCGCAAGGTCTTCCGGGCCCGCGCCGTCCGCCGCCTGCACGACCTCGTCACCGCCTGCCGCTACCGAGGGGACGGCCACCTCATGGAGGACCGCCTCGGCGAGCTGATCGACAATGTCATCATCCCGCGCCTGCCCTACAAGATTCTCGGTGTGAACGTCAACCTCTGGGCCCGCAAGAAGGTCAGCGTCTACGTCTTTACCGACGGCGACTGGGGGGACGTCGGCCACAGTGCCGATGCCTGCGGCGTGGAGAGGCCCGTTCGCCGTCTGATTGAGGAGCTGAAGAAGCGCCGGCTTGATCGGACCCAGGTTAGCTTGCATTTTGTGCGGTTTGGGAATAAGGAGAATGGGAAGCGCCATCTGCAACGCTTGGATGATTGTGGTGTGGCTGATGGGTGGTATGTTTCATGTCCCTGTTCACACATATTCTTTTCGGGATATGCTAACAATGCGTGCTCTAGGGATATTGTTGATGTGAAGAATATCAAGACGGATGTTGCGGGAATGATCATTGGTCCGTTGACCCGTTCCAACGACGATATCCCAACGAGCCCGACTGTTTAGCGACGAGTCGGGATGACCAGGGGGGCGAGGGCAAGGGGTTGGTTTTTGGATACACATATCATTGGGGCGGCGTCATATACCAGGGGCTCGATTCTCTTGTTTTTTGTTTACCAAGGCATCATACGACCGCTGATTTGACTTTGCTATATACCATTCAGCTTTGGTGCTGACTGACCTCTGGGAAGCGGCACTCAGCTGCCTAACAACAAGCTACTTAATGCCGAGTCGTGTTTATCACATTCTCTGCGAATTTGATTTCACACCGCCTGGGGCTACTCAGCGCTGCACGAACTGAGTCATGGCCCATGTTGTTTTCTTACTGGCTGCGGTTGTGATTGGCGTGAATAAGCGTCCCACACATGTCTTAGATCCCCGAGGTCGCAAAGGCGACGCCGACGATTTTGTCAACGACGCATTAGTCAGTACCTACCTACATAAAGCTTCGGGGTCAGCCCGCAGTCCCCAAGTTCATCCAATTCGAATTGTAGCAGTTGCACTCATAATCTGTAGTCCCTTGCATACATCATGAGGTTATCCCTCCTCCTCAGCACCTTGCTGCCCAGCCTCGGGCCCGCCATCGCAACCACGGCACGCCCCGCGGGCCCCGTCGTCGACGCAAAGCACGGCGTGTCCTACCACGGCCTCGAGCGCAACGGCATCGACGTCTTCCTCGGCATCCCCTACGGCCAGGACACCAGCGGCGCGCGCCGGTTCAAGCCGCCCCAGAGACATGTCCCCGAGCCCGGCGCCCGCGTCGACGCCACCGCGTACGGCCCCAGCTGTCCGCAGGCGCTCGGCCCGTGGGCGCCGCCGATCTCGCTGGGGGATATCACGCGTGTGTCGGAGGACTGTCTGAGTTTGAATGTGGCGCGGCCGAGGGGCGCGCGTGCGGGGGATGGTCTGCCGGTGATGGTGTATATCCATGGTGGGGGGTTCTGGGCGGGGGATGGTCATGATCCGACGATCTTGCCGGATGGGCTGGTTCGTGAGTCGGTGAGGAATGGCTTGCCGGTTGTTCATGTGGCGATGAACTACCGGCTTGGGTGTAAGTAGGGGAGGGGAGGGGTTCTAGGGTTCTAGTAACCTTGTTGCAGCGGAGAATGCTAACTGGGGTGCAGTCTTTGGGTTCGCGCAATCTGACGCCCTCCGGTCGGAAGGGTCGGGGAATGCTGGCCTTAGGGATCAAAGGCTTGCTATGGAGTGGGTCAGAGACGAGATCGCGCAGTTTGGGGGTGATCCGGACAGGGTTACCATCTTTGGACAGTCATCAGGGGGTTCGTCATTTCCTCCGCTTTCTCATATTACAGTACTAATATGCGGCCACTTCTAGGTCTATCTGTTGGCATGCATATCATGGCTTATGGGGGTACTCAACCCGTTCCCTTCCAACAAGCCATCTGCCAAAGCCAAGCGTTGGAACCTGGTATCACCGGCACCTTTACCATCGATGCTATGCAGGCGGTGGTTGACCATGTCGGCTGTGATGGAGCCGCTCTTCACTCCGAGGAGACAATCGCTTGTTTGCGGGAGCTTGATACGCAGACTCTTCTCAACGCCAGTCTGACAACGTATCGCTCCGACCTCAACATCGGGGATATCTGGCTCCCCGCTATCGACAACGACTTCCTCCCGGCCGCCCCCTCAGCACTCATCCGGGAGGGACGATTCGCCAACGTAACCACCATGATGGGTTGGTGCGAGGACGACCTCACCTTTTTCACCGATTCCAGCATCCAAACCGCCGACGAGACCCGCGAATTCATCTCCTCCTACATCCGCGGCGTAACCACTCCCAACATCGACACCCTCCTCTCTCACTACCCCGTCTCCGACTTCACGGCCCAGTCCACACCCACGCTCTCCGCCGAGTTCTTCCGCGCCGCCCGCATCTTCCGGGACATCATCATGGTGTGCGAGCCGCTCTTCTACGGCCAGCACCTCGCCGCCGGCGCCGGCAAGAACGCCGTCTATCTGTACGACTGGAACCAGACGGTGTTGGAACCCGTCCTCGAGCACGCCACGGACCGGGCCGGCTGGGGCCCGATCCACACGGCCGAGTTCGGCTACATCTTTGGCAACTTCTCGCAGTACGACTCGGGCGACTACCCCTTTGATCCGACCGCGTCTGATTACCGGCTTGCGGCGCGCGGTTCGAGGTCGTGGTCGACGTTTGCTGCTACGGGTAAGCCCAGTCTGGCGGGGCATGATACTTTCCGGGGCTTCAAGCCGGCGTTTTCTGAGGATGGGGATGATACGTTTGTGTTTGTTGCGGGCGGGCCGTCTGAGGGGCTGTCGGCTATTGATGGGCGGGATGCGGCGGAGGGGTTGAGGGCGCAGAAATTGAGGGAGCGGTGCGGGTTTATCAACTCGGCTGAGATGATTCAACAGTTGGGGTATTAGTTAAGAGACCTGCTGTCAGCTTGTGGTGTCCGGTTGGTTGGCAGCTACGGGTCGGGGTGGCTTATTGGCGGTTTGATATAATAAGAATAATAATCCGCCAGTCCCTCGATGAGCGCCACTGGTTAGGCCGTCCTCGCCGTTATGGTACTTGGTGTCTAAGATATTTATAACCCGCCGCCACATTTGAACATCTGATCTCTACTTCAAGACCGACTCTGTTGTGAAGTTTCTCCATGCCTGAAGAGGTTGGACAGAACCATGCAACGACTCGCAGGGCAGGTCGCGGGAGCCCTTAGCCCCCGAGGTACCTTCTCAACAAAGAATGGCGGGGCACACCTCTGCAGCATCGACTGATAGGTAAACCTTCCTCCAAGTGATTTCCACTCAATCCTCTCGGCGATCCCATCTACCTAGATAAGCATGTCAAAACATAGCCCACCATGCCACCTCTAGCTCAAGGGAACCTCTGAGGAGACTCTCCGTGTCAAACGTCAACGTGGACCTACCAGCGTCGGTTCGGACGTGGCCGGTATGTTGCCACAAAGTTATTGAAAGGGAGCCAGTCTGGCTCAGCCCCCTTGCGCCGAGAAACCGGGATCTCGATTCGCCTTGTGCCAGTAATGGATCGGCGTCAAATCAGCCCGAGCCCGAGAATTCGGAGAATGGAGATCTGAAAAGAAATTGCGCCCTGTGAGGCGCAGAGTGGCAGGGTTTCAAAACCCAATGAGATGTTGATACGACGAATACGGTCGCTACCTATGTTCTGGTGAGCATTGGACATGACGTTGGGCAAACCGATCGACGAAGCCGTACTTCGTACGCGTCGTGTTCACCGGATTAGGAAATAATTTGGGTGAGGACGAAGATAAAATGAAATGGTTCAAGCTGCTGGCTCTCACCAAGACATTCTGCATGTCATTGTCACAACCGTGACGTCCTTCCTTTCCCTGAGTCTTCACACATTCGATTCCCCAACGCTCCTCAGTCTGTCCGCAACTCAAACAATGGTTGCGATGGCTGCAGCTCTCTCAGCGGCCTGCGTGCCAGCGACCTTCAACGGTCTAGCACTGTTCGGCGCTGAAATCCTCTCCATCGACACCAAACCCGTAACCAACTACAGCACATGGGGCCTGGACATAGCCCGGTTTACCCAGCCCACGGTCAAGATCCAGAACGCAACCTTTTGCAATGTCACGGTATCCTACACGCACCCGGGCCAGGACGACAACATCTTTGTCGAGACTTGGCTCCCCATCGAAAACCCAACCTGGAATGACCGTCTCCAGGCCGTTGGGGGCGGTGGCTGGCAGGCCGGGCGGTTCTTGCTGTCCTGGGAGACCATGAAGGGCGCGCTCGGCGACGGCTACGCGACGACGACGACCGATGCCGGGCTGGGCAGCGCCGCGGACCCGGCCGAGTGGTCATTGATTAGTCCCGGCAATCTTAACTGGTATAAGCTGAACAACTTTGGGTCCGTGTCGCTCAATGACCAGGTGAGAGATCAAGAACGATAACCGTCGGTATTGGTCTTGTCGACTAACTGAGAACAGGCAATCATCAGTAAAGCGCTGATCAAGAGCTTCTACGGCAAGGGCCCCGACTACTCGTACTGGAACGGCTGTTCCCAGGGAGGCCGACAGGGCATCATGCTCGCCCAGCGGTATCCCGACGCCTACGATGGCATTTCTGCCGGAGCGCCCGTCCTCTATTCGAGCTTCTCAGGGACGGGGTTATACTGGCCACAGCAGGTGATGAACGTGCTCAATGAGTACCCCTACGGGTGCGAGATGGACGCCATCACGGCCGCGGCGGTTAGAGACTGCGACGGGCTGGACGGCGTCACCGACGGCATCATCTCGGATATCGACGGCTGCCTGGCCTCGTTCGACCCCTTCAAGATGGTCGGCGAGCCCGTCCCGAAGTGCTCCCAAGCCGGCAACCGGACCGTCGAGGTTGGCGTCGCGGCGGCCGTGGTCGTCAACGCTACGTGGCATGGCATGGTCAAGCCCAACAGCGGCGCCCCCGTCTGGTATGGGCTGCCACCCGGGTCGCTCATCAGCGTCGAGGCCGATGGCGGGGTCCTTACGGGCGTGGCAGCGACCAACTGCAGCTCTGGGACTTGCGTGGGCAGCCCAAATCCCATGACTACCGGCTGGATAGAGAGGTTTGACGCTCTCGGCGATCCAAACTTTGACATCACCAAGATGTCGTACGCCGACTTTGACGACATCGTGCACTACACCCGGCAGATATACCGTTCGGCCTTTGACACCGACGACCCGGACCTCTCCCGTTTCCGTGACGCCGGCGGCAAGCTGGTCACCTTCCACGGCCTGGTAAGTTATCGCCCCCCTATCAAGTTATCACTGCAACAAAACCTAACTAACAACCACAACCCACAGTGGGACGCCCTCCTCCCGCCCCAAGCCACGCGCAAATACTACAACGAGGTCTCGGCCACCGTCCCCGACACCCCGACCTTCTTCCGGCACTACGACGTCCCCGGGCTGGGCCACTGCATCGGGCACGCCAGCGGGCAGCCGACCAGCCTGTTCGAGCAGCTGCGGGCGTGGGTCGAGCGGGGGGAGGCGCCCGGCCAGTCGCCTGTTAATGTCACAGCCGCGGACGGGGCGACGCACAATAGGATTCTGTGTCCGTATCCGGAGGTGGCGAGGTTGGATGCCGAGGGGGGGTGTGGTGATCCGGCGGATGCGAGGTGTTGGAGGTGTGTTGCTGGTGGTACTACGGGTGCGGGTGGTGGTGGTGGTGGGGAGGGCGGGAAGTGATGTGATGGATGGGTTTAAAGGGGTAGGTAGCAATCGGTCTTCAAACTCGGGCTGTTGGTTGTTTATTTTTTGAATTGGCAAACTCGGATTGGATTGTTGAGAGGAATTCATTTGTTAAGGGTACTCGAATAGACATTCGTACTGTGTGCTCTGCAAGTCTCGGGCTGCTGTGCCGCCCACAATGCCCCCACGCTAGAAAGGTGGGGCGCGTGGAGTTCGGCGGGTTGAGTTTTCATTGGGTGATTGGGCGTTTGCCGATCCTGCTCTCTTTGTGCTGCTGAAATCGTTGAAATGTTTGGGAATCAGATCAAACCAAACCTTCCCCAAATAACTACACTACAGGTACCCAGTTATCCGCCACAAGTCTGTTCTTTTCGATGCCGCCCGCCTTGTCGACCGGGTTGCTGAGTAGGTAGGTGAGCATCATCCATTCGGGCTTCGTAATTGTCACCTCGAACCTTGTGGTGGGTTCTTGGTCGGGAGTTTCCCTCTTGCCGCTCAGCCCAAGAGCTTGGCTCCTTGGCATGCCCCAACACCCATGTTTCAGACACCAGGGCAAGGCTCGGCGATATCTCATCAGGTCGACAAAGCAGCATTCTGGAATCCATTCCAGTGCACGTCCACAGTCAGAACACAGTACCAAACTACACAGTCAAGATGGAAAACCCCGACAGCTCCCCGCTTACCACTAAATGTGGAAAGATTCCGATGACTGTGCACGAATACAGGTGGCCTCCCGTGCCTCCCTCGTATCTTCAGCTCGTCCCTCTCGGTGATTGGTGATTCGCTTCTCCCCCAGTCAGCACCAACAGCACCAACAGCCCCTGGCGCCATGCACAAGAACTCTCTTACTGTGCGAGAGACAGGCAGCGATCTTCATGTTCCAGTCCGATTGCTCCACAAGTGGCTGTCTGGCGGCGCTTCCGTTCCTGGTTCCTGACGGGAAAGCCAGCCAACCCTTGCGACTCAGATTTCCATTTCCGTTTTCATGTTCTGCTTCTTTTCTTTGATGGGATTTGCGTGTTAATACGGAGCAGTCTGTACGCCCGGAAGACCAACGTCAGCCTCTCCTTCACCCTCCCACCCAAGATCAGCCCCTCGTTTCTGATCGGTTCCCCATTTTCTTACTTCGTACACAGTATTCCTTGCTCCTTGCTTTTTCCCCCATGCTGTGGGCACAGCAGTCCTCTCCCTCATGTTCCTCCAAACCAAGCCCTTGACCACTCAGCTTGCCCTCAAGCTCGCCGCCGCCGCCTCCGTTTTCCTCGCCCTCCTCTTCTTCTTCCTGCCACACGATGCGACTTCCCGTATCATCTCGACCCCCCGCGTGGACCTCACCGCCGACCGCCCCTCGTCCCCGGCACCCTCCGGGCCACCCCCGACGCCCCGCGATGTGATCCCCAACACGGTCCACTTCGTCTACATCCTCCCCGACGGGGCCGACAACTTCAACTTCCAGTTCAGCCACTTCCTCTCCCTCTACGCCGCCTGGCACCACTGGCGCCCGGACACCATCTACCTGCACACCAACGTCGACACCACCGGGCCCGAGATCGCCCGCGCCCGCAACGGCACCGCGGGCAAATGGAACGGCCACATCTTCAGCCGCGACCTGGGCTTCGACCTGCGCGTCAACACCGTGCCCGTGCCCACCCACGCCGGCAACGGCATGGAACTCCAAAACATGGAGCACCGCTCCGACTTTGTGCGCGTGAAAGCCGTCCACGACCTCGGCGGCGTCTACATCGACTGGGACGTGCACGCGCTGCGCGACCTGCGACCCCTGCGCGAGAGCGGCTTCCGCGCCGTCGCCGGCCGCCAGCTGGGCGGGCAGATCAACAGCGGCACCTTCTTGTCGACCCGGGCGGGGCGCATGATCGCCCTCTGGATGGACGGCATGCACAAGGCCTACACGGGCGGCTGGACCACCCACTCCAACGAGGTCATCACCCGCGTGGGGCAGCGCCTGGTGCGTGACCCGGCGGAGCGCGAGATGCTGATCATGGAGCGCGAGGCGTTTGCGCCGGGGAGTTGGACGGCTGAGGATACGGATGAGTTGTTTGGGGTACGCAACGTTACGAGCAATCTGGCGAACTATACCGCGGGGATGGCGCTGCCGGAGTATGAGGAGGAATTTGAGGCGCGGTGGGATAGACCGGAGGATTTCCCTGATTGGGAGAGGGATTGGTCGTATACCTACCTGCTGCACGCGTTTACGCCGGACCGGTGGTCGCATAAGGTCGAGGGGTTCGAGCACATCACGCCGCGATATGTGCTGGAGAGGCAGAGCAACTTTGCGAGGGCGGTGTATCCGATCGCGAAGATCATGTACGACAAGGGGCTGATCGGGGTTGATGACTCGCATGAGGGGTGATGGACTCGGTCGGGGGCAGGTGGTGTTTGTACTGTTTGTGTATAGGCATGAAGCGGGAATGGCGTTGCGGAAAGGACTTGCTTTATTCTAATTTGATGTTGAGTTGTCGACTCAGTATCCGGTTAAACTGTGGAAAGATTGTGCGCCAGCCATGCATGATGTACATTGGGTATTTGGGGGCCGCTCATCCCTGCGGGAGGATGTGTGGCAGCGTATGACAAAAGGACCGGGTTTCCCCTTGATGCTGACATGCTCAGCGGCGGCAGGAGCTCCGGCGCCGAGGTCTTGTCTGAAGTCGGGACCCGGGGGACGCAAGGTCTCGGATCGGGCATGGGAGGCCGCAGAGATTATCCGGGCAGGTCATCGCAGGTGTCGCTTTCCACGAGATGTGTTGTGTATGTCACGGGCAACCTCAAAAGCATGGCACGGCGGGGTCATGAAATCGGGGATCAACTGTAACTAGGGTAGGTACTGAAGAGGATATCGCCTCGCGATTGCCACCGCACCGACGGCGGCGCCCTAAACCATCCTCGGGCCCAAAGACCGGCCGGGTACATGTACCTGTCCTGGTGAAATCAGAAGAGAACGAACGCAACGCACCAGCCCCGATATCCGTCGCCGCCCGTCGCCTATACTCCCCAACCCCATATATCCCGGGATCCGCCTCACCCATATACCCCGGATCCCCCCAGCCAGGACCATCTCCCATCCCCCATCTCCCATCCCCCCATCCCCATATCTCCCCTTGCCCCGGCCCTCAAGCCATCACACACTCCACCCCCCGCCTCTCACACCGCACGCACATCTCCCGCCTCACACACGCCGCCTTCATCTTCCGGCACCGCTCACACGCCTTGCCCGGCTTGCCACCCGCAGCACCCCCATCCACACCCTCACCCTCACCACCACCACTACCGGCACACTCCTTCCCCGCCTTGACGCACCGCTCACACGCCACCACCCGATCACATCTGGCCTTGGCGCGCCGGCAGGGCAGGCAGGACGGGCCGGAGGCTTTACCTCTTTTGGGGGTGTTGGGGGTGTCGGTGGCAGCTTTGGAGGGGGTTTTCTTGGTCTTGGAGGGGGTGGATTTCGGTTTGGTCGGGGTGGATTTGGTGGATTTGGATTTGGTGATGCGGCCTGAGATGACACCGCCGCCGGTGGTGGTGGTGGTGACGACTGGGGTTGTGGATGTGGGTGTCACGGTGGGTGTGGGTGTGGTTGTGGATGGGCGGGCGGTGAGGTCGATTGGGTTGGCGGAGGAGCCGGTTGGTTTGGTGGGCGCCATTGTGATGGTTGGTTTTGTTTTGGTGGTGAGCCTACTGTTGTTTTTTTGGGTCGTGGGACCGGTGCTGGGGGGGTTAGGTTAGCTTTGGGGAGCAGGATTAGGCGGGTGTGCACTTGCTGCTCACCTTGGACCCAAGCGGAAGGAGTCGCGATGCTGTGACGACGGTAATGGGAGTGCGTGATGGTGTGTGTCAAGAACACTCTGTCCGCGCTCTTCGACGTGTTGCTCGGAGCGACGGATGGTATCTGGAAGGGGGAACGGTCGCTCAGCCCGGTCAGAAGATGAAGACGGAGACACACCGACCGGGGAAAATGAACAAAATAACGGTGGAATGAATCCTTACCTCGAGTATCGCGGGGTAAGATGAAGGCAAGTAAACTCGACTTGTTTGGGCCGGACTCGAGCTAGCCTTTGGAAATGGCAGGAAGGAGTTGAGTCGGGTTCGGTGCTTTTGGCCCGGTAGGGATGAAGGAAATCTAGGGAGTGCCTGAATGGGGAAGAAGCCCGAGGTTGGTGCCAGGTCTGGTGAGAAGTCACTTCGGTAACCTCTGAGCTCCCAGACGCGTCGGGCAGCTCAGGAAGTCGGTAAAACCACGATGATCGATGGCAAGAGGAAAGTAGGAAAATGGCTCTTCTGGCCGTGGCGGGCAGGAAGACGAACGGATCGGAGAGTGGGTGGGAAGGCAACGGAAGTCAGTCGGGAAGGAACGGGAAAAGCAGCTTGACGAACGGCAGATAGGGTTCTTGCCCTCTGTCGAAAAGCCGGCCGGGCAGAGATGGAATCGCGAAAAAGTTTGTTGCCTGGCCGATTAAGGTTAAGGGCCGGGGATGGAAGCCCAAGGACATACGTGGGAGAACATCACCGAACCCAGGTTGTTGAGATGGCGTTCTATGCGTACTTCAAGGTAAGGTACCTACCTACCGGGTCAACCAATTTTCAGCACCGCTTTTGACAGTGATGATGAGCTATGAGAGTCCAAGACCCGTGCCCTTCTTCCAGACGTAATGTGTACTCACCTTCAATGTGAGATAAACACTATCCAAGTGCCCTTGTTTCACCATCCACAGCCCCGGCCACATCTGAATGAACCCTATAGAGCTTTAATAGTCTCCATCGCAAGCAACAATGATTCGAAGACACTGACCGACATGACTAAGAGTAACACCACCTCTTATTAGTCACCTGAATGGTAACAGTCGACTGTCTCTTGGTGAAATGCTCAGGTGGTGTGAAGTGTGAATATGATGATTTGGACACTAACGAGCTCAGTGTATGGACTGCATCATGACTCTGAGTCCTTAATGTCTGCTGGTAATAGAATGAAAACGAGGGGCCGTGCGTGAGAGTACAAGTCAGCATAGTTGTCTACTCCTGGCATGAGATAAAGGAGCAGGGATTTAGTCAACACCCCCGATAAGACGACTACAGAGTTTGTATTAAGAATAATAAAGCGATAATATACCTTCAGGGCGAGAACATAACAATAGCCAAGTTCACACATATCAAGATATTAATTCCCCTATGTTGTGTAAATAAAGGGGCGAATGTTGACATTCATTGAGTCCGGCCACACACTGGTAGGGCTAACGGAGTCAACTGAACCAGCAACCCCCACGCAGTGAATCAAGCCATAAAGCAGCCTGAAGTGTAGTTCGATCTTGGCATGTGAAAGATGCCGTTTTTTCACCGCAAGCTCTTTACATTTTTGAGATGACGTATGTGGAATGAAAGCTGGTGTGGGTGTTCATGAGCGGATCTGAACACGCGGGGGGTGAGGGGCTCAGGGGGACAAGAGGGAGGGGGGGGGGAAGGGACCGGAGGGAGTCATGGAGCGATCCTTCTTACTGAGCCTACTCGAGAACAGGGGAGCACCATGTGAAGGCGAGCCCTCCTCCTCGTTGCACAAATGGGGATCCCGTTGGAGTAGCTCCACCGAGACCCCTCTCGGAGGGACGGTAGCCGCGATCCCAGCCCAAGGGGTGTGGTGAGTGACGTTGTCCCGAGCGGAAAACGACCCAACCGTCCTCTTCCCCAATATGACAAGTGCCCAAGCCGACAGATTGGAGACGAGCGGGATGGGCGAACGGACCGCAGCTCGTTGGTCAGCGTCGCATCATGAGGGGAAGGGAGCTCGGGTCTGGCGTGTGTGGCCGTAGCGGCTGCTGCGGCAGAGGTTAATCTGATAAGGGGGGCCATCCCTGAACCGAGAGACTACCAACCAATCGAGGGCGGCATCGGGCGCGCGGGAGTTGGCACTAGCGTGTCTTTTCCAGAGGGGGAGAGCGAGAATTTTGACGCGACCAACACGCTAGGGCTGGGACATGGTCAGTCTGGTGAGCCGGAGACTGGAGACGTGGCACAATGGAATGGCGGCTTCCTATTCCGTTTGTGGGATGCCGTGGTGGAAGAAGAATGAGCTGTGCCGGATTTAACAAGGTGCCCGCGCGCTTTTCCCCCAACCCCCGTTCCGCAAGACGAGGGGGTCATCGGCTCGTGCCGGATGCTGAAGATGTGACTGGCGATAGCGACGATGCTACGGGTACTTCAACTGGAGGCAGGTCCTCCGTACTGGCTGGGGCCGGGGCTGTTCGTCGTCGCTCTTGTTGGGCTCCTTCGGCAGACCCGATTGCGGTAAACCACGGATTGTGTGGGAGCACGAGATACCGCGGGTTGGTGCCCAAAGCTCGAGCTGGGACTCCGAGGCCGGCGCTTGCGGGACCGAGGCCATCGTCGTCATGGACGTTCGACTTTTGGGGTGGTTGTGATCGGTTCAGCTCCCCGGGAAGCGAACATGTCCCTAAAGGAGAAACCTGTCCAGCTGGGTTGCCCTTTTTGGTCACTGACTGTGGGCTGTAAGCCAAGAGAGATCGAAATGATAAGTTCTGTGACGATTTGGGGTTGCACATGTGGAGAGCGCGCATCCGGGGAGCCTGTGTGCTCCTGATACGGTGTGCTGCATGAGGTTGGCTGCCGCCGTGCAACCCCAGCTGTGGGCTCTCAGTTCGACAAGACGATGCCGCCCACGGGTAAGTCTGCCGCCGTGCAGAGGGCGGTGGCGGTGGTTTTACGCCCAGGAAGCATACCAAGACAATAAGTACCCAGGTAGCCGCTAGCCAGGAGTAGGGGTTGGGACTTTTGCGAGTCCCGGGGGGCCCACGATCTGCACCGGATTCCTGGGAGTCAAGGAAGATGCTTCGGGCGCCAGAAGCACCGCTGATAATAATGCCGAATTCCGGGCCCAGCGTCTTTCCTTGGCGAGCGAGCCATTTCTCTGCCCGACTGCACAACCTTGGCAGACGGTGACAGCTCAGAAGCGTGAGATGGGCGGGATTCGACGACGAGTTCCGCCGGTTTCTGGCGGCTCCTGGCTCTGGGCTCGGGAAGGAGCTTGGGAAACAAAACGCTTCCGTCGATCCTGTACCCAGCAAGGAAGCCGCCGTATGTATGGAAGGATCAAGGCGTGCTGGCGGTGATTTCTAGTGGGTTAGGGGGGTTGCTTGGCCCCTAAATGGGCCGCGAGTGACGGACAAGGACCGACGACCCGTCAATAGGGGCTTCCCGTGGATGCTGTGCAATGTAACCACCTCTGGCTCGCTCTCCAATAGCGGGGCGCACCCCGAATGGCACCCCGAACGCCAACTAGCCAGTGCGGTCACGCCACCGGCAACCGAGCTGCTGGTTCCATCCGCCACCGGCATGTAGAGGCATGTGCGGTGGTGTGCGTGTGGGGTCGAGCGTGCCTGCTGGCGTCTTTCCCTCCTGCACCCCGTACGGGTTAGCGGCGGATGGCTATGACGACCCAAGAGGGACATCCGAGAACCGATAGCAACTCCTCCCACATGTCCAACGCGAGCACATGGTCCCTGGGTTCCACAACGGCTCGAAGGTTAGGCCGCTGCCATCGAGATGCGAGTGAGGTGGCACCCTGACGATCGTCGCTCCCCGTCTCTTGGGGGGGGTTTAAATAGCCCGCGACCCTTCTGCGTACTGCGCCGCCCACTCCTCTGGTAACGGACGAGAACCAGGAAATAGGTGACACAACAAGCTCTCTCGGCGAAGATCGTCGCACCAAGCAAGGTAAGCGCTCCAATGGGCCCCGGCACCTCCATACATCCAAGGATAAATCTAGGGAGGCTGACACGAACGACTTAGAAACGCAAGAGTCAAACAACTTTTTGGCGTACCTTACCTTCACTTCACAACCCTTTCAAAATGACCGTATGTCCTTTTTTTGTTCCCGGTGTTGTATTCCAGAGTAGCACTGAACCAAACCGCTTTTCAGTTTCAGTCTGGCGAGGCAGTTCGGGTCCGCGGCTCAACCGTGGTTTACAAGGTCGTTGCCGTGAACAGTAACCTGGTCACAATCCTGGTCTCGAATCCGCAACCCGACGGCCAATACCTCCCTTTCACACCGACCGCGCTGCAGACAGTCGACGAGTCTAGACTTGAGAGGGCAGACGACGTCTCTTGAGGAAGTGGATATTTCCGAGTCGGCAGAGAAGTTTTGGGTTGGGTGGCTTTTATGCTGTCTTTTTTTCATCCACCAACACCCCCTTTCCCGTTTGAAGTCTAGAAGGGTCCAAGGGATGCATGCATTGGATTGTTGTGGAAGCGCGGCGCCGGGGGATTTTGCTTTGCAACTTTTTGCAACCTTCACATCGTTTTTAGCACATACCCCATCTGTTGATTGAGAAAGGAGCGCGGTGAGGGGCCATAGAATACCTTATAGAAGTTGATTCCATTCGTTTACGTCCGAGTCCCCGGCCCCAACCCGCCCAAGAGGGAATTCAAGTTTGCGAGAGGAATTTGAAAGAGGCGTAGGTTGTGACCGCAATCTTCAAGAAGTTGATAGAACGATCATAAATGCTCCGACAATCCAGTACAAGTTGGCGTTGGGCGCATCCCTTCAGCTTTTGCAGGTGATCTCTCGCAACGGAAGAGGTTGGTTGATGGAAACTGCGGTGGTGGCTTTCGGAGACTGAGTTGGCCTTGGTAGGTTGCCAGGTGGGCTTGAAGAGTAATGGTATTGAGACTTCTAGAGTGAGTGCGCGCACGACGAAGACTACCACTACGACCAGAGAAGGGAGAATAGCCAGTGGCGATTCGTTCAGTGTCACCAACTCGTTTAGGCTGCAGCCCGACCACGATGGCAGTGGAAGGGGGGGCAAGATAAGAAAATGGTGTAGCGGGCCCGGTCCTTCCTGATCCAGAGAGGAAACCATTGTTACTTCGAGGGGGTGTGTCATTGGCGGCTGAATATCGAGTCGTGCTTGCCGATTGCGACTGTACGCATCTCTCGTCACTTGACGATTGGAGGAAGGTGCGGTACCGAAGGCAGGCTCGACGGTAGGGTCGACGGCAGTTGCTCTCGAGTTCCCACTCTCCGTCGTCTCCGACTTGAACCGCGACCGTCACACAAAAGCCTTCAGGCAGGACCCAAGCAGCCGGCAATTTCCTTGCCCTTACCTTCTCGGGACCTTTACCATTTTATAGTGTATACCCGGATATTTTTTAGCGACACGTTTGCGTCCCTTCCAGATCTGGGACCCTAACAACGGACTCGATGATTAACGATTCTTCATTGGTGGAATCACAACGGCTGCAATAATCGCAGCTTCCCCCCGTGGTGCCGGTGATGTTGGCTCACGGGTCGCGACTGGGTGAACCAAAACAGAAACTTCCCAACCTCTTGCGCTCATTAAGCGGCTGGTAGGCCAATATATCACCGGAAACCCGGAAGCCGGATTTCCCACGATGATGTTGTCAAGTCAACAGCTACAAGATGAAGGTGGCATCATGGATGGGGGCTCGGGGTCCCTGCATTCTAGACTCGGGACCGCAGCTTTGAAGGGCAGGCAGAATTCAACAAGATGGTCTTCCTCTCTGCGTTTGTCCTCTCTGTCGGAGGATTTGTTATCTCAGTACAGGGCGGAGTGACCTACCCAAACTGCGCAAATGGACCGCTCAGGTCAAATGCCGTATGCGACACGTCGGCCGCCCCTGCAGCCCGGGCTGCTGCCCTTGTGGCGGCCATGAACAACAACGAGAAGCTTGCCAACCTCATCAAGTAGCGCTCCTATATGCCTCATGCATGATGAACATCCACAAACTAACCCTTAGCAGCAATTCCCCAGGCGTCTCGCGGCTCGGGCTTAGTGCGTACCAGTGGTGGAACGAAGCCCTTCACGGGGTGGCCCATAACCGCGGCATCACTTGGGGCGGCCAGTTTAGTGCGGCGACCCAGTTCCCGCAGGCCATCACCACTTCGGCAGCTTTCGACGACCCCCTTATTGAGAGGATCGGTGTCATAATCAGCACCGAGGCCCGCGCCTTCGCAAACAACGGCCGTGCTCATCTCGACTTCTGGACGCCCAACGTTAACCCCTTCCGTGACCCGCGTTGGGGACGGGGACACGAGACGCCGGGAGAAGACGCCTTCAGAAACAAGAAGTGGGCCGAGGCGTTTGTCAAGGGAATGCAGGGGACGGCCTCGACGCACAGAGTCATAGCCACCTGCAAGCATTACGCGGCGTACGACCTGGAGAACTCGGGCAGCACGACGCGCTTCAATTTCAACGCGAGGGTGTCTACTCAGGACCTGGCCGAGTATTATCTACCTCCCTTCCAGCAATGCGCGCGGGACTCCAAGGTGGGCTCCATCATGTGCAGTTACAACGCCGTCAACGGCGTCCCGGCGTGCGCGAGCCCTTACTTGATGGACACGATTCTCCGGAAGCACTGGAACTGGACGGACCAGAACCAATACGTCGTGAGCGACTGTGATGCCGTGTACTATCTCGGTAACGCAAACGGCGGCCACCGATACAAGTCGAGCTACGCAGCCGCCATCGGGGCCTCTCTCGAGGCTGGTTGTGACAACATGTGCTGGGCGACTGGCGGTACGACACCGGATCCCGCCTCTGCCTTCAACTCCCGGCAGTTCACCCAGGCCACGCTGGACAAGGCCATGCTGCGTCAGATGCAAGGCCTTGTTAGGGCGGGATACTTTGACGGTCCCGACAGCCTGTACCGCAATCTGAGCGCGGCAGATCTCAACACGCAGGTCGCTCGAGACACGGCACTCAAAGCTGCAGAAGAAGGCATCGTGCTACTCAAAAATGACAATATCCTCCCTCTGGCACTCAATGGTTCCAACGTCCAGATTGCCATGGTCGGCTTTTGGGCCAACGCGGCCGACAAGATGCTTGGGGGTTACAGTGGTAGCCCTCCGTTCAAACATGACCCTGTGACGGCCGCAAGATCAATGGGTATCACAGTCAACTACGTCAACGGGCCCTTGACGGAGGGTAACGTGGATACCTCGGCTGCTGTCAACGCGGCCCAGAGGTCTAGTGCCGTGATATTCTTCGGCGGCATTGACAACACAGTTGAGAAGGAGAGCCAGGACCGCACGTCCATCGCGTGGCCCTCGGGACAGCTCACCATGATTCAGAGGCTTGCCCAGACCGGAAAGCCCGTCATTGTTGTGAGGATGGGGACACACGTCGACGACACGCCACTACTGAGCATTCCCAACGTGAAGGCAATCCTGTGGGCCGGATACCCCGGTCAGGACGGCGGGACCGCGGTGATGAACATCATTTCCGGACTGGCGAACCCGGCAGGAAGGCTGCCTGTCACGGTGTATCCGTCGTCATACACCAACCAGGCACCGTACACCAACATGGCGCTAAGATCGTCGTCGTCCTATCCGGGGCGCACTTACCGCTGGTACAAGGATGCCGTGTTCCCCTTTGGCCATGGTCTGCACTACACAGACTTTAGCGTAGTCGCGCAGGACTTCCCGACGACATTTCAAATCGCAGATCTCTTAGCGTCTTGCACGGGCTCTGTCACGTACCCCGAGCTCTGCCCATTCCGGTCCGTCTCGGTCAGCGTGACCAACACCGGCTCCCGAGCGTCCGATTATGTTACCTTGGGATTTCTGGCAGGAGACTTTGGACCAGAACCCCGTCCCATCAAGTCGCTAGCCACATACGCCCGTCTGTTTGACGTCCAGGCTGGCCAAACACAGACGGCGAAGCTCGACTGGAAGCTGGAGAGCTTGGCGAGGGTGGATGACAAAGGGAATAGGGTGTTGTACCCAGGGACGTACACGCTGCTTCTGGACCAGCCAACTCTGGCAAACATCACCTTTACCTTGACGGGAGAGGAGGTGGTGTTGGACCAATGGCCGCAGCCGTAGGGGGTTCGGGAAATATTGGATTAGAGACGTATTAGTTGAATTACTTTTTCTATCCGCGACAGGTATGAAAAAGGCTCCTCTGATAGCCAAGATGCTGAGTCCCAATATTTCTGGTTGACATCATAATACCGCAACCATCACCACCTCGCCGACTGAGGATGTGGCGGAAGGACGCCTGGACTCGGGAACTCCATATCCCAGTCTCTATCATAGGTCCTAGTCCCACGTCTAGTCCTCGCTCTTCCGCTGTCAATTACATTCCGGTATTTCTTTTGCCTAAGCTCCCCTAACCCACCGTTCTCATCCGTCCAGAATATGCGCTCCCCTGCCCACTTTGCGCCGTCAGGCACCAACACGACAACATGCACGTCCCTGCCTCGGTGGCGCATACCTTTCGGCTCACCACCCAGGGAAACGGCCCGTACTCGCTCGCCGTCGTCGGTTTCCACTAGCTGGGATGTGGCTGGTGTGGATGACGCTTTTTCGACGATAGACCTGTTGGCGTGGAGGAGAGCAAGGAATTGTGGAACGGTTGCCACAATGCCGTCGGTGTCTTGCATGACAGGGGGCTCAACCCTGGCCTCGCGGCGACGAGTGTTGATATCCCGTGCGTCTTCGGCCCTCAATGAGCTCCTCTCCCGGCGGCCTCCGTCCCGTCTGCGGCTTCTTCTGGCGGTGCTGCCATGGTAATCGTCGTTGAACACGGTGGCGGTGGCGGTGTGGACTTCACGGGACTCTTCCATACCCCAAGCTCGTGCGAAGCTGGGCTGTCCCCGTCTCGTATGGTGCGCCTTCCACCGGAACCTCCCCGTCCCCCTGTCGTGGTGCAGCACCGTTTTCTTCACTCCTTGGTCCACCCGCATGCTGACGAGAACTTGCCGCGGTACGTCCTCCATGGCCGCCACCGGCTTCACGCTCACTACTCTTCCCCTTTCCCGACTGGGGAACAACGCTAGCGGAGCGTGTCGACGCCTGGTCGCCAATCCAGTCGAACGCGTAGTTCTCGGAGAAGCCGGCCGTTCAACGTCCACCTCGAACAGTGTGATGGTTCCAAACACGCTATCCTCGGACCAAGTAAACACGGTTAAACACCTCCCCTGGCCGCCACCAACATATTTGGCCGTATCAAACAGCTCGCTCTCCAACCTCCTCAGCTCCCTCTGGTCCACCTCCCCCGCCCCCATCTGCACCGGAACCACCACAACCGGACTCCGGGGCACACCACCGCCATCACAATCAGGGCTCCCACAGGAACTCACCCCCGCACTCGACACCGGCACCGTCCCAACCCCCTCCACAACCGTCCCCAACCCAGCCACCACAACCTGCCCACCACTCCCCAAGCCCAATCCACTCCCCAACCCCCCCACAGACTCCTTTGGAAGCAATAAACTCCTCCCCGCAAAATCCAACCACCACCCCAACCCCTTCCCCGCCGCACTCGTCCCCCCCCTCCCACTCCCACTCCCACTCCCGTTACCACCCCCAACCGCAGAGGAAGTACTGCTCCGCCTAACCCCCAAAGCAGGCCTCGCCAGCCCCCCGACCCCTTGCAGAGTGACGGGTCCGGCTCGGGCATCGATCTTGGAGAGGGCGTCGGCGAGCTCGTCGCGGCGGGTCGGCAGGGGGGAGGGGTTGCGCGGGGCGATGGGGTGAGGGGTGTAGCCGGGGATGTGGAGGAAGGTGCTTGTACTTGGGGGGCTTGGGTGGTGGGTTTGGTTGGGGATGGTTAGGGTTGGGGTGGTTATGGTTGGGTGGGTGGTGGTTATGACTGGGGTGGTTGCCGTGCGGTGCAGAGAGTGTTGGTCTCTTCTTGGACTGCTGGTGGGGGGTTGGGAGTAGTGGGGAGAAAGGGGGGAGGGAGGGTGAGGGCGTGGTGTTCTTGTTGTAGGGGAGGGGGTTGGGGAGTAGCGGAGGGAGGAGGTGTGGGGAGTTGAGGTGACGCTGTTGTGGCGGTGATGGTGACGAGGGGAGGGTTGGTGTTGATATTGCTGTTGCTGATGCTGCTGCTGATGCTGGTGATGTTGATATTGATATTGTTGCTGTGGCGATGGTGGTGGCCGAGGTGGGAACTGAAGGCTCCGGGCTGAGGTTGGCGTTGGGGGCAGCTCGTGGCCATCGAGAGGGGGATAACGGCCGTGGCTGCTGCTGCTGCTGGTTTGGCGGTCACGGTCTTGGAGAGCTTGTGCAGTCAGCCCACGTTGGGGCAGCTGTGAGACCGAGTCTGAATAACGGCGACGGCCCCAGAACTTGGTAGCAAAGTGAAGACGAGGGTCGTCGTGCGCGGAAGTTGGGGGCGAAGTTTCGTGTCGCCCGTGGACTGCGCCACGGTTCCCCATAGAGGAGTGAGCGCCTCCCTCCCCGGCGATACCAGCGGATCGCGGCCAAGGGCGATGCATGTGGGTTGCCATGATTAAGTGGCTATTTGCCCAAAAGTCTGACAGGTAAAAGTAAGAACTGGGAGTGAGTAGTTTCTTGATGGTTGGGGTCGGATGGTAAATGCCAGCAAAATTATCACCTTGTAGGCTTGTTGCAGGGTTGCCCTTCGCCAGACCACTTGGCCGCCTTGGATTGTTTATGAAGCTGATCTGATACTGGCTGTGGTCAATTGAAGGCCATCTCAGGTTCCATACATTAAACGGTGGCAATGGTTGGATAGCTTTCGTGCCTTTCGTTGCGGCCTGGTCGGCCGTGGCCAGGGCCAACACCCGACCCCTATTCGTATCCTTCTGTCGGTACTGAGGCGGCCTGGGTCCTCGACCCAGCAGGTGTTTCAGCCTTCAAAACAGAATCCTCGGCTCGGTGGCCTTGAATCGATAAATTTGCATGTCGCCCCTTACTTTGAACATCGCAGACTCGCTGTTCTCACTTGGGCTCTCGGATTCGGAAGCTGTCCGGTTCTGGTGAGGACTAGTGTGATTAAACACCGTACGGTAAACAAACCTACGTCTTTCTACTGAACTATCATTATGAGTTCCGTCCATGACAACACCTGCATCGATCTACTACCAGATGGGCGAAAACTGTGACCCGTCTTTGGAGTTGCCAGTCATGTATCCGTAGCGTGACCCTAACCCTCTTCAACTACCCCGACCCTTGAACCCCTGAACATGCCGCTGCTGCCTGGTGGATGGGTGATAAGCACGGAGTGTTTTGTTGATCAACAAAATCAACTCATGAATTCACAATTTGGGGAATTTCATTGTCCAACTTCAGCCTCTTGCAACTTTTTTTCTTGTTCCCCGGACCGACCATCGTGAACCACTCCACCCAAGTCATCCCAAGTCATCATGTCGTCTTGTCAGCACGAGACCCTCCTCCTTGATGTTTCCCCTCATGCAGCTGAGGCCGGGTTTGCTCGACCGCCGCTGGCCAAAAGAAAAGCAGCGACGACAGCATCGGGTCGGGCATCAGGAAGCACAGCAGACCATCTCCGTCTCGAATCGCTCTTCCCTGGTCCCCTCGTGCTGCCCGACGACTGTCTGGCTATCGACCCAAAGGAACCACCCCAGAGCTTGCGTTCATGGACAAATGAGAAGCTCAGGAACCCATTCACGCAGGAGCGGAAGACGATATATATTGTCCCAGCCCCAGATGTCCCCTCGCGGACCGTCTTCTCCCGCACATTGCAGAGCTGGGCCCTCCCGTTTGTGCTGCAGGCGCCTCTGAAAGAAGGATGTGACACACCCAAAGTCAAATACATCCGCAACTACCTCGACGCCTTTTACCACCCCCTCCCCGTCCGCACCCTTCCAAACATGGCCCGCTTCGTCCCCTGGACCGAGGGCAAGTCCAAGCCCAGCTCCAAAGAGCCGCCGCAACACATCGGCCTGCAAATGGGAGACAACGTCACGCGCATCACCACGCGGCCCTGCCCGGACGAAACCTACCCGCGGCAGCTGAACCTGAACGACATGCTAGACGCGGTCATCGAGGCGCTGCCCGATGACGCCTACGCGCTGGTCATGCTGACAGAGCACGACCTGTACGAGGACGACGACGACGACTTCTGCTGCGGCCGGGCCTACGGCAACAGCCGCGTCGCCGTCGTCTCGTCGGCCCGCTACCACCCGCTGCTGGACAAGCCGACGGACATAGACCGGGAGCATACCTGGCCCTTCTCTCACTGCGACGCGTACGTGCGGCGGGTGTGCAGAGACGCAGAGGACGCCGAAGCGGCGGACTCGACGACTGGCGGCGGCACCAAGCGCCGCAAGCTCGGTTCCCCCGTCCCGGACCCGGACACCACCCCAACCGAACAACCCATGGCGCGCGTGATCCGGGCGGGGCTCGGCGGGTCCGGGCCGAACCACAGCCCGACGGGCATGTGGCTGGCGCGGATGGTGCGGACGGTCGCGCACGAGCTGGGCCACTGCCTCTGCCTGGACCACTGCTCCTACTACGCGTGCGTCATGCAGGGCACCGCGGGCATGGCCGAGGACCTGCGCCAGCCGCCGTACCTGTGCCTGGTGTGCGAGGCGAAGCTGGCGAGGGCGGTGCGCGATCTGGGGGAGGTTCATCAGGATGGGGTTGGGGAGGGGGAGGTGTTGCTCAAGAGGTATGAGCGGTTGGTGAGGTTCTGTACGCTGTGGGAGACGGTGGGCATGTTTGGGGCGTACCGGGGTTGGTTGCAGGAGAGGATTGCGATGCTGAAGGAGGGTTCACCACTATAGAGTCAACCGACAGTCATCCTGCAGGGTGGGTGTCAGACTCTCGGCAACCCTAGTTCGTGGGATTCGTTGCCTGTAACACATGGTTCGAAAAAGCAGACCGTTACTCGCTATCTTATTGATGGCGCCATCCGATGGCTTGCATCAGGATTCGGCTTGCCGCGGTTGGCCCGGGCTTTGTGAATGCTTCCGCTCCCGTTTCCGTTGGACCCAGAGTTCCAAGACCGGGACCGCGCCCTTCCCGGAACAGAGGCCCATCCCGAATGTCGTTCATCTTGGTACCCACTTGGCACACATGGTTAAATGACTGGAATCGGGCCAATTCAGCCCCTCGGGTGGGGAACCGAGAAGGCACTAATGACGATGAGATGTGACTCAGGACATCCGCTATCATCTGTATAAGAGGACAAGAGTCATAGATGTAAGGTAAGCTTTGATGGTCTTCTGAATATACCTCTCCAAACAACCACCATCAGATATCCAAACACAATGGCACCCACACAACTAGAACTCCCCCTCCGGGAAAAAGCCCAAGCCGACGGCGATGCCAGCCAAAACGGCTCCAGCCGCGGCCCCGTCACGTTCGGCCACGCCCTCAGAGACTCACAATTCCTCTTCGACCCCTCCTACCGCAACCTCAACCACGGTCAGTCCCCCTCCCCTCCACATTTCCCACTGCACCCAACCCACCACCCCTAACACCTGTCACCCCCCACCCACAGGCTCATACGGCACCATCCCCCACCCCATCCAAACCCGCCTCCGCCACTACCAGTCCCTCGCCGAGTCCGCCCCCGACCGCTTCATCCGATACACCTACCCGCAACTCCTCGACCAGTCCCGCGCCGCCATCGCCACCCTTTTGCGCGCCCCCCCGGACACATGCGTCTTCGTGTCCAACGCCACCCTCGGCGTCAACACGGTGCTGCGCAACCTGGTCTGGCACCCGGACGGCCGCGACGAGATTCTGTATTTCGATACCCTGTATGGAGGGTGTGCCAAGACGGTGGACTATGTCGTGGAGGACCGGGGTGGGGTGGTGGGGGCAAGGAGTATTGCGCTAAAGTATCCGTGTGAGGATGGGGAGGTGGTGGCGCGGTTTGTGGCGGCCGTGGAGGCGTCGTTGAGGGAGGGGAAGCGACCAAGGGTGTGCGTGTTTGATGTGGTGTCGTCGTTGCCGGGGGTGCGGTTCCCCTTCGAGGCCGTGACGGCGGCGTGTCGGGAGAGGGGGGTGCTGTCGCTGGTGGACGGGGCGCAGGGCGTGGGGATGGTGGATATTGATCTGGGTGCGGTCGATCCGGATTTCTTTGTGAGTAACTGCCACAAGTGGCTGCATGTGCCGCGGGGGTGTGCTGTTTTCTACGTGCCGCTGCGCAACCAGGCCATGATCCGGTCGACGCTGCCGACGTCTCATGGGTTTGTGCCGCGCGCGGGTACGAAGCGCCATAACCCGATGCCGCCGTCGGCCAAGTCCGTGTTCGTCAATGCGTTTGAGTTCGTCGGCACCCTTGATACGGCGCCGTATCTCTGCGTGAAGGATAGCATCCGGTGGCGGGAGGAGGTGCTGGGCGGGGAGGCGCGGATCCGGGAGGCGCTGACGGCCATGGCGAGGGAAGGGGGCAAGAGGGCGGCCGAGATCCTGGGCACCAAGGTGATGGACAATGCCAGCCAGAGCTTGACGAGGTGCTCTATGGTGAACGTAGCCCTGCCGCTGGCGGTGCAGCCAGAGAACGGAAAGGCGCTGGAGGGCGAGCTGGCCTCATTGCCGTCTTTCCCGGAGAGCGACATGTCTGCCGTCACTGACTGGTTTCTGCGGAGGCTGATGGACGAGCACAACACGTTTATCGCGCTGTTCGTGTATGGCGGCCAATGCTGGGCCCGGCTTAGCGCCCAGGTCTATCTAGAGCTAGATGATTTTGAATGGGCGGGCAAGACACTCAAGGAGGTATGCGAGCGGGTGGCGAAGGGAGAGTATAAGCAGTAGTCGTATATCGAAACTCATCTTGTCTCCTGAACGTTCCGAGTACCAGCACCCTTTGCACAACCTCCTGGTTCCCCCACTCAAGAGGTGTGACCTGATCTGATCCCCGATGTTTCGTCGGGGCGTCCTTGTAAAAGAATAATAAGAAAACAAGTAAAGCTCGGTAGGAGGACCCAGAGACACCCTTATTGTTGATACCCAACGGTTTGATTACTATACATACTAAATAGAATATGCCGCTCCCTAAATCATAACCCCAATGACGACTGCACCTTTTCCCTCTTATATGCTCAGATCATTACATCCCAAGATATGTAATACGAACAAAACAATCATGTACGACCAAAAAAAAGAATACGCCAAACAGATGCCGCCCAAGCTACACCGAGAGCAAAAGAAAGATCCGCCAACAACCGCAGGTAAGAGCAGAGAGCATCGACAAAGAAAAGGGGTATCTCAACGCGATTTGCTCCGTCCATCATCCCAACACGGGCTTACTGGTTCACCCCTTTCCACTCCATCATCTCCTTCGTGGTTGGTAAGAACATTTTGGAGTCCCTCCTGGCCGCGTCACTCTTCGCCGCCTCGCTGAGCGACACGGCATACTCCCCGCGCTTTTTGATCAAAAACGCCAGTGCTAGCGTTGGCTGCACGTTTCTTCTCGCCGGCTTCCTTTTTGCGTCTTTCCCCTTGTTGTCCAGACTCGCGCCGTCCGCGTCGTGGTGGAACATGGCCCGCGACACCGACGCCGCCAAGTGCCTCGCATCGGCCTCGTTGATTACCCCCGCAGCCGCGAGCAACACCTCGGCGAACAGCGTTAGGAGGTGCTTAGTCAAGTTGCGGTTGGCCGTCGGGAGTCGGTTGAGCGCCTCGGTCCAGAAGTCGAGGCCCGTTTCGATGCGCGGGCACGGGGGTTCGATGGCACCTTCTTGCCGCGCGAGTAGGATCCAGGATTTGACGACCGATGGGGAGATGAGCGGTTTCGGCAACGCCTCCAGGTACACCAAAATGAGGCGCGCCGCGTCGTGAACCGTGTAGTCGCTCCCCTCGAAATAGAACTGCTCGCCGAACGTCGGAGGTGTGCTGAAGATGGCCTGGAGGTTGGTGACGTTGTAAAGGTTTCCGGGCGATGAGAAAATGTTGGTGTCGGTGCCGCCTAATACGCTGGTTAATTATGTTGCTCGACCAAAATTGACCATGTCAAAGGATGGGGTGGCAAACCTGCGCGGCGAATAAATTCACAGCATTTGTGTACCGCGATCGGGAACGTCCGGTGCGATGTGCTCCTCCCCTTGTGCGATATCCTAATTTTCATGGGCGCGACGCGGATGCTCTCCTTAAGATCCACACCGAAGACCGCCTCTGGTTTCTTTGGCTGGGAGTCTCCGAGCCACGGCATGCGCTGGAAAAACTTGGTGGTTGTGCTGGCCTCAGTCCGGGGTGTGTTGGGAAAAGGCGAAGTAGGGGTGGTCCCGTCTGGTGTCGGCAGCTCGCCTTCGAGATAGTTTTGTCCCCGGGGCGGGGTAATAAGTTGCATGGGAGTCAAGGATCGTTTCTCAAGGCATGGGTCCTCGGCACGGCTCGCGGTGCGCATTCGTGAAAAGAGGTTGATGGATTTCCGCACAGCAGCGTTCCCATGGCTAGGCCGCCACTCACCCGAACTCCCGCTTCCTAACGAGCTGACGCTCCGGCAGTGACCGCCGTCGTCCACTGTAAGAAACAGCTGCCTGTCACCGCCGTCAGCGGTGCTCTGGCCATATGACACCTCGGTGGGCGTCAGGAGAGACACGCCGTCCGTGTTGGCGTCCTCTTCATGAATAATACCCAGTCCATCCGAGCCGGCCGTCTCGATGGACTTGATCGACATTTTGCGCATCTTATCGTGCGATTCGGGCTCAGAAGCGGGGTTGAGATGGCGCCCGAGCTCGAGGTCGGGAGACATGAGCTGTGTTAGCGGGCGGAAGACGTCCGGGGCGACGCTTGGGGTCACCGGGCCAGACACGGACGGGCTGGGCCCCATGTTAAAGGTATCCGTATCCTCCTGGTCTGGCATCAACTCGGGCATCTCGCATGGGTGTGAGAAGGGAAATCGCGAGATCCGGCACGACATTTCAGGCTGTGGTGAAGTAACAGCTGGCTCGACGGGGAGCGGCGGCAGTGCCTTCTGGCCAACCAGGTTTGTTGGCTGTTCTGCCGGGCGTCTCGCTTGTTGGGTGTGGGTGTGCGCGTTTGTGTTGCCGTCGGACCAACCGTTGCAGTCGTCGCTTGAGTCGACCACTGAATCGGCGTCGATGTCGTCGTTGGCTCTGTCTTCCTCGTCGGTAAAACCAACCACTACCCCCCGGATTTGGCCCTGTCGATGGTTGGGGGCCGGAATCGGTTTCGGGGTCGCCCGTCCGCTACCGTCACCAGCTGAATCGATCGTGTCTCTTGACATGCGCTGCGTCCCGTCTCCCCCACCACCCCAACCGAGCAGGGCAGCGGCCAACTGCTCCCGCAAGCCATCGTCCAGGATGTCGCTCATGATTGCAACGTCGTAATATCCCTTCCGCTGAGCAGTCCGTCACCGCAGGGTCATGACATGGTGTTTTGAGGTTGATTTTGGGACTCTCGCATGCTGTACAGTGATGTCGCTCGGATCGTCTCTCGTTCGCTTGCAGAGCTGCAGGAGAATGCGTGTGCCCTGGTGCCCCGGCGGTACCTAATGTTAGTTTGGTTGTGATTGTGCCGTTTCGAGTGCCCAAATGCAGCAAGCGGCGCAAGGGTGGGGCCCGTGCCGTGAAGGGTTCCGAGGGGTTCGGTCGGGGGTTCCGTCGGAGGGGTCGGGGGTGTCTCCAGGTGTACTCCGTAAGCGCGGGGATTCCCTCCGTGTTGGGTCGACCGTTGGGCGATCTGAGATGCAGACAAAAACAAACGGAAATGAAGTCAGACCACCATCAAAAGTTCGGATCAGAGAAAGGAAAGAGCCGGCAAGCAATTGCGGGACTCGGCAGCCTTAAACTCAATAACAAGCTTCCAACGCTCCTGCTCCCACGAGTGCCATCCACGAAATTTACTCACCGTCTCTCTGCGCTCCTTCCGCGCACAAGGACTTCTCGTTGGCCCCCCGCGTTCCCGAACGCCCCCGCAGGTGCTTTTCCAGGCAGGAGGAGTGAGCAAGCCACTCCACGCAGCTAAGCTTGTTTCAGGATCACTGCGACGCTGTGCTCTGCCCCCCAAGCCTGCTGACCGTTCCCCAATCCTGGATCTTTCAGGGGCCGAAGGGGTCCGATGGGGTCTTTCGGATGTTTTCTTGTTCGCCCAGGCCCTGAATTCAACGACATCGCAACCAGCGTCGTATCCATGAACCCATGACGAGGGTGCTATCCTTGGTTTGGCCGAAGAACCCAGACGCCACCGAAGGATCCCTCTTTCTTAGAAGAAACAGCGGTAAAAAAGCATCGGAAAGCCAGCTCCTCACGTTTCGGGTCTTCTTTTTGGGTAGGGACACAAGAAGGAAGAACCATGGTTAGTTCATTTCTAGCGCGATCCATCTGCAAGATGTGGAAAGCAATCAACCCTCGATCGAGGATTTGAATGACAAGAGTTCCTGGACATGCAGGTTTGCATCGGCTGTGCCGCGCAGTACCACCCTCTCAAGGGCCCCATGGACACTCACTCCACCGCCGCGACATCGCTTCCAGCACCCACGCACACAGACAACACACCCACGCAACCACGCAACACATACACGCACACACCGCAGCATCCGATCCCCTCGACTTCGAGGCCCATGCACGATGCCGTCCCTCACCCCCTTTACCCGCAACCTGGGATCACGGCCCACAGCAGGTCGCGCCGATGGGCCGTTCTGCGGCACGGTTTGGGTTTTTGAAGTTTTGCATATAGAATAACGACATCTCCCGCGGATGCCAAGATGAAAACGAAACATCTAACAACGGCACAGCAGGTTTGGCCGACTCCAGGCAATAAAAGCAGGCTATTGATCCGCCGATCCGCTCGGATCCCCGGGATCGATCTGGAGGCAAGATCAGGCAGCCCCGAAATGGTTATTGACGCCAACAAGTTTGCGGGGGTGGAGCATCCGCTCCCCGTTCTCCCGCCGGTTCTGAACTTCAGTCGAGTCGACCACCGGCCAGCCGGCGCGCATCCTCGAGTTCATCTCAAATCAAATCACGCACGGGTAGTGATGGGTGAGGTCTGACGCTGGATGAGTAAGGAAGGACCTTGTACGGACCAGCCAAGGACACCCCGGTGAGCACATGTCGTGCGAAGGGGGAAGCTTGCTTCCCAGGCGACCGAATGTCAAAAGGGGACAGTCGCCTGCCGGGCTACCGATTTAGGAGCCGCTGAATGCGGAAAAGGATTGAAAGTTGGAAGGCCCGAGTGGCAGTCTAAGTTTGGACCATCGGAATCCTTCGGCCCAAGACCCAAACCCTATCTGCCTGTTTCCCTGTGCCCCTGGCAGGACGTCGATTCGAGGGGCACAATTCATGACAACCTCTCCGCGGACGGGCATCTCTCGGCATCTCCGAATCCCCAGCCACGGCCCAACAAACACTGACTGCCAGCCAGAGGAAGGAAAGAGACAACCTAAGCTCTGTATCATGAAAGAGTAGGCCGCCGGAATGGGCCTCTACTCCTCCGGTCCTGCCGCCTCAAACGCCAAAATCGACTCCACGGTATCCACCACACTCTTCTCCAGCTCAGTGTACTGCAGACCCAGCACCTCCTTGGACCGCGAGTTATCAAACGCCCAGTGATCTGCCGGGAAATCATCCTTGGCATCCTCCTCCGCCGGCGGCAGTTGCCCCTCGAGCTGCGGAAACCGCCGCCTCACGATGCCCGCCAGGCGGTGGTTCGAGAAGAAGCCGCCGACGACGTAGAAGCGCTTCCCGGCGGCCTCGGGCGCCGTCATGGCGCGCACGTGGGCCAGCGCCACGTCGCGGACGTCGACGAACGTAAAAACGGGCGCCGTCGGGGCGACCCCCCCGCGCATGCCGCCCTGCACGAGGTCGCGGATGCGGTGGTTGGACGTGTTCAGCCGGTCCAGGCTGTCCAGGCTGCGCGGGATCGGGCCGAACGTGTAGGTGTTGTTGATGGTGGCGATGCTGAAGTCGTGCGGGTGCGACTTGTGGAAGTCCCAGGCGCATTGCTCGGCGTAGGTCTGAGATACATAGATGGGTGTTTGTTAGCGAATTCGTAGGGTAAAGCTTTTCCGTAGTAGTCTGCTCTGGGCAAAGAGGGCCTCACCTTGCTGGCCCTGTAAGTGTGCACTGGGTCCATGGCTTCCTCCTGTGTAACTCTGCACCAGGAGGATTCATCGTAGACTTTGGGGTGGTTGGGTGGGTTGAGGATGGCAGCGGATGAGGAGGTGAAGACGACGCGTTTGACTGCAGGTGCATGGCGGTATATCGAAGTGAGGATGCCGCTTATTCCCTTGATGGCGGGATCAAGGCAGTCTCTTTGGGGGTCTTCCCAATGCATCTGATATGGCGAGGCTGTGTGGACGACATAGTCGAAAGGGGGGTCTGTCATGACGGCCTAGTCTCTGTTAGTGACCAATCCCTCTTCTAAGTTGCCGGTAAGCTACCTCATCAAATGCGCCCTCCTTCACGAAATCCCCGACTATGGCGAAGGAGACATGCTGTCGCAATGCCTCATCGATAGAGTTGACGATCCGTTGCCCCTTTTCGTGGGATCTCACCGTGACCACAACGTCGAAACTAAGACAGAATTGTTAAATCTCCGTGATACGTCTTTCGCCGGTTGCTATCCTGCTTACCCGTGGTCTAGCAGACAGTCCAGAACATGCGAGGCAATAAAACCAGTTCCACCTAAGAAAATTGCGAATAAGTGGTATGCTACAAAGCGTTTCACGTCATATATACCCCGCCTTACCAGTTAGTAGGACCTTGCCCTTGCTAGGTGATAGAGTGTCGGTTGTCGACATTGCTCCGATCACCGGACTATTCCGTTCTCGGAGCTATTCACGAGTGAAAGGGGGTGACTGTTGTTCGAGCCTCCGAGGTATGTTGCAGCTTGCCAGATACGAGTAGCAATACGAGTGCCGGGGTAAAGCGGACAGACAAATTGGATGGTGGTTTGAAGCTCGAAGAAGCAAGGGACCAGAAGAAGCTTTAATACCAGTTTCAGCTGCCGCTCCCGCGCCCAGTGAGACATGCAGGTTCAGCTCTTCTGCGGCAATCCCCACCGCCAACCCGACGGCAAGCCCAACCTGCCCAACGGACATTCACGATAAAGAAGGACGAGCCGCTCGTACCGCAGTTACCGAAGCACTATCCGTATCAAGAAGTCTTGTCGCTGTTGTTTGAACGGCAAAGAGCCCATTTCTCAGGGGTCGGTATTGAGTAAGGGAGTCAAGCCCAGGGCAGATCAACCGTTCACCCTCACCGTTGATTAGGTAGGTATCCAGGGATTCCACATCAACTGATTGTCTACGCTGGCGCACATTCTCTTGACCTAACAGCCACGTGCTTCTCCCGAACGTCAGCATGTCTCCGACGGGTTCAAAGGATCCCCTCCACATCGCCATCATTGGCGGGGGCATCACGGGCGTCAACCTCGCCCTTGGCCTCCAAGCCCGCAACGTCTCGTACAGCATCTACGAGCGTTCCGCGGGTTTCCGCGAGATCGGGGCAGGCATTGGCTTCAGCCCCAACGCAGAGCGAGCCATGGCCGCTCTCAACCCCGATATACTCACCTCCTACAAGCGTCTAGCCAACCCCAACGGTGAGGACTACTTCCAGTGGGTAAACGGGTGCGCGACGGACGAGCCAATCTTCAAGCTACACGTCGGCAAAGACGGGTTCCAGGGCGGCCTCCGCAGCAAGTTCCTCGAGGAGTGGGCGAAGTTGATCCCCCCTACCGCGGTGCAATTCAGCAAACAGCTCGACACCATCACCGAGCCCACCCCCGACTCGCCCAAACTCCGCCTCCACTTCACCGACGGCACGACCGCCACAGCCGACGCCGTCATCGGCTGCGACGGCATCCACTCGCGCGTCCGCGACCTCCTCCTCGCTCCCCAAACAACAACCAACCCACCCGCACCAGGAGACCAACCCCCATCCTCTCCCCCCACCACCGCCCACCCAACCTACACGCACAAGTTCTGCTTCCGCACCCTAGCCCCCATGCCCGCCGCCATCGCCGCCATCGGCCCCACCCAAGCCAGCACCCGCTTCATGTACAACGGCCCCGGCGCGCACCTGATCACCTACCCGGTCGGCAACAGCACGCTGCTCAACATCCTCGCCGTCATCGACGCCACCTCCTCAACCCCCTGGCCGTACGGCCAGCGCCACACCGCGCCGGGCCACCGCAGCGAAGCGGAGCGCGCGTTTGAGCAGTGGGGACCCACGGCGAGGGCGATTGTGGGTTTGTTTCCGGACTCGGAGGAGGGGGCCCCGTTGGATAAGTGGGCGCTGTTTGATATGGCCGAGTATCCGATGCCGGGGTATGCGCGCGGGAGGGTGGGTGTGGCGGGGGATGCGGCGCATGCTGCGGGGCCGCATCTGGGTGCCGGGGCGGGGATGGGGGTGGAGGATGCGGCGGTTTTGGCGGCGGTTTTGGGGGCGATTGGGGGGTGGTGGGAGGGGGATGGGGAGGGAGAGGGGCATGGTGATGGGGAGGGTGACGGGGAGGGTGCTGGGGAGAGTAAGGGGGAGAAGAAGGCGGAGAAGAAGGCGGAGAAGAAGGCGGAGAAGAAGGCGGAGGAGAAGGGGGAGACCAAGGCAGAGTTGTTGGAGAGAGCGTTGCGGGTGTTTAACGAGGTGAGATATTCAAGGACGCAGTGGGTGGTGCATGCGGCCAGGGAGGCGTGTGACTTGTTCCAGTGGCGGGATGAGGCGATAGGAAAGGACCCGGAGAGGTTTGGCCGCGAGATTACCGAGCTGTTTCATACGATCTGGAAGTATGATGTGGATGGGATGGTGGAGGAGGCGCTGGCGAAGTTGGGTGCGCCGGCATCTTAGGTCGCCCTCACCAGGTTGCTAGCCGGGAAGAGTAAGTGCCATGGCGGCTTGCAGACAACGAGAGCTGGAAAGAATGCGAAAAGAACTATATACCTAGTGTGCATGTGTATACGATTGGGTCAAGAAGTTGAACGCAGGTCGTAATCGTCGTGACAACCCCTGATCAGTTCGCACAACTCATCATCCCCTCCTAAACAACACCATTCAATACCAACAGCTTCCACGACTGGCCCCAAACAACTCTCGCGGACCACTCAGCATGCTCCTGTCCGTGATAGGGCATGGATCGCCATGTAGCATATACCTCCTAATGGCATGGACAACATTTTCCCTGCCGTCAGGGACGGGCTCAGGGTGATCCAATATTCTCCATCGTCCTTCGTCACAGCATAGGCCACCCCAGATGGTGGCGTCCTCCAAGGTGAGCATCTTCCGCATCTCAGCTAGCGTGGAAGGCCAATGACCGTCAAGCCAGACGGAAAACAATTCCAGCCTGCGCAGCGTGTCTTTGTGACGTGCCAGGATGTCCATGAACAGTGACCTTGTCAAGTTCATGCCGCCGAAGCTGAGCGACGTCAGGTGCGGCCAGTGATGTCCCGGGCGCATGACGTCCCGTAGCCAACCCTCGCTCACCCCTGGTCCGTTGGGAAACATGGAGCAGAAGGCGATGGAGAGGGCCCGGAGGCGGGGCAGTGCTTCCAAGAAGGTCGGGAGCATCCCAGCTTCGGTCTGGCGCGCATACTCGACAAGGTCAGGGCGTTCGCCATGCCGGTAGCGGTGGATGCCACACACGCAGAAGTGCAGGTTCAGGTCGGCCAGGTTGGAAAAGAGACCAAGCTGCACCGGCGTTCGCGGGAGGTCCCCGATAGATCGCCAGTCCAGTCTGCCGGCCTTGAGGGTTTCCAGTTTCGTGTCGTTATCCTCCAGGGCTTCCAGGAGCACCGCCAGCACTCGGCTGGCAGGCTTGCCAAACTGCCGGTGGATAAGCGTCAATGGTGTATACCTTTCCCTTGCCCCATATCTATTTGAGGACTGGTGCCACCCTTCACAGTTGATGATGACGCTCCTTAGGCCCGGCAGGTTAGGTAACACGTCAGGAATCAGGTCGCAGATCAGCGGGTTGCTCTGGGCGTCTGCATGAGCGTCGCGGAGCTGTTGGTGTTTGGTGTACGCTTGTTGTCTGACGAGTCCATCGTCACTCAACACATGGCCCGCAGGCCAGTCACCTATCCAGTGCTTGCGGACGGGCTTGGGGGTGTAGATAAGCGACTGGAGGTACTTGGCCTTGGCCGGGTTACTTGCAAGAGCACGGAGGCGGTAGTCGTCGTCCGCTGTTGCGTGCACGATGAGGAGGCGCAACACCGCGGGGGCACCAATGTCGCCGAATGTCCTGCAGGCCAAGCGGAAGCTGGCCGCGTCAGAGAGGTCGAGAAAGGAGCAGATCGTCAACCAGAGCTCCAGGGGGAGACTGGTAAGGCCAGGATGCACCATGTGGCCCGTGTCCATGGCGTTAGGGGCTGAGGGCTGAGTAGGTCTGAATGTGAGCTATTTAGTCTAGCTCAGATCTGAACAAGGAGTGGTTCACTGCGGAGAAGAGGCCTGGACGTCGGCAAGGCAATCTGGCCCGAGGCCTTGAGCCAATCAGAGCGGTCGAGTTCGGAATGACATGATCCGGCTATGTGTTTCCCGAAAACACCAGGCCCACGCTAAGCGCAGGGGGCGGCTGCCGCGCGTTCCGTCACCGATTGCTGTACATAATGTGTGTAAATAGAAGGCCCTTTCTTGCTTCCAGTCTGTAGTTATTCGGTGTCCACACTTGTCTTGTCCTTGACTTCCAACCTCCCATTGGCCCGTCCAAGCATCTTCGAGACCGGATATCGAAACCAAATTCGCTCCAAGAGTCCCACTCCCGTCCGCAACCTGCAACTTGGAAACCATGTCGGTTTCTGACAACTACTCCGATACCAGTATGGCCAACCACCCTTACTACCCTCTCGACCTAGAGCTGCCCGGGTTTGTGCCGAGCCCAACCGCGGTACCGATACTCCTCGCCTTCTTCGCCGCCGGCGTGGCCTTCGTCTTCTCGGCCACCGTCATCTTGGCACGTACGGTTCAGCCCGGTCTTTCCAAGGGAAAACTGTACACGGCCATGTGGTTTATGCTGTGTGGATGTATCCACCTGTTCTTCGAAGGTATGTCTTGAAAGACTGCTGGTTTGGCTGTTGGTTCTTGAACCCGGCCTTGTTTCCTTCCCTTGGACGTTTTGACTAACACAAATGAAGGATATTTCGCCCGCCACGAAGCCGAGATGCCCGGGCGTATCGACATCTTCGGGCAGCTGTGGAAGGAGTACTCCAAGTCCGACCACCGCTACCTGACCCGGGATTCCTTTATCGTCTGCATGGAGACGGTGACGGCGGTGACTTGGGGCCCGCTCTCTTTTCTCATCGGCTGGCTCGTCATCAAGGACAGCCCTCTCCGCTACCCGCTCCAACTCATCGTCAGTCTCGGCCAGTTCTACGGCGACGTTCTCTACTACGGAACTTTCTTCTTTGACGAGGCCGTCCATGGGGCTGTCTACTGCCGCCCCGAGGGCGTCTATTTCTGGGCCTATTATATGATGATGAACGGGTTCTGGATTGTCATTCCTGGGTGGTTCATCATCCAGGCCGTTATTGAGTGCACCAACGCATTGCGCGTCGCGCAGGAGGTTGCGAAGCGGGCATCGCCAAAGTCGCAATGATTGTGACCGGTTCTCACAAGGGGGCAACAACCACCAGGATCAGTAGGTAGGTAGCTCGATATTAATTAGAGTTCTCGTGGCACCTGTCACTAAATAGTAATGATAATTACCTACATGTAATCATCTAAGTCGTTCTCACATGACATCTGGGCCACTCACAATCATTGGCCTTCCTCTCTCCTGACTCAATCCTAGCATAAACAAAACTTGAGGGCCGTGAAGAGTCGTAGATGATGTTGATTTAGAGGGTCGAATGCTGCAAAGCAAGCCTTAGGTAGTTAGGTACTTAATTAGGAAGTCTCCTCACTCCTCGGGGGTCGTTGCCGGTCGTTTTGGTTGCGAATGGCCACATAGCCGAGGCAGTTATCCAGCTCAGCTATCACGACGCGATCATGTCCTTGACGGTGGCCATCACTATCTACCCAGCGGCGTGGGGCTGGGATACACCCTCGGCATCTGCATCTACAAGGTTAGTACTACATCGTAGAATAATACTATAATCCAATGCCTGCCTGCATGATTCGTTTTCCTGCCAGGTGAACATGTCAGCAGCATCCTCATAAACAACAACATGACAACCATCCGGGGCACTCACGGTCTTCCCAGGTTCTCTTGGGGATGTTCTCCTCAATACGGATATGCCACATCCACAAGCACCATAACGCCACCAAGGTATCCCGCATACGGCGCGACAGCGGCACCAACAACCTCAACCGGAACACCTCCCCGCCACTCGTATCCTCCCCGTCCACCGCCTCACGCACCTGCACAGCAACCACCCTCCCCTCGGGATCACTCCACTCCCACTCCCCCCCACCAATACCACCAATCCCCTTTTCCTTCACCACAAAGTAAAACTCCCCCTTCTTGACCTTCTTCCCCTCCCTCTCCATCCACCGCCGCTCCGCATCCGACACCACCCTGTTCGCGCGATACCCCGTCCTGAAAGCCGGACTCTTCTCCACCCTCACCTTGCCCAGCGCCTTGCGCGTCTGCGGCTCCAGCCAGGCCTGGAACGGGATCCCGGCACGCACCATCGGCTTGCGGTGCTCCAGCCAATACACATCCTTGGCGCGGCGCGCGAGCGAGGGGCCCGCAACGGCGTCGGGGTCATCGTTGCCGTTGTTGCGTATGCGCAGGTCCAGGCGCTGGAACTCGATGCGCTCGGCCGCGGCCCCCTGCTCGTGGATGGCGCGCGAGAGCTGGTAGATGGGTTCCGAGTCGGCTTCGCCTGTGTGGGGGTCGGCTGAGCCGGGCGCGGGCAGGAGAGGGTAGATGAAGCGGCCGTGGATTACGAGTGTGCATGGGTCGAGGAGCTCGTCCGGGTCCGGGGCCGTGGTGTCAGGGCGGAGCTCGTAGGCGGGGGGTTGGTAGGGGGGTGGGTTACCGGCGGGAGCGGTGTTGTTGTTAGTAGTGGTGGTAGTGGTGGTTGTCGTGGCAGGCGGGGATCCCGGGGTGAAAGGAGGTGGTTGCTCTTTTGGAGTGCCCATCTTGTGTTGAGTTGTGTGGTGGTTATTAATATTTATAAAATAATGATTTTGGGTGTTGTTGTTGATACCTAGTCAGGTATGTACGATGATTGAAAAGTGAATCAAGTGATGAGATAAAGTGCAGAAAATGATGTCAGTTGTGAAATGGCGGCAAAGGGGCCGTTTCAGGGGATTCATCGCTGCGGTGACTCGTGAGCCATTTTATGCTCTGTAACCAACCTAACTATCGAATGCACAGCCCCCAAATTGGGGCCCAAGGCGTACCGACGATGGAAGTCAGCCTGCATTCATTACCTCCTGTGTAACTCCCTTAGGCAAGTATTATTGTCTCGTTGGGGGAAGGTGCCTCGGGGTTGGCTCAAACAAATAGTTATAGCCTCGGACTCTCTCAACGCACCCAAGTACGAAGGAACCACATCGACTTCACGTAGCTCCACGGAGATGGTGCTGCAAGGGCGGGCTCTCCGCGTTGCCAAGAAATGATCATGTTCTGGAAGATGCAACCTCGACTGCTGTGCCGGGAAACCTTGGCGTCCGTGTGGCTGACTATGTAAATAGAAAACAGAGCGTAAAGGGCGCGAGTTGACCGCCTCGGCAATGCTTTATACGCTTCATAGTATTTAGGTACCTAGGTAAACGACCAGAAAGTACCTCAGCGCCGGTGCGGCACGGCGGGTATCGGAGGGGCCGTGGAGAGCCGAGACCCGCTCCGATCCCGCCGACGGAGACCACGGAGTTCTCGCAATCCAGAAAAATCGATAAGAGCCGGCGCTTTCCTTCCTTCCTGAACGGCGGGGTGGGGGCTGCTCCATGAGGGGTCATTGAAAGACGGGGAAGGTGAGATGATTGGCATCGGACGAGTTGAGGACCTCTGTCTTTTCTGTTTTGTTTACACCTAGTTCTTGTATCTTGCGTCTCGGCTCTTCGTTTGTATTATGACTTCGGTAATTAGGAGAGCTTATGCCAGGACGTGACTGTTGACGTCAAGTTGAACATCACACATTTCATCGATAACTCTCGCTCTGGAAAGTTGCAACCACGACCGGAGATACGAACCCCGCAACAAAGCTGTATCCGGCATCCAATGGGCATCGTGGAAGATGCAGAAAACCCCGTTTCCGAGGAAATCCCCAGCCATTTGATGAATAAGAAATCAGAACAGAGATAACAGGATGGTGGGCCCAAATGGATGCATGTGTGCAGCTAAAAGAGTCATCACTCCTTTACCCCTCCTTGGCATGCTTACAAGTTGCATCTTCATCACCAGTCTGATTTGTTTCGACTCCGAGTCACAATTTCCAACGAGACTGGAAGGCTGCCATCCTTGAGGGACCGGAACGAATCATGCACACCTCCACCATGGCCCTCGCCGGGCTGGCCGCCACTGCTGCTGCCGAGACCATTCACGGTGCCCTCGTCTTCTCCCGCCACGGTGACAGTATGTGAACGGATGCCAGTTGGCAAACTTGAAAAGGCACCACTTACTAACCACCTACCCAGGAACCACCAAGCACTTCGGTTCCCAGGTGCTCACCCCCCTCGGCGCTCAGCAGGTCTTCCAGGTTGGTAGCGACTACCGCGCCCGCTACCTTTCGTCATCCTCCCCGCATCACATCCAGGGCATCTCCGAGTCCGAGTATGTCCCGGCCCAGATCTACGCCAGCGCACCGGATCAGCCAATCCTCCTCAACACGGCCACTTCTTTCCTCCAGGCCCTGTACCCCCCACTCGGTGATACCGTCTCCGCTCAGGACCTCGCCAACGGCTCTTCCGTGTCGAGCCCCCTGACCGGCTACCAGTACGTCACCCTGCACGGCGTCAACGACGATTCTCCAGAGAGCGTCTGGATCAAGGGTGACGACGACTGCCCGGTCGTGGCCGCCGCATCGGCCGACTTTAAGAAGTCCTCCGAGTTCCAGTCCCGCCTCGCCTCCACTCGCGACTTCTACCAGTCCCTCTACCCGCTCGTGCACGAAGTCTACCCGTCCGCCTCGGACCTCAGCTACGCCAAAGCCTACGACATCTTCGACGTGATCAACGTCGAAAAGATTCACAACGCATCATCCCCAGCACAAGCCGTCACCCCGACCCAACTCCACCAGCTGCGCACGCTCGCCGACAGCGCCGAGTTCGGGCGCAACTACAACGCCTCGCAGCCCTCACGCTCCCTGCACGCGGGCACGCTCGCCGGCGCCGTGCTGAGCCACCTGAACCAGACGGCGGCCACCAACACCCCGCCGGCGTCGGCAGCGCCCAAGCTGACCGTGCTCGCGGGCAGCTACGACACCTTCCTGGCCTTCTTCGGCCGCGCCCGCCTGACCGACGCCTCGGACCAGTTCTTCGGCCTGCCCGACTACGCCAGCACCATGGCCTTTGAGCTGTTCACGCCTGGTGAGACTAATGATGAGAGTATGGACCGCTCGGCACTGCGCGTGCGCTTCCTCTTCCGCAACGGCACCGCCGGCGCGCTGCGGCAGTTCCCGCTGTTTGGGACTGGCAAGGTTGAGCTGCCGTGGGCCGAGTTTGAGCGCGAGATGCAGCAGATCGGGGTTGGTTCGGCGGAGGAGTGGTGCGGCCTGTGCCGGAGCGAGGCCGTTTTCTGCGCGGCGTACCGCGACGCCGATCGCTACGACATCCTGGGCGGGGGGCGGGGTTCCGTGGTTAGCAAGGGGTCGTGGATTGCGGTGGTGGTCGTCATGGGCGTGGCTATTGCTGGGAACCTGGTCTGGGCTGCTATGTGGCTGGTCAGGAACCGCCGTGCGAAGCGGGAGAGGATGGCGGGAGTGGCGAGTACGGCTGCTGTCGGCGGGGATTCGGAGAGTGCGAGGAGCTACGATAAGGAGAGCGTTTAGTGCCCCCGATGTAAGGCATAGTACGGGAATGTCGCTGTCACCATGGGCTCTTCATGAAGATATGACTCGGGTTGGACTGGGGTGCTTGGGTATAGGGTTGCGAGCGAAAACAATGAATGGACACTACATCGGAGCATATTAATTTGTATTTTGATGGCTCAAATTTGGTAGAAGGAAAGAGTGGTAACTTGTTGACCACAGCCCCCCGTTCCCCGCCCCAGTCTGGTGATGCCTCGGCCCACAACATCAAGCAGTCTTTGCGGACTCCCCCCCCGGTTTCCGGCCATAAACAACGTGTCTACAACACTGGGTCAGCAACCCACGTCATCCTCTCCGGAGCTCTCGGCATAGACTTACATGGGCCAATATGCGTGCACCCGAGGGTCCCTGATCGCCGTCCTCGCCTTGGCCGCAAGGACCTGCGCTTCTTCCGGAGCCCAGCCCAGAAACCTCGTCGCCGGCGCCAGGATGGCGGTCTCTATGACCTGGTCCGTGTTGAGCAAGCACCACCTACCGAGCGTCTTGTACTTGGGGTCCCGGGGCCAGGTATTGATGGGCCATTTGTGCACCGTCTCGACGACATCCTCGAACCCGACCTCCTCCATCAAGGATTTCCACCGTTGCGCAGCATTTAGAGGGCGCTGGGCGGCGTCCATGGCTTTCATCAGCGTCGTGACCCAAATCCACAGACCTGACTCCTTTGTGAATGTGCCGTCATCGCAACCGATGGGGCAGGCCATGTCCTCGACCTCAAAGTAGCCGCCGGGCTCGAGTTGGCTAACAAAACAAGCCGTCAGCCAGCGGGACTTGAGACTGACTGGGGACGAACTGGCCGTGTCACGACCGGGGGATGACATACTTGTATGCCTTTTCCACGATGGCCTTGGGGTCGCTGAAGCTGCCATTCACCATGCGGCCTATGATGAAATCAAACTTCTTGGTCCACATCCAGTCCTTCTCGAGGTCGTCAACCTTTAATGGCGTCAGCTCCGTTCGCAAGTCTCCAAGTCCGCCGTTAATCTCACCTCAAAGGTGCAGTTTGGCGGCACGCTGTTGCAATTAGCAGTAGATCTCGAGCGTGGGGCTCGGGAAACACGAACAGGTTCGGCTGGATAGGACTCAGGTCTACGCCTATGACCTGAGGAGGGGTTAGGAATTACTTCGCATTCTGTGACACATCCATTGCTTTCGGTCATCGCACCTCTGCTCCAGGATGCTGATCCGCTTCGGGCGAGGATTCATGTTAGCTTCCTGCCTCCGAACCTGAAAGAGCTGAAGCCCTCACCGTAATCTATACACCATATCCCCGTCCCCGCGCCAAGGTCGAGGACCCTGTTGGCCCCATCCTTCTTTGGGCATGCGCAGAGGTAGTCGTCGAACATCAGCCGGAAGATGTGATGTTGCAAGTCTGTCATGGAAATACGGTTAATACCATCACCGCCAGTGGTATACATACTCCTTATGTTAGCCTTACCTAGTCTCTCGATCTCAGCCTGTGGTTATTTGGTTAGCAACCGTCGTAGAATAGAGGAAGCTTGAGCCATCCGCACATCATCATTGGGAAAGAGATATTCTATTCGTCGGTAAGCGGATTGCAGCCCTCTGGGAAACGGTATGCAAACTTACTTCCGGCGCTCATGGCATGGTAAGTGCGTCCATTTTCCCTGTGGTGGTTCATGATGCTGGATCGCAGCGAAGTCAAAGTTTCTGACAAGGGCTTGGTGAAGCAAACGCCCGGTTAGTCACTCCATTCAGCGTGCCATACAACGACCCTTTGAGAAGCATACCACGGAGAGTGCCGAATCAACCTCGTCATATACATCGGCCACCTGAACGAAGGTCAATTTGTTAGTGTGTAACCTTGATGGGGAATCCATCGATGAAAGGAATCCCACCAGTTCGAGGCCATGTTGCTGCGGCCCGGCGGACTCGATGGACTCGGAGGACTCGGCGGGCTGCACGGGCGCCGCTGGTACCGTGGGCGCGTCGGGCGGGGGGGTAGACATGATTTAGCCTTGTTGGAAGAATGCCGTGTCTGGGGGAGGTAAGGAGTCTTTGGCTGGAAGGACAAACAATTCAAGAAGAGAGCCCCTTAGCGGGGGAGAAATACCAGTCAGTGGATGCCGATGCATGGGTCCCCGGGGCCAAGTTTAAATAGCGGCCGAAGTGGCGGCAACGGGTTGGGGACCGAAGACGGTGTGGAATGCATGCCACATGGCTCCCTATTGGGGCCACACACACCCCCCATGTTCAACCCGGGCCGCTGCGATTGGAATAACTAATGGAAGACGCCGTGCGGAGAAGCATGTTGCAGCCCCGGAGACCCCCTGTGGCTTTCTCGGCCTTGCATGGTTGGCACGTTGGCTGCAAGATGCACAAACCTGGACCAGTGCAGTCTTCGCTTGACAACCACCCAAGCAGCCAACCGAGCTGTCCCCGAACCCCCAGACTTTCCTTTGCCCTCCTCTTCGGCCCCACCAACCCCCCGGCTCTTCGTTTCCTTGTTCTCTCGCACTGAACTAGCAAACTTCGACTGAAAGCCTAGGAGAGGACCGTGACGGTGAATTTGGAAAAACTGGAGAACCCGGTGGTAAACTCAAGGTACCGGTTTGTCGACAGTGAGCCTGTAGCTGTGAGCTCGTAGCAGCCACGGTGTATCACGTCCTAACTCGGGCAAGTTTTATCTTAATCAGGCGCACTGAAGAACTCGAGGTGGTGCCCACCGCATCAATGTCGTATTGTCTGGATTAACGAGCCCGTCGAACGCCAACATGACAATCGCATTCTTATGTCGGCTTGAATAAGACAGCAGGGATTGGAAAGCTCCTGATGTCGTGCCGAATCCAGGATCACAAGTGGAAGATCCTTCCTCGGTGCCTCGGGTACGACCTCCGGCCAAATGGAGCAGTTGGAATCGTTACACTCATTCCACGTTTCCTGAGAGCTTAATTTGCGCCACCATCTTACTCAAAATCTCCCATGGGTCACGCAAGCTTCCATCACAATCTCGTCCCCAAAGATGCGGGACGGCCCGAGAGGGCATGCAGCCACCGTTCGTGCTGAAACATGCTGACCACCTCGCCAACAACATCCCCCTTCCCCTGATCCACAGGACCCCCACGCCACGGCGGTCCCCAACCAACATGCAAAGGCACTCTACACGGTAGGCACAATCCATTTAGCCCTTGTCAAACGCCCTGAGTGGCACCACACCTGCGATCAACCGGGCCTGCAACCCCCCCTTTCCCCCACGTCTGTGTCATTAGTTGGGCAGGATGCATGTTTGTCCTTCCTCAAACCGAAGCCGCTCGAGGGCAGGGGAAAAAGCAGCACGAGGGTAGTAGCCAGGGGGATGACAACGGTTACCAAGGCTGTGTCTATCTGTGTAACAATTGAATTGACCGCGGTCACAGAGGGGGGGGGGGGGGGGCGGAAAATAGACTCAGTGCACCACACAAACTAAGGTAGAGAAGACTCAGGGGCCGGAAGGAATGAGTGGTTTCCTGCGTTGGCAAAAGAAAAGTACCTACCTAGCCTTGGCTGGAATCATGACCAACTTCTCAAGTCCGCTGCAGGGTAATAGTTATTCTAGTACCCTATTTGTTTTCTAAAGTTCCCATAACAAAAGGCGGTCTTCGCCCCTGGGAACCACGACAGACTCCCCCGAATATGTACACAACCCCCAACCACCCCCTACTTTGCTTTAAGCAGCGCACTTCTCCCAGTCGTAGCTGACGCCCTGCTGGATGCCGTAGTACTGGGCCTCGCCCTCGTAGTCGGACGACTCCGACGCGACGGTGCCCGCGGCGCCCTCCATGGTGGCCGTCAGCGTGAGCTCGGTGCGGTACTTGATGGTGCCGCTGCCGCACTCCGGCAGCGGCCACTGCACCAGCTCCTCGGCGGGCATCGAGATGTCGGTGTACGACCCGGCCTCGCGGGGGCCGGCGACGCTGATGGTGTCGACGATCTGGAGAGCGGGGGGGGGTGGAGGGTTAGCTTTTGGACGACTGGTGCAAGTACTCCCCCCGTCTTCTCTTCCTTTTGTGTGTGCGATGCATAGATTGCGAGCATGTGTGGCCTGGGCATAACTGACCTTGTCATCTCCATCGGTCTGGTACGAAAACGTCCACTTGGCCTCGACGCCCTCGTCGAGCTCGTAGGTTGCCAGCATCAGCGTGCCGTTCTTGTGCAGCTTCAGACGGTAAGCCGGGTCGACGGCCGGGTTGCTGCCACCACCCTCCTCCAGCTCGGTGTACTTGAGCGTCGTCTCGCACCAGATGGACGCCTCAGGGGTCTCAGCATCCACGCTGAGATGGATGTGAGGGTAGGCAAAGTGCCAGTAGTAGATCTCGGAGCCATCGACCGTGTTGGAGCCGAAGGTGGGCCGGGTAATACGCGGCGGCTCGGTCTGGCCGAAGTCGGGGCATCCCGGGCCTTCGAGCGCCGCGATTTCGAAGTTCCAGTTGTACGGGAGGATGCGGACCGGGTCATCGGCGGCCACCGGGCTAGGGCGTGCAACCGCCGTGCCCACGATGGCGGCAAGGACAGGGAGGCGGGACAGCATGTTGTTGGATGGATGTTCTAAGGATACGAAACAAGCTTTGGTGAGAAGAGTGAAGGCTGAATCAGAGCTGAAAGCCCGGAGGACGGACGTCGTCCAGGGCCACTTTATAGACCGTTAAGCTTATTTACGATCTCCCGGTAGCGCATCGGGAGTTCGGTACATGCTAATCTACATCTGATCTCGATCTCCTGTCAAGGTGTCGGGGGAACATCGGTGATCGGGGGTTCACAGAGCCGCGGACAGATCTTACCCCGCGTCGACAGCGCGTCCGGGGGTGATTTTCTGGTAGAAACCGGAGGCACAAGGCCCGAATGCTCCCTGGAACTTGCTCACGGAGTTCCCGGCTACACGGTTCAAAAACGCTCAGGAGAGATTCATCCGCTGCCTCATCGATCCAAGGGAAGCCACTGTCGTGTGTGTTAATATCTGTCCCGTCAAATATGGTTCCTAGCCGGTCCTGCTGCAGCGGCGTTGCATCAGTCGCTGCACTGGAGCATCGGAGCCATGTCAAAGACCAAGTCCGAGAGCTCGGACAGGGAAGATCTGCAGTGCACGATCGAGCCGGATAAAAAGAAAGTTCCAACAGACAAACAACTCCCAACAGTAAAGTTCCGAGAAAGTGTCATTTGGGACTCAAATAGGAAAATAATCGGGCACGGGATAAACAACGGGGCTTTTGGGGAGTAAGAAGAATCCAAGACGACTGGAATGAGACAATCATAAGAGCGAGAGACAGCTGGAACTTGGAAAACGTTGTGGGTGTTGGTAAATGTAGTGTTTATGAATTCCACTTTCCATCGTCCCCCTTTCCAAGAGTCTCAGCCCTACAGGAATGACTATTTAACGTCTGGCTGGAAGTGAGAAGTCCCGGGCTAAAGCTATCGGAAGGGGAACTTGGCCACGTTGCCGCTCAAGCCCTGTCAACTCGGAAGCGACACGGTACCTTGCCCAGACGTGTCCTCTTACCCAAGCCAAATGCGGGCATCTTGATTCCATGACCTGGTTTACAGCATAACAAGCTCGGCAGTTCTCTTACCTCCCGACCATGCACCCTGTTGGCTCAACGGCCGCGGTAGGCGTCGTACCATTCACAACGCAGGAGCGGACTGTTTCTCTAAAGTCCGACCCATTATAACAACCAGGGATATAATACTGGCACATCGAAAGAACAAGATATGCACCTGACCAGTGTAAGCCACACACGTTGAGGTGGTCTCCACATCCCGGTACGAAAATGAAGACTCCCGTGGCTCGGGGTGGCGGGGCAGGCTGCCGTGGTAGCAGCCGTGGCTTGCGCCGTTTCGGTCGTACTCGGTGCATGTCCCGCTCGATATGGGGCGGCCAAGGGGATGGCGACCCGACTGGCCGTCTCCGCCGCGGAGAAGGCGATTCTTGGCCCGGCCACTGCCACGTCTTGCTGTTTGGGTACTACCTAGCCAATGACTGACGTGTGTGTTTGAGGGAGCTGGAGGAACTTTGCCACGCGGAGATAATTTCTGTTGCCGTGGCCAACAAAGGAGCGGCGGTAAGGCTAATATGCGTCTCGCGCAACGGAGAGGAGGTGTTGTGTTGACGGGGGCCGTTGGTCGGAGGCACGATGGCTAGAACAGGCTTGGGATATCGAACGATGCTTGAGGCTGTCTTCATCCTCAGACTCTCCTCCCATGTTCCCCACGCCAATACCATCAGACACATACCGTGGCTTGGGCTGGGTGTCTTCAGCGGTTAACCTGTGGGGCAGGTTGGGTGTAACCGATGTGTTGCGTCACACCAAAGGCTCAGTGAACGTCAACTCCGTATCAAGCCGCCACAAAAGTCCCTTTGTTGAGGGATTTACTGGGGTAAAACCATGGAATGCCGCATTGCTTCGGAAACCGTAGCTTTTCTAACGGGGCCGCCCTTTTCTCAACTGACTGCGGAGTGTCCCGTCCGTATTCTTCGCGTGCCCGGAGCCGATACGTACAGCCGAAGGAGGGAAATGGAAGCGGTTAACACACGTAACCGCCCATATCCTCCCCCGTTCTGTCGAAAAAGTTGATTAAGGGGTCGTCAAGGTTCCAGTCGGGGTTCCGGAGTCCAAGTAGCTCCGACCACATGAGAAGCATGGCGGAACAGATGTCTAGCGTATGTAACTCGCGGATATCTCGCGGCTTTCCCTCGTTGTTTGTATTGCCCCAGGATCTCACAGCCGTAGCGCCTCCCACTTACATTTCCCCGAACATATGTTCGGATATCTACCCGGACTCCCCTGCCCTCCCCGCCTTCTCTACGGGACCTGCCTCCTCACGGGAAGGGCTTTCCCAGCGACCCAGACGCCGCTGTTTCTCGGCCCTCGACGTCACGTACGACAGACCAGCGGTCCACATCGCCAAAGCCACCGACGTGGCAATCATGGCGTACATCCCCCTCTGCCCCGCCAGTCAGTTAACCCTCCCTCATAGACGACGACGGCGAACACAACGACAAGAAGAACTCACCTCAAACCACGGCGCCATGCTCGCGCCATAAAACACAATACTCCACCACGCATTCACAGCATTATTCCCCAGATTCATGCCCGCCAGCACCACCGACCGAAACACCGGCTCCCTGTGCCTCGTAGCATCATTCGCCCACGCAAAGAAGGTCGCCTGGCAGGCATACACGGCCCCCGCCCAATAATACGCGCCAAACACCACCGCCGTGGCGCCCTCCCCCCCGGGATCCCCGCCCTTCTGCGCCGCCAGGATCATCGCGCTCGTCACCACCCCCGTAACCCCGATAAAATACCCCACCAGATAGCGCTTCCCGCCCAAGAAATCCGTCAGCGCGGCCCAGAAGAGCGTGGACACGATCCCCACGGCGGGCACGCCCGTCGGGTAGTCGTTGAGCTGGCGGACGGTGTAGGGCGCGGCAGTCCGAGAGGGCGAGCTCTTCATGAAGAGGGCCAGCAGCGCGTTGGAGGAGAAGGACTCCGTCTCGCCGGCGATGACCCACAGGATCACGAAGCCCCACCACTCGTGGGAGGCCAGGACGCGTTTGGCAAAGGTCCAGGTTAAGGGGGAGGTGGGTGGGGGTTTCTCGTGTGGGGGGGTTGTGGTGGTGGTGGGGTCGTGCTCGGGGTCTGGTTCGGGTTCTGGTTCGAGGAGGTGGTCGGTGGATTGGAGGCGGGAGACGGCGAGGCGGCGCTCGGTGAGGGTGAGATACGGGGCGGTGGTCGTGCTGGGGGTGTCGGGGAAGAGGAGGAAGCCGTAGAGGGCTACGGGTAGGGTGACGATGCCGTCGATGAGGAACAGCCAGCGCCAGCCGCGCAGGCCGTGCCGGTTGTCCATGCTCGTGTAGATGCCGCTCTGGATGAAGCCGCCGATCATGGTGCCGGCGAGCCCGGATGCGGTGAAGATGCCGCTGCGCTTGCCCAGCTCGCGCTCGGTGTACCACGACCCCAGTATGTAGTGCGTCCCGACGAACGTGGTGGCCTCGGCGATGCCCTGGAAGAAGCGGATGGCCATGATGGCCTGAGGAGTGTGGACGGACGCCGTGACCATGGTGAGCCCCGCCCAGATGACCATCATGGCCGGGAAGAAGTAGCGCGGCTTGACATAATGGAGGCTTAGGTTGGAAGGGATCTGACCGAGGACGTAGCTGGATGTGTCAATGCCAGGACCTCCTTGACGATATGGCTCAGCCGGATGCTCACACTTACCCAACGGTGAAACAAGTATTGATTTGATTTAGCTGGTCTCCCTGGAAGCCCAGGTCTTCCTTCATGCCCGAAACATATGCATTGGCCAAGTTTGTGCGGTCAAGCTGGAAGGGGCGGCGAGTCAGTCAACTACTCGTCTGATGGAGGGAGTCACTTGGCTCACGTACGTAGTTAAGAAAGTAGCTCAGACAGCAAAAGGTCAAGATGAAGAAGTCAATTTTCCGGACGAGCTTACGCTCGGCCGGGTCACTCCGCCAAGCTGACGAGAAGTAATCGCGTAGCTTGGACGCGATCACTGTCATTTCATCGATCGGTGTTCACCGTGTGCTTGAACGTCGGCATAGACTAATAACGGCTAGTCGGCTACCGAGTTGAAAAGACGGTGTTGGTGGTAACGCGCTCACTTGCCGAACACGGAGTCAGCGGTTGCGGGGTCCGTCCGGGGTAGGCAACTCAAAGTGATCCGAGGAGCTCATATCGTCAAATCATGTTGTAGTGAAGCCCCATAGTGTCGCGAAACTGTTCAAGTTGTTGTTGAAATGTATGCTAAACCTGGGTTAGGGGATTGGGCGCCGAGAACCCCTTAGACTTCATGTTTTTCAAGTTGTTTCAGACATGACATGGCGTTGGAGGTGATGACGTTCCGAGGCGATGTCCTGAAAGCTTCTTCGTTCCCGTTCCGGTACGATCCACGGTGTTCCCCAGTGCTCCCTTCCGAGGTTCCAGTGCATCACCGCCACCAATGGCACTGGAGTGTTTCTGTGGGGTGACCCTCGTGCCCCTTCAGTCACCAGTCAGGGGTAGTACGGGAAAAGATGCAGGCCGGCTCCACCGCTGAAAAATTTGAACACCTCCACCGAGGAGGACAAGAGGGCAAAAGATGGCAAAAAGAGAAACTTGAAGGTCGTACCCGGGATCGAACCGGGGTCGCCGGAATATCCGTGAAATCAGAATCCGAAGTGATGACCACTACACTATACAACCGTCTGTTGGTGGTTTCGCGGTTCCGGAGTCGGCCTTGTCAGTGAGAGAACATGGGGGGGCAACCACCCCACCAGGGGAAAATAGTAATAGTCAAGACGGGCGAAGAGTTTGAAGGATGATGGGAAATACCGATGACTGCTCGTTTCGAAATGATACTCAATACCTAGGATGGCGAAAGGTGTGGTGAAATGGGATCATGTTTGAACTGTTTGTAACCCGAAATTTGTGATGGTTGCAGTCGAGAACGAAATCCACAGCAGGAGCTGCCGATGATAATTGATGACCGAATTATCCAACTGCTCCTCGAACGGGAAGGAGCCATATTTGACCCAAGGCAACCAGCTTCAGTACGGTGCACACACACACTTCCATCCTCAGCTTGGAAATCCACCAACTTGAACTCCGCCCCTCTTTTGAAAACTAAACACTTTTACTTACATTCATGGCTAGCGCCAGATGAAAACTGACATTTTTCATTCTCACAAGGTTTGCAAACAGAGCATCAAACAAACAATTCAGACTTAGGACCTAATGGATGTTTGATTGCCTCTAGGTTCTTCCAATCCACCACATTAACTACTACCACACCAAGAGATATAGGAACAATAACGAATGGTTTCGAACTCATACCGCACCCCCGAAAGAACCACCACCCACCAACAACCACCACCCGCTAACAGTACCAACACCCAAATACCTAGTTGGCCACCTTGCACAGCTTGCCAGTCTGCAGGGTCAGCCAGTCGGGCTGGCCCTCAATCCTCCAGCGCTCCGAGCCGACGGCGGTGGGGGCCCAGAAGAGGTCGTAGGGGTCGACGCGGCGCTTGATCTGGAGGAGGCGGTCGTAGTTGGTGCCGTAGAAGGCGTCCGCGAAGTCGGGCTCCATGACGTCGCCCTCGTTGAGGTAGCCGCCGGGGCCATACACGCGCAGCCGGCCCATCCAGTTATCCGTGATCTTGCGCTGCACCGCCTCGAGCTCCGTCTGCGAGATGCCCGGCGCCCAGCCCGTGCCCATGATGCCGAACCAGATCGCCTCGCGCCAGTGCGAGTTGGCGCCGCTGGCGGGGGTGCCGGCGGGGGCCGCCGGGTTCATGTTGTACTGGATGAGGGCGGAGCCCTCGTCGACGACGGAGCGGACCTCGTCGAACATGGCGTTGCGGTGGGCGACGTCGTCCCAGGCGGACCGGGGGAAGAGGCGGGAGGCCGTGCGCAGGTTGGAGTTGGCCACGCCCTCGACGGGGAAGTGGCGGGTCCAGGCGTCGTAGAAGTTGTCGTGCTCGAAGAAGACGGGCTCGAACTCGAACCCGATGGCCGTCCACTCGTCAAACAGCGGCTGCACCATGGCCTTGAAGTCGGCGAGCGACATGCCGGGCACCATCCACGGGTTCATGGTCCACGTGTAGCCGGCGCCGGGGCCGCGCGGGAAGATCATCGAGTAGCCGTACACGTCCTGCTCGGCGTACTCGGGGAACTTTGCCCAGTAGGCGTACATGGCCTCCCAGAAGACCGAGTCCGGGTTGGCCGTGTCGTTGCCCGAGCTGATGGTCCACGTCACGCCGGCCATGTTCAGCTTGGGGTGCGCCTTGACGGTCATGGCGGTGACGACGCCGAACGTGGAGCCGCCGCCACCACGGAGAGCCCAGAAGAGGTCGGTGTTCTGGGTCTCGCTGGCCGTGACGAAGCGGCCGTTGGGCAGCACGACGTCGACGCTCAGTACCTGGTCGGAGCCGAGGCCGAACTTGGTCGACAGGGGCGAGTGGCCGCCGCCGGCGATGTAGCCACCGGAGACGCCGACGCCCTTGCACTCGCCGCCGACGGCAGTGACGCCGTACTTGTTGGCCGCTTCGTACAGCTCGCCGACCTGGACACCGGCGCCGATCTCGAGGGCCGCGCCCGAGTACGAAGGGGTCTTGACCGACTGGTGGAAGTGAATCTTCTTAAGGTTGTGGGTCCAGATGGAGAGGGCGCCAGAGCCGAGGGACTTGCCAAGGAAGTCATGGCTCGTGTTCTTGACGATCAACCGCAGGCCGAGCTTGCGGGCAAAGTTGACGGCAAGTTGGATCTGGTAGATGCCGGTGGCCTTGACGGCGTACGACGGGAACCCGCCCAGCGTGCACTGGGACGAGTTGCCGTTCTGCGGCATGCAAGTCTCGCCCGAGTAGAGCGGCGACATGACCGAGGTCGGGTCGTTGGCGCTGGAAAGGGTCAGTCCAAAAATACAAAGCAACACCGCTTGAGTTGGGCAACATACTGGGTATCCGACTGGGTCCAGTTCTCGAGGATATCGGCGCACTTGGCGGCGTCATACACGCCGTTGTTGGGGTAGCAGACGGCGCCGATGGGCACCGTCTCGATGAGGGCGCCGCCGGTCAGCAAGTTGAAGACACCCCAAGTCAGACGCGAAGGCCACTTCATGTCGCCCGGGGACGTCTTGCAGGTGCCGACAGACGTGCGCTTCGCGACCTGGGAAGCATCATCGCCAGTCGTGTTGTCGAAGTGGAACAGGTCAATGTCGCTCAGCTCATGGGCCGTGAGGTTGGCCAGTATGGCATCCGTCAGCTGGCGCGTCTCGGGGTCCGCCTCAGGGTCGGTAGGCGGCGCGGCGGCTGGGGCAACGGTGATATCATTCGCGGCTGCATGTCATCAGCCAAACTATCCGTATCACTCGAGACCGTCAACCGGTCGGTCCAGGTCAACTCACGGATCACCTCGCCCTCGGTGTTCTTGATGGTTTGGGCAAGGCCCTGTTGAGCGAGCGGAAGGACGGCACCTACCAGAAGCAGGGCGCGCTGAAGAGAGAGGACGACCATGGTGATCGACAAGATGAACGAGAGGCTTGTCGAGCTGGTCCACGAACTGGGGAAGGAAAATAAGAAACCACGTTTTTTCCACGAGGCACGATGGTTATATGTCCGGGCGGAAATGGTGGCAGCCGCCCTCCTCGTCCGGAACCCGGGTCGGATCAGCTACCGAACCGCCAATCAGCACCCCGGTGTTTCGGGGTGCCTTGTCTTATCCCACGTTGCACCCCTGTTCTGGAGCCGGAGAAGCAATAATGTTCCCTTGTGTGGGGTTGAGAAGTCGACGGCGGGGGCTTGTCATTTCACGTACTTGTACGGCAGTCGACTGCGTGGCGCGTGGGCCGCTACCTGAGCTGGTGTTGGTCCATTTTGGCCAGACTCATGATTCGGGTGCGGCTTGCTCCCCTTTCTCACCAACGATCCGGTGGGGGCCAGCGTACTCGGGAAGATCCCCCGATACAGGGGGACCTGGTGAACCGGGCGAGTTGCGTTCCGTTTTTAATGTAGCAGCCCCTGTTTACTGATATTGGCAGGCAAGCCAATTTATTATTGAGGGTCCGGCAGTGTGGGTACATATCAGGTAAGGTGTGGTCAGCGCGGAACAACGGAAAGGAAGTCGATATCCGGGTTGCCCGGCCGCCTCTCTTCAGCAGAACCAGGTGAAAAAGACCGACATCTCTTTCGACTCGGCGACCGCAGGAACTCTTTGCTTCTCTCGTCCACGTGCTTAACTCCGAGACAGCCGCTTAGCCTCTTGGTGGTGCTGTATCAAAACTTGCCTCCAACATCTGCAGCTGAAGCCCCTTGGCGATTCCGCCGCCTTGGGAGCGGCGCGGCAGATGTCTCGGTTCGCCAATGCCGTTGGCCTCGGCTATCTGGATCACGACCGCCCCATTCCGTTCTCCGCAACCGACGAGATTATCGATGTCAAAGTCAAGGGATGCACCTGTCTTGATCAATATCTGTCTGACCTTTCGAAAACAACGGGATTATGCTGATGGGGACCATCTTTGAGTATCCATCCATGCTGACGAAGGAAAAAAGACTTTTGCTAGTTAGGGGTTAGGTGGGCACTGTTCTATTTCCGCCTCAGTATCAACAAGCGAAATCTGCCACGCTTGTAAGGATACCCTTCGTTGAGGTCGTCTCCATCACGGCAAGTTCCATTCGTATCGGAAATTGAAGAGGGGTTCACAACTCTCCGGCGCTATTCTTACCTCAGAGTCCAAAGCCGGTGACAGAGTAGGGTCGTGGCAAAGACAGAAAGAGAAACATGTCTGGCATCTCGAACATCTCTAACACACGGACCGCACGAGGCGTCGGCGTTCGTTGGAGCGCTTTCTCTCGCCCCAACTGGATTAGTCTTCCATCCACGAATCGCAGAGTTGTTGTTCTCGCTTTCGCGGCAGAATGCCTCGGCGGTACCGTGGACGGCAGTGATCGGCAGCTTCTCGACGCCGGGCCATGTGTCTAACAGGGATATCCTGGGGCGAGAAGAGATCCAGGGGAAATGAGAAAAGCCCTCAACACCAAGGCCCACCACACCTCCACTAGCGCAGACCCGTCCACTCCGTCGTGCCAATAACAAAGTGTCAGCAAAAGGGCCGTCAGCTTGGTTCACCTTGTTCGCTGAGACATCGGACGCCCCGCTCTCGCAGCAATGCGCCCATTCTGGTTCCCGTATAGGAAGGCCGGCTCGTTCACTGGCTAGACTCGGTCGAGACTCGCTAGCATATTGTCAATGCGCAGCTTGACGGTGTCCACGATCTTCCCGAACTAGTGGCCAGGACGAGAATGCATGGGTACGAGTGGAGGTCGTCTACATAGGACACAGGCGTCGGGGAGTCAGTTACCGACCAGTCTCCTGGGATTCTGATTCTGGATCTCTTGCGGTCCCTGCCCCTTTGAGATGCTCCAGAGATCAAGGTTTTTGCCGTAGCCATTTTTAACTGTAGGTCCGTGTCCTCCTTCATCAGCGGGCACTCAAGAATGCCGAGTTTCCCCTTGACCCTCCATTTGCCTTCCCGTCGACGCCGAGGACTCATGATAACCGGTCACCCCCATCGAGGACGGTATACCGGCCGTGCCGCGAAGTCTCTTGCCTTCCGCCGCCGTCGATCCATCTGAAAGATCGTGCTTCGTCTCCCCTCCCCACAGGCTGCCGATCGACGACCCCCGGCATCCCCAGATCTCAGGTGTCCCCCTGGCGTGTCGATCTCTGCAAAGAGACAGACGTTCTGGACTGCGCGATGGTCAAGATGGCGATTCTACCTCGCCGCCCCGAACATGTGGATGTCCTCACGATCCCAACGCCGCCTCTGCAGCAAGCTGCCCTGTTCGTCATCTTCTTCTTCACGGCCTTGGCTTTTGTCACATACAGCCTCAGAGCCTACACACGGCTCCGGACGCGGACATGGGGTCTCGACGACTATCTGGTTTCCTGCGCCATGATCTTCTCGCTCATGATGATCGGGCCCTTCTACATGTGTAAGCCGGCTGTTGCCTCTTTGAAATTAGACCACGACTGAACGGACCTGGAACAGACATCAAGCTCGGCTACTTTGGCTGGCATTCAGAGGATGTGCCGAAGTTTGATCCGGCCCCTGGCATGTGGTGGTTCTACCTTGCCCAGCTCTTCTACAACCCGATCCTGGCCTTCGTCAAGGCCTCGGTGCTGTGCTTCCTGCTACGTCTAGGTGGCCAGAAGCCTGGAGTCAAGTTCGCCATCCACTTCCTGAACGCCTTCAACGGTCTCCAAGCCATTGCTATCTTCCTCGTCGCCGCCCTGCAGTGCTTGCCCATCGAGGCCAACTGGGACTTTGCCCTCAAGGCGGACCCCAATACGAAATGCGTTGACAACTCGTTCCACGTCACCATTTCTTGCATCACCATCGTTACGGACATCGCCGTTATCGCCTTGCCGTTCTGGATCTTCTTGGGTCTGAAGATGCCCAAGGCCGCCAAGGTTGCTGTGCTGGGCATCTTCATGCTCGGTCTTGCGTGCGTTTCCCCTTCCCCCCTATTTTCCACTCCTAATCAACATCACCACTAACCTAACGCCTCTGGTTACCAGCGTCACAATCATCGGCATCGTTCGTCTCCAGGGTGTTATCCGACTCTTCTACATCCCCCAAACCTCGAAGGACCCCTACTACGACATCACCGTGACGCTCTCCGTCGTCGAAGCCAACGTGGCCATCGTATCGGCCTCGGCCCCGGCCCTCCGCCCGCTCTTCCGCTCCCTCCTGCCCGGCCTCTTCGGCGGCAGCAGCGCGCGCTACGGCGCCCACAACAAGTACAACTACCCCAACAGCAACTCGCCGTACATCTTCTCGGGGGCGGGCGGCTCGGTCGCCGCGGCCGGCGCCAGCCACAACGGGGGGGCCGGCTCGCGCAGCCACCACCACTCCCGCCACTCGCACCACCACCACAACGGCGGCGCCAACGACTCGTCGGTCGGCCCGCCACACAGCAGCATCCGGCTCAAGAGCCTGCGCGGCACGGGAAAGAGCGGCCACGCCGAGTGCCGCAGCATCAGCCCGAGCGGCTCCGAGGAGGAGATCATGACCTACAACGGCATCATGCGCACCACCGACGTGCAGGTCCACTTCGAGGGCGACCGCGATAGCCGTGTCCACGGCCACGGCCACGGCCACGGCACCCTGCGAACGGGGGATACCACGGATGTGGAGATGTCGAGCCGCGCGTCGAGTGATCTAAAGGCGGGTGGGAAGGAGCAGGTGGAGAAGAGGACTTTGTGATTTGGGGGGGTGGGTATTTCTTAGAGAATGGCGTGTTTGAAAGATACCATATGGAAAAAGGGGGGTGGGTTAAAAGGGTTTTCTTCACAACAGCATGCGGGATACAATGGGGTCCTGGCCGGGCGTCATTAGTGCTTAGATACCTCGGGCGGCCATATTGACTTTGAACATTTATTATGAGACATGCTCCAATTATATATACCTAGACACGCGTCAGTAGCTATGCCATGGTTACTTCTGCTTCCGTTCACACCTCCGAACTTGTGACAAGACTGCAATCTTTCATAGGTAATGTGAACTTCGCCTCGAATCATTTAACATCAACATCATGTTTCCAGACTACTTGTCAACCTGACCCTGGCCCTCCCCCTCTGGCTTGCTCGTACCCTCGTCAAGCCCATTATATCATGCTCAGTCACGGCGACCTCCTCTCTTTCCTCACCCCCCAGAACCCCCACGGATCCCGAGGACGTTCCACCTCCGCCTCTATATTCCGCACGGGCTGAAGGGGCTCGCGCACAAACCCCCATCCCAACCCTCCGTTGCCCTGTGGCATCTGCTGGAACCCAGAGGACGACGCATATAAAGGCTCGGATTCGGATGCGGGATCAGGTTGGGGCTCCCTGTGGTCCCATCCCTGGTTTTGTTTCAACCTGGCATACCGTTCTGCCGCGGTCTCAGGTGTGGGTTGGGCGACGGTTTCAGTCGTGCGCGACACGGGGGATCTCTTGTTTGTCAAGACTTGTTAGTTGCTGTGCTCTGGTCCGCCATTCAAAGAGTCGTCATGTTCATACTCACCTTTACCTTTTTGCCCTTTTTCTTCTTGTAAGAGGGTCGCGTCTCTACAATGGGCAACATCGATGTCCCTACTCTCAAGCGTGGTGGCACTTCCTTGACCTCGGGAGGTGGTTCAGGGATTTTCGGTTCTTGGGCAGGCTCCGGCTCCGGCTCGGCTACTTTCTCAACCGGATCCCATCCAGGGGCTGGAGGCTCGGGCAACGCCTCTAGGTATTGCGAAACCTCGACATCCTTCAGTTCTTGGGGTAGCTCAACCTCCGGCTCTGGCGCTGGGTCAACCTCTGGCTCTGGAGCTCGCCAAAGCTTTGCAGCTGGCCAACCATCTAGAGCTGGCCAAGCCACTGGCTCCGGTTCGGGCGCTGGCTCCACTTCAGGCTCTGGGGCAGGCTCGGGCTCGGGCTCAGGTTCGGCCTCTGGCTCTGGCTCTGGCTCTGGTTCTGGCTCTGGCTCTGGTTCTGGCTCTGGCTCTGGTTCTGGCTCTGGCTCTAGTTTTGGTTCCGGTTCCGGTTCTCGTTCTGGTTCTAGCTGTGGCGGTTCAAGTCGAGGTTCGGGGCTCTGCGGTCTCCGTCCAGCCCATCTTTGAAGGCTCTCGGGATCAGACACTGGCAGCGAGTCTCCGCGGTGAGGGTCCATGTCACCGTCCTTATCAGCCCGGCTCGGCATAATATCGCTCCAATCGCTTCCTGTGGCGGGCGTGTCCGGTTCGGCAGCTGTGACATATTGGGCTGCGCCATCCCGCCCAGTGAGGGATTCTAGCATGTCCGCATATGTGTCAAGCATGCACTCAAACAAAAGTTTGACCACAGAAGTACCGTTGCTGGATTCAGAAGGGGCCGTAGCCTTCGACAGCTTGCGAGGTTCCTTGAAGGCCTGCTTAACCAGCGACTTGATCCAGCTCGGAAACCAAGTGTCGTTGCCGATGGGCGCAGGATAAGCCGCTTGGACAGCATCGATGACTGTGGACACTTCTAGGCCGCGTGCCACCAACTCGATCTCACCCCGGACCTGCTCGTCAAGGCCATCCAGCCCGACAGTCCGAGCCAAGGTGTAGATCTCGAACTTGGCCTTGAGCTCCCACAGCTCGATGTTGAAGGAAGGGTCGACGGAACCTATCCATTTCAAGAGGCCATGTTGCTTGGTGTAGAGGTATTGGACCAGTGCGTGGCCCGCGGTGCTGGAAAACTGACGAAGGTCGATGCTCTCTGTAGACGGGTCGAGAAAGCGGCCAAGCTTCGAGCATTGGAGGAGGACCGCGCGGTGAATGGTGAGTGGAAACCCGTTTGCGAGCTGGATGCTGATGACAGGGCTGCTAAAGGGCCTGGAAATGTAACGCGAGTCAGTCAGCGGGCCAGGCGTGGAAAGAAGATCAGGCACAACCGTACGATATCTCGAATCCGGTGTCACGGCTCGGACCGCCGTATCGGGCTTCAATTGGGGCTTCCATTTTAACGTGTTGGAGAACCGGTTGACATTGACTCAACTCTGACACGACTCAGAGGTGGAAGAGCGCAAGATCCAGGGAGTGATGGACTGAACCCATCCTCGAGAGAAGAGCTTAAGGGGCTTGGTCCGATCAGGCCACAACTCCCGCGGTGGCTCCAGCGGCTGCATGTGTGCCCGACTGGGAGCTGGAGCACTCGAAGCTCGACCAATAACTAGTGTCTACCTCTAAGACAGCCAGTGGCAGGCGTATATCTATTGACTCGCTGAAAGTGCAAAAGGTTCGATGAACGTGGGCCGGATGAGAACCTATAGCAACTTATCTCCATTGCCAATGAAACAGAAACGAAGCCCTCCATTCGAGAAATCTCTAAATAAAGCCACCAGAGTCTAGCAGCCAATAGCGACGTCGGTATGCACCGGATATGCAGCTTGAAACCCCAGTGGCTGCTTGGATTTGACGATGCAACAACAGCCGCGGTCCATATTTAGCCACGTTTCTCAAAGCGTAAGCTTCCTTCTTTAAGCGAGGGTGCAGCATCACAGTGAAGGAGAATTTGACTGTCGGTCATTCGGGAATGGTACCTGAGAAGGGTAGCCATATAAGGGGGGAGAATAAGTAGAGTGACCACATCAACAGGGGTATCAATCACGTATAACTCGAGCTGAGAAAAATGGGCAACTCAACTCGTCATCCATACTTCCAACTTCCGCATTTGAGTAATACATACGGTTGGGTTGAGGTACCAAACAACAATGAGTGTAAGAGCCAAATACCTCACTAGACAGAGCAGTGATAGTAGCTTAGACTGCTGAAGGGCGTCACGGCCGAGAGAGCTTTGAGAACCTGAACCCCGTGAGCGTAGCAAACAGAATTTCGCAATGAACCGAGACTTCAGCTCACTTTTAAGGCTTATTATCATCTTAAACACTAATACAATTACTTCCAAACTCTAGTGACGTCACAAGAGGTCTGACAAGACAAGACCCGAGAAAATCCAACAACATGCACTCACCCTTGCCATCGAGCACCAGCCGGATCTCGTGTATCCCTCGTATGGCACGGGCCGTATTACTCCTTGACTAGCACACACACCACTTCTGACTTACCCCACTGAACACCTCGTCTGTGCCCTGTTTCTCGGATTTCACAGTCCGGCATAGCCACAACAGCACTTGTCTGTGACACTGTGACACCGGTCTGTTTGAGACCAGCAAGTATCGGTGACATGGTACCGGATCCCTGCGGGGGTGACTCAAGCTGGAATATGACAAGGCAGATTTTACCACCAAGCTGGGGTGTTATCACGTTCCACATTCCATGACGTGGGGGCGAGAGGAGGTTATTGGGGGGGGGGGGGGGGGGGGGGGGGGTGGTGTCGACCAGCATCCTCTCCAGGAAATACAACCACAATAGACCACAGCGAGGGCAGAACAGGGATAGAATATTGTAGTAATGTATTAATTAAGATCTATCGGTAAATATCAATGACCAACAAACAAACAATGCACCCGAAACCCGTCCCTTTCCCAGTTTTCCCGACCGTTGGCACCTCAAGTGCAACCCCCGAGTCGTTTTCGTCCAGTCATCACACGGAAGTGTTGAATAAAGATATTAGAGATACAGGTTATGCAGTGGTGATGATGGGTTAAATGGTTGGTTGATAGGAGAGAATTAAGGAGCAGTAAGTGGTAGTAGTGTGATAAGGATGATGCAAACATGAAGCCAGGACCGAAGGGTATACCGTTGATATCCGTTCCATGAACAACAGTATCATCATGCCCGCCAATATTGTTAACCCCGTTGTTGGACCCATCCCAAAAATGAGAGAAAAGCGAGAAACCTGGAGTCAAACCGATGTCGCCATGCAAGGTTGCCGTGAGATGATGAAATAACTCGAAACAAAGAGTGAACAGGGTAAAAACCATTTCTAATTAGGCGGCCGGGGAACCCGCACCGCAGAGCCTGGCCTTGATGACCAGGTGGGAGGCGAGAGGGAGTGGGTTGTTAAGGTAGGGCCGGATAGCGTGCTACCACAGCCACAACCTGCCGACGGCACTCTCAAGACCGCGCGTCCCATCCGGCGTTGCCGCGGGAGGCGAGCGAGAGAGTTAGTCGTCGTGAGGGTTGATCAGCGTCCACCTTGGAAAATGATATGATGGCGGTATTCCAAAGGGCAGCCTAAAGAGGATGAGTCTGACATCACATCCGTATGATGATGGCAGTCGTAGGTGGACGTTGATACCGGTGGCGGGTGGGTGTAATGGTTGCGTGCCCCGGGAGACCTCGGACAGGAAGGTGTGATCAACGTTAAACGGCGAGCTGCATAGCCAAGCGAAGGGACTTCGTGACCGGCAGTGGTGATGTATGTATATGAGTGTGTGGGTGGGTTGCAGGGTGACCTTGCCGGTGGGAAAGGTCTCGGGACTGACGGGACATGGGTCGACCTTGAGACCATGGCCACTCAGGTTTGAGTCCGAGGCACGGGGCGCGCGGCCAAGGGGGGCTATGAGAGCCTGCTGCAGGTTTCGTCTGTGAGCAAGGGTGTAGAGGGCAGATTCCGGGTCAGCAAGGTTTCGTCGATGCGGTCATGCAACCCAGGTCGATCGATCCCGTTAACTCCGCAGTGAACGGCCTTTTGCCCTCAGGCGCAACAATCCAACATGTGGGCGTGGTAAGTGACCTCCGACGGCTTATAGATGCCTGTCATTTCTCCTCCGCGATGGAACCGTAGGTTGAAGGTAGCAAACTTCGGGGACGGATACAGGCACTCCCCCCCGTGGGAAGCCGAAGCGACGCAAGTACAACGACGTAAAAGGTGGCATTTGTTCGAGGTGGGCGACATGAATCCAAGATTCCGCCGCATGAACCACCCGCGAGTCAGAGAGTCGATAAACAGAGTCGGAGAGATCTGCCAAAGGATGCGGGTCGGAGAGTTTGACATGTCGCATTGCGGTACTGTTGGGGTGGTCTCGGGATGTGCCTAGCGGTCGTGATGGAGGAGCCGGTTTGCCCCTGATTGGTTGGCGCAACAACCAGCTGATCACTCCCTCCAACGGTCCCCACGCGGGGCACACCACCATGGGGCCGCCCGGGTTGGGAGCAACCTCTCCGTTGAAACGGCGTGTCGTCGTCCTGTTACGTTGCGGAGGCTCGTGGTGTCGTGTTTCTCTTTTGTTTTTTTGCTCGGCGGGGCTCGAATATCAAAACCCCGGGGATCACCCCAGCTGCCAAAGGACCACCCACTCGCCGTCCCATGTTGTCTGCCCTGGCCCCCGGCCCCTCCCGCATTTTGGGTTTAGGCATGTTGTGTTGTGTGTTTTGATCTGATGAGGGTCGAAAGAACAGGGTAGATGGATATTCCCCCCCACGGTGTTTAGCTCCCCTTGCCCACCACCCGCTTGTCTACCGTGAGTCATGCCAAACCAGTCGGCTGCCACCCTGGAAACAGATGACGGAGTTCACGCGTCGCCGCATCTCCCGCACACACCCCTGGCCCAGCGGCCGGATTCCGGCAGGTTCTGCCTGTCCCTTCGCGTAGCCCCAGGTGCCCGCCTTTTTCACCTGTGGGCCCTGCCGAAGGCGGCAGAGCATCCCCCGCCTTCCCCTCCACTACCTCGGACTCCATCAAGGGAGAATGATTTTCGGGAGGGTCACGCACTCAAGCGCGGGGTGTCCCCTCCCCGTATCCACCGCCGCCATACACCTGGCCGTGGGCGTGGCCGCTGCTCGTCTGGCTTTGGTAACCGTCTGCCACAGAGTAGCCTTCCCAATTCCTGGACTGGCCCTGCGAGGCGGAGACGCTGGAGTGGTGACCGTAGCCACCACTGTGCCCATGGTGCGCGTGTGTGCTTTGAGTGTGGTGAGACGAAGGTCCTGACAAGCCATACGGTGATGTTACGCTGTGCGTCGAACCGCGGTGGTCATACACCACTGGTAGCGTGGTGGAAAGGCGCAGATTCGACCCGGTTACTGGTGAGCTGGTCTTGAGAGCCGGAGACATTGCTTTGGAGGCTGAGCCATACGTCGGACCCCACGAGGAAGGCCCGCCGGAAAGAGTTCGTGGGCTCGTGAGGGAGTCTGCATGATGGTGGCCGGCGCTACCGACGTAACCCGCGGCCGCGGCGGCCGAGTCGGCTGTAGTGCTCGACGTCGTGGAGACTGGTGTTGGCGGCAGCGCTGGGTAGCCCCCACCGAGGCCCATGCCTGGGGCGACGTGGGGTGAGGTGGTTGGGGTCATCACGTTTGTTGTCGTGGAAGCGCTGTACTTGGAGATGATCTTGTAGAGGGCCCCTGCGAGATCCTTCCAGTGGAAGACCTTGACGTCCTTCTCGATGTTGCGTGGCTTCGGGTTTCCAAACCCCATGATCACCTTGAAGAACTCCTCGCTCTCAGACCGGGCTTTGCTGACGGTTGCCGGACGGAATCCTTCGAGGTTTCGGCGGATGCGATTCTTCTCGTCGACCCCAAACCTGCTCGGGGCGGCGAGAAGCTGCTCGAGCAAGTGGATAGTGTCGACTGACGTGACGTAGCACGCTTGCTTCTCCTCCCACCAGATACAGCTGATGCAAATGCTATGGGGAGGCCGCTCTGCCGCGCTCACGGCCTTGAAGCTGACCGTCAAAACGCTCCCCGTCTGCTGCTTCCGGAATAGGACTAGCCGGCGCTTGCTTTCCCATTCTTCCTGACTCCAGCCCTCTGCCATGGTTGAGAGATCGCCAGCAATCTTGAGCGTCGCCTTTTCTTGGTAAACACCGTAGCCGGGGAACCCGCCAGCAGGTTGGGCCAGTGTGCTAGTCCGGATGAGTTGTGGCGTACTCGATGTTGGGTGTTGCAGCGGAGTCAGGATGGAACGAGATACGGAGCCGTGTGCGTTGTGCGCGTTGTGTGCGAGGGATGAGTTCGGAGCCCGGAGGGGATCGAGCTGGTTGCCAAACATCCACCCGGCCCCGTGCGGTGAGCGGAGCATGGACGGGCCTCGCGGGTAGTGGTCCGTAAAGGAGCCGGCGCGGTATGATGACAACATGGTGTTGCTTCCTTGGTTGTAGGGTCCGGTGGCAGCGGTAGAGAAATCGGCGTGCGCATGGCTCTGAGCTTGTATTTGCGCTGCGGCGCTCCCGGTTGAGACGCCGGGGGAGAAGCCGTATGTATTTGTGGAAGTGTCGCGGGGAAGTACGTTGTGAGTGACGGAGCTGTCAGACTCTCTCCGTCCTTGTGAGGCTTGGTGTGGTGGGCTGGCTCGGTGGGCAGGTGATCGGGTCTTGGGTGACCCCAAGTCGGGCGGGCTGCTGTCATCAGGCACTGCGGTGGCCCCTGTCCCTACGCCGCCTTGCGCATCAAGGTATGAGAAGACACCCGCATTTCCTACCCGCGTCATTTCGTCCCCGTTTCCGTTTTCCAGCAGCAGTGTCACGGGGACGTTGCTGAGAGATGGACAGCCTGTGCTCAAGAACTGAGGAGCGTCGGCAGTAAGGGTGTAAGTCCAAGCACCGTTTGCATCCCTCGAATCCCTGGAAACCTGTGCAGAACATCGCTGTGACCCGAAAACCAGCGAGACAAACGGCGGGGACGCGGCCACGCTGTTGCCGATAAGGTCGTACTGGCACGTCGCTTTCAGAGATACCTTGGTCCCAGGCGGGCCACGGGTTGGGTGGCATGACAGGACGTTGATATTGGCGCCAGATGGTATTTGCGATGCGAGGTACTGCCCAGCTGCCGCGTTGTTGGCCGCAAAGGCTATTTGGTTGAGTTGTGAGGTCGCATTTTCCGTTTGTTGGGGAAAGGACTGGGAAGGGTAGGGCGAGTAGTTTGAGTCTGCATACCCTACGGGACGACCATGACAACACCGGTCAGCCGCTGAACCTCGTTCACTCTTCTCTCTATTGTATCAATGCAAAAGAAGACAAACTTACCGTGCAGCTGCGGTGGCTGGGGCTTATACGCAGACATGGGCATTGGCAGGAGACCAGGGGGACATGCCCCGCTGAGGTCTCCTCCGTTTCGAGCCGCTTCCTCCTCCAGCCGGATCGTCAACGTTTCGGGTGACTCGATCTGCTCGTCGAGGATGATGGTCCGGTGCGGATGGTAGCCGGGCTGTCGACGAAAAGTTAGCCATGGCTTTAAGACAGGCAGAAGAGCTGCTCCCAGCCTCCCAATCTCCTACTCACCTCGTACACCTTGTAAACAGGCTGCTGAATCTTTGTCGCAGACATTCAAGCTGATTTCTCTAAATCTCGTGGGTATCGAGTCGCTTGCTGGTGTTAACCAGGGCGGATGGTGTGTCGAACAGCGACGTCGCTCGCAAGGACGGCGTGGTTTTAAGACCCCTCCAACGTGGATCTGGGCGTCAAAACTGAGAACTGATATCCAACTCTGTCAGCCATCCGGGGTCCCACAGTACTTGTCGCTTAGATCCAAGAGAGAGTCTTGCTCAGATCTGGGCCAAGCCTCAGTGGACCACTGCGGGGGGATGTCGTTGTCGACTCACCTTCGCACACGCGTTTGAACGGAAGGCAAAGCCAAATCCCAGGGCTTCTCTCCCTCAGGAGTTAAGTGCAGCTCTCTGCTGAATAGTCTATCCAATACCGCCAGACGAAGTCTCTGACAGAAGCTGGATGACGGACTGTTTGCGCGATGGGAGCTCTGACTTGCAGCTGTGGGAAGACCGCAGGGCCCAACTCTCAGACTGGGTTTCAGGCACTGATATCTAAGCTTCGCCCAGGGTGCAGGTGTGCTCAAAGAAAAAGCAATTTGCGCAAAGCTGAGTAAATGTCGGTCAGCATCAACTTGGGTACCGCGCAAGGATTGGTTTCAGTCCATGGGCCATGGGCTTCCACCAGCACCAAAGCTTGTCGAGCGTCCATGCCCGGCCCGGGGCCTGCAGTGATGATGGTTGCGGAGCCTGAAGCCGCGGGGAGATGGCAACAGGGGCGCAAAGTGGCACTTACTCGGCTGCTGATTGGCACGGAAGGCCGATTCGTCTTCAAATCTCAAGAGCGGTTCTCGGGACCGGATAGTGGAGATTAGATTTGATTGTATGCAGCTATCCTCAACCTGTTCGCATGATGAGATGTCAGAAAGTTTGCAGTTGCAAGCAGCAGGTATCCGTGAACGGTTCGTCCGGTGTGTGCGTGAACCCGAGCGGTGGAGCCGCGAAGAAGTGATGGACTGAACCCCTGGGAGCAGCGAGGAGAGCAGGGACGGTACGCGAGTTGTGTTCAAGACAGAGTCAAGACAACAACGCTACGCCTGGGATGATCTGGGGGCGGGCGAGAAGATGAAGGCGGAATACCGCGAGTGGTGGAATGGAGAAGGCAACACAGACCAGCAGCAACTTGCATATCTGGGGAGGGTTGGAGAGTTGGCTCGGCGGGCGCTCAGCAGGCTCCGGAATGCAGGTTGCGAGCTTGAGATCAAGACAAGCGCGTCCACCGGCAAGCCTTCCGTCTCGCCCTTCGTTCCCTGAACAGACAGCCCCTTTGGTCTCGTCGACTGCCCCGCGGGACAGTGTGCCAAGAACGTGAAAGGGGGACTCAAGCGTCTCTCACCCGGGCAAAGTCCGGAAACCCTGAGAGTACTCAGGATAGCAGCAGGTGACAACGACAACGAGCGAGCAGGAGGGATGGCGTGCGGGTAAACAGGGATAGGAACTGACCCAGCCGTTGAATGCAAGATTCCATGGTCTCCCGGAGAGAGATGTGGATCATCCAAGGGTCACCGGGGGGTGGGGAACCGGCGCCGACATGTGTGTGTCAGGTTGCAAGGATGGAAAGATGTCGAGAGGGAGGAGGGAATGTCTCCAGGAGGTTGTTTGAGAGAGGACTGGGAAAAAAAGGGACACGACGTCGCCAGCAAGGCCCGGTGCGCGGCATGAACCACGAAGACATGCTGAGAGCTAAAATGGCAGATCAAGACAAATATGGGCAAGACGCGACACCGGTGGGAGCCCCGAAAATCTCGGAAGGAAGCGCAATGCCAGAGAAAAGCAAAGCCTAGCGGAATGGCGAGTGCAGGGGGCAAAGGCCGGCGGGCGGGAGGTACTTCGTACCGGTACACATTCACCCCTTGGGGGGAAGATGTGAGGATATCGCAACACCGATGGGGTGGCCTAGGAAACGCTGGGCAGAGTGGCAGGGGGTTGGCTGGCCGAATGAGGACTGGGAATGGCAGCGAAAAATGGCTTGGCCCACCTGCAAGGCTGGTCAGCGGAAGTTACTATTGGATGGTGTGTGGAGCGAGACCTGGTAACCTGCAAGCACAGGGGGAAAGAGATCGTCTTTCGCGGATCTGGGACCCCAGATCAGCTGCGCGGCAATCCTCTGATCCCTGTGATCGAAAATACGACGCTCGGTCGCCGGACGGCACTTCCACGCCCGTCGGTTGACGTGTTGGGGGCGATCAGTCGGAAACGAGATATGGACGCCGCCGACCGTCGCGGAAACTGGAGGAAACCTCCTACTCTGCCACCCACCCACCGGGGAGGGATACCGGAGGGCTCGGACGGAACCCACGCCGCGGATCGGCGGTGCAGCCCGGTCGGCCCTGGCTGTGGTACTGCGGTAGTGCTGAGGAGACGGAGCTGCTGCGGGTATTTGAACGACCTAGGCGCCGATCGGTCAATTAGGGAGCTGCCGCTTCAGGCGTTTTAGGGCTATCGTGTGGGGGGGGAGCAAATCTGGGCGCCCTCGCGATGCTGCCTCTCCGCCGTGTGCTGTCATGAGGTTACATGGCAGCTGTCATGTCCCCAGAAGCCCACAGCGGTGACGGCAGTCGCTGCAAATCTCCAAGCCAACTAACGTTAACCGGCCCAGCTCGCCAAATGATGGAGGCCCCTGTGGACACCAGAGACCACGGGGCGGCAGCACCCGCAGCTCGGCACGCTGAAATGGGGCCAGCGCTGGCAGAGGGTAACTCGGAAATCCTGCGACCAATGGCTTGATGGCCAGCTGAACCGGGCAGGCGTGAGGCGCAGGACAGAAGCTTGAGCCTCGACAGCGAGCCAGCTGAGTGGCGTCGCAGCGAGAAACGGCAAGGCAAAGCTGAAAGAGGGTGGTAGTGAATGGCTTGGCAGCACTTACCAGGACCCCTAATCCCACCCTCAATATTCTGGCGAGAAGCGCTACGTAGCTACCGATAGAGCAATACAAGCCGGTGTCTTTATCGGACTTTCTCCCACAACGGAACGCCTAAGGCAAGACGGACAGGTGATGCTTTGTGGCGCGGGTCTCTTTCTTGTCCTCCACTTGACGACGGGATACGGAGAAACGTCGCTGATTCGAAAGACTTGTTTGTTGGCCAGTGAAAGGGGGGTTTGTTGTGAGCGATGAAGAGGTAAAGGTTCAAGCCGTGCGGCGGGTTCGGTGTATATCGCGTGGTGAAGGCTCACCTCAAGTCGGGTGAGTGGACCCAGAGACTGGTGAGGATGCGCATGTTGACGGAGGTGTACCGCGCATATAAAGCCACGGTCGAAAGTAGCCGCCCAGCCATGTCGATACACCGACACCGTCGTCAACTCTTGCCTCGCCCGCAGCTGCGCGAGTTCGCCGCACCATTTCGATCACGACAGCAGCCATGGTCGCAGTTAAACTGCAGAAACAGCGAGTATCCCGGCGGGTTCGCACTGCTGTTGGAGGCCGAGGCATCACCGATTGTGCAGCCAGGCGCTGACCCGAGGGAGTACTGGTGAATGAGTGCGTTGTTTCTTCCAGGGATCAGGCATGGTCAAAGGGAAAACTGCGGGGAGGGTGAGTACTTAGATGCTGTCTAGACATCTTCGAAGACGTCGAACAGAAATATTGCTTTGTGGCAACTACGGACGTAGTGCATACCTGTCAAGTTGGCGTGCTGCACATGTGCCTGCATCGACAAGCCGAGATCGACCACGGGAACTAGGGTTTCCGGTCTCTCAGGCTGTGTCCGCCGTTGGGTGAAGCCCGCAATTCGATGCGTCGTGCCTTGGGCCGTGGCGCGCGGGACTCGGAACGAATGGGAGTGAGTGGCTGAGCGTCGTGGAACGTGGTTTTTCGGGCACCTGTCGTGGTTGTGTGGATGGGAAAAGAGAGAACCGAGTCTGCCCGAAAACATGCGCGAGTGACCTTCAGCCTCGATGCAGCATTCAGCAGACAGATCGCGGCTAGGTAGTAATGAACGGCTCTTGCACGTCGATCCCCATCGTGGTTGGGGCGGTTCTGTTCATTATGCGCTACACTGGTCAAATTGTGGGATTCTTGCGAGGCGTTCATGGAAGACTCGGATCGAGGTGTAGAAATAAAAGGAAGAAGATGGGGAAAGAAAAAAAAATCGATTGGGAAGAAAGCGAATTGAGTGGAAACTGTGCCTGCCTTGATTGACTTGACTTCGAGTCGGCCAAGCATGCTCCCTCCTGCCTAGGTTGGCAAACAATGCTCTTTCAAAACCCATGGAACCCTAGAAAATTTCCATACAGCTCTGCTGCCTTTCGGGTGAGCTACCCGTGGGTGCACCTTGATTTGCATTTTGCACCAGCGATATTTTGGCCCGCATGCGGCGATTCATCACCCGCTTCCTTCCAACTTTCTTCAAATCCAACGACTTGCATTCTTGCAGCTGTATTTCCCTGGTTCTGGGGGTTCGTTTTCTCACCGCATTTTTCCTGTTCGCACCCGCTTCCTTCCACAGAATCACCGCATGGAGTCAGATCCGATCGCTTTCTCACCCGGCGAATCGAGATCATGCAGGAAGCAGCCCACACAAAATGAGATCCTCTCAGATACCTACGGTGTCCTACCTGCCTAGTGGGCACTTGCCTCCTGTGTAAGGATCAGTCACACAACACGCGATGGGGGTCGCCTGCATCAATCTACGGACCGCATTCCGTCAGCTGAGACTTAACCCTAAGCTGAGACTTGGGACTTCGAGATAGCCCTGCAACATCTGCATACTCCCAACCTGCAACGCCAACACGCGCGATCTACGGCCGTACAAGCATCTTCAGATTCGACGGCCACCCGCGAGCTGCCTGTCTCTGGTACAACGTTTGAGTCGATGGGCCCATCAATACGGCTTGTGGGAGGTGCGGGTACCCGCGCGAGGGGTGGCTACTGGTTCGTGTGGCACAATGTGCCAATTGCCAATGTGCAATGTGCACCATCGTCCCCTCGATCCCGAGTCTCTAACTAACCTCGCACAAAAAGCTGGTTCGGAATCTGGGACCAAGATGATGTACCAGGATCTCGGCAGTCCATCCGCGCCACCACGGGCAGCATGTCGCAGATCTCAACCCCACGCTCAGTTGTGTTCCAGACGCAGTTTACTGCAGCGCTAGTAAAGCTAGAGCTCGCTTGAAGCGCATTGCGTTGAGGAAACTGCGAATGCTGGCCGCCTCTCGGCTAGCCACCTGGCAACTGGGATCGATTACCAACACACCTTTTGATCGAAGCACAGCCGGGCGATGGCCACAACTGAACTAAAATGAGATTGAAACCATGTTTTCGTCTACACTCACGTTTAAGTATGTGCTGCATGATGTGCCAATCTGGAATTGAGGCTGTTCCTTCTACGGGAGTGTAGAAGAGGATGAGTTGATCTGGAGTCGACCCACCGTTTCGGTCGTGCTGCATCGTACTGTGTA